GCAGATCGGTCCTGTCTTTCTCCCCCCCCCCCGTCAGTTATGCGTCAAGAGTTCCAGACTCGCAGACTCGACACCACGGGTGTGATCCCAAGGCCTGGCACCTGGGTGGGATCTGCAGGCTGCTAAAATTGGGGTACCAGCCCGTAAAAGCCGCGAGTACTCCGTACCCAGCGCTGTGCTGGGTGCGTGCGTGCTGCACAGTGCTGCGTGGGAGCAGGACGATGGGCGCGGATCTACACAGTACTGCGTACCGCTGGCCTGGCTACCTATGTACCTAGGTAGGTATCTTGGTCTCGTTGGCTGGTTCATGACATACCAAGGTCTGACGGAGGGCAGAAAAAGAAGAAGACGAAGACCCCAGAAAGTCATCTCGCCAAATCTAACCAGATGAAGCCAAGCGTCTTGAGCCCCAATGCTGCTTACTACATAGTATACCGAGGCTCAGGGCTGAAGTGAAGATGAACTTGTTGAAGAGTGGATGGATGGCTGACTGATATACCCATGATTCCATCTGAACAAGAACCCTGCAGCAATTTTTATTTTTTTTCACTTTTTTTGAAGGACAAAAAAGAAAGGAAAAAAGAAAAAAGAAATGTAAAGAAGAAAAAGGAAAAAACAACCACCCTCGCTTGGTAACCGGGCAGCCCGGGTAGCTCGAGCTGAGTCGGGCAGCCTGGCAGCCAGGTCAGCAGGTGCCTCTGCCGTCCATTGCAATCTATTCTTGAGATTACCTACCTAGGCAGTAGGAATGTACCCAAGTGAGGCAGCTGGGCAGCCTGCCTGGAGGCGTGGTGTATAAGATTGCGATCCATGGGTCGTGCCTGCGTATTCATGCCTTCCCGAATGGTGATTTGTGTTGGACGGGGTACCCAGGTACCCCGTACCAACCGGGCAGGCGGGCCAGCATGGCAGCTGCATGTGCACGCACCTGCTTTCAAGTGCTACTACGTACTTGCTGTGCGCTTGGCCCGTGCCGCTCCCGCACCTGCCTGATATTGCATTCCAACGTTTTGGAGGCATAGAGTTCAATGTCCGCAGGGTCTGGCTGGGTGCAGGCTTGCCCATCTCCCGAAACCCAATTCTAACGGACGGGGAGGGCGCCACATGCCTGAGTTGCAGGATCACACCTGTCACGGCCATACCACGCCCGATGTTATTACAGCAGCTGCATCTCCTGGTGAGCAATGTGGCTTCAAGGCGTCGTGGGGAAGGGGGCGGGATCTGGGCCATGCCTCCTTCCTTCCAGTTCATCCGCACCGGCCGCACCACCCCCTTGGACCACCCCCAGGCCCCCCCTCCTTCCATCATTTACGTATCTACCCCAAGTGTCCGGAGAGTTAACCAACCCCCTGACCCCCTGCTCGAGAGGTCGGAAGGAGGCCACCACCCCCCCTCCCATTACCTTGGTACTGTCCCGTCCGTGCTGCCTGCCTGTGTTGCCCTGCAATGCCTGCCCGGGGGGCGCGGGTGCTGGTGGGGAGATGGAAGCCCAAGCCCCGGCCGAGGGCTCTGGCATGTGTCTGACGTTTGACAGCCGCTTGACAGCCTCACCCGTCTGCAGTATGATATGTTGTTGTCTAGTCTTGGGCAAGAAATGCTGCCTCCACAACCCACAACCCACAACCCACAACCCACAATCCACAGCCCACAGCCCACAGCCCACACATCCCATGCATGCATGCAGCCCTCCTGCCCTCCACGCTCTCTCCCTCCGCCGCCCCACAAGCAGTACTCCGTACTCCGTACAACGACATCGCCCTCGTGGTCTTTCCCTTGGCCTCGTCCAAACTTGTTCTGGGCCCCCTTCTCTTGTCTGACGGACCATGTGTGATCCGCGGCAAGGGTCTTCCCTGACAGGGCTCCCCCGGGGCACGATATGCAGACCTTGATGTATAATAGTGTATACTGTATAGTAGATTCCACCCTTCTCCACCGGCGGGGAGCGCGACCTTTATCAACCCGCTTTGCGCAACCCACGCACCCACGCACCCACGCACACGCCCTCAGCACACGTACACTCAAACGCGCACACCACACCCACTCGTACAGGTGCACACTGGCACAGATGCACACTAGCACACAGCACGGTACGGCCTGGCGCTATGTACACTCACGCCGGGCACTACGGCACAGGCAGGAAGGAGGCAGGACCTTGCTCGTCACATCTTTCCGCCGCGGAACGGTCTGTTCATCAAGTGGAACAAAGCGGAGCGCGCACGGCTCGCCTCCTGGGACAAGCACCCAACAACCCACCCCCCCTTCCCGCAGCCGTCCTCCCCCCCACCCCACCCCTCGGGGCCAGATTCGATCCATCGCTCGTCGCCCGTCGCCCATCATCACCCATTCGCACCGTAGCCCGTCCTCGCTCGCTCGCTCGCTCGCTGGCTCGTTGATTGCACATGGCCAGATTGCCCCGTTCCCATGGTTAATGCTGCAGCCTGCGGCGAGAAGCGGAAAACCGCGCTACGGGCTGTCCAAGGCTGTCCCCTGTGGCCAGCGCACAAGCTGAGTGGATGCCCATGCCCCAAGTTCCATCCAAACCTTGGAAACTTTGCTCCCCTCCTGCAATCAAAAAGACTAAACATTCAGCTGACGACTTCAGATGCACCATTCCACATGAGGACGCTGCCCTCTTTGAATACCTGCGTCACTACCACGAGTCGCATTCCTCGTCTGCCTCATCTATCTCATCTGCCTCATCTACGGGCCCACGCACTATCACGTCTAGCTCTTGGCCCCCTTCCTATTTTGAAATGAGCTATCCGGTTGGTTCAGTCCCCGACCGTCGCCCGTCACACAGAGGACCCGACATCAGCCCGTACTCCAACGCAGCAAGGGGGTGGGGGGGGGGAATCAAAAAAACAAATTGCACCATCTCCGTACTGTGGTAGATCGGAGCAAACGCGGGACCGGGCCACAACGCGCGAAGTCGCACAGCGTCCATGACAGGGCCGTCTTGCAGCATTGGCCACATGCCAGCTACCCCCATGATGCCAGACATGACCAACACCAGTTGACTCCTCTAAGCTGCGGTGCTGAATTGACACGCACGGGCACTGGCCTGTCAATATGGCGCGCACTTTTGGCAGGTGATCCTGACTCTCGGTGCTCAAGCCCTTGCAGCGGGAACCGGCCTGGAGGCGTTCGACCGAGGATCACTGCGGCGTCGTGCCGGCAAAGCCACTGCCGCAGCGTTGCAGCTTGCCAACTTTGACATCTACCTGCCGGCGCGTTTGGTTCCTCTTGACGTCGCCTTACGGTCCGGCACAGCGGAGACTGCAGGTCCACCGACACCTCCACCGACACGCCTGCCTCGGTAAGCCGACTTTTCTACGGCCTAGCCAAGCTCGCATTCATCGACCTCGTCCCAAAGAAGGACTGCTATTTTCATCCGATTCCCTCCCCGCAGTCCACATCAACCAAACCAGGCACCTTGTGACTGGTTGGAAGCTTGTCGTCGCGTGATTAGGTGCGACTTGTCTTATTCCCTGTCTTGACTTGTCGCAGCTCGAGGGATCGGACGTGGTCGAGAGGAGCCCCGTTTTGAATTCGCTACAGACTGGGCGCGACAGAGTTGTCAGCGGTACATGTTTCTTCCTAAAACCCCTATCCCCCGGACAAGTACCTCCAGGTACGGCCTTTATGGGCGATACTAGACCTTAGTAACACGATCTGATGCCGTGAAAGCCATGCATGAACTTAATTACATGTCTCCACGGAACACTGGCTTCTGAATATCTCGACCACATCCCCCACAAGCGCATACCAACCGAGTACTACACAGGACACCCACCGCTCGTGATTTTAGGCGTATCTCATTCCTGCCTCACTATTTCATCTATGGCCAACTCTTCCGACACACCAGCTATTGGCTCTCTCTCCAGACTGCATGTCACAAAACGGCGATGGAGAGCGAAACGTGGCGGGCACCCCGCACGGGCGCCAGAGCTGGCATCTCCGTGGCGGTCGGCTCATATTGAGCGCTTCTTTGCACGGATGGGGAATACCAAAAGGTCTCCAAGCGCGATGCTGTCCGCCGTGTTGGCTCGCCTGTACCTGAACAAGGCGTCAATCAAGCATCAACGAACCAGTTCAGCTCACGGCGGCGCGTGCGGCGGACGGATTGTGTTCTCTCGACTTCTTGGTAGGTCCCTGAGACAGGGATTCTGCGGTGTGTGGGCTCTCGCCAAGCTCTGCGCGGTACAGCATCTATCAGGTGCAAGGAAGTACATACATGTACTGCAGATAGCGCGAGCATCCCAATAGGATGGGTGCGTGGCGTGAGCCCGAGCCCGAGCCCAGACCCTTTAAGCTCATCCCGGAGACCTGGTGCAGCTATGGGGGACAGGAACACCAGACATGGGGGCTGGCTCCCCAATGCTACGGTGTCTATTCCTTTCCGAGAACAGTGACAGGGGTTGGGCGTGGCAGAGACGGACAGGGCATGGCAGGTCTAGCCCTTCTGGGCATGGGGAATTGTCCTGGTTGGCCCAGCCGGGCCAGTACCTCAGCACTCTTGTCACGTCTTTCTTTTTGTTCTTCTGCGATGTCTCTCGCAAATTTCATCTATCGACGTGGGCTGGCCCATGACCAGAGTACGGAGACATGTCTCCTGTACGGCATGTCCTTCGGGCTCCCGGAGTGCGCCCTTGTACGTGGACCTCGCCGCTCCCTCTGCTGTCTGGTCGGTCTCCTACGCAGAGATCAGCCAGCACACCAACGTCACTAGGGAGATTATCGATGGCTCTAGCCCAATCTGACAAGCGTATTCACCAGTGTGCTTGTAAACCGCCAGCCTTGCCCCCTGCTCTTTCACCTCCGCCCCCCTTGATCGACACCCTTCTGCTGAACACAGGGTGCTCATCCTTCTGGATCCAAGCGCAAATGCCCAGGCTTTGGACCCAAACGTGCTAGCAAGCGGGATCCGCTAGACCGTTTCCTTTGCCTTGGGAATTGGCGCGGTTTGCTACGTACCGCGGAAACCTCTTCCCACATGCCATCGACGACTCAACCCAGTGTCCCGATGCAAGGCCCCATGGGTTCGGAGGGGCTTGACGTCCTGTCCGAGGCCTGGTTTAAGCCGCGTGATCTACCCTTGCTACTCTCAGAACTCAGCTTCCAAGATTGCCCGCCATCTGCATCTGCATATCCACTCCGGCAGCCGCTCTGTCTATCTCACCATCCCTGTCAGGTCAAGGGTCGCCTGGCTTGACCCTCAAGCTACCCTCAAGCTCCAGGGGCAGCCTCCTTATATTTTCTTGAAGCGACAGTGCTTCCTCTTGCAGTTAATCACCCATCCACAAGCAGATCATGAGACAGCCCGGAGGTTCTGCAGGCTGGAGACGCTTACACTAAAGCGTGGTCCACACAGACGTCCGTTCAAACAGTTGACTGCCTTCCCTCATCATTCTCGCAAATATTAGCTGTGTGCCTGCTGCTTTTGATCTGACAGCGGGACCTCTCTGTAGTAGGGCGAGCACACCTCATGTGCGCAGAGTGTAATAGTGCCTCGCGAAACCGACAGCTCGGTAACAACAACGACCACCTTCGCTGTATCCACACCGTTCGCATGACTTCAGTTCTTGTGGTTTTTCTCCTGACGCAACAACCTGGGACCACTGGCCTGGAGTCCTGACCGTTCGAAAGACTCTGCCCAAGCGAGCCCCAAGGCAACCAGATTCCTGGTCAGTCCCGCCTCACGCTGGCGTATCTGAGGTTCGCCTGGCCGGGTTCGCGTACTGTGAGTATTCTCTGTCACCTTGTACTCCTCAGCGGGCCAATTGTGTAGGAGGATCATCCAGGGGGTCTCAAAAGAGTTGGCAAGCCCCCCTGCATGGATTTCATTCGATTAACGCAGAGCAAGGCCAGCATCCCACAACCAAAAGCTTTCGGGCGCCACAGCACGTATCCCAATCCCGGAAGCACTCACCTACGCTAATATTCCCTGGGCTCCCATTGCCTCGGGCACCTCATTCGCCGTCTTGGGTACCCTGCCTCTACTTGTGCTGTCTTTTCTCGCAGTTCATACCAGCTCGGCCAGAAACCCGCACAGCGTGCCTTAGCCTCATTCGCAAAAGGGAGACATCTGCGAGGGGCTCCAGCATAAGACAGGAACCACCACAGTCCTGTCCCGGGGTTGAAAGACACTCGTCAATTCAAGGCTGAGGGCTCAGGAACTCAACCCGAGACCAGTCACCTCGTTCTACCGTACTGATATTGGGCATCGGACGACCTAGGCGTTGCCCCTTCTGTTACATTTCATTTTAGCCCATCTGAGGCTACTCGACGAGACATTGCACAAACCCATACCCCCCGGGCCAAAAATATCTGGCCCTGACCTAGCTGGGTCTTGCAGCTCGGTGCAACACAGCTCGCCATTAGAAGACCTCCCTGGTCCCCACCCCCAAGCTCCCCGGATCCTTCCAGCCCAACCCAGCAGCCTTCTGTCCATTGAAGAATAATCTTTGTTCAATACATATGGTATAGAAAGGCGGCGTGGAATCTGTCATCCCGTAACAAACGTCCATCGTCTCTTCCGGCAGCTTCACTCAACCGCTGTACACAGGCACACGTATCCCACGTAGTGTCTCTGGTTGTTGACTCGCTGGGAACACCATCAGTACTTCCTACTTCACCGGCTCTCACGCAACGCGCAACACCCTCGCTCCTTTGGAACAATAGCCCTCGGCGGAACTGGCAGACCAGCGACCTCTTCGGCCCCCTTGACGAGACTTCAAGCCAAAAGGTTTCAGGAACTATTGTTGTCGGACTGAGCAGACAATCACTTCTCTGATCTCCTTTTCTGGATCTCGGCAAATCAGCTCCCCACTTGTGCGCATTCTGTACGCACATCGAGCTCCATTTACGCGGGCTCTACATCGCAGAGGCATCTGCCATACAGCAGTTCCACATCAACGAAATGATGGAAAACCACGCCGACCATCTGGGTCATGGCCACGGGCACCGACCGGCGCCAGAATCTGGAACCGGTCGCCAGCTGATGATGCCGCCTTTTCCAAGCCTCCCCCCACAGTCACAGTACCCAGCTTCAGATATTCCCAGTACGAGTAGACCTCCCCCAGCCCCAGTCACAACTTCCTCGCTTCTTGTTTCGAGTGGCCACCCCAGCAATAGTTCGTCGCTGTCTCGTTGTCCCTCCCGTGAACTCTGGGCTGGTTTTACTGACATTTTGGGCCAGGACGATCAGTCGCTGATGGGGGAGCCATGACCTTGCAAACGTCCCCAGTGAACATGCATGGCGGCTCCTCTCCTGAGTCGCATGCTGGGGGAACCGGTTATACGTGGGGAACCCACGACTCTTGGGCTGGCCGATCACCACAGCAGTATGGCAACCGAACGCCGGGAGCGCTCAACCAAGGCGGTTTCTTCTTCCAGAACATGAATACAATGCCCTCAACGACGGCACACAGCATCTCCCCAATCACGGCGACGACACCAGGCGACACGCTTCCATCATTTCACTCTTCGCCCGCAACGAGCATGTCACATCTCTCCATCGACCAAGCCACGAGCAACGGCAGCAGCAACGGGATATTACCACCATTTCGGCAGAATTCCACAAGCTACACGCCACGCCCGACGCCACCACTTGGTCGTTCATCCTCGTTCCCCAGCCCCTCGGGGACAGTGCCCCCTTACGTTCCAGGAATCTCGTCAATGTTGCCCATGTCAACAATGCCCTCGTCGACGCGTCCAGGTCTGGCAGCACCAATCTCGCCACTGGGAAGCTCAGGGCCCCCAGGGCCCCCAGGGCCCCCACCGCCTGCCCAGGGGCCTGGAAGATTGTCCCCTTACTCTTCTGGGCATCAACAACAGTATATGCACAACCTAGGCAACCCGGGGCAGCCAATGGCCCTGGTGTCGCATTATTCTCCAGCCGCGGCGGCGGCAGCGTACGGGGGCCACTTCAGCGGCATGATGTTCCAGTCACAACAACGACAGCCGGACAAACCGCATCAGTGCGACCAGTGCCCAACGGCGTTTACGAGAAACCACGACCTCAAGAGGCACAAAAGGATACACTGGGCAGTGAAGCCATTCCCTTGTGACGGGTGTGAGAAGGCATTCTCCAGAAAAGACGCTTTAAAGGTAAGTGCTGGGACAGTGTCAGTGCCTCGCACCTTGGCAGGCCGAGACACGTGTGGTCTACCCTCTTGCACCCTGCTAACTAACTTTGTGCGTGCTCACAGAGACACAAGCTCGTGAAGTGCTGTGGGAAAGACGGCAAGGACAAGAGAGATGGGAGCCCGTCTTCTACAGAAAGCCAGGGCAACAGCGGCGAGTTGTCACCGAGAGACCCCAAGAGGTAGCTCGAAAACCGAATCGAATCCTGTGGGGGCTCCGGCGGATTTATGGGTCTTTCTAGGCCGCAAGACACAACTCGACAGGCCCGACGGCACTTGGTAGTTGCTTGCGAACAGCTCCTCGGGCTCACACGGCTGTTTCAATGGCTCTGCCTGGACAGCTTCGACGCCTGAGGAGCCGAAATTGCTGCAATAGGCGTTCCAGGCTGGTGGCTGTTCCATTGGGCATGTGGCAGGCTTGTCAAACAAAAAAAACATGGCGAGGCGTTCTTCAGGACAGGAAATGGTCACTGGTTACGGGGACAGGGCAAAAGGAGAGTATGTGAAGAAAAGGGAACAAACAACACCGAGGCGGAGCAGACTCTCTCTTGGTACTTCTTTTTCTGTGTGCTATAGGGTCAGAGGCATGGGGCCAGGAGGGCGGGCGCATGAGATTGGGACAATCGGGACAACCGGGACACGGGCAAGGCTGTTTTATCATACAGTACAGCTTCTAGTCGTTTGCACGGGGCATTTATTGGGTGGATATGGAGGCTGGACCTGGGGATTTAATGGAGTTTGTGTTGACTGAAGGCATTTGTCATGAGGAGTTAATTGTCATCAGGGGGTCATATTTTGACCAACAAATCCTTAGTCGTAACTTCCGCGGTTGTTGACTGCCACTGCGAGGCATGTATGTACAATGAAAGCATTGCAACGCACGGCTCGAAAGCCCGGCTCAGGGTCAATCTCGACAAGAGCACCACCTGCCAGGTCTGGCTATGGGGACTGCCCACCGAGCTCGGTCCTCCCAGAGGCCCAGATCGAGAGAGGTCAACAGAACTGCGGGTGCAGGTGCGAGTGCGGGTGCAGGTGCAGGTGCAGGTGCAGGTGCAGGTGCAGGTGCAGGTGCAGTTGTGACGTCGTATCTGAGACAGCGATCATCAGGCCCAACCTGGAAGCTGGCTTCGCCCTGTCGTCTTTTTGTCTTTTTGTCACTGGCTTGTCTCCTTTGCTGCAGCCGCCGTGCCCCATCTGCAGTAAGCGGCAGCCTCGCGGGCAGGACAGAGGCGGGCCACATTCTTCAGCGCGTGCCCACCCCCTTCGAGTGAGACAAGACAGCCAGAGTGCCAGAGGGGCGCAATTTGGCCGTTGCCCACACAGCACCCCGAACGGGTGATAGCGTCCCACCCCTTGATTCCGTCCTGGGTTTTGACTAGCGGGCAGGTGGCTCCCTGCGAGGAGGGGGGAGGGGTGGCAAGGGCGCTCCCCCTCGGGTCCTTGGGAAACACAGTAAGGTGCCCACGAGGCTTTGGGATCCCGAGCGGACGGTTGTGTGGGGAGGTGCCATGGTGTGTAGGACGCGATTGATACCTAAAACAACCCGGGCTGGTTTGTTGTTGCGGACGAAGGGGCGACCGACCGCATGCTTGGGAGAGTCCCCTTCCCCATCCATTACGCGTCAAAAAATATTGTCTGCTTACAGGTCATCATGCACCTGTCATGGCTGCCAAACACCCGCCTAGATAAGGCACCCCCACGGTCACTCAAGCCAGGCCGCCAACAGACAGGCATGTCAACAACATCCAGCCAGCATTAACACCTGCAAGCCCTGGTCCCTCCCCACTGGAGATCACAGCCTGCACCACAACCAAGAGGGTCTCAACCCCTCCCTCCCCCCCCCCGTGACCACTCAGCAGACCGGGCCCTCCTGTACGCCGCACGCAGCCACGTATAAAGAGCTGATCCCAAGGACCAGCCATCACTGACCGGTGAAAGTGGGCAAAAGGGGGGGAGGGGGGAGGGGGGGTAAGCGGCCTTCACAGGCCCACGGCTGACCTTGCTCTCGGCCTTCACTGTCTTTGCACCTCGTCCGAGCAACCGTCACCGACCTCATCCGCCCTGCTATTCCAGCTCCAAGACAATAAATCCACGCAGAGATTGCGCCTGAGAGCACAACACCGTGCCGAGATCATCGCCCCTCGCCCCTCGCCCCTCGCCCCTCGAGTCAATCCCTGGGGGGGACCACAAACCTAGCGCTCGCCTCGAATTGGGTGTTTCTCCACCAATCCTCTCAGGCTCAAAGCAGTCAAATTCCGTGACTATGGATCTGGAGGCAAGCCATGTCGCACAAGTAAGACGTCGCGGGTCCCAGCTTCCGGGCCTCTCCTCGTCCAACTCTGCCCCGACCTCGCCCGCCCTCATCTCCCCCGTCCTCGAAGCTGAACCTGGGCCACGCACACGACGATGCGTTTCGTTCCTTGGACCGTCAACAATGGCGGTCAGAAATTTGCTGTTATGTCTTGTGCGACACCGAGTCCTTTCGGACCGAGCAGGCGCGTCCTTTTTCCTGCCGCTTTGGTACCTGCGCTGGGACGCTTGCCACCGTCTTGTCAATTTATTTTCAAGACACTGACCGGTTCTGCTAGACCCGAGCATCTCGGTTTCGATGCGAGCCCCCTACCCACCCAGAACTGTCTTGTCAGAGCTCGCCGCCCACATTTGTCCAGATCGGGATTGCTGGCCGTCTTGTCTTGGGTAAGGTGTCACAGGCGTGGGTCCGGCATGGCCGGCTGCACCCGGAGAACCTGAACGCCCCCCCCCCCCGGACACAGGAAATTTCGGGCTGCGTGCCGACCTGCATTCGGGGATATTGCTGGATATTGCCCTTTCCGATGTCAGGTAGCAAACATGCACAGCAAAGACAATTGGGAAGACAACTTGTCCTTGGGCGCTACGCGCGCCGAGTACAGTACCACAAGATGTCGTTGAAATAGGCTCCGAACTTGAGCCCCTCCCCCGGGACTATGGTGGGTACGATTGGAGCATCATCCCTGCTTGAGTTGTGTATCAACGACACTCCACCGCATAATCTGGGGTAGCAGTGGAGACCAGGACACCCTGTCAGAGAGCTGTGGCCTGTCAAAACGACAAACGACATGCGCCGGCCATTTCGGATCGGGTCGACGACAACTCCGGCCTGTTCGGGCTCATGTGGCTGCACCCATACCGGGACCGTAGGACTCGGCCCGGGTGGCCACCGCTGATGGGCGACCTACTGCAGTAAGCCATAGGGTTGGCCATGGTACTCCGTGGTACAAGCACATGGCTGTCACCCTGCCGGACCCCAGCTATCTGCATTCGACAGGCCCTCGCAGTCTGCAGGCCAAGTCAGGCCTGCGCCTTGATCCCCGGCCCCAACGCTCACGGCTGCTGGCAGCTGCCGAACGGGTTTCCCCTTGGATATGATGGCCCCGAGGGAACTTCTGTGGTCGGATGCGCCGTGGTTGGACGGCCGCCCTGGGCAGGGAGGGGGCACACCCGGCCGACATCTCCGGGAGCAGGAGATGATGGCATCCTTCGTCCCTGTCACCTGGGCATTCAAGTGGTTCGGGGATTTATTACTGTTGCAGCGCAGCGCCAATCCCTCACAACCCAATGCCCGGGTGGGAAACACCAATACTACCTTCAGTCGTGGCAGAACACCAGTAAACACGCCCGTTTCCGCCCTGCGGGCGTCAGCTGGGTCCACAATGAGGGCGCGCATAGCAACACACCTGTTGGTGGGTTTCGCCCTTGGGATCAGCCCAGCAAACAAGCCAGAAGATACCCCTGGCCGAGCGTCCTTTCCTGCAAGTGCGAGCATCCCTATTCCCCAGTCGGTCTTGGGAAGAATAAGCCAGCGCCATCTCACGCCGTGCTAGATGTCGTGCGAGGCACAATCAAGCGTTGCGACGCAGGAGCAAGATGGGGTACGCTGCTAGGTAGGCATGACGGCTGTGGCTGTTTCTGCTGTTCCAATGCGCTTCACTTGCTACCATCCCCCCACCCCACCACTTCTCGTGAGCGCATCCAAGCCTCTGTTTCGAGTTCCCGGCCACTGAAGTGGCACATAGCTACTTGGCTACCTTCCTGGGCCCTCTCGTGGCCTGTCACCGGTGCTACTGTCGCACGGCAGTAGCCCGGGTGAATTTGTGCTGAAATTGGGTGTCCAGATGCAGCGGGGCCGTTGTTCCACGAATGTCTGGGCTGGGCCTGCCTCTTCTTCTTACTTTGTCCTCTCCGCTTGCGGTATCATACAGTCTGTGGAACGCTGAGTTGCAACGCAGCTATGGCGTTGGCTAGGGTGTAATATCAGATGTACATACACCTGAGGCCCTCTTGGGTGAGAGGGTGGACAGGTGCACAATGATCCCTTCTGTCTAGCCCGCGCGGCAGCGTAATGCCTCTTGCCACCTGGGACTCTGGGAATTCAGAAGCCATGTTCCCCATGATCATTGTTTGTCTAGTGGACTGTCACAGTGTGATTTTGGGTCTCATTGGGCCTGGTGGTATTGATCTGGGACCCGTGCCCTCTGGTTAGCTCGCCCTGGTCGGGGTGGGTTTTGTTGAATGGCTTCGAGCTTGGGTCTTTAGGATGGCTTGAGAAAATCCTGTATTCAAACTTTATGACTAAGGCCAGCCCTTGTCTCTGTGTTGTGAACCTGATAAACTGGCTGTGCTGGACGGGCTTGGGAATGCGCTCCCTAAAGGTTGGAAAAGCCGCCACGCTGCCTCTCGGGTGGTTTATAAACCCAATCCTCCCCTCTGTAAGGCGTTGCTCCGGAGTCAACAATACCCCAGTCATGGGCGTCACATTTCGTGCCGTCCACGTAGAACCTAGAGGCATATGGGCAGACGGTCTTTGGATTGTGTTCATAACGGCGACCAGTTGGGTGCCTGGGCGGACAGTTGAGCAGCTTCCGAGATTCCCCGTGTGTGTCACGAACGCATGGCCCTTGACATCACTATGCTCTCTTCTCTACCACCACCCTCTCCTCTCACTGACTACCCCTAGTCGAAAGCAGACAGAAGCCTGTCTGAAGTCGTTCCGTTGGACAGGATACGATCGTGCTGAAGCGCATTATGTACTTTGTGAGACCCCTGCGGCCGATAGGCTGAGTGATATAGAGGTGATGGTTACACCCATCTCTGAGTGCTGGAAATTGGTTTCGGAGTCGATGAGATGGCATGGTAATCTCTCGGGGATGTGTTCGCTGCCTCACAGCCACTAAACAGGGAGGTGAGGGGCCCAAGGGTCGTGAAGCGATGACAAGGTAGATGTCTGGTAGTCCTTTGGGCTTTGTTGGCTGTGCCAGGCCCAGCTTGGGCCCTCGAGTCGTTTCGGCGTTTCGGTTCGCGGATTTGGCATCCTGTGAGCATGGCAACAACTTATCAGGAAGTGGTCGTTTGGGACCAATGTCTCTCACGGGAGGGAATCGTCGTTGGGGCGGTAGCAGTCTGTACTGTACCTCTCTACGCCCAGTAAAAGACTACAGCCAAGGGTCTCGGGGAAGCCGTCGAACAGGCTTATGCTTCGGGGTAGAAATAATCGTGACGACTGAAGACCGTTTCTGGGTCTCTAGACCTGGGTTCTTTTGGAGACACAGCCCCAAGAGTCCACGCAACCACAAACCCGCCGGACCTCGATCTTCATGGGTCACCCTGTCCCGCTCACTTTAGCAATTGCATGAACAACGAGATCCGCCTGGAAAGAGTCCGACGAGGTGGCCAATTTGGGTAGGCGTCAGGGTTCGACTCTGGCGCTGATGATCCCGAGTCCAAGCGAAGTCGGCAAGCAGAGTAAGCCAAGAGTAAAATGGATGCACCCACAACCTCAAGGCGTGGACTTGACACTTATGACTGACCGAGCTAGGGTTTCCAACCAGCAGCAAAATATCAGCGATGGTCTGCAGAATATGAAGGTATTTCATGACTATTCGGGCACGGGGGAGGGTTGTCTGTTTGCTCCCGAGGTCTTCGACCGCAATAATTCTGCTCCCCTTTATCCATAATTTGGATGCGCAAGCAAAAAGGTGAAGATGCAGGTTGCTCGAGTCCAAATGGCTTCTGGTGTTGGAGCTCCAGGTGCCTCAACGTTGGCGAACGCTATCCTTGATGCGAAGACTGTCCATCACACCAGTAAACATATCTCAGGATGCGCAGAGATTCGTGAGACAGGAACACATGTTCCAAGTATGGGCTCCGGGGTTCCTTTGAACCCACAGCGCGAGGCCGGCACAAGGGGGCCCTCTAGGTCTCTGCTCCTCGCGCCACTGGAAAATTGCAGCTTGGATCCATCCCTACGAGCACCTGGGGCGTACTCCATCAAGATGGGACAGACTAAGATGAGTGGCATGCCACGAGAGCATCGGTAATCCAGGGACGCGTAGTAAGATAGTCACGGGGGACTGTAGCGGTATTACACAGAGTACAGTGACGTCTGCCCATGTTTTGAGACAGATAGATTGGCAGATCCCTGGATCCACAACAAGGGCGCATGTCTGCCCCTTGTAGAGCTCATTGGATCCCAATGCCTTGACATATCGTTGCCATCAAACTGTGACGCAACCTTGCGGCATATGTTCTCCCGCCAAGTAGACATAAGAATCCAAAGTAATGAGTTCACGGACTTTGGACCACCTACCAGAACTATCCTCCTTCGCCTTGTTACCAGCTTCCTTAGAAGGTACGGTAAAGTGTCGCATGAAGAGAAGGCCGCCGGCGGCCCGGCCAGCTGCCGAAGACCGGGTATCTTCCGCGATCTTCAACAGCAACCTGAAGTACCTTGCAGTGTCTTTGAGTGTGATGACGTCTGATGGTTCTGCAGAGTTCTAATGCACGGGCTGCTAGCACCAAGCCAACAAGCAGAGGTGAATCTTACCTAGGTAAACATGCGAGTCAAATGCCTCGTAACATAGCATCAGAGGGAGAGAAATTTGTTCGGCCGTGGCGACAGCGCAAACACACACCATCATAGACTCATGTGCTCGAGTGGTGGGCAGATCCCACGAAACCGGTTGGAAGAAGGACATCTGGCGCAGGAGCGACCAAATTACAAACCTCAAACGCAACCTGAAGCCTCTGCAGCTCGGCTTCGAAAACCTGGTTTGAGTATATATGCCCACATGTGCACCCCCGTGGACGGACGTTTACTTAGAAGCTCAGTTGCTCTACCACATCCGGGCCAGGCGAGGAAGCGGCTATTGGAGGTAGCGGTTTCGCGCATCAAGCAATTTCACGGCATGCTGGAGCGAGAGTTTTGAAACTTGCTCGAATTTGGCAACACAGAAGGACGCATGCTGCGAACGCAAGTTTCAAGCTGACGCCATGTCAGTGTTCCCGAGACAGCGCATGGCCTGCCTCGATGAGGAAACCTTTTTGATGATGGCACACAAGGCTAAGAAGGATTAGATCTATTCTCCCTTGGTGTACTACTCGGCACCACGGGCTTCGCATTGATGGTGCTGGCTCGGAACCTTGGAAGCAGGGTTTCAGACGAAAAGCTCAAATATAGTCGAAAGCGAAGCACCGCTAGCAACATTGCAGCAGCCCCCACGGCTTTCTCCTGTTGCCTTCCCCATAATGGACATCTTCAGGCCATGTCAAACAAGCAGAAGATAACAAGGCACAGATTTGTGCTCGACTTTGTATGGATCTGGAGAAACCTTGAGCGCAGAGACAGCCCAGCTTCCACACGCCGACGATGCCCTTGCAAGTGTTTCTCACCAGGACGGCGTCATATTGGGCGCTCGGTGTACGGACATAGCAGATGCCATTCAACAAATCGTAGAAACGGGCACGAATGGCTCGGGAACCCGGACTTCCGGGTTGGGCAAGGTGTTTCTACCGTAACTCGGCCCATCACAGCACTTGAGGAAAAAGGCACACGTTATTGAGTTGGTGATAGCGACGTTGATAGTCCCAGCAAGTCAAAGAGCTGAGCTGGGCAATACCATGATACGCCAAGACACGCTGGCCGGGCGAGGCGCTGAGGCACATGACGAGATGATACGACAACGCCAGGGTTGATCTGCTATGTTTAGATTCCTATTCGATGCGAGGTCGCGATGGGACGACTGAGGAAGGGCCAGCCATCGGCGCCCGCGCCCAGACCGGCAAGGCTCACACAAGCCTGGGCATCCGCTGAGCGATGAGGTATGATGCCGCCGCATTGGCACCCAAGAAGGGACCAAGATGGCATCGCAGCAGGCCGGAGTGGTTCGACGCGGCCAAGGGCGAGTCAAGACTCGGTAGTGTGTGGTGAGGCTCGTCGGCATCTGGCGGAGCAGAGATTTGGGACGACAAGGTCTGGGGGAGGGCGCTTGGCTGTGTGGGATCTGCACCGGAACCCGTGGAGGGTTCGGCTGGGCAGGGGAGGCAGACAGACGCCGCTGATCGCTGATGATCGTGGAGCCTGGCAGCCTGGCAGCGTGGGAGCTCGGGACGCATGCTCGCATGAAGCATTGCTGCTGCCGGGAAAAGGCAGGAGGAGGGCAGGAGGGCTGATATTTGGATTCCACCATGCGACAGAGGTGAGGATCGGCGGCAGCTCAGACGAAACCGCAGCAGAGCCAAGTGCCGAGTACCGAGTACCAGGACGAGTGCAACGAACGCATCCCGGGCTAGCCTGAGCAAGTTGCCTCGTACCCTCTGCTATCCTCTGGTATGGTCAGCCGCGCGCCCCTGCTAACGCATGCTTAACACAGACTACCTGGAAACCTTCCCCACGTTGGTTTACACAGACAGTATTACATGCTCTCGGGCTTCCTGAGTGAGCAAGTTTCCCCCCTGCAAGCACCAGCACCAGCAACGGGAAGAGCGAAGAGGCTCGACGGCCCTCGTCTCGACTTGGTGCTTGTTCCAAACCTGCTCATTCTTGTGCCTGCGCAGGCCTCGAGGGTGGTGTCGCTGCCGTTGAAACAAAAACACATGGCCCATCCATATACTTATTGGCCTTCCCCTCCCCATCCAAGACACGCCTTCACTTCTTGTCAGCACTCTGGAAGTCAACCCTAGTTCAATAATACCTGCCGGTCCAGCCCAACACCCCCACGCCGTCCATCATCATCACCACCACCAACGTCCAGCTGTACTTCACACGCACGGCGCAGTAACAGACCGAACCCGACACAATGGCCATCTTCCCCAGACACGGCGACGAGGTAGAAGCCGCAGCCTCCATGGCGGGCATGGCGGGCATGGAGGGCATGGACATGGACGGCGGCTCCTCGATGATGGCCACCATGATGGTCGCCTTCCACAACGATATCGCCACCACGCTGTACTCGGAGATGTGGACCCCCACCAACGCCGGCACCTACGCCGCGACATGCATCTTCCTCATCATGCTGGCTGCCATCTTCCGCTCTCTGTTTGCCCTCAAGGCCATCCAGGAGAACCGCTGGCTGGACCAGGAGCTCAACCGCCGCTACGTCGTCGTCAATGGCCGCCGCACCCTGCCCGACGACCTCGCCCGCAACAGCCTCAAGGACAACATGATGCTCTCCGCCAACGGCGTCGAGGAGGAGGTCATGGTTGTCAAGAAGAAGCACGGCCACGCCCGCCCCTGGAGGTTCTCCGTCGACCCCATCAGGGCCGTTATTGATACTGTCATCGCCGGTGTCGGGTACCTGCTGTACGTCTCTCGACCACCCCCCTCCCCCCTCTTACCTCCTCGTGCCGCAGTGTCGCTGACTTTCTTTGCAGCATGTTGGCCGTAATGACCATGAATCTTGGCTACTTCCTCTCCGTCCTCGGTGGCACGTTCCTCGGAAGCCTTGCTGCCGGGCGCTATGCGGTCATGGCGGAGCACTGAGCGAATCCACCGCTGGGTAGGGGATGACACACAGACACAACACGTCAGTCACATTGTACAATGCACGACGGCCAGACTACGACAGCTGTCACAACGGATATAGGGCACTCGACGGCCGAATGGCTCGAGGAATCACCCGTCTCGACTCGGCGGCGATGTTCTAGTGCAGGCTAGTTTGCCGTCTAATGTTAGGCAGGAAATATGATTTTGAGTTTTTGAGGCCACCTCAACCTCGTGGTATTGTGCTCAATCCCTCCTGGCTTGCGGTGCAACCGCCAAGAACAGAGAAACGTGCTCAACTTGGCCCGTCTTGGGGGTGGGCCCACTGTCCCGCACCGCCCATGAACCAGATCCGTAAACCAAGCTTTATGTACTTGAGTACCGAGTAGACCCCGGCTGCCGCAGCCCCTTGCTGCAGTCATGAAACCGCTTATGTCAGCCAGCCCAAGAACTCGGGTCCTGACTCCTGAGCCAGTGTAATTCCACGCAGCAGTGTCTTCGAGCTATGAGCACCTCACGTGTCTCTCCGACTCCATCCAACATTCAAGTCGTTTCGCTTGCAATCCAGCTCGTCAGTGAATCCAGTCAAGATTGCTGCCCACTATTCTACGGTTCCAGCGATGGCCAGGTCTTGTGGGCGGCGTCACCACGTGCTCGCCTTCTCTCCCAGAGGAAACTCCGTCCCTCTGCGTCGGCATAGAAATGGATTGTTGAAACCAAGCCTTGCATGCTGACAACCCTCCACCGCTAGCGCACGGATTGAACAAAAAGGTATTTGATTCATGTACTCGGTACTCTTGCACTGCGATGGGTGTGCGCCTGTTGTGCCGGTGCCTTTATCCAAAGAGCACGTCTTGGCGTTGAACGGGGCTCGACTCCATCACTGTTTTTGCCCTCACGCCGGCTAGCCAGTCCGCCCAACCATCTATAATGAGCACATGCCTTTGGTTCACTTGCCTCGTGCTCGTTCCTGATCAGAATTGGCGTTACTATGCTGTCTGATAGCCGAGTAGCTCTGGCTGCGCAGGAGGTCTGAACGGCTGTCTGGGGAGCTGCTCGGGGGTTGACACTTGGAACACAGACTGGCTTTCCCCGCTGAGTGTCCTCAAGATGTACTACAGACCTAGGAGGGAAGTGTGGATTTCGGTTTGATGCCGCCAATGTGAGATCGCTGATGGACCTTGGGTCAGGGTACAACGGCTAAGTGGCTGAAACCATCCGCGGATCGTCGAAATCTTCGGTCATCAACGGTTATGTTCAAGGGCGTTGTGGCAACGGCTTCACAGTGCGCCCTACGGACCACTTTAATGGTCACTACCTAGGTTCCCGTTGACTAAACACCGACACACGAGCCGGCCAAGTATCGCGAAACCTACCCAACACGCCGGGCATCTAGTTTTCGGAAGCGCATGCCGGCGTCCATGGCCACATATTCGAAGAGCCACCCCAGGGAGTCATATCAGAAGCCCTGCACCGCCCCTGCCCGGCTGCCCGGCTGCCCGGCCAACTTGGACGACCGAAGGCTACTAGGCGCCTAGCATCACGCTTCCTGGGACACGGGACACTACAGGATAGATGGGCTTCTTGTCGGTCCTTTTTTTATGACGCGAGAACCACTTCGTTAGGCAACACTTTTGAGAAGGACAAGAGCGGGGCACATCTTGCTCGGGTCGAATTTGTCAAGTCTAAGCCCAACTCCGATTCGAGGGCATCCGCGCGGCGCAGCACGGCGCGGCCCTCCTGATGGTCGCTTGCCACGGACCCCGCCCATCAGAGATGTGTATGAGCAGGTACAATGGAGATACAAGCAAGGTTCTTCCAGCATAACAGTATTTAATTTCTGTGCGAGCCGGCACGGGGTGGCCCGGTAAGGAAAGGGCCGAGCGACTAAACGACTATAAAAATTAACCTCTCCCCTGCGTTGTCCACAAATCCTCCCACGCTCGCCCAAGCCTCCTCCTATATTCCGTCAGATCGATTTGATCATCGACCTCGAGACTTTGCACGTTGGCCTAAAAGTACACGCTCCCTGTCACGATGATATAGTCTCCGCTACTGTTCCAAACCCACGCCGCGAGGTGAGGCCAGGTGAGGCCAACGCCATGTGCCCTGCTCAAACCCGAAGACTGCATAGCGAGACGTGGGCCCGCTTCAACACTCGCCCAGCACCGCCCCCGCCCAATTTCCAACAGCCCGTGTATACATATTATCGCGCACCTTTGAGGTTCTTCGGCTTTGCAGAGAACCTGATTGATCGAGCAGCGCCAGTCTCCCACCCAAGCGGGTGAGCAACACAATATCTGCGCAGCGCGGTCCCAACCACGACGGGGACACGCATGCCTGCCTATATGGCAGGAAATCAGCTGAAAGCCGCACCAGAGACAGCCTCCATGGACAACCGTCCCAGACCTGAGAGGAGAGACGCAGTTCGGGAAGTCCCGGACGTCGGCGTCATCGCCTCTTGAAGACTCCAGTGGCAAGGTTGAATTGGGACGGCTATCTCAATTTCTAATCCAGTGGATTCCAACCCGGTGAGAGAGGCCAGAACAGCCTGGGGGCCTCGCACCTACCTTCCTGTGTGACCGGTCCTTCTCGGTGCGGTGGGCCTGCCGTGCTATCACAAGTGACAGCAAAGAAAGGAGGACACTCGCCAAGGAAACAGAAAGATAGCCAATGAATCACGCTGTGCAACAGGCACAAGCCGCAGCGTGGTGGTCTAGGGCCGCCCCACGGGGTTCCTCTCAGACAACACATAAGTGGCAGAGTTAGAAACCCTAGCTAAGGTCTCTACGGTCTATAACCACAAGCCCACGCCTCTGGGACGTGGGTGCATCCATTTCCCCCTTGGCCGACTGGCAGTGCCATTGTTGCTCGGAGCCTGACAAGAGCGAGAGAAAACCAGAGGCCCGGTGGCAGGTCAAATTTTGTCCAGTTGCTGAGGTCACTCGTGCACTGTCAAGAGAAAAACTCGCAAATCCACATTCCTTCGCAGCGGCCGTCCCTCACTTCCCAAATGGGAATGTTGCCCTATATCCCAGTTTGGCAGTTTCATATTATCGGGTCACTGGAGATCAATAGGGCTGACACGCGGATAGGGTGGATGGCTCAATGGGGTTTACATCCAATCTGGGTAAAGTGGCAGTTCGTCCGTGTAAGTTACCGTCTTGGGAAGCAGAGAAAACCCCTCCATCCCTCCCCGTCTCCCACTTCCTGCATCACAACCCCTTCGCCCGGCCTGGCACAAAATTCATTTTGGCATTTCTTCTGCTTCGTCCCCCCTTTCGAGAGGAGCAACGTAGGCGTATGCCGGGAAAAGGTCCGCTTCTCCAAAAACGGTCACCTGGCCTGAATCTGGTTCTCTCAAGTTCCGACAGCTTCGGCCAACCTCAAGAAGTAATAACGTCGAACGAGCGATTAATGTTGCGGGTATGTCTAGAGAACCCATATGATGTTGTTACAGAGTAGCTAATCGTTTCCTCCTCCCCATTTCCTCTTCACCTCCTCCCCACCTCGTCCCCGCCTTCACTTCCGTCGCTGAAATCATGAAAAACATAGATGCCCTTGATCAACTCCAACCAAGAACCTGCCACATCTAGCAGAGTCAATCGCCTTCTCCGACAAACGGGGCAAGACAGGGACAGTCTAAGTCCCTCCAGCAGATCCATGTGTCGGCAGATATTCCTTTCCAGTTCATAACCATCGGTGAGGTGCATCATTTCCATCCGTCATTGACGGTCATAACTGCGTTTGAGATCTCATCCCTAGCTCAAATCTGCTGTTTCGTCGCCCGGGACCAATGTGGTGCTCCAGCGTGGACGGCGTGGAAGTGGTCTAGCACACGGGCACCGTTTCGCTGCCATGCCGCACGTTTTGCAGAGAGTTTGAAGCGCACACGGCAATCGTCATACGATTCCAGTCGCAATCGCCCCGTCTGGTCTCGTGCAGCAGGGGTAAATGCGTGCATAGTCGGCCAGAGGATTACTCGAACGCCTGAGGGCAAGGGAAAATGGAATAAGGTGACTGCTGCGATGCATGCACGCACGCACAGGATGACCCCAGCAAATTACAAACGGCCGCCAATAGTTGTGGCCAAATAAAAAAGAGAGTGAGTGAGAGAGGGAGAGGAAGGGCGAAACACCAACGACGAACTGGAGGGATGAAGGGGTAAGGTGACATTGAGGAGCCACAGAACCGAGAAACGCCTGGAAACATAAACCGTCGCGGTCCGTGATCTTAGTCGTCCCAGTTTCCATATTTATGGGTATCATGCGAGAATCAACGTCGGTTCGCGCTGGTCGAGGCGATGCAACAGCAACTATGATTGATGCTGGGCATGCTGCGGCATGCCGGCTTGAGGTGGGATCGCATACTGCCCTCCTCTCTGGACGTAGTTCTGGTATGCAAGTGCCTGGTTTGGATCCATGGGCGCAACGTTGGGCATGTAATTGGGAGGCATGTGAGGGTTTTGTGGCATCGCGCGGCCCTGCTGTTGCTGCATATGGTTGGGGGGCTCTTCGGGAGAGTCGACTTGGTTGGAGTCGTCAACCCCGTTTTCGTTGCCCTGGCTAGGTTCCGGCGCGTTCAGACAGGCCTGCGCAGATATGATTAGAAACGCGCCTGACCAGGGAGGTCGTGGAACACTGTGCAGCACTTACTTGGATCAGGTTCTTGCCCTCGGCCTTGGTGACGAGCGGCTGAAGCTTTGGCGTCGTGAAGGTGTAGACGAGGCCTGTCTCCGACACCACGAGGAGTAACACTTGTGTACCAGTGAGGACGGACAACTCATAAGCCTATTTTGCAAATTGAGATTAGTACGAAGCCATCACCAGAAACATGATAGCTAGCATGTATGCAACCCCAATCCGCTCTTGTCGATCGCCCTTTCGGCGTGTTGTGCTTACCTTCTTCATAATACCAGCCTTGCGCTTCGAAAAGGTGATGTGCCGGCGCGACTTGTCGGCGATGAACTTAATCTCGATCTTACGTCGCTCGCGACCACCCTTCTCGTCGTCGTCGTCATCATCATCGGCGGCAGACGGGCGTGGGCGTTTGACACCGCGAGTCTCAGAAGCGCCGTTTCCAGCGTGATCTTCGAGCTCGGTGGGTGAGGTCTGGTCGTGTTGGTCGGTAATGTCGGCCATTGTCTCGAATTGTATCACCCAAAAAAAAAAAGGCCTTAAAAAGGCAAGATGGTGGAGATTCTGTTTTGAGTGTGGTGCGGATTGCCTATACTTGATCTGGCGTCGAGTGAGAGGCTCTGTTGTATGACTGTGTCTCGAAGAGCTGGGTTTGCGGCGCTGCACTGGATCGAGCCTGGTGTGTCCGGGAAGGGAAGCAATTTTTATTTAGGACCTTGGGGGGTAACAAGCGGGTAGAGAGAGTCTGGTAGTGCGCCCGCAACGAGTCGTGTCGCGCTTAGGGAGTGGTCACGGATGCCAGGATGGGTAACAAGGGGAAAGGTGCGGAACAGACTGAACGCGAGCCTCGCGAACGACTCAGGAGGTAATAAAAACAAAGCTGTTTGCCTGAATCCGAAGAGTAAGTTACGTGTTGGTATCGCGATTCCCTGTAGAGAAGCCGACAGATTGTCAGTTCCTAGAGCGTCGACTGATCAGGCTTGGGAGGGCTGCCGAATGATTGAAAAGAGAATAGCTGGGTAGTAGCACACGGACGGCGGGCCACGTCCATAGAGTTAAAGGGCAGATGGGGTTGGGTTGGGGTGTCTTTGAGGGGGTGTCCTTAGCCCTTAGCCTAACAAGACGGGAGGGTTGCTTGGCCGAGTGTGGGAAGGTGGGAAACAATGGAAAACACCAGGGCTGCAGCTAGTCGCGGCACCGCCTGCAGCTAATGTTCCAATACCACCCGTTCGACGAGGCGATACAGTGCGCTGTGATGATGGGTAGCCGGGGCAAGGGGCACGTGAAGGGGGAATGAGGGGGGGTGGGCGTTTGGGGTGGGCGCACAGTTGACACTGTCGCGAGCCGAACTGCGCTAATGTCGGGCTTTGAGAGCGTTTCGGTCGACTTTTGATCGAGGGTCTTGCGCAGGCGAGTGGGTGCAACAGTAGCAATGCACTGGAATGTTTCTGGCAGGTTTCTAGGGAGATGGGACGAATGTTTCCTTACCTCTGGATCCAAGGCGCTCCGATGCCCTGATACAAGCTCTGCTTGCACGTTGTTCGGCACACCAACGAAGCTCGGAGGGGGGTTGTCAAATGTCACTGACTCTGTCGTACGTTACCCGGCGGAACGTTGTGCAGCGAGAAGCCTTAGCTCCCGAAGATTGCGCAGGGTAACGTTTTGGTACCCAAGCAGGAAGGATTGGTGTTTGTTTCTACAGCTTGTCAGCAAATAGGCTTCTCAGATACCAGCCTCTTGTTCCCCATAGCGGCGGGACAGTGCACCGAGATGAAAGCTGTGGTCGGAGCAGAGGCAACGGATTCTGCTAACGACATCGACCCACGGAGGATGGAGAGATACCGTGGTGGAGACAAGGTAGCAAATGAGAGCGCGCAATTCCGGTGAGTGTGGGGATGATGGGGATGGGAGATGACCGGGAAGCGCCCAGTGCGAGCGCATTCCCCTGCAACATGCAAGCCGCTGCCCATGCCATGCTGACGGGGACCAGCGCCGGACGACAAGCGCGGTGGGGACTGCTCCTGGTGATGGAGAACGGTGGGCCGTCTTTTGCTTTTCCAGCCGCCCCTTGCACCGGCTGACCGAGTGGTGACGACTGGGACCTCTGCACTTGGCCATGAGGTGTTCGGTGGGACCCTGTGCGAATGGCGGTAACAAGCATTGCAGAGCACCATTTCGGCTGTACCAAGGCACTCGCCGGTGCATGGGCGCAGGCAGCTGGCAGCAGGGAAAGCAGTACTATGTACGGGCCGCACAAGCAGCAAGACGGCCCCTGGGCGTCCCAGACTCTGTTGTGCCTGCTCTCCGACAATGGGCTTGTTCCGCACAGCGAGGGAGGGGGCCGAGTGAGGGCCCCACAGGGCGACATGGGGCCGGGAGCCACTTGGATGACGGTCTCCAGCAAACTGGGTGTGCGGGTGCATCTCTCACGCATCTCACTCATCAGACTGATGCAGGTGGTGAAGTAGGGGCCGAAACTATTGAAAACGGTTGGTGATTGATCACCCGACACTTGAAGGAATCTCGATGGGCATGGTCGGACACAATGGGATGATTCTCAGTGAAGGCACCGGTTCCCTCTCCGTGCCAGCGCGGAGCTTTTCCAGCGCGGAACCACTGGGCTTGGGGGTAGGCCTGCCACCGTCGCGGGCGGGCTCTGAGACGGGATTGGCCACCACACGAACGTGATCTATGTTTGGCGAGGTTTGATCTGAAGGTCGACCAGACCGTCGGATTCCGCACCGCGTGGGTGCGTGGGTGCGTGCTGCGTGCACAGCGGCGGTGGTAGTCGAAGCTGCCCCACGCGCTGTCAAGACGTTGTGAACTGGTCAAACGAGGACAGGCGCCTCCTGTCGACGGGGCTTGACAGGCTGTGGCAGGCGCTGACAGCGACAGGGCGTGCAACAGGCGCAGGCTGGCCGGGATCATGCTGCGTGCAGAGCCTGCAGCGTGCAGATTGGGAGAGATTGCAGACGGAGCCGACGCATTCTGTCCGACTCGCTGGAGAGATTTGGGGGACCAAGGGTGTCCAGGGTGTCCAGGGTGCCCTGGGTGCCCAGGGAATCCAGGGAACCCAACCTCGTAGAGTGTGGGTGGGCGATCCGGTGCGACTTGCCTGCTTTGCCAGGGGTAGTGCAAAAGCGGGGGCTTTGATTGAGCCTTAGTTGATGGCGTGTGATTGGGGATGAGGATCCTGAGCCGTGCGACAAGTCGACGAGGTTCACTCAGACACCCCAGCGGCGTGAGCCCGTAAAGCCCAGCTCTCCCGTTGCTGATCCGACGGCCTGGGGCGGATGGCCCTGCATTCCAGACCAGGGCATCATGACGTTGGGGCTGTTCTCCGGGGTACAGGCAGGTATGTTCTGGGGGTGCGTGGGTGTTTTTGCGCGCACGTATTTTTGTGTATGGCACATGTGTGCGTCTAATGGTACATATGTGTGCGTGCCCAGGCGCACACCCACAACGAATGTGTCGTCACCTCCAAGGCGTGGATGCCGGATGATGGATGACGGATGGCGGATGTATTGGTACCTGGTCCAGGTGTCCGGTCTGCAGGTGGGTTGTAGGATCGCATGCTCATATTTCAAGGATGAACTCCAGAACCAAACGAATTGCTGGCAGGCGGCGGGTGGATGGATGGATGGACGGCCTGTGGCCCAGGCACTTCTCTGGGCCCCGGCCACAACTCGCCCGGGTCCAGACGTCGGGCTTGCATGTGGGCTGCGGTCCGCGGACGAAAGAAAAGATGGGGATTTAGCATGGGGCCTTGGGGCATGTGGTGGAGATGGGGGGAGCACTGGCTCCAGGTCCAAGGCCCAGGTCCAAGGCCCATGTCCGGGTCCAGCCTTAGAGCCGAGGCCCAAAGGGCAGACGCGGCACAGACAGATGAGGAGGATCGGTGCGCCGGAAAATTACTTCCAAATCGGTGATTTGATTGTGATTCGAGATGGAGCGAGCCTGCGAGCCTGCACTGCACGGCACGGCATGCCAACGCAGTATCTGTTTGAGGTGACGGAAGAAAGGTGACTGAGTAAATGCAATGCTTGCCCTTCGGTCGAAGCAGGTGGTGTCGATGCGCGCTTGCAGAAAAAACAAGGGCCAAAAAAGCAGTCTCGCTGCCCCTGCCCAGGAGCAAAACGGTGGATGTGATTTGAGGCGTGGGGGAGCACTGACTGACCTTGCTTGGTTGCTATCTCGCGCCTACTGGCGGCCGACTCGTATCAAATCTCCTTGCTCCGAGTCTCTCCAGGTCTCGACCGCTGCAGCCGCATTCGCTTCGGTTTGGTCGTGGTGCGCCCCTACTAGGCCTCACTCGAACTTGCTTGGATGGCGACGGCCTGGTCGTTGGTGCTGTTGCTAGGCACTGGGTTGTCAAAGGCGCCGATCGGTGGTTTCGTTTGTCCTCTTTCCTCTTCGGCGCTGGCGTCCTTTTCGGGGCTGTTGCAGCTAGCCCAGGTACGGGGCTCTGGTTTTTCGTTCTTTCGGCTCCGCAAAACAGGACCTAACCCAGGTCGGTCAAAAAGGTGGCAGGATTGGGTAGGCGACGACGATGCTTGCTTGCTTGCTTTGCTTGCTTGCTCTGCTTGCCTGCTTTGCTTGCTCTGCTTGCCGTGTTGTGTGATTGCTCTGTTGCGGTGCACGGGGGCTGAAAAGGACAAAAAGTGTCCCAAAATGGGAAAGGCCGACAAAACTTGGCTGGGCAAAAAGTGTTAAGAACGACGAAGACTTTGTTTGATTCACTCATTCAACCATTCCTCCCGTTTCTGGACCCGATCGACCAAGTGACTGTTCAGACATCCACTTACTTTGAGTGCAGGCAGGAAGGCAGGCAGGTAGGCAGGTACTTTGGTTGGGAGGCAGACGAGCAGTAGGCAGGCAGGTTGGCAGGAAGGCGCAGTCGACGGCGTTGCGCAGTGACTTGCTTCCAGGGTGGCAGGCTAGACGGTCTCAACGGGAAAGGTCGGAAGCTGAAAACGGAAAGGCCGCAGCTTCCTTAAGAAGACCGCCAAGTGCCAAAACGCCGCTAGTGATTGGCTCGCCGTTCTTGGCCCTGTCCCTGCCACCGCCCACTAGTGTGCTGCAACCACCACAGTCATTGAGCGATCCCCTCTTGCAGGCGCAGATGGCCATTTGACTCCCATCTCCGTGAATCTATGTACACTACCACAGTACCTAGGTACCTAGGTACATACACCACACAGTCCACCCCCTTTCGGGAGTTCGGGTCACTGGCCATGGCGTGTGATAAGTTGGGTGATTGTGGCCTTGGCGTCGAGCAGCCAGGCAGCCCAGGCAGTCAGCAGCATGTATGTACGTGGAGGTGCTTGTGGGATGCGCATGATGTGTGTTGATCTGGAATTCTAGTCCTGCAAGACGAGATCTGATCGGCCTCCGTGCTACCCGCGCCGTCACTGTGTGCAAGGAAACTTCGTTCACTCGACCACAGTGGACAAGGTCACGGACAGCCTCTCCTGCCGTCCTGCCAGCACCCTTGGAACCGACGGGTGTCAGCATCAACAGACGCCGGTCAGATGCCGCCACGCCCAAGAAGCAATCCCGCAGGCAGGCAGGCAGTCAGGCGACCGAGTCTCTTGTCTTCCAAGATTGTCAAGAAACTACCTAGGTACTCTGTCAGTCCGTACCAGGCGGCGTGTCAGTCATGCCTGCCCGGCTCTCTCATCCCAAGGGCGCATGCGCATCTCCGAGCAAAATTGGATATGACGAACTATCTCGCTGCAGGCAAGAGAGCGAGGCTATATTGGCTGACCCCTTTGGACTGCGCTGTTTCGTCCCGTCCCTTGGGTCGCTTTGAGGCAAGGCTGCGACTTGTGGAATCATCCCAAGGTCCCTAAAGGGGGGAGAGGTTTACGCGGAAGCCGACCTCACCCTCAGCCGATCTCTGCCCCTCGGTGTCCAGTACAGCACTCCGGTTTCGAGGCCATCTCAACTGCCCGACATGCCAGAGATTTGAGTCGTTCGGGCATGAGCGGCTGTCGATGTCGTCAAGGCGGCTGGCCCAGAATAGACTGGCTCCCAAGCCCGTGGGGGTCGTCGACGGCGCCCTGGCCGGAAACGGTCTAATGACAGCGGGTGCGGCGAGCGGGTGCGGCGAGCGGGAGGCTTGCGAGCTTGTGGGCTTGGGGCATAGGGGCATGCACGGAGGGATGTGTACCACAGGACTCCGTAGGTAGGGTTGGGGCTGACCGCTGCCATTCCTGTTCCTGTATAAGCTCGGGTCACCATGACCGAAGAGGGCAAGCAGAGAGGGTCGGAATGCGGGTAATCTACGATGAATCGAGAACAGGCCCATTCTGGGACGCAAACACGGGCGATCTTGACCTGTTTCTGAAGGGGCAAGGCTGATGGAGAGTCATGCCCAATGGGTCAAGGCCCAGAAGTGGAAAGGTTGACAGCTGCAAGCAATTCGGCCATGGTCCGCTCTAGCCCAGACCTCCTGGGGTGCTTGGGCGGCCCACGGGGGCTCGCTCTCGCTGCAGCACCTTGGGGCGCTGCACGGTTTTCTCCACACCAAGCAACTAAATAATAACAAGGGCCCCGTCATGTCTGCAGCATGTGATGGGGCTGGCTGTGGGCAGGCCAGGAAGGCCAGGAAGGCCGGACAGCCACCAGAGACCAGACAGAGCTCAGCACCCGGGCAGCCCAGGCCAGTGGTCTACACCGCACTCCGTACACCCCGACGCCTCGATTCCAAAACACACACGCGCACACACACGCACGCGCACTAGGACATACGTAATCGGGCGGCCCCCCAGGTCTTGGGTCCTCCTCTCTACGTACACATACAGGCCCCCTCCCCTCAGCCTCTCCTGTCCAAACCCGGACGGTCCCAAGTTTGCATTTCATCGAATGATTCTGGAGATCACCCGGCCCTGATTGGGCTCGTTTCCAAGCATCTCCCAGCGCCGCCTACGCGGCTGCGGCCGTGTGGTGGCAGCATGTGGCCCCTGCACGCTTCATCCCAAACCACCCCAAGCGCCCTCACGGCAGCCCTGAAACCTCAACTGCCTCACGACGCGGATCACCACCATGCCCAGTCTCATGGGCCCGCCGACCGCAGCACAAACCTCGAACACGCCGCAGCAGCGCCCGTCTCGAGACTGTGGGCCCGTTGCAAGCCCATTCTGCCTGCACAGATTGAATGGTAGCGTGCGTAGCGCGCCGCCGCGGACAGAGTCCCCTGGCCGGGTAGCGTTTCTGCTGAGTTTCTGCTCGTCTTTCTGCTAGTGACCAGTGTCGCTGCCCCGCTTTTCCTTTTCGTCTCTTCAGAGCCTGTTTTGGCTTCGTTCGATTCAAAGCGCTTGCATTGCTGTTCCCAAGTTGCCGGTCTCCCGTTGGTTCGATTCGTCTTCGCCTGACGCCGTGTCGTCTGTGCAATCTTTCCCTCTTTCTCTCTCTGTCGTAAACCTTTAGTAATTGGCCATATTCCCTTCCACACACCTTCTTCTTCGTATTTCGCCACCGGTGGGAGGAAGCGCAGGACGACCATACCGCCGAACACTCTTTTCAGGGCGACGACCACTCGAACGACAACGACCCCGACAATAGACGCAGGCCGTCATTTTTCTGGGGGAGGCAGAGGAAGAACCACCATAGGAAGAGCCAGGAACACCGACAGCACGGATTGGTTTGGCAGTGGTTGAAGGGCGGCCGATTTACCCCGTTGACCCAGGCTGCTCAACGCAACGACATCGACGACAACGATGGTCAACAAAGTCCTCGGCGCCTATGTGGCTGCCGACTTTCTCTTCGTCGCCACCGGTGCTATCCTTGTCGGCTTCTCCGTCATTGTCCAGAACTTCATGTTCGAGACACCGACTGAAGGCGGGCAGGCCGTCAGGAACTTGCTGTACCAGGAGTTCCCATTAACAGGTACGCCATCATTGCCCCGAAGAGGCTGAAGAGGGCGAAGAGGGGAGGGTCTTGAGGTTGTGACTGTGCCGACAGTCACCGGCGAGACATGGTCGGGGGGCTTAAAGACAGGAAAGGACAGTGGCTAACGTCTCGCAGCTGGTATCGTCAATGGCGTCTTAGTGTTCGTCACATTCGCGTTCACGCTGCCTGCGATTGCCATGCCCACCCGCGGCTGGCTCAAGCTTTCAGGATACATGCTCGTTGTCAACGCCGTCTTCTCCGTCATTCTAGGCCTCTACCTTTGGATCCTCACGTTACGAACGAAAGACACGTTGTCGCCCTTGTGGAACGCACAGCCTCCGAAGATCCAGGACTTGATGCAAACAACTGTACGACAGGCGATTCCTACTGAAATCACGTGTCCCAACCCGGTCCATTTGGCTAACGTTTGAACTAGTTCGCATGCTGTGGGTTCTTCAACAGCACTTCACCCGCCTTTGTCACCGATCCGACGTGCCCGTCTCCCGCGGCCGCCTCCCTTATGAGGGGTTGCGCCGGCCCACTGAGCAGTTTCGCCAACGTTTTCATCGACAACATATTCACTGCTGTGTTCGGTATGGCTGGTATCGATGGTGTGCTCATCTTGGCCACTGCCTGTCTGCTCAAGGATCGCAAGGAGCGCGAACGATTCCGATACATCGACTCCAAGACCCAATCCTCGACGTTCTAAGGCATGGAGTCCAAGTGAGCGACAGCACGTTCGGTGACGGAATGGAACGTTGAACGAGGGGGCTGGCACTTTTCGCACCTTTTCGTGGCAAGAGCTCCCAGTTTCTGTCAAGTAATGCGAATGCAACGTCCCGGAGGGTTGTTATAATGATGGGAGTTACAGTGAATAGGTTGAGTGGATCGATGCTGTAATACTGGAGACTACGTCGGCCTGTTCCAACAGGGCAACGTGAAGTCCTGGGGTTTCTAGATCCTCACAGTGGGGCACGGCACGGTACGGTCTCAGAGAATGACGGAACATGATGTACGAATCTACTTGTGGTCTTCGAGGGCTGGTTCCAAAAAAAAGTGCCTTCCCGTGGGCATGAATTATCTCATTTTCCGGCATCCTTTTTTCCATGTATATCCGTTTTATTTATGCGGCTGGCTATGCCTTGTACGTGTGCGTATGTACGAGGGTGTGTGCTGAGCGCATCTTGTGATAGCGTTAGTTACGGATTTTTATAGATCGATTCTTCCAACCTTTGTGAGCTCGTGGATAATTGGGCTGGCTCTCCTCTATCTAACCCGTTCATAACGTCCGGGATATGTGTATGCTAGTAAGAGATACTCTCTGAGACATTCACTCTTTCTCTCTTTTGTTCAGGAAGTGACCGTTCCCTGCCAGGGAATAATAGTTGTGGCTCTTTTAATTAGACCATTCCCTCTCGTAGAGAGGAATTACGAGTTTTGATAGACGGGACAGCCAAAGAAGGTGTTCTCCTAATTGCATTTGCTCCTTGTGTCAGAGCATTGCCGCTGCCTGCTTTTACATCTATCCCGCTATACATGTCTAGTCCGTTAGCAATGCTCGACATAACAAACCAATGTACACTCTTAGTGAGAAGCGCTGCGATGCTACCATTTCTTTTGTCATCCAGTAAGAGGGAATCAAGATGAGCCGAGGAGCCGTGCTTGCATTCGGAGGCAGACGATCGAGTCGTCACACTTATTATAACAGCTCGGACTTTTCCCTTATATGAGTCGTGACAGGATTCAAGTGGTAAGTAGCCTTGCCTATTGCTTGCAATTGCGGCCGACATCCTACCAGGCCTAGGAACCTTGTCAATAATCCATGACTGAATAATTGGTGGCAACCAACTCTTTCCCGGTATAGTTGCAATCCTACACGGGGTTTCCTACATGCACGTTGGAATGAAAACAAACTAAAGCATATTGCCTGGCTGGTGTCCCTCCGAGGAACGCCATTATTCGGAGCTGAGTCGACCGAGGTGATATCGGCTCCGTTATCATGCGAATGAGTGTGATTTGAACCAAAGGGGGGGGGGTGGTGTGGTTCCTGTTCCAGAGTCCTACGAACTTAGCATGAAACTTACGATTAATTCGTAGATGGCCAGAACGAAGCTATGTGATCATGAAATTACAGCAGTGTGCGACCTTCCCCTGGTAAATGACGTTAACAAGCATTTCTTCAGTGTGCGAAGTAACCAGCACAGGTCAGACAACGATTCAGGCTTCCCGAGGGCCGGAATTTTTCATATGGAAAAGTGACGATTGCCTATTTAGTATTATCAGCAACTTGCACACTGATGCACAAAGAGACTTGCAGTATTAGTATCCGTATTGGAACTTGTACTATTCTCGTCTTTGCAATTCTCACAGTCATGTCTTCTTGCCTTGTCCCCCCCTTTTTTGCCACCTCTTGCAGCTAGCTGCATCCTTCCCGGGGTCCTAGTTCAAGCGACCACTACTCTCGAGTTCAATGTTCCCAGCCCTCAACGGCCCTCAAAATGGTGACTCTTAGGTCTCTGCCAGCCGCTGAATACGTGGATATTTCCCTTGTTCATCAATGTGGACTTCAAGATTATGTATCTTCCAGCAAACCACCTTGCGCATTGCATTTCAACCATGACCTTGCCAGCCAGTAAGGTCGAGGGAGACGCTTCGGCGGTAAGACTGGCACTTGAAGTCTAGCTGCAGTAGCGCACCGCTTGGTCACAGTGCACCAGAGAGATGCAGGCGTGATGCAATCATGATTAAAAAAAGATAACTTCCAAGTTACTATTCCAGTCGCTTGCAACAAGAGCTATTCTCAAGCCTACTGGCGAATCCCGTGCGTGTTCTCTATGGTATATACTGTCCGTTCACTCCAGTGTCCTTGGCCCGTGTTCTCCTATAAGCCAAAACGCCAACAGGCGGCACACTTCATTCATGGGGTGCCGCCAAAGTTCGAAAGGTATCTCTATACAGCAGAATCGTCTTCTCTCCTACGCCCTGTGACCTCGGCCGAGCCGGGAGACTGTTCGCGGGGGTCTGGTTCGGGACTATCCCGGTACGGCCCTTGACGAGTAGCCGGGGCAGACTGGTCCTCCGGCTCGTCGCTATATTCCGGAAACGTCGAGCTAGAAGGCCTCTGCAGCAGGTCTCCCGAGGAGTCGTTATTTCTATTCCTCCACCAACGCGAGATGCCTCCAATTGCACCCTGGACCGGCCCCCCGGAAGTCCTACGATTTGATTTCCGAGCTGTGAAGCCGGGAAAGCCTGTGGACTTCCTGCGGGCGCGGAAGCCGGATCTCCATGGCCGTGACGAGTCTGCACTCCTCGGTGCTTCGCTGAGTACAAAGGGGGTGTCACTGATCCCTCTCCGATGTGATCCGACCAGTGACGCATCATTGGCTGGCATGGTCTTCGAGCGTAATCTGCTGACTGGTAGTGGGGAATACGGCACTTGATCGTCGTCTAGCTCGCCCCAGATTTCCTGTCGTTCTTGCCAGCGCGGTCGGGGCAACGAAGGCAGGAAGGATGATTTTCTCCGCGCAGAGGCGGAAGAGGTTGATGGAACAAGCGGTAACGGTTTTGGCCTGGTGCGCCGAGCGCTGTCTGGCTCCGGGCTGTCAAAGGTATTGTACGTGTAGGTCGTAGGAAGGACGTCATCTTCGACGCCGACTAGATTCGTGTTCGCGAGAAGCAGGTCCTCTTCTTCCTCCTCCCCGTCGGTGTCTTCAACGAGACCCAGGCCCGGCGCGAGCGAGGACTGGCCGCCTACTGGAGTGTGCTGCTCGTCGCTCAGCCTCCAGGAGAGCGCAAGGACACCTGACAAGAGGATGACGGTGCCAAGCGCTATGAGACAACCGCGCAAGGCGCTGATGAGTTCGGTCTGGTCGAAATAGATGAGTCCGTCCAGGATGGCAATGATGTTGTAAATGCAGAATACCAAGGGGTATAGAACGGATGTTGAGACCAGCTTGAGGCCTCGGTGCAGATAGTAGAGCTGAGTCAACGCAAGGGTGATGAGTGCTAAGACTATTACCCAGGCTTGCCATCGGACAAACTGATTCTTCCCGTCGACCAGCGTCTTGATGATGAGCTCGACAGCCGATTTTGCCACCAGGAGCGAGTGGGCGGACAGTATGCCACTGACGCAGCCGTAGGACAGACCGCGGACGAGGCGAAAGCGCGGGCTCTGCGACAGATTCAAGAAGTGATTTGCACCGTCAATCACGGTGCAGATGGCAATGACAAGGACAGCTTGCATTGCCATCCATAAAACGAAAGCGGACCTACCCAGCAGCGCCAACAGCTCGTCCAAGGTGTGGGTGGGAGAAGGTATGGCACCAAAGATAGCGATCAGCACGGCGCCGGCGCATACCAGTAATGTGCCCCATAGTGACCACCTCGTGAAGGGTTCGCCCAGTATGATTGTGGCGCAAATCGAGTTGAAGACCAAGCCCGAGGCCTGCAGTGTGGAGAGGACGGGTAGCGGTAGTGTCGATATCTGGACGGTGCTCCCGAGAATATTGGATATTATGAACATGGCCATTCCTATCTGCCATCTCCTCCTTCGGTGAGGCGGTCGGCGGACGTCGTGTGGCCCTTTCTCGTCCTCGAGGATGTGCGACTTGCGTTGCAGGGTCAGACCCAGGCTTTGCACGCCGGTCGATAGCAGGCCGGTTATAATGCCGAGCTACAGAGGAGTGTCAGTGGCGCGCATCGAGGCGGGAGTGCGTGCGACCCAGAAGCGCGGTGGCAGGACCAAGGACGTACCGCGATGCTCCCACCAGGGGACATGCCGCCGATAGACCCCATTGCGCCGATTCAGTCGTGCAGGGACGCATCTGGCAGAAGCAGCCAGAAGACAGGACGTATGGATATTTGCGTGTGGCGTTGCACATAAACATAAAAGGAGGCCGGGCGGTGGAGTATTTAGGTCGCAGGGAGGAAAGGGGGGAGGTCCAGAGGTCTGGATGTGAGAGTCGTCGTGCCCAGGGAGAGGGAGGTGTAACCCTCGTGCCTGGGGTCTGCACCTGGCACCTGGCCGAGGTCGTGGTGCACCGCAGTAGGCGGAGGGGCAGTCAAGGATGACTGTGTGCGTTGTGTGCGTTGTGTCCGCCGGGCTGGGCTGGACAAGGGCGGTGATTTCGTCTCGAGGGTTGGAGCGGGTCGGAAACTCGAATCGATTCGCGGCGAGTGACCTCAGTCAAATGGACGTCACGGCCGCGGCGGCCCTGAGACATCCGAGTGGGCTGTTTCGAAGTGTTGAGTGACGCCCGCTGTGTCGGACGCAGACCACTTGGATGTGGTCACAAGTCGGCGGCCTTCTGGCTTTGGTCAGGCACGGTCATTTGTAGAGTCAAAGGGGCACCGGGGGGAGGGGCAAAGATTGAACAGCGGGATGGGATGGAGTGGTTGAGCGGTAGGGAGTCTTCGCATTATAGGAGCATTGGGGATATGGTCTAGGAAGGTGGGCTTCATGCGGGAAGCGAAACATTCAAGGCGCGCAAGCAGTCAAGTCGCTGACGATCAGTTGGCGGTGGTACGGGGCACTCGTGGGCGGCCCATGCCCCAGGCCCAGCCCCAACGGTGATCATGCTGAATCCAGAACAGTGCTGCGGCGGCGGGGGTATCGATCAATGACCACAGCCACGTCCGGCCCAACCACGACGGGCTGCTGCACCACTAGGCGCTGTAGAGGCAGCGCGACCAGCGCATTAAACACCAATCTACTGCTGTTTGCGGCACCAAGCAAGGGGCGCCTTCTGGGCGGGCTGCCCCTAAGTAAGACGGTGGTCCCCTGCTGGACCAAGCTGCTTGCCCCCCCACCGGGCAGGCGGGCAGCCCTGAGAGAGCTGGTGGTCCAATGTGCAGGCCGCGCAGCTGCCGGCGGGCAGTTGGGCCTTGGCAGCATCAGCACCGATGAGTGACGACGGAGCTCCCATGTCCAACAATAGGCCAGGATCCACCGAGCCCATCCTCTAGGAGGCTCCGTCTCTTCGAGCTGATCACGACCACGCTCACGACCACGACCACGACTTACACCCAGATTCTACGACCGGCAACCTTCTTTTCTCGCTAGACGTCGCGTCTTTGCCGCTACTCGCCCCCGTCCAACACACGAGAGCATCTAGCTCCCCTCGCACCGCCCGAAACTCATATCCCGCACTCGTCATCACCACCACAGCCGCCCAACATGTCCCAAGTCCACGCCTTGTCCGACGACCAGGTACGCACGCCAACAACACGTCCACATGCGGACCCCACACGGGACCCCAGAAGCTAACAATGGGCGCCATCAACACTGCAGGTCGGGCAAGAGCTCCGCAAGATGACAGCCTTCATCCGCCAGGAAGCCAGCGAGAAGGCCCGTGAGATCGAGATCAAGGCAAACGAGGAGTTCGCCATCGAGAAGTCCAAGCTCGTCCGGCAGGAGACCGATTCCATCGATTCCTCGTACGCCAAGAAGTTTAAGCAGGCCAGCCTGTCGCAGCAGATCACGCGGTCCACCGTCGCCAACAAGACCCGGCTCAAGGTCCTCGCCGCCCGGCAGGAGCTGCTCGACGACATCTTCGAGCAGGCCCGCAGCAAGCTCGCCGAGGGCGCCAAGGACAAGAAGAAGTACGCCGCCGCCCTCAAGGGGCTGGTTCTCGAGGGCATGTACGCCCTGGCCGAGCCCGAGCTGCAGGTCCGCGCCCGCAAGGCCGACTACGACCTCGTGCGGACCGCGATCGACGAGGCTGCCAAGGAGTATAAGGAGAAGGTGGGCAAGGAGACCAAGGCAACCATTGACGAGAGCAACCCGGTGCCCGAGGGAAGGTAAGACACAGGTTTATCCACAGCTCATCCAAGACTAGCTGCCCTTCCTCAGGATGTTTGCAACTAACAGGGTTGTTGCTTTAGTGCCGGCGGTGTCTCGATCCTCAGTGGTAATGGCAAGATCGAGATTGACAACACGTTCGAGGCGAGGCTGCGAATTCTTGAGAACAATTCACTGCCTTCCGTGCGAAAGACGCTGTTCGGGGCCAACCCCAACCGCAAGTTCTTTGATTAGAGAGGGGGCGAAGTTCACCGCATGCGTGTCTTGCGGTGGCTTTCTCCGTGTATAGTGGTCGTTCATCGTATAGCGTCAGAGGAAGAACAAAGCTGGGTCAGTGGCTGCAAACGTGAAGCATAGTTCGAAGCCAACGTTCATGAAACGTGCAAGAAATGCAGTGTACAGCGTTGTCCCGTGAGCCTGATTCTCGCTTTGCATATCATTCAAGTTGATCTCGTAAACATGTCGGGGGTAAGGCGGGTGTCCTTGGGTGTTACCAGTCTCTGCTTAAATCGGCAAGGGGTACGATATTACTGAAAACACACGCACCACTAGGACGACCTCGCTGGGATAGCGGCAGATGTCCAAGCCAGCGGCACAAGATATGACGATGAGCAGTGCCCCTGTTGGCACTCAACGGACTGTATGTCTACTGGTGTATTAATGTCATTCCTATCAATGGGCTTTGAATATCCCACGGCGCGTTGTGGATGTGTCTCAAGTGTCGTGCGCTTATAACAACGTACAAAGGCAGGCAGACAAGCGTACACCACTCCGTTGTGATCAGCTATCAAGACCCTCCAAGCAGGAGACCTACGAGGTATTCAAATAATGACGCTGGCCAGCACTGCATATGACGGCAACTGCCAGAGACCAACACGGAAGATACCTCACCCAGCCATCACGGTGTCCCTGGAGTGCATCTCTGTCTCCATTTTGACATCCGAACCTCCTTTTTTCCTGAGGAAACCCTTCATGAAATCCCTCTGCTTCGGCAAAGACACGTCCTCTTCCACGTCCTCATGCACACCAAAGATATTTTTCTTCGGGATTGGCTTGATCCTGACCTGATATACCAGCCTCTCACGCAGCAGCTCCATCGCATTCTTGGCCTCGATCCTAGAGACGTGCAGACCCCTGTTGAGCGGCGCCACACGTGTCAGCATGCTCTTGAGACCCTCGGCCAGCTCGTCGACCTCGGCGTCGAAGCTGACTGCCGACTTCTCGGCCCGGTCATGCTGCCTGGACGCGTCACCTAGAGCGGCGTTGAGCATCATCATCAGCGCCTCGAACTCGTGGTAGTCCGTGTCCTGGTTGATTTGAAACTCGTCCGCCTCCTCCAGCCGGTCGATGACGGCGCGGATGTTGACCGTGTCCTCAGGCTGTTTGTCCGCGCGCTGGAGGTCGTCAAAGAAAAACACGGATGCCAGCCGCCGCTTGAGGTCGAGGGTGCGTGTCTGGAGCGCCGCGGTGTGGGCACCACCCGGAGCGGCGGGGGCCAAGAGAGCCACGGCCCGCAGCCGCGTCGTGGCCCTCGGGGAGCTCTGGTACACCGAGTGGCAGACCTCCTGGCAGAATGAGGTCCAGTCCGCGTCGGGCACGCTGCGGGCGACGAGATCCACTGACTCCCGCCACCTCTGAGTGAACCCGAAATTCTCTACTGCCAAGCTGTCCATGCCCAGGCGCAGAAGGATTTGCATCACCGTGGAGCGAGCGGCTGGAGTGAGGTTCGGTGCCAATGCCCCAACCAAGTCGAGGATGCTTTCGACGCAAGACCAATCCCTGTTCGCATACGGCTGCCAGCTCTCCTCTCTCAAAGTGACGGGGCTCATCAGGTTGTCGACGTCTTTTGTCGCGCCGAGCTGCGTGAACACCCGTTGCAGGAGCGCTGGCGTGACGAGGCGGGTCGTGTGGTGGCCGCAACTGCTCAACAGCTTGACATACTCGGACTGCAACGCCTTTCGCCTTTCTGAGCATAGTTCGTCCAGAACCCAGAGGAATATCTCATCTGGAAGATTCCCTAGCTTCTTCTGGATGTCGTAAGCGAAGCCACTCGCAAAATGTCTCCCGCGATCCTGCGCGTCGTCAAGCACAGCCCACGGGCCCTTTGCCTTGGCCCTGGGGAATTTCCTGCCCACAATATCCGACTCGGGCTCGTCTTGTCCGAAGAAGTAGTACAGCTTCCTTTCTCCGCCCACGTCGGCGCGTTGCAGGGCTCTAACGACCCGCATCTTGTTCTGGACACCATCTTGGTCTGCTGCTCCCTCGTCCTTGGCTGCAGCCGTGGCGACCTCCATTATGTGCTCCTTGAGCGCAACCGCCGCCCTGTCCTGTTGCCAGTGCGGGTCCTGCTCCGGGTCGCCTGGGCCGGCAGCCCCACGCTGGATCTCAGCCTCGTGCTCCAGCATGGCGGAGAAGCGCTGAGCAGAGGCCCGGGTCTTGGCGTCCTGACGGTTGAACTCCAGCAGGGCTTGGATATCCTGCTTATGCTTCTTGCTCTGGATGGTGAGTGGTGATGAGTGGAAGTCGTGCGCGTCGGCCGTCCGCTTCGCACGGGGTGTCTCGAGCAGGCCGGGCCGGGCGGAGGATGCTGCTGCTGTTGCCGTTGGGCCTGACCTCTGCTGCCGTGCCAGGGCTGGGCCGGTATTGCGCATCAGCACATCCGGCAGCGAGTCGTCGTCCGAGTCATCGAAGTCATCATCGGAAGCTGCGATGACGACGTCGCGGCTGATGGGGGCCCTCGGGGTTGGGGAGCCCATGGAGGGAGGTGTGGATGGAAGGTCGGGTGCTGGGGAGAGGGAGGCAGTTGCAGGTCTTGCAGGTTTGGCATCGTCGCGGCTTCGTGGCTCCGGGGTTCCTGGAGCCGGCACCGTTGCGCGCGAGCTCCGCGTGGACGAGGCTGATGGTTTTGATGCCTGGGAACCTGCGAAGAAGCTTCGAATGTCCCCGTTCCTTTTGGGGGCCATTCTGGACGACCAACTACAGTGACGTCGTTGCAAAAGCAGTGGGCCTGGGGCCTGGGCTGGATGAAGCTCACGAGGCCCTGGCGGGATGTCGATGTCGCCTGCCTGGAGCGCGTCCCGGCCGCGACGTGCGCGTTAAGGGCGTGGGGGGTGTCGTGGGTACCTAGGCACCTAGGTACGAAGTACAAGCGTTGCATTTGGTTCAGTGGCACTAACAGAAGAGCGGGCGCCAAAGTGGCGGGCTGTGTTAGTGCAAGGCTGGGCCAAATCTCCATCTCTCCCACCTGAGGGTCAGCCACGCTTGGGCGCGCAAGCAGCGGGTTCTCAGACAACATTCCAGGGCCAAGTTCTGCCGACGCACATCGCCAGCCCACGATTGGCCTTGTTCGGGGAGGTCCTCCCACCGCGGCTGTCATGGCTGTGTGGTCGGACCAAACTAAAGCTTAAGCCTATCCAGTTGTGTCTCAGCATCTGCAGGAGCATCGCCTGCGTGTCACCCACACATTCAGGCATTGTGCACCAAGGAAGGCCACTTGGCCACTTGAGCACTTGAGCATCTTGCGCCACAACTTCTACCACAAGAGAGAGGCCCGGGACGGCTGATCAACCCTGTCTGCCGGCGCTGATCCCGCCCCTTAACGCCAGACGCCAACGGTCGGGGCGCTCCCTATCCTGCCTCAGGGATTGCTCTTCGTCCTTCCGAGTCGCGTCTTCGAGTCAGGGCCGACCGCGACAGGCCGTTCAATCGTGCGGCAGCCAAAGCCCCATCCGGCGCGGAGTGGTCGTTGGGACCAGCGCCGGGGTTTCCAAGCTGAGGCATCTCACATTGATGAGGCTCTTATAACAAGTCGCCCTGCGGACCCGAAATGGTCTACCACTTCGGTCCGGGCGGGACAAGATCACCGCCCAAGTGGGTCTGGACTCTCGGCTCTGTGCCCGCCCCTTGCAGCACTCATGAAACTGCTCCCAAGTCACTCCGTCTGCCCACCGAGTGCTGCAAGACGAGAGAAGCTTCCTGACTGGGCCACTAGTTGCCCCTCGGGCTCCTGGAGGAAACGAACCCTATTTTCAAGTTGCTTCGTAAGCGGAGGAGCCTCGTTGTGTAGGCAGTCTGGCAGTCTGGCAGTAGGGCTGACGGAGTCGGCAACACAGTCTGCAACCAAAGTCGCCTCCGTGGATCTCCCCAAGCACCGTGCGTCGCTGTGCACCGCGAGAGGCGGGTGACGACACAGCGGGGCTTTTGCCAGATGCCCAAAGTGTTTCGTCTTGGCAGAATCTACTACACGTGTGCAAAAGGAGGTGTCCAACGAGAATGTGGACGATGCTTCTGCAAGCCTCCGCAGGATGCAACTACCTAGGTAGTTAGGGCTGAGGGCACAAGGCAGAGAGAGGACGACAAACACTGAGTCACTGTTTCTGCACAATGACAGCGCAACTCTATCAATCGGGTCTCAAGCTTATTGCGTTCGAGTCGCCCCAGGCTTGTTCCGGTACAGCACCTTCTCAGCTCGGCCCTTTGGCCCCCAGTGGCTGGACTGAAAGCCGCCCTGTCAGCCTGTGTGTTGCTCAGAGGGGATCAGCCGTGGGACGTGAGTCCTGTGTCCTGTGTGGCCGGAACCGCACGCGCACAATTGCTGGACGATTCGAGGGGGCCCCTTTCCAAGGCCAAGATGCGCCGTTGTATGTGCGTGCCTACCTGGCAGCTGCCTGGCTACTGTTATGTTATTTTGATAATTCTCTGGGCAGTGGATGCCAAGGCCGAGAGATGAACCTTGGACGACCAACAGCCAACAGGGAGTTCGGGCCACCACCTCCTATCATTGCCCGTCCTAGGTTGCTAGTTGCGCAGACATGGGATGAGAACTTGAGCATCAACCTGACAGCCCTGAGTCCCAAGCTCTACTTGTGTAACGTACTCGCGGCTCGCCCGCGCTGATAGGCGTGAACCTGAGTGGTGGGCTTTTTCTTCTCTCTGTGTTTCACTTCCCCCCTCCTCACTGCCCAGGTGCCCAGGTGGTGATGAAATAGTGTGCCGAAGCTGGTGTACCCACAGGTTCGGGTCCATCGGGGCTGGTGCAAGGCCGAGGAGGACGCGAAGCCATTGACCAACGCCTCTCTCCCCTGATAATACCACCGCACAGTACAGGGACACGCCAGTACCACTATTGTACGTTGCACCTGCACCTGCACCTGCAGCACGTAGACACGCACCATGCACACAGTAATCCACTGGTCCCACAATGGACGGGCTGGGGATCAGCGCGGATTCGTAGCATAGACTGCTCATTTCCCAACTCTTGCCAACCGCATGCGAGCTGGTCGAAAAGTTTCATCTCTGACCAAGATGCACACAAGATGAGAGGGAATGGGCTTGTGGGGGCACCTCTGCCAAGACTGCGGGTGACCAAGATTGTGCAACCCCTGGGTCGCATTCTGGTCCCTGGATTTGTGGGAAGCCCCCCCCTATTCAACATCTCCACCCCCATCTAGACAGGACTGGAACTGGACCAGCCAATCTCAGGCGGCGGTGACTCTGCCCAAGGCTGAAGAGGGGAGGTCGGCACCGGTGAGATTGTGCAAAACGCGATCGGCCTCCAGATCTCCATCGAGCATGCAACATCTCGCTCACTGTAGGTCACTCGCTGGATTTGGCTTTTACCGGGCCACCAACAAGGTCAGAGCAGACTACTGTGCACCGGCACCGCCCGGGCATCCGGCGGGAGGGGAGGGATGTGGAAGGGGGAGGGGGTCAGGAGGGGAAAGGGGTCGGCCGGCGTTGACGATCTCGGCACACGGAGTACATGGACCAGAACGGGCTTCGAAGGCGGCCGTTGATGCGCGCCTGGTTGTTAGGGGCTTGCCAGACTGCCAGACCGGCTGGCCGGGTCTTACTACCCAGGTAATCTAATAAGAATCCGTAAGCTGTGGCTGAGGCGCTGCGAACTGGCGGCAACGGGGAAACATGCGCATGGTGAGTCTATGCTGAGGATCAGGGCTGATGAACAGTCATCCCGTCCATCCCATCCATCCCATCCGCCTCACTCATGTCAGCACTGCCCGCTCTGGTCATTTGTTCTTGCCGTTGCACATGGGAGCAGCACACTGCCCATGTGGTGGGCTGCGTGGTAACTTGTGAGCTGTGTGTACCTGGCGCAAGTGCCTGGCGCGTGGACAGGACACGTCTCATGGTATTGTGGGCGAAGGGATGGGCGATGGGCGCCGACACACTCGGCGGGCTCGGGGACACACGTCCGTGCCAGAATCCCCCGAGTGTCTGCAATTGGCCTGTCAGCCTGTGGGATGAGGTTGCATCAAGGGTAGAGACAGAGTTACTAGTTAGTAGGCATAGGGCCTCCTAATATAAGCAGTCCTCAAGTTCCAGTGTAGTGCGCCCCCCCCCCCCCACTCTAGGGGCACAGCAAGCGGCACAGAGAACAAGAGTCGGGCAGTTCTGGCAGTCCTGGCAGTGTGGGTGGGTGGGCAGGTGGGCATAGTGGGCTCAGCTTTGCAGGCGCAGGTGCGGTTGTTGTGGATGGGTGATTACCAATACTCCGTGCCGCCCTGGCTGCCCCCCCCGACTAGCTCTGCTCGCCTCGCCTCGTCTCGTCTCGCCGTCATCGTCCTCTTCCAACTTTTTCACTTGCCATTCATTCCCTATTCCCTGCTGAATCCCGTTTCCAACAGACCCTGAGCCCCAGAGCCCCAGAGCCCCGAGCCCCCGAGCGAGCCCAGAGCCTCCGGGTAGCGCCAAGGATTGTCCCAATTGGGTGCTCGTGGCGGTCTCCTCGTCGCTCGTCGTCGGTTTCATCGGGCTGCTGGTGACATTTGCTGCCACCAAACCCTTGGTTTCTTCTCCGCCTGTCGCTTCCCGGCCATCCGAGGCCCTGCTCATGACCAGGTTACAAGGTTGTCCGGCTTGCATTCGAACGCTTCGCTGACAAGGGACCTGGATCCTGGGACCTTGGACCTGGGATGATCCGGCACCGACCTCAGCCTTTTTTTCTTCTCTCCTGGCGACGATTGTACCGTCAAAGTACTCCGTACACACACATACACACACCGTCGCACAGCCAGCCAGCCTGACAAAACAGGCCAGTGTTGGTGATTCTTGCCCGCCAGCCAACTGCACTCGCGTACAACGTCACTAGATCCTTCTCTCGGACTTGGGTGCGATCGAGACGGCAGTGCCACCCCACCCTAGCCTGGCAGAGGCCTGCCGGGGTACCGCGTCGAGCACACGCTCCTGACGCTGCTCCAACGCTGCTCCATACCTACCTAGGTACCCAGGTAGGCACATAGGTTCATTTTTAGTGCAGCCTAGCCCACTGCCGCCCTTGTGGTTGCTGGCCAACGCCGACAAGAGCGAAGCGCATTTCGCGACCTATTCCATTTGGGCTTGGCTCACGCTGGGAGGGATTGTCCTCGTTCCGCGCCCCGGTGCATCCGACACCTGCAGCTAGCAGGCCCAACTCCACGGCCTTTGCGGTACGCCCTGAGTACCGAGACTGTCTGCCTGCCCCATCCATCCATCCATCCATCCAACCATCCATCCAATTCACCCATTCGCTACCCCTGGACTGGTCTGGCCTGCCTTTATCCTGCCTGCATTTGGCTTTGCATACCAGCCCGCTCCATCTCACCTAAGCTGCACTGGCGCTGCGCTGTGCTGCGCTGCGCTCCCATTCCCAATCCCAATCCCACTCCCATTCACTCCCTCCCTCGTTATTCCCGCGTCCCTTTTTTCGAACCCTGCCTTGCCGAACTAGGAGACTGCGCCCAGAAAGAAGCTTCCCAGCCCGTCCGTCGACGGCTGCCCCCCCCCCCAAATCCTACTTCTACCTACCCAGGCAGGTACTCCACAGGTCGCTCGGGCTCCAAAACTTCCCGGCCGTGCTCATTTTCCCAACTCCCAACTCCCACCCACCTCCCCGACTCGGCTTTAACTCGAGTGGACTGCACCCACGAGCAGCGCCACCGCCCACCCACGCTCTTTCCGCCCACCCCGATCGTTCCTCAACCTGTGCACCCGCCTTCCGACCCGTCTGCCATTCCCCTCTTGATCATCAAGCTGGAATCCGTTAGGTGACCAGAAACATCGGCCAGGCGGACGAACATCGGCGCCAACCCGGCCCAGCCTGGCGAGCGTTCAGGCGTGATCGGGCCTGGCCCGCGACAGCCACACAATGGCCCCAGACTCGCCAACAGAAGCTGGCGACGGCACAACAAGCAGTGGGAGCAATAGCCCTGACAAGAGGAAAATCGACAAGACCAAGAGGTCAAGATGGGCGACGCGAAAGATGACTGTCAAGAGCAGCAGCCTGAAGCGACTTTCCTTGATTGGTCGACAAACGCTGAAAGCCTCGCACAACGAGAAGAAGAGGCAATCTGGCGGCTCAGACGCCCTGCAGTCACAACAACCGGGCGGACAAAACGCAGACGACGGCGAGGAGGAGGAGGAGTCGCACGGCCCTGGGCCACGGCAGCTGTACTTCAACCAGCCCCTGCCGTCAAATATGGTGGATGAGGATGGCAGTCCTATACAGCAGTTCACGCGAAACAAGATCCGGACCGCAAAGTACACGCCGCTTTCGTTCTTACCAAAAAACCTGTGGTTCCAATTCCAAAACATTGCCAACATCTTCTTTCTTTTCCTAGTAATTCTCGTTGTAAGTATCCATGCTTGAAGCACACCATCCTGCCCCTGGGGCTTTTCAGGTACAGAGCCGAGCCACTGACATTTTCTAGATCTTTCCTATATTCGGAGGCACTAATCCTGGACTGAATGCCGTACCACTAATATGCATCGTTGCTATCACCGCAATAAAGGACGCCGTGGAAGACTACCGCCGGACCATTCTCGACAATGATCTCAACAATGCTCCCGTCCACCGCCTCTGCGGCTGGAATAACCCCAATGTGCTGGAAGACAACGTCTCAACGTGGAGGAGAATCAAAAAGGCGAGCTCCAAGTTTTTCGGCATGATCTGGCATACCATTGAGCGACTGTGGAAGAAGGAGGACGAAGCGGCAAGGCAAAGGAGGGCCGGCATCTACGATAACAGCGACCCCCGCGCATCAGTTGACACGAGGGTAACCCATGGCGCTTCGACCGCGCGGCAATCCTTTGTCTCCGCCACCGAAGAGATCCAAATGACACCTGTGGCCTCCCCATTGCCCATCCCCGAAAACAATGGGCACTTGGACGTTCAGCGACCCGGAACCAGTTATTCCTACGAAGGAGGCGCGGAGGCTAAGTTCGACGCCATCAAGGGAGATGTCATTAATCATGATCTCGCGGCATCAGGGAATGCTCGGTTCAAGAAGGACGCGTGGAAAAATCTCGCAGTCGGCGACTTCGTGCGCTTGTACGGCGATGACGAGCTCCCGGCGGATATTGTCATTTTGTCAACCTCGGATCCTGACGGCGCATGCTACGTCGAGACGAAGAATCTGGACGGCGAGACGAATCTGAAGGTGCGCCAAGCTCTTCGCTGCGGTCGATCCATGAAGCACGCCAGGGATTGTGAGAGAGCACAATTCATTATCGACAGCGAGGCCCCGCAGGCCAACCTTTACAAGTACAACGGAGCAATCAAATGGCAACAAAAAGTGTCAGATACCACTACCCATGATATGTCGGAGCCGATCACCATCGACAACGTCTTGCTCCGTGGTTGCAATTTGCGAAACACGGAGTGGGTACTCGGAGTGGTCCTCTTCACCGGCCACGACACCAAGATCATGATGAACGCTGGCATCACCCCCAGTAAGAGGGCAAGGATTGCCCGAGAGCTCAACTTTAATGTCGTTTGCAACTTTGTGATCCTCTTCGTCATGTGTCTCATCGCGGCCCTCGTCAACGGCGCTGCTTGGGCTACAACGGACTCGTCACTGTACTACTTCGATTTTGGTTCAATCGGCTCAACGCCCTCCATGACCGGGTTTATCACCTTCTGGGCGGCTCTCATCGTGTTCCAGAACTTGGTGCCGATCTCGTTGTACATTTCACTGGAAATCGTGCGCACGCTCCAGGCCATCTTCATTTACTCGGATGTGGAGATGTACTACGAGAAGATCGACGCACCTTGCGTCCCCAAGTCTTGGAACATTTCGGATGACGTGGGCCAGGTAGAATACATCTTTTCCGACAAGACGGGAACACTGACCCAAAACGTCATGGAGTTCAAAAAGGCAACCATCAACGGTCAACCATATGGCGAGGCCTACACCGAAGCGCAAGCTGGCATGCAGAAGCGTCTCGGTGTTGACGTGGAAAAGGAAGGCACAAAAATCCGAGAGGAGATTGCCGCAGCCAAGGTGCAAGCACTCGACGGGCTTCGTCAGCTGCACCCAAACCCATATCTGCACGACGATGATCTCACCTTCATCGCCCCTGATTTCGTCGAAGACTTGTCCGGAAAGCATGGTCCGGAGCAGAAGGAAGCAAACGAGGAGTTCATGTTGGCACTCGCGCTGTGCCACACGGTGATTGCAGAGAAGCAACCTGGTGACCCGCCCAAGATGGAGTTCAAGGCTCAGTCGCCCGATGAGGCTGCTCTGGTGGCCACCGCCCGAGATATGGGCTTCACTGTTCTTGGACATACTGGAGACGGAATCAACGTCAACGTCATGGGCGAAGACCGACACTACCCCATTCTTAACACCATCGAATTCAATTCGAGCAGGAAACGGATGAGCGCCATTGTACGATTACCGGATGGCAGGATCGTGCTATATTGCAAAGGCGCTGACAGCGTTATCTATTCTCGCCTCAAGCGAGGAGAGCAGCAAGAGTTGCGCAAAGAAACGGCAGACCACCTCGAGATGTTTGCACGGGAAGGTCTTCGTACTCTGTGCATCGCCAAACGTTACTTGACGGAGCAACAGTATCAGACTTGGCTGAAGGAGCACCAGGTTGCCGCAGCCGCGCTTGAGGATCGCGAAGAGAAACTCGAAGTCGTGGCGGATCAGATTGAGCAGGAGCTCACCCTTCTTGGAGGCACAGCTATCGAAGATCGACTACAAGACGGTGTGCCCGACACAATCGCTCTGCTTGGTGACGCTGGTATCAAGCTCTGGGTCTTGACGGGCGACAAGGTTGAGACTGCAATCAACATCGGATTCTCTTGCAACCTCCTCAACAACGACATGGAGTTGATTCGGCTGCAAACCATCGAGGACGAGTCGGGCCAAACCCCACCGGAGGAATATCTGCGCCAGGTCGAGACTGCACTTGACCAACACCTGAGCACTTTCGGAATTACTGGTAGCGATGAGGACCTCAAGGTGGCCCGACAAGAGCATAAAGCACCACCTGGCACGCACGCGCTAGTAATCGATGGATTCACCCTCAGATGGGTGTTGGACAAGGAACTGAAACAAAAGTTCCTGTTGCTCTGCAAGAACTGCAAGTCGGTGCTGTGCTGTCGTGTCAGCCCTGCTCAGAAGGCTGCCGTAGTGTCCATGGTCAAGACTGGACTGGATGTCATGACCCTGTCAATTGGCGACGGTGCGAATGATGTTGCCATGATCCAAGAAGCCGACGTTGGTGTCGGCATCGCCGGAGAAGAAGGCCGCCAGGCCGTGATGTCTTCTGACTACGCCATTGGCCAATTTCGTTTCTTGTGCAGGCTTGTCCTGGTCCACGGTCGATGGTCGTACAGACGTCTCGCCGAGACGATCAGCAATTTCTTCTACAAGAACATGATCTGGACGTTCAGTATCTTCTGGTTTCAGGTGTTCTGCAACTTCGACATCACCTACATTTTTGACTACTCCTACATCATCTTGTTCAACCTCTTCTTCACCTCGGTGCCAGTCATTCTCATGGGAGTCCTGGACCAAGACGTGTCCGACACAGTCTCGCTCGCTGTTCCACAACTTTACCGCCGAGGTATCGAGCGGCTGGAATGGACTCAGCGAAAGTTCTGGTAATTCTACGTCCACTCGTTTTTTTCATGAACCAGTGAAAGCTAACATGCCCTAGGCTCTACATGTTGGATGGTGTCTACCAGTCTGTCATGGTCTTCTTCATCCCGTACCTCACAGTGATCAATAGCAACTTTGTCACTCTCAACGGCCTCGATGTCTCTGACAGACTTCGCCTCGGGTGCTACATTGCCCACCCAGCTGTGCTCACAATCAACCTGTACATCCTCATCAACACATATCGATGGGACTGGATCATGCTCCTAGTGGTTACGATCAGCGATCTCTTCATTTTCTTCTGGACTGGTGTATTCACTTCGACGACGTACTCAGGGTCGTTCTATAATGCCGCCCCCCAAGTCTATGCCGAAGTCACCTTCTGGGCATGCTTTTTTATCACTCCGGTCATCTGTATCGGCCCACGGTTCGCAATAAAAGCCCTGCAAAAGGTCTATTATCCTTATGATGTGGATATTGTGCGCGAACAGGTCAATCAGGGCAAATTCGACCGTCTCATCAAGCCCGAGACCGCAGACGAGGCTCAGGATGGCTCTTCCTCTGGATCAAGTCAGTCCTCAAAGAGGTCTTCGAAGAAATCTAAACACATGCAGTATGGGAGCGTGGACGAGGACAAGCGGCCGATCTATCCACCTTCTGTGGCAACACACACGACACACAACACCCGTGCACAAAACGGCAGCGATGGAACGAACTACACCGGACATGAGAACTCTATGGATGTCCCGCCAACGTCAACTTCGGTCGATGACCTGCCTGATCCGACGCCCGTGAGGCCATCCATCGACCGAGCCAGGCCATCCTATGACAGGATACGAGCATCAATGGACCGTGTAAGGCCGAGCTACACGCAAAGCAGCGACTTCACCTCCGCAGCCAGACTCAGTCGTGTTGAGTCATCCCAGTCGGGTCACCACCAACTGAGCAACAGCCTGCTCAATAGGACAAGACTGAGAGGAATGTCCATCATCTCGAACAAAAGCAAACCATAATACCCATCTAATCACACTCCCTCACCACCCGTCACTGCGACCGTTGTATTATACAAGACGGCGATTCCCACTCCCTTGCCACCTTGTTGATATCCCTACGATGTTTCAAATCAATGCATTTACGATCTTCGCATGATCAGCGATCTACGTGTTCTTTGCTTCGGCAGTCTGTTGAGAATGCAATGAACGGAACACCAAGTCCGTCCTCGGACAATGCTTCCTCACAAGGCTTTGCTTCTCTTCATTTCTGCCTCGTTGTCTATTGCTGTTCCTTTCTTTTTTGTGGGGGGGTTGATAATTACGCGATAGGCTGGTTTCTGGTCTGGCGTTTGGGAGCATATGCGGCCTGGGATTCGTTTCCTGGAAGTTTCAATGAGGAGGGGAGACAGTCGAGAAGGGGGAACCAAATCAGGTGGGCATGAGCCGTGCTACGAGGTCAACGCAACGAGCGAGAGGGGTTCGGAGACGCAAAGAGGAGAACTACGAAACAAACCCTGCATCTATATACTTACTGAAAACTTCCTACCTAGTACTGGAGACCAAAGAACGGAGCCCTTGGTGAGGCCAGTGGTCGAGGGTGGGGGGGTGGGGAGATTTTCTCCCTCTGGGCTGTGTTTGCCACCCCGACTGCATATAGACACAATACCCTTTTCAAAACAATATCAGCATGAGGTTAAAAGTTTTGAGGCTTTTGTCCTACAATGCTTTCCATCTTTCCATGTGAAAATTCTACTGCCATCCTAGGTGCAGCGCTCTGATGATGGTGGCTGTCACCTAAGGAGGGAGGATCACGTACCAGGCACAAGCTCCCCTGCAAGATTCGATTCTGATACTATGGAAGATGAGAGGCTCGATCATGGTAGAAATCACAGGGACCAGAGAGAGAGAAACAAGCAGCCAGTCAAAGATTGCTATGATGCCTGGTGCTCAAGGCGAAACTCCTCCCAAATCCCCATCCCTTTAGTGGCATTTCTTTGTGATGAACAAGCGAGGCGTTTCCAGCTCCACCAGGTGGCTTCCCAGAGCAAGGAAGTTCTTTATAGTCGGCCAGGGGAAAATGGATGCACCCACGTCCCAAAGTCCCAGGTTTGTGCTTGTACCGTAGAAGACCGAGCCAGGGTTTCTAACCTCTTGCCAAAAATTGTTGCGCTACTTTCCTTGAGCCCCATTCTGTTCCAAACTTCTGCCCAATAAGAGAAGGCTGTTCCTGAAATGTCTGCTGTGTGAGCATAGGAGGCACCTTGAATACCTTGTTCCGGATATGATTATCCATAACTCCGTAATACATGTGCTGTCCACGCTGGCATGCATCATGATACCTTACCATGCTTCTTATGGCCAGACATGCTTCATCCTAATTGCCATGTCAAGGCTTAGGATACTGCTCAATCACCCTCCTCATTGCTTGAAGCTGGTGAATTCACTGTCGCTGTGCTCAGATAAATAGGAGGACTCCTCATCTGCTTCTGCTTGTGTTGCTATCACCTGCATAACAGGGTTCAGCATGGCTTCTGCGACGTCAATCTCAGCAAGGTCCTGTTGCTGTTCATCCTCGACTTGTGCCTCCGGAACGAAGTCCAATGCTGCCTTTCTGCTGTTGCGAGTTGACCGAGTGGCATGCTGGGCATGTGCAGGCTTTGGCTCCAGGATGCTGTTGTTCTGCTTGCGGACTCGCTTGGCTGGCTCGTCGAAGTTGCCACCCTCATTTTTCTGCTGCCGACCACGTTTCTTTGGAGCTCTTGCCTCAACAATTGCACCCTCGCCCTCAAGCTCCTGGCTTGGTTTCTCAATGGTGTTCTCTCCTGCATTCTTTGCCCCCAATTTAGCAGGTGGTTTCTCCTTGCCTGTCCTTTGAAGAAGGTCCTCAAGGGGGCAGATGGTTTTCTCCCACTCAGCCCACCCCTCATTGCTGTTGGTCTTGCACTTCAAGCAGAACTGACCGTGTCGGATGAACTGCTGGTGGAGATCATATTTCAAATGGTCAGGAACAGTAGCATCAAGGTGTGCGAATGCCTCATCTTCGCCCCCTTTCTTCATCCCTCTGGGAACCCACCCAAGCCACTTTGAAAGGCGGAAGCAGTGTGTGTCTATTGCAAAGACAGGCTTCTGCATACAGAACAGAAGAATACAAGCAGCCACCTTGACGCCGACACCTCGGAACGCCATTAACTCGTTCATGGCATCCTTCTCAGACAGCACTCGCAAGTATTCAAGGTTAAGGATGCCTTGGTCGAACATCCAGATCTCTTGCTGTTTCTGCTGCTCAGAAAGTAGTTCAGCTGCCAGGACAGTGGCTGGGCTCTCGTCCGTTTCCTCTCGAAACGATTTGGCCCGCTCAGCGTTGATGTCATGGATCTGGTCCACGGTCGCCTTGATGTTGCTGCCCTTCTCAATGTGGTTACCACCTTGGACTATGGCTTGCTGCACTTCCTTGAGGGAAAGAGTGCGAATGCGGCTATAGTCCAGGCAATCTTTGAGTCCAGGATACTCCTCTGGGTCCAATTGCAGGTTTTCTGTGACAGTCCCCACGGCCTTGTGGAGTCCTTGAACAGCCTTGTCCGCATTGTCAAATTGAGTGTTGGTACTGAGCACTGTACGCAGAAGCGCATCGCAGACCTGCCTGACCTGACCACAACCGGCTACTTTCAGGCTTGGGGGAGGGATTTCTTCGGGCTGTGGACACGGGCCATGCTCTTGGACAAGGATTGAGTGAACCTTTGTACAATCCTCAGCAGAGGGTCCCTGAAATCCCGGGAATGGAGTTGTCTTGTAAGGCACAAGCACTTTCTTCTCATATGGGGTTCTGTCCTTGACAGATGTCTTCATTCGTATGCGCTCCACCTCTTCACTGCCATATAGTCTTTTGCCAGTGTAGTAGCCCTCCAGTGTGAGGGCTGCTACTGTCTCTCCAGTCAAGGAAGCCTTTGACTGGCCTTTTTGGGGTGGCTTGCTGGCCTCTGTGTTGTTCTCCTCACCCGTCACAGCAGGCAACTCATGACTGGCGCTGGCTTGGATTTTGTCTGGCTGAGTCAAAGACTTGGTAGTTTTCAAGTTCAGTTTCTTCTGCTCTGGAACATCCTCAGTTGGTCCACTGTCACTGGGCTTTGCCGAAGTAGGAGCTGGTAGCCCAAGACCATGAGGCAACACCCATCCTCCAGATTTAGGTACACGAGACGCCTTGGTGCCAGGAATGGCTCGCTTGGTCTTGCGTTTGGCTGGCATACTGGGAAGAGAAACTGTTTCTGGTTAGCAAGTGATTATGGGAGAGTGGAGTGTACCAAGTGCAGAGGGGATTTCTTGGAATGCTAGAGCAGGCAACTTGGAAATTGAGAGGTATGAACAAGGGAGTAGAATGAATTAGTCAATTTGACCTTATGTCAGTTGGAGCGTCCTTGTGGGATGTGAGAGCTAAACGGCTTCTGAGACGCCAGTGCCTGACGGCCCAAGGAAGCAGAGGGATCAAGAGGCATAGAACAAGCTCAAGTGTGCTTACTTGCTGCTTCTGTCAGTGATTGCTGGCCAGCTTTTCTGATTTCCAACAGTGTGTGAGAATCGAGGGTGAAGGCTGTGTGATGGGCAGGGAGGAACAACTTAGGAGGCAGTGAGCAGTCTGGAGCACAAATCTAGAAAATGGAAGCCATACTTTCAAGTCAAGGATACCTAGGTACCTAGGTAGGAAGGAGGGCTCTTGCTTCAAGTCTACAGTGTCTATGTATAGGGCACGGACCACCACCGCCACAAGTCAAGGATGCAGTGTCTATGTATAGGGCACGGACCACCACCGCCACAAGTCAAGGATGCAGTCTCTATGTATAGGGCACGGACCACCACCGCCGCCACCACCACCATTGTGTGTGTGGGCATCATTTGTTTGTTGTTGATGCCTCGGCTATGGAGCAGGTAATGAATGGGACAGAACAGTGACTCCCAAGCTCTGCATAACTGGAACAGGATTTCAGGAACGCTACAGGCTGCCCCAGCAAATCTAGTAGGTAACTGGGTGAGAAGGGGCTAATAAGTCTTGAGGAAGGCATTACCGGTATTTGTACATTGGATTCTACTGGTTTTGACGGAAAGTGGACACGAGCCTCGAGGACTCACAGCACCTGTGAGTGATGGAGAATGTGAGGAATGCCCAGCAGTGTCTGGGTTTAGCTACATGCTAAGTAGGTACCTATCTTGGGGTACTCTTTCTTCGTCAGTCTCCTGTCTGCATATACCAAGTAGTCCAGCATCAGCATTAGTACTGAGCGGAACAAACAACCACATGGCTAGACCACGTCTGTCATTGCATCGTTCCCTAAGCCATGCTGCTTGCAAAGCATAGGCCTGCAGGCAAATCCAGCTATCACGGATAACAACTTCACCAGGGTCATGTTTCGCCCCTACCCGTGCTGCAAACATATCAGCTTTCAGTTCCAGTCAGTTCCAGTGTGACATGTGATGGGAGAGGTGGCATCTCAATCAGACAGGTACCTGTTATTCCGCACATTTAAATGGCTAGGAAGTCGTCCATTATAAAAGGTTGATCATCATGTAGAGGGCAGAAAAATGGAGGCTGTGGGAGAATGGTGGTCATGGTCGACCGGCCGGAGCTTACGTACCTTGTGATGTAGCGGACAATAATGACTGCCTGCTCCTTCAGCATCCCAAGTAAGGCCTATAGCGGCAGCCCATACTCATGGCATTGAGTGCATGGCTATACACGACCAGTGACTATTGTAGGACACCAATTGTGTTGGTTTCGGCCAGAGGACATGGAGTTAGGAAACCCAAGTCACGGTGCAGAAAATTCCAGTGCAAGCTGTGGTTTTTGTAAGGTCGCAACAAGTGGGGCAGACCAGACGCTTTGGCCAACCACATGACAGGGCTGGCTTTTGCACGCTCCGCTGGGCCATCCCACGGTGACAACAGCCTGCAGTGAGGCGTAAATGGGTATCAAGGTGCATCATCTCAATAGGATATAATCTCCGTATAAGTACATAGGGCTCCAGGATACAATTACCTCCTCGCTTCAGAGACCCATCCAAGTTTCTGTAATGACCCTTCACCCTGGGCTCTGCTGCTACACTCTTTCCACTGAGCTTTGCTGCCACCACTTCATCCTGTTACGGCAGCAGCAGTAGCAACAGCCACGGCCACGGGCAGACTACCTGGGTCAAGACTCTGACAGTCAAAAGTTCAGTGGAAGCTGCCACAACCCAGAGACCACAAATCATCGAGCTTTTCTTCCCGAGTTTTCTTGCCCAGAGTAACATATCAGCAAGGTTGAAGGTAAGATCCATTGCCTCTAGTTGCCCCCAGTTGAGAGGACCCCTCTGACCTGGGAGTGGGTCTGATTCACTAGCTCCCTGGAGCACGTACAGGGGTTCAGATGCTAAATTGGTGACGCGGGTAAGCCTTTCTGAGGTACGCGACTTCTCTCGAACCGCACCTAAGTTTTAGCCCTTTGTCTTCGACACAGATCTTCCGAGTCGTGGTTGAAGCATCACTCGGCCATCACCACCTGCCGTCTCCCTCCTTCGAGCCCTCTCGCTGCACCACGAGAGTTGCTAGCCTGTCGCAAACGGAGGAAGCTGAGGCCCGCGGTTTCCTGTGGTCTGCGCCTGCAGCTTCTCGCATCTGCACTGCGACTCACCTGTCCGAGCCACCCCGAAGGATTACTTACGGGACCGCAATAGCGCTCGATGCTGACGCCGTCTGCTTGCTCCCTTCAAAGTCCCGCGCAAAATTGATTTCCATCCCTTGGGCAGCTTGCTATACTTGTGCCGTACATGCTGCCTGCTGCCTAGTCAAGCCCAAGTTGTGCCTGCTCCCTATCTTGGACTCCGAAGTCCTTCAAATTTCCACGACACGCGCAGCGTGCGACAACGCTCCTTCGAACAGAACCTGGCCCGATCTACCTCAACAGACCTCGATCCAATTTTCGCCAGCCAAAACTCTCTTCTTCAATGCGATGACCGCCACAGCCTCGAAACATGGACGATACCAATAGGCTGTATGAGGGGATCACAGAATCCTATCAGGAGTGGATCAACATACCTGAGAAATGTCATCTGCTCTGCCCAAGAATTACAGACGGTGATGAAAGCGATGATGAGCCATCCTCTGAGGTTGTTTCAAAGGAACAGGAGCAAAGAATAGAGGAGGCAAGACGCCGCGTCGAGCTCACTTACGACCTCAGTCTCCTATTGGGCATCACAGAGGAGCAGTCCAGTGGCTGGAAAGAGCAATGGATCGAACGCACGGAGTCTTTCTTGACCAATTGCGATGGCTGCGTGCTGCGCTGGCACATGCACCGCAAGAACTTCTTCGAGAAACTGCAAGGGTGAGTGGCCGTAGACCTGTAAGGTATCACATACTGCAGACAAGCACTGACGACAGCCATCAGGTCCTTTGACGAAGACGTCGCTACGATCATGGAGAACAAATTGGACGAGTTCGACAGGGCTCGGATAGACAGGGGTCTCCAGAGGGCGGTCGCTATCCTAGAGTCGAATGGGCCGATCAGTTCGTCTAAGATCGCTCAGCAGGACCAAACCGCCATTTTGGCTCTGTTCGAGTCCCTGTGCTGCATGGCCTACGTAGGGCATCCTCAAGTTCGGCAACGCTACTTCAATAAGGTCTTTCAGGACGTTCAGACTCGTAAGCCGCTGAAGCTGGGATCGCAGATAGTACCGACTATGGCCTTCTTCCTCTTCGAAGAAGACCAGTATCGCAACCGGTTTGCCAAGTCGGCATGGGAGGCCCTTAATCCTGAGTGTCTCACAGAGGAGGAGTTTGACTTCGCGGTCGGCGAATCTCTCACAAACGCGATCCGCGAGGTGAGTGTGGTGGACCCTGAATCGGGCGCTCTACATGCCTCTCAAAACAAGGTCAGGGTTTTCTGGGAAGGATTCCTCCTTCTTTTAAACTCCATGAGCGAGGAGATCGTGGTCCATTGCCTTCGTGGCATGGACGCAGATGTCTACCAGCTTGCCATTCAACACCTCCAGCTCTGTCACTCGGACCAAATCCTACTGCTGGTCCTGCAGGCAATCGCGGCCCTGCTGCAGAAGTCACCCAAGGCTTTCTGGGGCGCTTTAGACCTTCCACGGGCACAGCTCGCCCAGTTTGTTTTCATGAACCCAGCCTTCCCGCATCTACTCTCGCGGTCACTGGAGTATGATAGACTCGTCGCCGACGGGCATATTCGTGTTCCCTTCCTCGCCGTCTGGGTCAGGACCGTCATTGGGTCGCTCCAGCAGCACGAGTTGCCAGACGTGTGCCAGTCCCTCACAGACCATCTCTTTTCTCCCCGTCCCGACTTGGATGCTTCCAGGGAAGCACAAGTGACTCGAACGATTGCTGGCCTATACGCTCTGAAGACATCACTCGACAGTTTCAATAGTGGCGTGTTCCAGATCCGCATGGGCACGTCTATCATATACATCAATTCTCTCATCAATCTCGTCGTCAAATACGCAGCAAGCGTCATCAATCTTGCGGCAGAGCTCCGGGCAGAGGATCGGTTCAATGTAGGCTTATCACAAACGGCTGTCGATGTCATCAAGACTTCTCTTGTTCTTGACTCGAAAACGACCCGCACCGAATGGATGGCACTTATGCGTGGGAATGTTAAGATACCTCGGACCAACCCGAGACATTCTGCTCAGCTCTGGGACAGATTTCTCGAAATATTTTGGCCCGGTCGGGCTGGCACTGTTGACATCGCAAAATCGATGTTATCTGCCATGCACCCGCTCAACGGCATCGGGAAGCTTCTGCCCCCAAAGAAAGAGACCCTGAAGGACCCTGAAAAGATACTTTTCAACCAGGACCTGGACCGAACGGCAGAAGCAGTTGGCCGCATGCTGGAGCGTCTCAGTGGCTTCGCCTCTGCGGACCTAGAAGGTCTGTGCAGTGACCAACAAAGCGGTCTGATGTATGCCGTTGTTGCGTCTCTGGTGCACGCTGAGGATCCCATCCGCGAGGCTGGCAACTCCTTGATCAAGACTATCACAGGCGAAGCAACGAGGACGGAGGCAGTAGCCCAGATGGCTTCCGACTACTTTCAGCCTTTCCTGTCCACGTTCTCCGACGTCGTCCGCGGTGTCACATACGACAAAGACTCGATGAAGCCTTTTGCGCCAATGCCCCATGTCTTGACTTGCAGTAAGGACATGGTGGGTGCGCTTTGTGACACCTCCGGGCTACTCAGGTCAAGGACACTATCGGGTATCGAGTACACTGCTGTTATGTCTTGGTGGACGACCCAATGGGAAGGATTACAGCACGCTTTCTTTCAGCTCCGAGTTTGGAACGAACAAATGGACAAGACAATTCTCGAGTCGTTTTGCCGGAAGGCGATGGAGCTCGCTCAGGCACTCCTCGACCAGGACGGCGTGGTCGCGTCAGCGCTCGGAGCACAGAACGCAGAGGCTGAAGCAATGAAGACTGTTTTGGAGCAGCCACGGCTTAACACGTACGGAATAACAAATATGATCAAGCTCCGCGACATCGTTCTCTTGGATACGACCGTGCAGACACTGCTCAAGCTTTTTAGTCGACTCGCTCAATTTGGGCTCGATCTAGATACAAAGAGTGTTTCCACTATTCGGCAAGCCTGTGTTATAGGGCCGAGTGGCAAACACGCAATCAACAGCAATCTGACTGCCACGCAGAAAGTTGAGCTTCTAAAGGCGATCGGGGAAGAGGAGGAGACCCTCACCGTGTCGAAGGTCACTGAACGGCCCAAGAAACAAAGCAGCCTCGATGCATGGTCAAAGTCTGGGACGAGCACTCCACTGTCTCGGTCTGGAAGCACTACGCCTATTGCTTCAACCCGACCAGACGTCAAGCCTTCTTCAAGCAAGCTCGAAAAGTTGCGCTTGACAGGTGAGAAGACCAAGCCGAAGCTGCTAAGACCAGAGCCAAATAAACACAGCTCATTGAGATTCCTCGAGGATCGAAAGCGTGCACAGGCCCAACAGGCTGAGCGAAAAGCCGCTGCTATAGCGGAAGCTAAAGCTCTACGTGTTGTACCTGGGGAAGGTTCGGGATTGAGGGGCGTGTCCGGTGTTCTCGGCAAAGATCACGGCCCGCAGCCAAAGAGCGAGATGATGGTCGACAGCTCGGAAGAAGAAGAAGACTCTTCGGATGACGATTCCCTGATTACCACGAAAGGTGGCAACAAGCTAGACCACGACACAAGACAGCGTGAACTTCAGTTGGCGGCCAAGAAGATGGGCCCACTGAAGAAGGAGAAGATGAAGCGGACTGCGAAAGATCTGCGGGCTCGGATCATTCCTCCCATGGACGTTCTGCACCAGTCCATTCTCGAGTGGGATATTTTCCACGAGGGCAATGACCCGCCAAATGGCGATGTGTGCGTCGAGGTTGCGAACACCTACATGACTCATCAGGACTACAAGGCGACCTTCTTCCCTCTTTTGCGATACGAGGCATGGCGATCCTTCGTGACGGCTAAGGATGAGACCACGTCGAAGCCGTTTGGTATCAAGGTGATGAACCGCATGACCGTCGATAAGTTTATGGAGGTCACCACTTCGATGCCCAGGGCACAGAATAAAGAGATGGGGCTCAGTGAGGGGGACATATTGATAATATCACAGTCAGAGGACCCACTGAATCAGAAGAAGGCTGCTCACTGCTTGGCTCGCATTTGGAAGACGACGTACAAGAAAGATAACCTCGAAGTGGCATACCGTCTTAACGCCAGAAACAATCAGATCATGCCATTCCTGCAGGCAGGCGCACAGTTCCATGCAGTCAAGATAACCAACATGACGACGGTTGAGCGGGAGTACGCTGCGCTGGAGAGTCTGCAGTACTATGATCTTTTGGACGAAGTGCTGGAGGCAAAGCCTTCACCGCTGCTCAATTATGGACGTGAAGCCATCGATTCGGTAATGAAGACTTACTTTTTGAACCCCGGCCAGGCAAAAGCGATCATGAATGCCAAGGACAACGACGGCTTCACTTTGGTTCAAGGCCCCCCTGGAACGGGTAAAACCAAGACCATTGTCGCTATGGTTGGTGCACTTCTCACGGGACACATCAATACCAAGCCTGCCGCTGCCGTTGCTGTCAGTCGACCGCATGACCTGGGAAGTCAGGCAAGACAGCCTCCTCCGATGAAGAAATTACTGGTTTGTGCTCCAAGCAACGCCGCCGTTGATGAACTTGTTCTGCGGTTGAAACAAGGGGTCACGACGATGAACGGCGCCCACCACAAGATCGGTGTTCTGCGACTGGGCAGGTCTGATGCGATCAACACACTTGTCAAAGACGTGACCCTCGATGAGCTCGTCAAAGCCAAGATGGAAGCTGACAATAACAAGAACGGCCCGGGTGCCAGTGAGCGTGACAAATTGCACCAAGAGGCCGGTGAAATCAAAAAGCAGTTGAACGACGTACGTCCTATGCTCGATGCTGCGAGGGCTAGTGGTGACAGGGAAGCTGAGACCAATCTGGAACGCGAATTTGACCAACTGAAGCGTCGCCAGCGCCAGATTGGTGCCCAAATTGACCGCGACAAGGACAGCAGCAACACGTACGTCCGAGAGAGCGAGGTCAGGCGCAGAGCGATCCAGCAGCAAATTCTCGACTCGGCGCAGGTGCTGTGCGCAACACTCAGTGGTAGTGGTCATGAGATGTTCAAAAACCTGAACGTTGAGTTTGAGACAGTGATCATTGATGAGGCGGCGCAGTGTGTGGAGCTCAGTGCTCTGATTCCACTCAAGTATGGATGCACCAAGTGTATCCTCGTCGGCGACCCCAAGCAATTGCCGCCTACGGTTCTCTCTCAATCTGCAGCTCGATTTGGGTACGACCAGAGTTTGTTCGTGCGTATGCAAACGAATCATCCCAATGACGTCCACCTACTCGATACACAGTACCGAATGCACCCGGAGATCAGTGCATACCCTAGTGCCGAATTCTACGAGGGCAAGCTTTATGACGGAGGTGACATGACGGCCCTCCGCACCCAGAAATGGCACGAGAGCAAGTTGCTTGGTCCTTACCGGTTCTTCGATGTCGAGGGTATCCAGGAGCGCGGCCGCAAGGGACAGTCGCTGGTCAACACGAACGAACTTGAGGTCGCCATGCAGCTGTTTTCCCGCTTCAAAATCGACTATGCGGACTGCAATCTCAAGGGGAAGGTGGGGATAATCACACCGTACAAGGCCCAACTCTTTGCACTGAAAGATCGTTTCGCCAATCGTTTTGGCGAGGGTGTCTTTGACGAGGTGGAATTCAACACGACCGACGCGTTCCAGGGTCGTGAATGCGAAATCATCATCTTCTCTTGCGTCCGAGCCAGCCCAACAGGAGGTATTGGCTTCATGACTGACATCAGGCGTATGAACGTCGGCCTGACACGTGCGAAATCGTCACTCTGGATTCTTGGAGACTCCAGAGCATTGGTGCAGGGCGAGTTCTGGGCCAAGTTGATCAAGGATGCCAAAGCAAGAGACCGCTACACTCGGGGTGACGTGCTGGCCCTGCTGAGGAAGCCGAGCGAGAAGGTTCCACGAGCTCAGAATGGCCACGGCAGCTACAAGTCGTTCGACATAGAAATGAAGGACGCACCTGCGACGGCACCCAAACCAGAAATGCCTTCAGGAGGCCCTGCCCCGCCATCACAGGGCGTCAGCGGACTTAACGCGAAGGGAGAGAACAATCTTCAGCCAGCGAGAGGAGCGGGACCACCCCAGATCGGAAATTCAAAGAAGAGGCCCCTTGAGGATGACAGCCAGTCTCCAGCACCCAAGCGTCAAGTAGGTCACAACCATTCTAACCCAGCATGTGCGACTGATTTGCTATACCATCTGGTGAAGACAGGCGTGGAATGCGCCGGGCAGGCACAGAGCTTCCCCGAGGACGACTGGGATGACTCCGACTAGCCACCTGATACTGATTTCAACCTTTCACAAAAGCAGAACCATCCTTTGGCAAGTGGCCGGCCAGTCCCAACTGGTCCCAGAGCAGCGGGCCCGACTGCACCGCCCAAACCTAGACCGCCGCCGCCGAAGCCTGTTGATCCGTCGGCCATGGAGGTATTGGGGCTTGCGCCTCCTTCGCGGCCTCCGCCTCCCCCGGCCAACCCAGTGCAAGCAACGAGGCCACCGCCACCGGGACCGTCGAATGCACCGCCTAGGGTAAGTCGCGATGCTTTTTCAAATTGATATTGGGACCAGGCTAAGTCTTTCAGGGACCACGACCACCAAAGAAGAAGAAGGACCCTTTCATTCAGCGAAAGCCGAAGAGGACTTGATGTTTGTCTCGCGTTGCCTTTCCCCCTCTATCATCTATACCCTTTTACCTTTTTTCACTGCATAGGCATCAATAGAGACGGAAGGCGGTTTGAAATTCTTGGCTTGACTGCTTTGGTAGGCTCATGGGACCAGCTCATGATGGAGCATCGTCAACGGCGTTGGCGACATGGTTTGATATACTTGTTTATGGACGAGAGCATTAGATCCGGGATGCCTGTCGCGATCTGAGGACCTCGGGGATTTGAACCAGATCAATCCTGGGGGCATGGGGGTCGCTCGGGATTTCTAAAGCGGGTAAACTATGGAAATCAGACAGCGGAGCACCAGGCCGAAAACATATACATTCGAGAAGAGGAGCCTGGCGATAGTCCGGGGCCAGTTGAGGGCCAGAGCCTGCATTCCTTTGCAGTGAGCATGGGCATGAGATGGGTGTGGATATGGGCTCCGCAATCGTATTCCATGGCGACAATGGAGCTGTCGGTGTTGCTGTTGCGGTGGTGATGGGCGAGGTGTGGTGTGGTTCGCGAGTTTGTGACACGTCGTTCGTCTTGTATAAAAGGACGAAACATTCCTGCGTCTCCCCCCTTGTCCTTACGAAACGGGCGCCGGGCGTGGCAAGGATATTTGCTGGATGGCAGGCGGGATGCAACCTGCCCAGGACCCCAGCCAACGGAACAGTCCTGTTCGGCTGTCTGGCTATCACCGATTGCCAGTTACATCGGGGGGGAGGGGGTCACGCCATCACCGAAGCACTCAAGTGCTCAACTGCCCAAGTGCCCAAGTGCCTAATAAATGCCAGGACACGTTAAGGTGCCACTGCCAACCCGGAGTGTCGGGGCTCCGCCCTGGAGAAAGCCCACCCGACGGCACGGCTCTCGATCTTGATGCTTCATCATCATTATCTCGTGACCAGCAGCCAGACAGCTTTCTGGAGCAGAGCTGCAGCAGTGTCATGATTGAGTTTTGGCGATTCGTCAGAGGCAGGGATCGGACCACCCAGACCGCGTCAATGTGGCCCAAGAGGGAGGGGGGGGGGGCGAAAGCTGTGCTATGCGGATGCCCTGATGCCTTGTCGCCTTTTTTTTTTTTTCTCTCTCTTACGTCCGAGCGGCAGTGACGATGCGTTCTCAAAAACCTTGGAATGATAGCACGACGGGGACAAGACCTGTTGGTCACGCACCAGCAATATCTATGCGACCATGGCCTCGGCCAATGGTCGACGTTTCCCGGCACACCCGGCTTCGGCTTTCGACTCAAGCTCAAGGGTGTTGGGAGGAGACGGCAGGACGGCAGGACGGGCGGGCATGATGGAGGCAAAATCAGTCAAATGGGGAACCCGGAACCCAGGACCCTTGGGGAAACGAGGCTGCTGGCTTGTTCGTTCTACGCTTCTACCGAGTACGCTTCTACGCTTGGACGGCTTCAACCCCCGGGTGGCTGATGGCGCGCAGCTGAGAGGGCATCTGTGTCTCCCCACTCTCCAACGTCACGGCGCCGCCTCTTTGCCTAGCCCCCAACGGGCATTGCCCCTGAAACACACTGCAGGGGTGTTTCGACATTCGGCTCCGGTTCGACCTCGTGTGCGCCGTGCGTCGTGCGCCGTGCAGCCCAGCGCCCCTCGTCTTGGGCTTGTTGTCCTCAGCCGGGCTCTCAAACGTCGAGTGAGCCGCCTTCTCGAGCCCAGACCGGGCCAGAAGACGAGAGACTAGCGACCACAGCTCCCGTGCCTGTGCCTGTGCCTGTGCCTGTTCCTGTTCCTATTCCCGCTCCTATGACCAAGTACCTAGGTATGCTTCTGATCCCGTCCGCCTTGGGACTGCCGCCTGCGGGACGCGGGACACCGGGACACAGCATCGGTACCCCACGACCTCGTCTCTGTCGGGTGTCCCTCCTGTAGGTGGACAGTGTATCCTAGAGGACAAACTCCTGTGGGACAGCCTCCTACGGGGCATGGTCGGTTGATTCATCCAGGTGGGGGCCTGGTGTGACTCGCCGAATGTCATGGATGCCCATGTCTTGCACACCATCCGTGGAGGACCTTGCGATTTGCGTTTCGCCATCGCCAATGTAGCACACAGACGTCCCCCAGAGGACCCTTGGCCGCTCACTGGTTTGTTTCCTCCCTCGTTGTTTTAGCTTGGTCCGTTGACACCTTCATGCTTCGGTGCTTAGATAGATCTCGCTGCCGTCATCTGTGAATCCTACACATGGTCAAGCACCATAGGTTAAGCACTCCTGCTTTCCTCGCCGCCTTGTTCCTTTCGTCCCGTCCTCACACCACCACTGCAACCCCTGATATCGCGCTCAACTTAATCGCTGCTGCCAGCCGCTTTCACCGTCCTCTTCTACAGTCCCCTTCCAACCTTGGCCATATCTGCCTTCGTAGACGAGGTCGCAGTCTCCCTTTCTATCCTGATCTACCCCAAAGCCGGACGCCATAACCTAGTCTGTGTCGACGAGATGACTCGAGCCATTCGCGTCCACTGGTCCGCTTGATCCTGCCCTTGGACCTGCCTCCCTTCCCTCATCTTGTCTTTGAACCGGCGTAGACCGCCTATTTCTTCGCACAGCTCGTGTTTGACCAGACTCGCAACTGAGACTACTTCAGTGGCAAGAGAAAGAGATCTTTCAAGTCGGCGGCCACGTGAGGATCGCTACCTGTCAACACGGGACGAAACTCTATACTCGCGTGTGCGATCTTTTGATACCCCGAGTTGCGTTTCACAGGCAGCACCAGAGCTTGCCCTCCATATTGTGCCTGGAGTTATGCCTCCGCCTTGACCGACTCAGCAACATGTACATTTACGAGCTGGACGCACATGGCCACACCGCCGCTTCCGAGGACAGACGCATGTCCTTTAGCTCACTCGACTCAGACGAGAACTCGTTTGCCACGGCAGCAGAGTCTCGAACAAACAGCGGCCTGGGCATCGCCAACAGCAACGCCCGCCCTATGACCTCCCAGCAACTCACACCCGCCACCGCGCTGAGTTCAAACTGGCCGGGCGGCATTCTTCGCCGCATCGACATTCGCGTCGAGTCCAAGGAGCTCCTGGAGCCGCGGAGTGAGGCGGCCTCTCGGCCTCAGTCACGACCCTTCTCTCGTGGGGTCGCAAGAGATCGCAGGCGGACCTCCGAGGCCGAGGATGAGGCCTGGCATGAGGTCGCCGAGTTCTTGCGTAATGTGACGCCGCCGCCATCCAACTTCATGTCTGTGCCTACAGAACCCTACTCCCCAACAACTGTCTCGTCAAGGTCGAGTATACGGCGAAGGAATAGCAAACAGAGGAAGGGCGCCCTACGGCGCTGTCTTTCGTTTCTGAGAGGGGCTTCCAGGCAAAAGAAGGTCTTACGGAAGCCGTCTGTGAGGCCACCTTCGCCGGGTCTTACCCGTTCGCCAGCTCGCAAGCACAAGAAACGCCCGCCGCGCATCAAGCTCCCGGACACCGCCATCTCAGGAACAACTGTTGATGGCCACCGTCACATTGCGATATCCATTCCTATTCAACATGCCCACATTGGCCCGGAGTCACGGCTCAGGTTCCCGAGGTCCGAAAGAAGGACGAGATCCCTGCCGATTGTTGAGATGAACCCGTTTTACAACGACGTCAATGTCAGGCCGATGACGGCTTTTGTTAACGAGCCACATATAGGGACACAATTGGGGCCTGTGGCTGAAGAGCGAGAATCACTATCCTCGAGATCTTGGGAGAGATCAAGCCAAGGAGGGCTGGATGAGGCGCGCAAGGTTCGACTGGCATCGAGACATACCTTCGGCACCGTCCAAGAGGAGCTGAGTAGGCCTAACACACGCTCCATGTCGCCTCCAAAGACGCCGCGGCGTGTTAGCGACGACTCCTGGTCGCCACGTACAAGCGACGAGACGCGCGAATTGATACACAGGCAGGCGCTTGCCGCTTTACAACGGCCGAAGACAGCTCCGAGGCCCATCAGCGGCCAGTCAGGCTACAGCTTCCGCTCTTTTGCCTCGGCGTCGCCAGCTTCCAAAGTGGCCTACCCAATGCGAAAGTCTAGCCTTCACCCCCAGGTTCTTGACAACAGACGATCGCGAGCACGCAGTGACTCTGACCAGCGCGCTCAGAACGAGCGTAGCCGCGATTCATCGAGGGATCAGTACACGCTCCAGGAGTCTATCTTCTCAGAACCGTCGTTCTTGGAGAGCTACGGCACAGTGGCAAGCGGCTCAGACGCCGAGCCTGGCGTCATCAAGGAGGCGAAGCGAGCGAAGCGGTTCTCTGGGACGGTGGAAATCGTGGATACGCCCCCCAGGACGAGCCTTGAGACGGGAGAAGCGAGTGGTAGGGAGAACGCAAGGGTTTTCGTGAAAGAGAAGAGACGGAGCAGCGGTCACGACAGCAAACGGTCGAGTGGGCACGGGAGTAAGAGGAGTAGCAAACGAAGCAGCAAGAGGAGTAGTGGTACGATCGAGGAAGAGGAGCCTCCGGAGATGACGAGGAACTCGGCAGCCACAATGTTGTTCAACCCGGAAGTCAAGAAAGTTGACGAGAGTATCACGAGGCAGCCGCAGTCACGGAGGTCTGTAGAGGTTGTGGTGGAAACCCCTCCCGACACCTCTTTCCCGCGCGAAGAGCCCGGCGCCAAGGATGAGGGAATTGTCGAAGTAGGGAAGCCTTCACCTGGGGGCCCGAAACAGGAAAGCGAGGGGAAAGGAAAGGAGAAGCAGCAGGTGCTTCGAGAAAGCTCGATGTCGGGCATTCCTTCACAGAAGATGGCATCCGAGGGCAAGGGCAAAGAGAAACAGCAGGCACTTCAGGAAAGCCCAATGTCGAACTTGCCGGTGCAAGAGAAGGAGCCCAAAGGAAAAGCGAGCCCGGAACGTGGGGCTGCGGATGGAGTACCAAAGCCCAATGCGAAAGTAAAGGGAGAGGAAACACAACAAAGTCCATTGCCGAGCCCGAAACAGCGGAAAGAGAAGAGGAAGTCAACCATATTGACCAGGTCGCAGCGAATCGCTGAACTGAAGAAGGCCCTGGAGATGCCTGGCTCCGAGCCCAAGGACCTGGTCTTGCGGAGGCTCAGCATCTCGTCCGACGGAAGCTCGACCTCGACGGAAAAAGAGGCCAGGGCAGAGCCGAAGGATATCCTGATTCACGTTCCACCCATCTCGGAGAACAACCCCTATAGTCTGAAAACGACGCCCGGCCGCTTCGGTATCAGTGCCGTCATGACTATTGCGAATGTCAAGCCGTCCAGCCCTCACACAACGTCTCCCGTTCTGGGAGTCGAGAAGAAGAATTCCCTGGCACTTTCAGTGTCCTCACCAGGCACCGTGGCTACCGTCGTTATGACCTCGCCAGTGCCACCGTTCCGGAGCCTCGGCAGTGTCACGCCGCCAGACTCACCTCCACAATCGCGATCGTCTTCCTCGCCAATCTCATCGCTCGAGACACAGGTGCAGGCCACGGCACTCAAGCACCCGCCACTCAAGCGCCTCGGCTCTCTGCGCCGGCGGGCGTCTATTCCCGGCCGACAATCGCCAGCTCTGTCTGGCAGAATATCACCGGCCATGCATGAGAATACGCCCAGGCCCAAGACGGCTGGCAAAGGGCTCCTTGCATCGAGGAAGGACTTCTTTGGCGGCCGCCAAAGCCCCGAGTCGCCTGAACAGGACAGGGGCGAGGCCAGCACGTCTGTTCTGAAGATGTCCCGCTCTGAGATATTTGACCGCTACGAAGCACTGCGCGAAAAGCAAACGCGGGACCTGGAGAAGCGTTTGGAGCGGCTTGAGAGGAATGGCGAGTACTGGCTGACGTCGATGCTTCCGCTGCTGACGGACTTGAGCCAGACGCTGGGGGAACTGGTCAAGGGCAAGGGACAACAGGCCGACCAGGAAGCTGAAGGCCCGAACATCAGGACCGTGAGGAGGCCCGAGTATAGCTCTCACAACGACGGCAGGCAGAGCCGATTCGGCGGCCGATTCGACGCGGAAGAAGCTGCACCAAGCACGCGGAGAAGGTACATGCCCGGAGACGAGTCTTTCGAAAGTGACGAGGAAATCGTGCGCCGCCCTTACGTGCCCACGGATCGTTCGAGAGCCAACACTGGCGTATCCGAACGATCTCGCCGCCTGTATTTACTTGACGAGCAACCCGGCTCGGACCACAGAGCCGACCGGCGCCGCACGCGCAGCCACAGCCGTCACCGCCGGCCACAGTCGCCGGACGGGTCAAGGCAGCCCGGGACCTTGTCTGGAACCACGACAATGATCGACACGGGCAGTGGAGCCCGCACAAGCTCCATGGGAACGGTATCCAGGGCGCCGGCCAACCCGGCACAGGGCCCGCAGCGCCTGCAGGACGAGGTCGAGGCGGAACTGGAGCGCATCAAGCGTATGGAGCGGCTCAACGCGCGCATAGACTCGCACATGCGAGGGCTCACGCGCGAGCTGAGCCACCACCGGCGTGGGTGGTCACCGCCGCCACAGCATATGCCGTCGTCGTCCCGGGCCCACCAGCACGGCAGCGCTCCGGGCCTGACCAGGTACGAGAGCCGGAGTGAGGCAAGCTTAGCGAGGTACGCGGGCGGCGCGCGGGACGAGAGTGGAGGCAGGGCGTACTACAGCGGGATGCAGACGGTGGAGCCCATCATGCGAGAGCTGCAGTCGGGCGGGGGCCGGCTCAGCCTCGAGAGCTCTGGGTCGGCCGGCGGGTTCGAGGGGGACAGCGAGGTGCAGCGCCTGAGGGAGGGCCCGCGGGCGGTGATTGGGTTCGGCGCTTTTGGAGGGCGCAGGCCCTGATTGAGTAATGATTCTGCTTGGCGAGGCAAGGTTTTGTTGGCAAGCGATAATTCGTAATGGGGTCGGATATTCGCACCCACCAAAACGGAGGGTATACCCAAGCCCCAAGGGATAACCTCTCATAGGACAACCTCTATGGGACAACCTCTTATGGGATAACCTCCTGGGACAACCTCCTATAGGACAACCTCCTATGGGATAATCTCCTATGGGACATGCTTCTATAGGAAAACATCCCATGGGATAATTACTCGTGGTTTGGCGCTAAACTACGCATTTTAATCTCCCATTTCCCTAATGTTGGAGTACCCTCTGTTTTGGCGGGTGTGAATATCCGATCTCTTTGTAATGTATACTAGTACGGGATATTTTCGTTCACACATCATCTGGCGGGCTGGCCACTACCGCTGTGTTGTACCTCGTTGACTGATATCTCGAGTACGTGTCTTGGCGAATTACCGAGGGCGTCGATGAGAAGCCTAATGATCCCTGGCGGCGATCCAGGACAAGTTTCGGCATGACGTCGATCACTGGGGCACGTACGTATCCCTGAGCTCGACACAGCTCGCCCAGCCTGCCAGCCTGCCAGCTCGGACTGGCACGATGATGCTAGTGCCGGCCCGCGAGCTCGGGGTAGCTCCCAGGGGCTGCTGGCTTCAGACCGGGCGGTATCAACCTCAACTGACGACCGAGAGCTCTCGCAGCCACGCCATGTCGCGCCCCTGGATTTTCGTATGCCCGTCCAGCCGCGGGCTGGGCCATGTCCTGACGAGGCATCTGTTGCGCAACACCACCGTGCCGATTTTGGCCACGGCGAGGAGCGACCCAGCTGGCGTAAAGGACCGCCTGCTGGATGATATCAAGCACGACAGCGAGTCCAGCGCGCGGCTCCACGTGGTCCAACTGGATGTGACGGATGAGCCGTCGGTCGAGGCCGCCTCACGAGAGGCCGCACGCCTCTTCCCCCGCGACACGCACCACCTGCACCTGGCCCTCGCCATCCCCGGCATCCTGCACCCAGAGAAGTCGCTGCGGCAGGTGGACGCCGCCGCCGCGCTGCAGACGTACAGGGTCAACGCCCTCGGCCCGCTGCTGCTGATGAAGTGGTTCGAGGACTTCCTCCCCCGCAGGCGCACGCAGTTCGCGCTGGGCAACGGCAACGGCAACGGCAACGGCTCCCACGAACCGGTGCGGCTCCCGGAGCGGGCCGTCTGGTTGAACATGAGCGCAAGGGTTGGCAGCATCTCGGATAACCGCAAGGGCGGGTGGTACAGCTACAGGAGCAGCAAGGCCGCCGTCAACAGCCTCACCAAGAGCTTCGACCTGCAGCTGGCGGCCAGGAGCGGCGACAAGGCCATGGCCATGGCCTATCACCCTGGCACCGTCAGGACGGACCTGAGCCGTGATTTCTGGGAGTCTGTGCCCAAGGAGAGACTGTTTGAGCCCGAATTCGCTGTGGCGAAGATGGTCGAGGTCGTCACGGGGAAGGTGGGCCTCGGCGGGAGAGGGAGGTGCTGGGATTGGAAGGGAGACGAGATCCTGCCTTGAGCCCGTGCTCTCGTCGTACCTCAAGCTTGTCACGAGCCGAGGCCGCCAGGCGTCTTGGAATTCATTATGATATTTATCACCTGTTCAGTTCATGGATGCCACGAGACGCTTATAACTGTACGTCCTGGAATGATGCCCGGCTGGCTGGAGTCTGCACCCCCCCGTCCTTGTCATCCGCGTCTTCCACGCTCGCGAACCTGGTCGCCTCGGGCCGCAATGTCAGGTTCTGCTCCTTGTCCTCGAACCTGACCTTCTGTTCGCCCTGTTCTTCCGCTTTTGTCTTTTCTTCCAGCTCTTCTCCGTCCCCCTCACTCTCCTCGTTTCTGCCTTCCGCGGCTTCGTCCTTGTCTTGTGCCCCATCCGCCTCCGTGGCCTCCTCTTTCTCGCCCTCTTCCTTGCTGCCTTGTTCACCATTCTCTGCTGCCGGTGCGGCTGGCAACTCCTTCTCCGTCTGCACTGGGGCCGGGGCGGCGGCCGGGGCAGAAGGCTGCTGCTGCTGCTGCTGCTGCTGTTGAGTGATTGTGCCAGGCGTGCCAGGCCGGTCTTCACTTGGTGGGCCGGGCCTCAATGCATCCAGATAGAATTTAGTGACTCCCAGAATCCTGCCGTTCTTCTCGCAAGCCTCCACCCACTCCGGCCGAACGACGGGAATGTTCATCTCCACCGCCTTCTCCCACTGGATGCCCCGCCCCTCGGTCGTGACAAAGTGTGTTGTGTCTATCCTCACGCTGTCCACAATCTTGGCGCCAATCCTCTCAACCGCCTCTGCCAGCTCCTCTCGCATGGACTGCGGCAGGATGCCCGTCGTGATGGTGATGCCACTCAGATCTGTCATCTTGTGTGTCTGAACCTCAACCTTCTCGCTGCTGTACGTGCCGGCCGTCGTCCTGAGGACCAGGTGGAAGGTGTACTTGGTGTCCACGGCCAGACCCGAGATCTTGGTGGTGTGCATCTGGAGTGGGCGGGGGATGTTGCCCGCCTTCTGTCCGTTGCGGTACAGGGCGAGGCTGATGAGATCCGCGGTCGCGAGCTGGATGGGGTCCCATTCTAGCACGACCGAGGTCTGGGTCGCGTTGCGACAGCGAAGCACGGGGCTGGAGGGCGAGGCAGCCCCGAAGGAGCCATAGATCTGATCCTGGAGGGCCTGGAAGCGCTGCTCGGCCGATGATTCGGAGGAGAGATTGCGTGCGACGGTGATGTCGACGATGGAGCCTGACGAGATGTCTGGTGGTAGTAGGATGGAGGGAAACTCGATCTGCGGCAGGACACTGGTGAGCTTGGGCTGCCCGTCCCCGAAGTGGTGGCTGGCGCGCAAGGGGAGGGAGCACTGCCAGCAGGCCACCCATGTAGACTTACGAGTCGTTTGTCTGGGGTCAGGAGGACGGTGACGCCGGCGTCGACCTTGCCGACGGTCAGGGAGACGAGCATCTTGGCCCGTCGTCTTGGATCGCCTCTTGGCGCCCGACGCGAAGTTGCTGAAGTGTTTGGGAATTGGTGCTGGTGGAGACTGGCTGCGGGTGGAGAGTCGAGGTTGAGATGGGCTTCGCAATCAAGGTTCGGGAAGCTGTTACGAGCTGTTACGATGGTAGTTGGTGCTGGTCGCCTTTGCTTGTGAAACCGGGACCTCCAGCGGGCTAGCTGTAGGCTTATGTAAGCCAAGCTGAGGCGGAAGGGGGCACCCCTGGGATGCCGGGCTTGCAAGTGCTTTCTCTCCCTTGAGGACTGGTTGTTTCTACAATAGTCATTTGCCTGTAAGGAATTCCAGGCCCGCCATTTGGAGTTTTGCACAAAAGGCACTCCAGCCTGGCCAGTCTGGTATGTTATCCGCTCATGAACCTCCCTTACAGTCGACAGATATTGAGTAGAAGATCGACCGGCATGACTGACTCTCTTGTATCCGAATCTCACAGAACTCAACACGGTGGCATGGCACGCTTCAATCCAGCCCAGCTAGCTTTCATTTATTGTTTTACTTGTACTGTTTGACTCCCGGCCAATCTTTGGTCTGCTTCTTGATTCCAGTACTGTCAGGCATTGCCCGTCAGGTGTGTTTGAAGTTCTCTAGATGCACAAGTCGGACCGGCCTTGGTTGACTATCTTCGCAACTTCCGTCCAGCCTGGGCCCCTCTGTGTCCGCCGCCCCTACTCTTGCTGTCGCCCGCAAGCCTTTGGACATGTTGACGTGAAGCCGGCTGGGATTTCCTGGACGCATCTCCTGGACGTTGGCCAAGGGCTTCTTCTACGCCCTCCACGACCGCTGTGCAGAAGGTCTGCAGGTCTTTGAAAGGAATCTTGTAGACGTCAACCGGCGAATGGGCCTTGATAACCACGGTGCCGGCCAGGTGCGTGATCGCCCTAGTCCCAGAAGGTGCGTGCTGTTGATCTGGCAACCTGTTCCCATGAGTGTCGTAGCCGGCGTTCTGCAGCGCTTGTCGGAAGGCGGCGTTCAAGCGAGCGGTGGCCTTGTTACGGACGACGGGCTTTGTCGTCGAACTGAGGGCCTGGGTCCTCCACCAGAGCGGTTTCGCAGAATCTGCTAGATACCTCCTGCATACTGCCTCGGTAAATGACGAGCCCTGGGTTGTGAAGTAGTTCAGGTCAGAGTAGTGCAAAACGTGCCGACCAGCCATCTCAACCGTAATGTGCTTGTAGCGCAACTTGTGGACCTTCTTGAGTTCGCCATAGAGCCCTATATTGTGCTGCATCAGCCAGGCGACGCGCTCTTTGCCGTCCGGAGTGTATACATCTCCATTCTCCGCCACGCGTGGAACCCGAGAAGCCGTGGACAGAAATCGCTCGCGTTCTCTGCTGCAGTGGCGGTCATGAGAAGCATGCCATTTTGCAATGATTGCCCTCGATCTCGGCCTCACGAGGGCACGGAGGCAACTAAACATAGTTCCCTAGTGCACTTGTCATGGCATCCTGGTGAGGACCAACAGCCAGCTACTTACACATGACAATCAAGGTTAAATTCTGACCAAAATTTGCAACAAGACATCGTCCACAATAACTCACAATAAAATCCCACTAGATTTCTCCGGGCTGTATTCTGGCAAGAGCCTGCTTGCAGCCTAGGGACCAGCTTGCCTTCAGAGCAACGAGTAAGAGTGGTGGTTTGAAGAGGCTATCAAGTGAGCCTGGTGATTGGTGAACAAGAAACTCTGCAGGGGGTCACTCAGGCTGGTACTGTATGCCTATCATGGAGACCTAGGCACTTGAATACCTAGATATGCAATTGCGGGTGCAGCCGACCCGCTAGAGCGTTAGCGCCCAGCTCTGATCCTGGACCCACAGCCAGGCCCACAGTGACCCCCTAGCGCCTGGCATTCGCCCCGCGGTGAAAGCCCACAAGCACAAAAGGACCCCGCCAACACAAACCCGTCGCCTGTTACTCGCGGCTACTCCTTCTTCCTGCATTTCACCACAGCCAAGGCAACCCTTCCTGTTGTCCAACCCACTTCCCTGTCCGCACCCAAGGAACAGAGTGCAGACCATCTCGGAACCCGTGGGCAATACCTCTTAAAAGCCGACAAGATGCCTAAGAACAAGGGAAAGGGAGGCAAGAACCGAAGACGTGGAAAGAACGAAAATGACAATGAGAAGCGAGAACTCACCTTCAAGGAGGAGGGCCAGGAGTACGCACAGGTCGTGAAGATGCTCGGGTAGGTCACATACCCACCGCTATATTATGTTATCGTGGCCCCAATCCCCAAAGAGGGCAGCCTGCCGCTTCTCTCCCCATGCACTGTCTCTCACCGACCAAGACGAACCTGGCGACACGCGTGCTGACGACAATCTAGAAACGGCCGCCTGGAGGCGCAATGCTTCGACGGAACCCGCAGACTCGGCAACATCCGCGGCAAGCTTCGCAAGAAGGTCTGGATTAACCAGGGCGACATCATTCTGCTGTCGCTGCGTGACTACCAGGACGACAAGGGCGACGTCATGTAAGTCTATACTCAAACCCCTCAAAAGCTCCCTCTTCCCCTCCCGAGGCGTACTGCCGGTGTTTCGCCCCCCCCCCCCCCAACTCCCCAAGAGAAGTCTATGTTCCACATGCTGACCGGTGTCAAAAACACCTACAGTCTCAAGTACACAGCCGACGAGGCTCGTTCGCTCAAGGCATACGGCGAGCTCCCCGAGACCGCCAAGATCAACGAGACGGACAACTTCGGCGGCGGCGAGGACGGCGACTGCGGCTTCGAGTTCGACGAGGACCGCGACTCGGACAGCGGTGACGAGGGCGGTGCCGGAGGCAAGGAGGTGGACATCGACGACATCTAAGCGGTAGCCTCCAACTGCATGGCGAAGTCAAGGACTTTTCTGTGGCTGTCATGTTCCTTCGGGCATGCCACGAGTTGCGACCCCGGACTCTCCGTCAGGGCATGTCTAGACGACAGGCGTGCCTTTGCACGGAAGGGGTGCGCGAGCAAACCGCCGTTGAGCGGCGGCGGTGAGCGGGACTGTCTTCTCTCTATTAGACCTGGGGGCTTGTGATGGCTTGCTGCCGCCGCTTGCTCCTGGTTTCTCGACAGTTGAAGTGTGGGGGCGGCTAGGATGGGAGGGACGTCCTGTGTCGGCAATCATGTTATTCTTTTCCTAACCTTGATGATGAATGCTCGAGCTGTTTCATGGGAGACCGAAGAGTTGCAATCCGTGATCATGTCCTGATGTGGTAGCACAATGATGGGGTACGAAAGCATGGGATTTGCCACTCTAAACAAAAACCAAAATCCTCACAGACCGCATGTGACCTCATCGTTAATCAAGTCTGGTCTTGCGACTTTTGATAATCTCTAATTTTTTTCATTCTTAATCTCTGCCTTGGCATTGTGTCCGGGACAACTGCTGATACGGACGCTCCACACCAGCATGGCAATGATCCTCTTGGCTTGACTAAATACCAATGCACTCATTTCTTCCAAAGTAGTACAGCCCATCCTGAACCATGCCACTCTGGCGATGGCGGCCGACAAGAAGATAAGATGCTGCATAACGTTGCTAGCTTGTCCACCCAGGCCGCGAAGAGCGGTTTACCGCGTGGAATTGCCCGGGCCGTCTCCAGTTGAAACGTTGGTGACGAAGCTTTTCTGTGATCCTCCTCTTCCACTTGGTCAAGAACTGGGGGTCTAATCCCAGTCGTTGTCATCGTCCTCGTCGTCTATAAACCTGTTAGTATATCGTCCACCATTCGTTGTTTGCAGGTGACAGCTTACCACTATGAGCAACCTTCTTGTTTCTCGCCGCAAGGGCCGCTGCCAAAGCATCGGCCATACCGCCGCCTGCTGGTGCGACCCCTGATGGCGGCAAACCACTCCCATGTGGGCCTGTATCGCTGCTGCCTCCAACCTGTGCCGCACTCCTGTCACGAATTTGACTCCTATCAACCTTCTTCAAAGCACCGATACCGCCAGCCTTCTGTATACCATCCAGCACAGCAGCACGCCCAGGGTCAGCACCAGCCGCTGCTGGCACACCGGAAGAGTAGCCCGAGTCGCGGTTCGGCGGCGGAGGTGGTCCAGGCGGAGGGGGCGGGCCTGGTGGAGGTGGAATGCCGGCAGCACCACCAGGCGGCGGGGGTGGCGGGGGCGGCGGGATTCCGCTTGGCGCACCAGATGGCGGTGGCAGAGGTGGAGCAGCCGGGGCGCCAGTGGGAGGTAACGGCGGCGGCGGCGGCGGCCCAGCCGACGATGGCGGTGGTAGAGGAGGAGCAGCCGGGGCGTTGGTTGGAGGCAATGGGGGTGGCGGGGGCGCATTTGCTGCTGGGACGGGTGGTGGGGGTGGCGCCGAGGCAGCTGGCGCCGGTGGCGCTGGTGGAGCGCTGGAAGCTGGTAGCGGAGGAGGCCCTGCCGGGCTTCTCGCAGGTAAGCCTGGGGCCGGTCGGGAGGTAGGAGGAGGGAGGGGCGGCGCGGCCGATCCAGGGGCCTTCGGAGGCAGTGGTGGCGGCGGACCTGGCGGAATGGCGCTTGTTTCTCGCGACGGCGGTGGAGGAGGGACAGGACCACGACTTTGTGGTGGGGGAGGAACACTCCTCTGGCCTTGGAATGCCGGAGGCACACCAAACTTGTGGCCTGGTTCTCTGGTATCTTCGATAGGGGACTTTGCCGGTCGTGGTGGAGGGGGTGGACCGGGAGCCTTAGCTGTCTCGGCGCGCGCGAGTTTCCCGGCATCAGGCAGCGGCGGCGGGACGTGGAATCTGGGCCTTGGGGGAGACGGATCACGAGGGGGCGTCGGCTCTCTAGCGACGGCGGCCGACTCTGTCTTCCCAGACCTTCTTGGTGCGGGAGGGGGTGGTGGAGCGCCGCCTCGTCGTGGTGCTGGAGGAGGGGGAGGAGCTCGGGAACCGGTCCCGTTGACTGGGGGCGGTGGGGGTGGAGGAGTCGAGTGCTTCGTCTGAGCCTGCTCCTGCTTGAGAAAATCGACAATGAAGTCCTGATTGTCCTTGATGAAGTCATCGGTAAGGCCTTTGCTCCTCAGGTCGTCGCCAAAGTGCTCTCTCCATTCGGGATCAAATGCCTCGAGGGTCGCAAACTCGGACCTGTGCCCATTGCTCCCAGACGATTGCCTGTGGAAATGGCCGATTGAAGGGGCGTTGTTGCGAGGAGAGTCGGGCGGCGTCGGTGCAGAGGCGTGCCTATGTCCTCCGAAGATGCCACCTAGCAAGCTGTGCTTGTGGTGACCGGCTGCTGCTCCGGGGGCAACCCCACCGAATGGTGTCGTCTTGGTCGCCTTGCTCGCGTTCTTTTCCCTGTCGTTCATCTTCTTCAGGAATTGCTTCGCCTCCTTCTCGTCGACGAAAGACAGAGCGGCCACGCAGTCTTCTAGCTCGAAGGAGTGGAAGAACGTTCGGTCTTGGTTGTAGCTCCATGTGTCGAAGATCTCCTGATCCCATACCACCCCTCGCATGGCGGGCTGTTCCTATCGTGTCAGATTGCGCCGTGGGCGAGCTGGTTCGCAGCTGGACAGACTTACGGATATGTCAACCATCTTGAGCCAGTATGTGTTCCCGACAAGGTCGTTGGAAAGCACGACAGCCCCTTGCAATCCCGTGTACGTCCATTTTGATCTGTTCGGGTACGCGACGTATAGCCGGGCGACGGCGACGGCCTGGATCTTGTTGCTCTGTTTGGGGACGAAGCGCTTGACGGTCTCCTTGTCGGCCTCGCTGAGGATGGACGGCATGGTGGTATCGCAGCCCGGGCTGGAGGGGGCACCGTGAGGCTGGCGGGCGGTCGTCGAGAGGAGGACAGAGAGGGGCGGGGATCGGGCGAGATTGGGGGGTCTTGCTCCCAGCAGCCTGTTCTCGATGTTCCGTAAGCTAATTCATGAGGCGAGTGAATTGGACCGAACGGCGCTGTGCCGCTGCCTGTTGCTGGATGTGGCGGTCACAGCGGCTGGGCTGGTGCTGGTGTTGCTAATGGCGGTGATAATGGCGGTGGTCAAGGAGGGAGTGTGTGGTGTGTGGTGTGAGTGTTGAAATGTGGCACACTACCAAGCTGCGAGGTGGTGTTTCCAAGCCTGGAAACGCTTGGCTTGGCTTGGATGACTGGCAGTGCCCACTGGGAATTTGTCGCAGGTACGGCGGGCGACGCTGGCAGATCGGATGGAGGTAGTTGAGTGGCTTACTGAACGCGCGTATCAAGGCAGTCGAGGTAGGTAGGGGGTTCTTGGGAGTGTGGTTGGAAGTAGGTAGGATTTGGGCTAAGTGGCAGGCGCAAGGCGGACGTAGCTAGACCAAACGGTAGACCGTTCGACCGGATCTTGGCAGCAAGACTGACAAGTGCCCACGCCTGGCTGACAGGGCAATTAATAAAGCTCGGAACAAGGGCGGGATCAGGAGGTGTAGGCCTAATCAGTACGTCGTCACCCGGGCAGGTCGGTAATAAGAGGCGGGGAACGATCCGAGAGAGGTGAGGTTTGGACTCGAAGGGAGTGCCAATTTACAGAGACCCGGTAACTGGGCTGGGTACTGGTTTGCTTGCAGCTGGTACGTGGGAGCCCAACTACTGCGTACATTGCTGAGAGCTATCCCCCGGCCCCGGGAGCGTTTCATGACACCTGTTGCATCATCGCTCGCTCGCTCTTATTACACAGTACGAGAGCCTACCCGTTACATGAATATCAGATGAATGAAGCGATACCATCGTGCTCCGTACCGCTCTCCTGAGCAATCGGTTGCGAGCACAGCCACAGCCCAGGCCCGCCGCTGATCTTGTTGCTCCCGCCGCTGTCATCGCCAGGATGCATATTGCCTGCAGCCTGATGGGTCTTGCAAGCTACACTGTTGTGCAAGCTGCTGCAGCCCAGCCCTAGGCGCTGCAGGGCTCTGGGGCTCTAGGGCTCTAGGGCTCTAGGGCTATGTGGCCCACCGGGTCCAACAACCAGCCCGCGGCCGAGATCAACACGAACCACAAACTACAGCGGCTGTGGCACCGCAAACAAGTGCTGCATTACTACCAGGCGGCGTTACCCGGTCGAACAGATAACAGATACGTGCAAATGGTTGGGCATCTGAGGCGAGGTGGAGAGGGGGCCAGCCTGTGAAGCCTCGGGTATCGATCGAATGTCATCTCTTTCATTAAGTCATGGTACCTGTCCTGCAACAGTCTCTGCCCGAGCGTCGAAACGGCCTAGAGTCCCCACCCGCCATAGCTGCTCCATAGTAGCTATATCGCAGTTACTGGTTCAACTCCTTCGCCTTGGCCAGGCGCTCCTCCTTGGTTCCCTCCTGAGGAATCTGGCTGTGGTCGTGCGACTGCGCTGGGCCTGGCGCCGCAACGTGTGGGGCGACCTTGGACTTGATGGCCTCGATGAAGCCAGTGCCCTCCTTTTTGCCCTCGTCGATGGGCTTGTTGAAGAGATGCCGCTGTCAGCCATGGCAGTTCCAAGAGCGGGAAACCAGGTCAAAGCAGCCCCGCAAAGCTTACCTGGGTGGTGAACTCCTTCTCTTGCTGGTTCTTGTCAGACATGGCTGCGACGAGTTGGTGTAGAATGCGGGCTGGCGTGTATGGTAGGTAGGTCCTGGCCACTATCGTCAGGCGGCTATCTTATGGGAGACTGGGAGGTGGGAGGCGGGTTTGGTATCAAGGCTTACCAGGTAGTCAGGGGGAAGAAACTTGGTATCGTGCAGGTTTAGAGGTTGGTGGCTAACAATACCGGGCGTACAGAATCCACGAGGGAATGTTGTCCCGTCTTATACAGCCACGTCGGATTTGAGTTGGGGGCCCTCTCCAGTCATGGGCTACGCCTATGCACAAGCTGGGCGCCAGCACATGAAAGATGACGTCGGTCTTGACTAACACCGACCCGTGACGAAGCAGGCAAGCACGCCCCGCCAGACGGGCAGATGTCTGGCAGGACGTCCATAATTGGGCAGGTGTCTCCCCTGCTAGCATGTTGTGCTTGCGATTTCTGACAGGCGGAAGCGGCCGAGACCCAAGGATGTGGGTATCAGTCTGTTTCGGCTTGCCTGCGGCGGTCTGGCAATCGAGGCCGATACGTCGCCAGGCCGGTTGCCTCACTTTTAGCATCTCGGCTTCGAAATTCACGAGACGACAGCTAGCAGTCTCCCGAATTGCATGGATCAGCGATGCCACATCATCGAGGAGGCCTGCTGATTCCTTGTATCCCAATCAACATCCGACTCAGACAACAGAGCTGGATTGTTCGTTTCACTTGCCTAGGTAGTCAAGGAGGGAACGCCGGACTGGCTAGGGCGGCTGGCACCAGCTGCGGGCCAGCTGCGGGCTGCGAAGGGTCGCCAATCTGACGACATCGAGCTCATCGAGCTCATCGAGCTCCTCGTCAGGAGTGCACGCGTCCCACTTGGCCCGAATCTCAGCCTTGTCCCAAGCGTACCGGACCGGCTTTGTTGATATCGGTCGGTCCGACGACCATGTTTCATTCCTTATCAGTAGGCATCACATCTGCATTTGGCCGCCGCACTCCATCATGGCCGCCAACGATGCGCCCCAGCCGGTGAAGCTCTCACTGCCCCTTGTAAGCCTCTCCATGGACTGCCGTCCACAGGCTCCACATTAGACACTGACACTCATCGCCTTCTCTCAAGGAATACCAACAGTCTCTCTTTCAAGAACTCCGTGCAGAGGACGAGCTCGTCATTCTGGCCCGCGGCCTTGGGCTCATGCGCTTGTTGACCAACCTGCTGCATTCATACGATGCTGCCGGCAACAACCTCCTTGTCGTGGTTAACGCCGAGGACCGCGAGAATAATTGGATCGGCGAAGCTCTCGCCGAGCATGCAGCAATCAGCATGGCGCCTCTGGCCCGCGGCCTGACCGTGGTCAACACTGACTACACGAACGTCGGTGTGAGGGAGAAATTGTATGCCTCGGGGGGCATCTTCAGCATCACGAGCCGTATCTTGGTCGTGGACATGCTCACCAACCTGTTGAACGTTGAGAAAATCACCGGAATGGTTGTTCTACACGCCGACAGGGTTGTCGCCACCAGTCTGGAGGCCTTTGTCCTGCGGATTTACCGCCAGAAGAACAAGGTCGGGTTTCTCAAGGCTTTCGCCGACAATCCGGACCCCTTCACCACTGGATTCAATCCGCTCGCCGCCATGATGCGAAATCTCTTCTTGAGGAAGGCGAGCCTATGGCCTCGTTTCCATGTCTCTGTGGCTCAATCCCTGGAGGGCAAGAAAAAGGCAGAGGTCATCGAGCTTGAAGTGCCTATGACGGATGCCATGAAGGAGATCCAGGCTGCCGTCATGGAATGCGTCGAAGTCAGTATTCACGAGTTGAAAAAGGGAAATACAGGCCTCGAGATGGATGACTGGAATCTCGACAGCGCTCTGACCAAGAATTTCGATGTCATGGTGCGCCGTCAGCTTGATCCAAATTGGCACAGGGTGAGCTGGAAGACAAAGCAGATCGTCAGCGATCTAACTGTGCTACGTAGCCTGTTGCAGGCCATAGTCGGAATGGATGCTGTGCAATTCCTGCAAAACCTAGATACCATCCACGCTGCGCACTCGCCTACGCCGGGGTCAACTAGGCAGAACCAGTCCCCATGGCTGTTTCTCGACGCTGCCCAGACCATTTTTGACACCGGCAGGAAGCGAGTATACAGCGGCGTCAACAAGCCCGGCGCAGACTCGAATATTGACTCTGTGCGCCCGGTGCTCGAGGAACAGCCCAAATGGGCGGTATTGGCCGACGTTCTTCAGGAAATCGACAGAGATCTCTATTTCGAGCCAATGGCCCGCGATGACTCTAACGGCACTATCCTGATCATGTGCTCAGATGCCGCAACCTGTCGTCAACTCAAGGAATACTTGCAATCCATGCATGTGAAACCCAAGGCCGAGCAACAGCAGAGGAAGAAGATCGTCTATCAGAGTCCTGATGATGAGGATGAGGAGGACAAGCCTTCTGCCACCTTCATGATGAGACGCAAGCTGCGCAACTATCTCAATTGGAAGCGAGAGTTTGCCAAAGTCAGTGCCACTCTCTTCGCCGAAAACCAGAATGCTCTGAAAGGAGCGACGGATCCCCGTCTGCAAAAGACCAGCAGAGCCCCCGCTAACAAGCGGCGACGCGTCCGCGGCGGTGCTGCCATGGCGACAAGTCTTGGCCGAGCCGAGAACGGGAGCCTCGTACCATACTTTGAGAAGGCGAGCGAGGTGTCTGAGCTCATGGAAGAAATCCAGATCACAGAAGAGGAGGCAAAACAAAAGGCAGATATTATTGAAGACACGTTGGAAGACATGGATGACTTTTACGACATGTACGAAATGCAAGATCTGGTCGTCATACACGCCTACGACGGAGACCAAGACGAGCATGTGCTCGAGGAGGTCAAACCGCGATACATCATCATGTATGAGCCTGACGCGTCGTTTATCAGACGGGTCGAGGTGTACAGATCGTCTCACAACGATCGGAACGTACGCGTCTACTTCCTGTACTACGGTGGGTCCGTAGAGGAACAGAGGTACTTGACGACGGTCCGGCGGGAGAAGGATGCATTCACCAAATTGATCAAAGAGCGCGCGAGCATGAGCGTCGTCATGACTGTCGATGCTCATGGCGTCGAGGACCCACAGGAGGCGTTTCTGAGGACCATCAATACTCGCATAGCCGGTGGTGGTCGCCTAGCTGCCACTGCGCAGCCTCCTCGGGTGGTGGTCGACGTCCGGGAATTTAGATCTTCTCTGCCGTCGCTCTTGCATGGTCGCTCCATGGTCATCGTACCATGCATGCTGACCGTGGGGGACTACATCTTATCGCCCAACATATGCATCGAAAGGAAATCCGTTAGCGACCTGATTTCCTCCTTCAGGGATGGACGTCTCTACAGTCAGGCCGAGACCATGTTCCAGCACTACAAATCGCCGATGCTCCTCATTGAGTTCGACCAGAACAAGTCTTTCACTCTGGAGCCTTTTGCTGACCTATCGGGGAATATGAAGAGTGTCAACCCGGACAATACATCGTCTGACCTCCAATCCAAGATAGTGCTATTGACACTGGCCTTCCCCAAGCTGCGGATAATATGGTCATCTTCGCCTTATCAGACGGCCGAAATCTTCGAGTCTCTCAAGGCACAGGAGGAAGAGCCAGATCCGATTGCGGCCGTGAGAGCCGGACTCGATAAGAACGAGGTTGCTGAGGAGCAGCCGTTCAACCAGCAGCCGGAGGAGATGCTGATGCATGTTCCGGGTGTGACGAGTAAGAATATCAAGAACTTGACCCTTGAGACAGAGAACATCAGGAACATTGCCAACATGTCTATGCAAGATTTGGCGCCGCTGGTGGGTGGGGAGGCTGCAAGAAGGATTGTCAGATTCTTTGCGAAAGATCTACTTGAAGATGAAGATTGATTTTTGTGTCTTCGCGGCCTATAATAATTGGACCTCATCGCACACAGCTTCTAGGTTTCTCCGTAACCGTTCTTGTCCCTCTCCATGTCCAAACCGATTCGATAGAATCTGGTTATCACCACGATGCAGGGTTCGGTGCTGTACACAACGTGTACACAACGTGAACACAAATGTCGGCTAACCAGCCACATTTCTGACCACGGCGGTGTCACATTGCCACCATATTTGTGCAATGTAAGCAATTTTCTTGCAAGAGTTGTTGGGCATGTAGGGTATATTCCGTTACTGCTTGTGCTCAATCATGCTGATGACGCTCTCGTCAGGCAAAAAAAACATCTCCCGTGCCGTCGGTACTGTACATATGGGAAAATAGGGGTATCATGTGTCCTTCAATGCCCTGAACTGGAAAACGCAGAGGCCCATGATCGAAAGCGTTCCTCCAAAAGTCGGCAACCCAAAGGCCGCTCGCCGATATTACTCTCTCTCCCCTCTCCAGACTTCTTGGCTGGTTGCACCTCGTCCCCTCTCCCGCAAGTGAGATCCAGGTCTTGATTATCTCACGAACACGCCCGCCTGGTGGCCGTGCCGTTGCTCCTAGACATGACTAGTGTGTCTTGTGCGACGAGTACCGCCGCCGCCACGTCCGCAGTAGCCACCTGTTGGAGGAAGGATTGATCAGTTACTCTGCACTCCAGATCGCGGGAATATCGGTGTGCAAGGTGTTACTCACAGGTCAGAAATCTAACGATGGCCGAAAGGACTGCGACGACGCCGTTGACGATCGACATGATGACCCCAGCGATCGCTCTAATGACTGTCATGATACAGTCACCAATCCCCTGGATACAAGACATTACTGCGCCCATGTTGACGGTGTTGCGCTCAGTTTTGTGGCAGGTTGGTAGTGCTGATGATGGAGGTGTGACTTGTAGGTCGGAATATTTTTGACTTTCTCGGGTTGGGAGATGACTTGCAGGATGGAGGTTTATTATTGATACAAGAGTTATAAGACCCCACAGACTCGGGAGGAAAACGAACAGATATGTGTGGCCCCTTATATCTTCGAGACTGGAAATCCCGGCAGCGGCTTGCCGTAACATATTTTGTTGTTCACCCATGCATCGCGATCCCATCGGTGGGCAGGTGCTGTCGATATCAGGCTGACGTCACCGTGTGACCGGGTGATTGCTGCAGGGATTCCCCTTTGTGAGGATCCCTACGCCATCCCAACGTCAACAGCGTCACTGCAGGGCAAGGGAGGGAAACCTCCGGATTTAATTTTTCCTAACGCTAGGGCTTGTTGGGACCGCCTGGCAACCGGAGCGATCCAACACTGTTTGGGAAATGAAATCTGACATGAGACACAGGAATCAAGAAAACCACGTTTGACCATTTCCGCTTCGAGCCTTTCCTCTTCCCAAGGTGACGTAGCTCGGTGTTCTGGGCCTCTGGACCTACTGGCGCTAGGACCGTCTGGTGGCAGCTGCGTCACCACCAATCACAGCAATGTCTGGTGCCGAAAAGGGAAGGCAGCCAGTGCGACCCCTGCAGGGGAGGGTCGTCAATGATAGAGGTCAGTAATCTTTGTTTTTTTAACTTTCATCTCTTGTTCGCCTTTCATACTGTTGTCCTTCCTGGTCCATGTACTATATCTCTGTTGTCTGACCAGCGCTTGTGAGACATTGAAGTTTGATCATAAAGAAGCAGCATATAAACCCTTGGCTCAAGATGAACCAAGTTATGTTGACATATCCCTTCCTCTGTCTCCTGTTGGCATTGCTGAATTGTGGGGACATCAATAACACATATCAGCTGCCGGTAAACACAGCAAGACATCGGGAAAGGTCTTGATTGCCAGATAGGGACTATGTTATCCAAGCTCTTGGTACCTAATACTCGGTATCTATTTCTCTGTCAGTGGCAGGTGGTGCCCAAGATTCCTGTGTTCTTCAACTTAGAAGATGAAGTAGTACGCGTGGGACAGTCTGGCAGTAGCCCAGCTACTACTGGCATTATTCTTGACTTCCCTTCAAGACTACGGCTTCATAATTCTCTCTAGCAGGCCCAAACAATAATAGCTGGTTCCTCCTGTACTAGGTTACCAGCAATGACTGGTGGATAGCCCCAGCTTTGTTACCAGGCAAGCATCTCTCAAAGAACATCAAATATATCCCTACCACTACCACCTTGTCTGCGTCCATGAAACTACAAAACAGGCATTGCAAAATGAAATTAGTCGCAACCTTCCTTGGGACTTCCAATACCCTAAGCGCCATTTCCCCGTGAGATGGCTGGGCCTGGACGACCAGTGAAACCCGATGGCACTCAACAGCAACCGATATTGGTCGACGAGGATGAAGACGCCCCCCAGTCCGGAATCGGTTTTCAGGTAGAACAACTGGTCCGGCAGGTTCGAAAGGGCGATGCAAGGTTTGACCCAATAGACCTTGATGGTGAGGAAGACAGCTTGTCTGAGGATCCGTGGCGTGCCGACGAAGACAGTTACGACAATGACAACGCTAAGATCGAGCGGGAAGAGCTCGCAAACGACCCCGGGGACATCCAAGACGGCCCATGTGTCCACTGGAGGAAAGCTGTGCGAAACCCTTGTCCATGCGGTACCCACCACAAGGTGCCGAAAATCATGATAGGCAGCATGGAGCTCAGCGAGTCTCATGTAGTCGAGTTGAAGGAGCCGGTCCGTGTCGGCCGATATGGAGCAGAATTCGTTGAGATTTATGAGATCTGGATACCGAATAAGGGTGACCATACCTTTGTGCGTGGCCGAGCTTATGCCAGAACAAGGAACCTAGAAGGCCGTATCGAGCCTCGGAAGAACGAAGTCTGCGAGATCTTGGAACTTGACGAGGACGATTATCGCGGTACCGATCCAACGTGCCATCTGGACCAAGCGTTAGTCGAGATTTTGGTACAGGACATCAAGGTCACCAGGACACTACACAAGACGAACAAAGCGTTTCCCGAGTGCCGCTTCGACCATGTCCGATATAGGACTAAGGAAGAGAGAGAGAATGAGGCACCTCTGACCTGTCGTTGGCAAATGGTCTTGTCGTACCCGGATCCAAGGTATCGTCGTCAACAGCGGCCGATTGCTGGCGAATTGATCAGGCACTACGACCAGAACGACATACCAAAAGACAGACACCGCATATTAGACAGTGAACGCCGCAAAGCCCATGAGAAAGTTCGCGGCGGCTCGTTCATCCCAAATGGCGCACATGAGGGAGGTCTGAGGGCCTCTCCTATCCACCTGGCGCCAGGACAGAAATATACGGTTGTCGACATTTTCTCTGGCGCCGGAGGCTACTCGAAGGGGGCCGAGATGGCAGGCCTGAAGGTCTTGGCGGCTTGCGACCACTGGCCGAGGTGTTGCGAGACATATCGGCAGAACTTCCCGGATACCGAGCTCCACCAAGAAGACGTGTACAAGTTCATCGACGACGTGAGCACGGACCTGACCCGCGAGCATCTGGACGTCGATATCCTCCACTTTTCTCCTCCCTGCCAGACGTGGTCCCCAGCACACACGTGCGAGGGAAGGAAGGACGAAGAGAACAGGGCCACGTTGTTTGCCTGCGAGAAAATTATAACGATATTCAAGCCCCGCATGTTTACTGTTGAGCAGACCTTTGGCCTTGCTCAGGAACGGTGGATCCCCAACTTCAACGCCCTCCTACAGGGGTTTACACGTCACGAATACTCGGTCAGATGGAAGGTACTCCACTTGGTCGAGTACGGCCTCCCGCAGACGCGGAAGAGGCTCGTAATGATCGGCGCTGCGCCGGGCGAGCAGCTCCCCGTCTGGCCGAAGCCAACGCACAGCAAGGACCCAAAGGATGGTCAGAAGCCGTTCGTGTCGGCTTTTAAAGCCTGTAGTTCTCTTGTTGAGGGCCAGAACTTACACGACGTCGAGGGCGCTCGTCTCACCAACAAGGCGCCATGGGATAGCAGCAAGCCTTTGGGGCGGACTATCACCACTTCTGGCGGCCAATCGTACCACCATAGTGGGTCGCGGGAATACACACTGGGGGAACTCGCTGTTCTTCAGGGGTTCCCTGTTTCCTTCATCTTCATGGGGAAGTGTATCAAGAAGCAGATCGGAAATGCTTTTGCGCCAATTGTTGTCAAGGCTCTTTTGAGGCATCTTCGTGTCCACCTGGAGAACTTTGATGGGGTCACTCGTCAACCACCACAGGGCCAGCTCATTATACTCAGCGAAGATGAGGATGATGGCCGCAGCGACAAGACACAGAAGCCACAATACAAAGACAGTAGCCATACACAAATCGCGAGTCAATCTGTAGTTGAGGTCCCGGTGGCCTCCGGGAGGGAGCCACCCGGCATGAGCGGAGAATTCCTCCAAGGCATGGTTGATGATTTTCGAAAGAACTCCGTACAACACTATCTGACAAAGGACAAAGACAAGGCTTCAAAGAGGTGCAGCAGCTCCAGGCCCAATCTTGGCCAATCAAGCGGGCCATCAAGCAGTCAAGCTCAACCAGCCCAGGGGCACATCAGAGGCTCTGACTGTGTCCTGGAGAATGCGGAATACTCACAAAGCCTAGTTGGAGCCGTTGTTATTGGAGAAAAGAAAGTGGCCCCTGTGACTACTGTAGACCCCGACACTGACTCTGGTGAAAACTTGGGTGCAGGCCTCCTTCACGCTGGGCCCAATAACAGCAACACGGTTGCCGGGGACGTCACCTCCAGCACCCCAGACACACCTTTTCAGATTTTCTCAACTACACATGCTGACACGGGGACGTATCCACATCCAACAAACGTTGTTCAGCCCATCAGCAGGTCTTTCAACAACACAATCATCAGCCATTCCCCCCAGACGTCCTTGGGACCTGATAGCCCACAGGAACCACCAGTTCTTCGACCTGCTATCACCATGTCTGACTCGGAACCACCAGGCAGACGCACCTCAAGTTGCCCGGGAGCAGCTCAGGGCCACCCTCAGGCCATAGTCAATGGTGTCCTCCAGGCACCCGCCCGAGCCCCAGAGCCAAATACCAACACAGCCACAGGCCGCCGGAGTGCCAACATGGCAAGAACCGTTGCAGACTTGGACCATGTGCCTGCTCTGACTCGTCCAGCCTCTGTGCAATCCACAGGACATCAAAGTGCTCAGAATGCACAGACTCTTGCCGCTCTCTATCAATCCCCATCTACTAATCGCCCACGCTGCAATAACAATGCCGGGGTGGGTCATGCTGTGCCAGCACGCCAAAGTCTGCCTGGTTTCTCGGCCATGCTGCCATCCAGCCAGCGCATCTCGGAAGCAACACCAAGTCAAGCAACACCAAGTCAAGAAACACACATGTCTCGGAACCAAGACGAGTTGGCAAATCCTGCCCCTGTATCAGCCTCTATGGCTACTTCACAGGCGCTCCGAAGGGTTGAGGAGACAGCTAAATCCAGCTTCTTGTTTGCTGGCTTACTAGGAGCATTGCGCAGTTACGTCCCTCAAAATGCTGGAAACCCGACCGGAAGTAACCAGCCCGCGGGAACTGGCGAGCATTCCGTCGCTCCCAGAGCTCAGGGCAACGCCACCAGCCATCAGGATTTTGAGGGCCAGCGAGGCTCGGCCACTCACAGCAGGCTTATCCAAGGCCCTGTCACCTCATCGGCCAGGCAGGCCGGCATTTCCGCGGCCTTGAGGAGACGATCACAGGGCATACAGACAGGAGATGGCGCGCCTGGTTCATCCCGGGCGCGGTCGGGTGCCGACACCATCGCGTACAATGGCGAGTCTTCTCGCGCAGGTGACCGGCAGTCGCACCCGATCATTATCGAGGGCAACGAGATTGAAGGGGCTAGCGGAATCGTTGAGAACGGCGGTCTTCCTGGCGGAGTAGTCGAAAACAATACAAGCACCGACGATCCTGCGGATGACCAGGACGAGGCCCTACAACGCGTTCTTTGGGAGAGCCGTGCGGCTGCCCCCACCGCCGCCAACGCGGCGACCGAGACTATCGCCCACCACAGTCCTGCAGAGCTCCAGCGGCGTATGCTAGCCAAGTTCCGTCTCACCAAGGACAATGGCGCTCCTGCACCTGAGATGTTCGGACCGGGCGACCCTAAGGGCAAGGGAAAGGCCGTCGACAAGGGAAAGGCCGTCGACAAGGGAAAGACCGGCCAGACCCGAAAATATGACGAGTTCGCAGAGGACAAGGAGCCTGAGGGCCCGGGGAGCCAGAACAAGCGGCCCCGTCACAGCGAGTAGATTGGTTTGATCTCGTGCGGTGGGAGGCACCATGAAAGATGTCAAGAAGAGGGGCGCACACTCTGTCTTGCACGCTACAGGAAGGTTGATAGACGGCCAGCTGGTGATTGTCTACTTCGTGGACGGCAGCGACGGCGTCAGGCAGCAAAGAACAATGTATAATTAGATCAAGGCTTGTGCACAGATTCTATCAGAAGGGGACCAGGACACTCTGGTCGATCCAAGCCGTGTTTCCGGGCTCCCCGGTCTCGGTGAGGAAAACGTCCGTGGGCCATCGGTAGGGCTCGACCTTGTCGTCATCGAGCACGAGGGTGACGTTGCTGGCCTTCTCAGCCGTGACATTCCACCCGGGGCCGTAGTTCTCCCACGTGGCCATAAAGGTGTAGTTGTACACCCTGGGGTCGCTGGCGCTCCACCTGATGTACCCAGCGGGCAGGATGCTCGCATCGAAGTAGCTGTCCATGAAGATGGACCGCTGCTGGGCGTTCCATGGACGGCCCAGGGCGCAAGTGCCCTTTACCTCGGCGGCCGTGGAGGCGTTGTTGGCGATGAGCTGGGACGAATCGATGTAGGCACCGTACTTGTTCTCAAAGGTCGTGTTGGTACCCTTCCAGGCGGTGACGCCGCCTCCGCAGTGGCGCAGCGACAGGGTGGACTTGGTGATGTAAAGGGTGCCGAAGCCGTACAAAAAGTCCGTCTGGCCTGCAACGACGGTGTCGTAGAAGTAGGCGTTGGCAAGCTTGCCGACGTATATCTGCGGGCGGAGCGTGGTTAGTGCTGTGACTTGTGTGCTGAAACATCAACGACGAGAGGCAGGGGCGTGTCTCACGGTATCCTGCCAGCTGTAGAAGCCGCAGCTGTAGAAGCCAGCGTTGGCCCTGGACACGCCCATGGCGTGAGCCGGGCCGTGCGAGTAGGGGAACTCCTCGTTCCTGAAGTCAATGTTGTAGGCCCTGAAGTCTTGGCACCCGAACGGGGTGTCGTCGGGCACGGGGAAGCCGGTGGGCCCACTGCCGGTGAGGGTGGCGTTGAGGGTAGGGCCCACGGTCAGGACGCCGGTGAAAACGTTGTCACTGATCAGGTTGTTGCCCACGTTGGCGAGGTTGAACCAGACCTGCACATCGTTCTCGGCGGTCTGGTTGTAGCTCACGTCGCCCGCGTAGTCCTGCTGCATTGAGGGCAGGTTGGACTGGCCCAGCAGATAGAGAGGCGCCTGTCGGGTCACGTTGAGTTCTGCGGACTGTTGTCAGCATGATGTGCCGCCCCGTGCGAGGAAGCAAGGAAGGGTGGGGGGGGGGGAGTATCTCTGACGCTCATAGTAGAAGCCGGCACCGATCAGGATGTAGTGAGGGTCTGAGTCGTTGCCGACCGAGATGATGGCATCCTGGATCTTGGTGAAGTCGGCCCTTGTGTCATTGGCGCTCACATATATCGTGCCCTCCGGACAGCCCTCGAGCGGGTCGGCCGTCTTCTTTTGGCAGTCTGCGAAGGTGGTCGCTGGGTATGGAGCTGCCGAGTGAGCACTGGCGAGGACGGGGCTGGTGAGGCCCAGCGAGAGCAGGGCCACCACGGCGGCGGTGCATGGTCCCAACATGGTGATGAGTGAGTGATGATCGTCTTGACGGTGCTTGGCCTTCAGGGTCCAAGGGAGGAGATGCCAGTGCCAAGCAGGAGACAAGCTTCCGGGTGGAGAGCGTGTAGGCAGGAGAGGGAAGGGCCAAGGCCATATTATTATATCCTGTCGCTTGTCGTGGCCTCGACCCAGCCGCCCGGGAACGGTGACGCCTCTTACCTGAGGCAGTCATGGCCGGCGGATCTCGAGACGAACTGTGGGGAAATTGGCCGGCCAGGGGGCATGCCCTCCCTCCCGAGGGGCCGGACGCGTGGTGGGCTTTCCTCGTGTCATTCCGGCGGTGCTGCGACGGTGCTGCATGTCGAGCGAGGTCTAAAATGTGGAGGGGAACATGTGGTGTTCTCCCCACATTCCCCAATCCGACATCTGGAGTCCCCTAGGCATATTGGGGCGCCGGGGTGCATGATTCGTTTACACTACTAGGTGCTCAAGTACTCAAGCGGGCTTATTATTAGCTAGCGGCCGTCCAGGTACCTAGGTACCCCCAGGGGCAGCATGTTTTGCCTCCCACCGCCATTGATGGAACAATTCTGGCCTGAATTGCTCCGCAGCGCGCCATGTGTCCTCGCAGTCTCGGTGCGAGGCACGGGCTGCCAGGCAAGCAAGCCAACCTTACCCGTCTTGCCACGGAGTACATCTGTGGCAACTCGGGCGAGGCCGTTTTGTTCTCACTGCCGCGAGAGTCAGACGTTATTTCAGGGCAGAGCATGTGGGTAAAGGACAACATGGGATTCCTGGTAGCTGGTAGTCCACGACGGGGGACGACGGGCGTCTCATACTAACACGCTACCATAATCTCCCTTTAATTTCTCTCTCGCCGAGCAAGCCGGGCGTCCTGATCTTGCCTCTTCAGCTCTACATAGTAAGGCCCTGTGGTTTGGCATAGATGGGCTCATATGCTGTCAAGTCCTAGACCTTGTCACCCTACAACGCCATAAAAGGAGCCGCGCCACTTTTCAGGCTTTCTACTAGTCTGGATAGAGAGACACACAATCTTAACAGAAAGCTTCAGTGCTGCTACGAGGACGACCGAAATTACGGCGGAGTGAAGCAGGCGGTGGTCTCGACCACATGGGACTGGAGAATAAAAGCATCAATCGTACATATAAACAAACTCCGCGCCTCTCTCAAGCCCATCCACCGAGTCAAAGCCTCACTGCAAGTAGCATGTCACAAAAAGGATTTTGATAGAAACCGTAGCAAGTCTAGTCCAACATTTCGTAATGGCCTGATACACAAAAGCGAGTGCCAGAACACCGTACACGATTCCGGAACGCCCCCTAGATCCTCTATGACTCAAAAGCCGAAAGCCAGATTACTCTCTCTCGATCAGTCCTCCTCGCTGACATCGCTCTCCATGTCCAAGCCGCTGAGTTCCTGCTCGAGCTCCTTCTCCAGCTCCGCCTCGAAGTCGTCCTCACCCATGTCCATGTCGCCGGCGTCATCAGCCTGCGGCGGCGGAGCACCGCCGCCAGCGGTCACCGGGCTGGGCAGCTTGAAGCCGTTGCCGCCCGAGCCCGAGACGTCGTCGTCCTCCTCGCCCAGGATGTCCTCCTCGTACTCGGCGTCGGCGTCCTCGTCCGACTCCGGGCCCTCTCCGCGCACAAATTCGGAGAAGCGCCGGATCGCCGTGGGGAATGCGGGGCTGAAGTCCTGGCCGCGCGTCGGCGCCGATGGGGCAGGGTCTGGGTACTCGACCAGCAGGCCGCCGCCGTCGTCGTCGTCCTCCTCCTCCGACTCCGCCGGGGAGCGGTTCCGCTGTTGCTTCTTGGCCTTGCCGTCCTTGTCCGCCTGGGGCTGCTGCGATGCCTTGGCCTCTGCCTCGGGTGCCTCGGACTTGGCCGCGGGCGTCTCCTTCTTCTTGCTCTCTGCACTGGCCTTCTTGTTTGCGGTGTCTCGCCGGCCGGCCGGTGCCTTCTTCTTTTCCGTCGTGGAGCGGATGTTGCTGTCGATTTGTGGGTACTTGTCCTTGAGCTCCTGGGCGTCGCTGTTGTAGGGGGTGCATGCCAGGTTCATGTGGAACATGGAGTCCACGCGGTGCAGCACAAAGGCCTTGCGCTCCGGGTCGAAGATCAGGACATATTGGTTCTCCTTGGCGGACCGCGTGCCGTTGTATGCATACTTGCCCCCGTTCTCGTAGAAGGAGAGGTTGAATGTGTCATCTTGGGACGGGGAGGGCTTCAGCGTGGCCGCGTTGGGGGCCGTGTCCGATGACAGCTCGGGCTTGTGGTTGTCTGGGGCTCATCAGTCTCCAACCCAGCTCGAGTGATTTCTTCACCAGCGGGTGTGGTCGGGGCATCTCACATCTGATGGCGGTCAACGCCTCCTTGGACGACTTCCCGAGGAGAGCATCGCTGAGGATGACCGGATAGCTCTTGGGCTTGGTAGGGTCGACGACCCCGGGAGGCGCAGCTGACGAGGCCATGGCGGCGACGACGGCGGCGACGACGGCGGCGCGGCGGAGGAGAGCAGGGGCAGGACGAGGCGCGCTGGCTTGGGATGTCCAGTTGGTGGAGGGTTTACATTGTCTGCAATGAGGGCGACTGCGTAAACACGAGCTGGGCGCGGGCTCTTGCAGTTGTTCAAAGCATGCGGGGTGGAACCCGGCCAAGGTGAGGTGAGGCAGAGGAAGGGGTGCTAAAGTAAGGGTCGCAGCTCCGCCGTCACCCCGATGTTTGGCAGGCCAGGGGGAGGAGGCAGGGAGGTCTGTCCGGGGCGTCAGGGCGTTCCAGGTGCTTTGTTCGGTCCCGGCCACTACTTTAGCGCCAACAGGACGGTTATCGGTGGGCCCCATGCTTCGGCCCCATTACCCGGTCGTACCAGTGTGTCTCCCCCAACTCACCCACTTATAATCAACCTCTCTCAACAACGTCTTTTTCACTTGCAAAACTTGCCGGGCACTTGGGGGCACTTGGGGGCACTTGGGGTCACTTGGGGGCACTTGGTGCAGCTGGTGAGCCATGTGGATTCTGGCCCCCGCATCAGAATGACTCGGAAACGTAAAGCCCGGTTGTCTTGGGGCGGACAACAACAGCAACAAGATGAACAGGATAAGGCTATGTATGTCCTATGTGGGCTGAGATATTATAGTCCGTCCCGCGAAGCTGCCAGGGTAATACTACATGCCTCGCAGATAAAGACAAAAGGTACATAAGCTTCAACAGGCTTTCGCCGGTTGTCCCAAACTCCTTCTCCCGTACCAAGGCCACCATCCTGGCTCGCCATGCTGTGCACCCCTTTATGCAATCGCAACCGCAATCTCAAACCTCCGGCCCGCAATTACCTCAAGCAGGTGCTGGAGCCACCGGGCAATCGTGTGGCTATTCCTTGTTGCTGCTTCCGTCACGGGGCCCCTTCCTTCAGCGTATAGACACGGGGCCCCTGCTCGTCATACACAGCGTCAGCTCCGCGATCCCGACGGTCTACATCAGTCATCGTCGAAGATCTGGTACGTGTTCTGCAGTATTGTATCGACCACCTTGGACTGGAAGCCGGAGTCGCTGATAGCGCCGTGGGCGCTACCTCCCATCAGCGTGGGCCCGAAGACAATGGCCAGGTTCTGAGACGTCATTCGGTTTGTGGCAGAGTTATCCATGACCCGGTGGAGATGCAGCGCGACAGCGCGAAGCGTCGCGTAGTTGGGGTCTGGAAGGGAGTTGATGATGGCGTGGAGGGAGTCGCGCCGGACGATCTCATCATCGTGCTCTGAGGTTACCCAGTTAGCCCTGGCGAGCACAAGCAGAATACGGCTTGGGTTGACTTACTAGCTGCTTCGATAAACGCAGAATAGTGCTCCTTGGTGAGCAATGGGTCGGGCAGGTCCCGGAAGAACTGCTTCAGCAGTCCAGCCACACTGTTCACGTCGTGGAAGAAGTTCTCCGGGTTCCTGAAGTCAAGTTGTGGTGACGCCGTATCTGGGGGATCACTCGGGTTAGCGCCGCATGTCGGTACGCGACTATCACACTCTTAAGCTTACCCGTGTCAAACATGCTCTTCATCTTATTGACTTGTGGCAAAGACCCTGACAGTCGGTAGATTCCTTCAACGTTCAGACCGAAGAGATCAACAGCTTGGATGCACTGGTAGACGACCATGGGAACAGCCAGCCCATCTCGCTCATACAACCGTCCGAGGGAGACTCCAAAAACAGGCCGCGAGCCCACCGTCCTGGATGGTGATGAGCCTCGCCCTTGTCCTGGTCCCATCGGGCCTGGCGCGTGCTGTTGTGCAGGGCCACTGTCTGCAGGGAATGGTGGTGGCGGGTTCGAAAAAGGTGCTGGCTCCTGGAACGGCAGCGCCCCAAGTTGCGGTGGGCCCTGGGACGACACGCCGGGCTTCTCGTTGTATCGCGAATTCGAGCTGCCGGATAGGAGCATGCCCGGGCCGAACGAGTTTCGATTACTGTACTGCGGCTGAGAGGCCGTCGGTCCGGTTTGGTTCAGCATGCTTGCTGAACTAAAGCTGCGCTCATGCTGGTTGGAGGACGTGACCCCTGACGTCGGCACAGCTGGCATCGGTGGCATCCCACCCCGTGACCAATCCGGCTCCTGGCTGAGGGGTATCTGCTGCTGCTCTTGCGCCGGCTGTTTGACGGGTGATGTAGGTTGGAAAGAATCTTGCCGCGAGTGTCCGCTAGGCTGGGCGGTTCCCTGGCTGGGGGGCTGAGATCTCGCAGGCTGATAGGTTGGTGGGTGGGCTCCTGACATCGTAGGGCCGCCAGCCGGTCCTCCGAGGACCTTATAAGAGTCAATTGCTGCTCCAAGATGCGCCGTCGGGGCGGGGAAAGCTTACGGGATGCCGCTCATATTTGGGCTCACCCCGGCTGGGCGGGACCTTGCTGTGGTTCGCACACAAGTACTCACTCAAATCCCGCTGAGTGTCGACACTGTGAACGATCTCTCGCAGACTCATTGAGTCCGGCCGCGAGGACTTCCCGTTCTTCAGAGGACTGACGCTCAGGCCATTGCTTAGCAGGAGCTTTTCGTTGAAAGATGCTGAGCGATCCACCTATCAGTCGAGCTCACAGTGCGGTACGTGGCCGAGACTCACCAAACTTCTGCATCTGCAGGACCAGGCCGGAGTCGCATTCCCGTACGATGTCCTGCAATGCTTTGATAGCTTCCGGCCGTGTCGTCGTGATCAGCTGGTTGCGCTCCTGTTGATAGGCCTGGACCTTGTTCTTGTAGTCCTGGTCGGCGGCCTGGACCTTACGCAGCAGCTCCTCCTCATGCTGCGCTGCAGACTTGGGGCCCTTGAAGCCAAACATCTTGCCACCTTTTTGGCCATCCCCGGTCCTGACCCTGTCGTACTCTTCCGCCAGCGAATGGTACTTGGCCTGCGACTTCCGCATCTGTGCGTCGACATCGGCGGCGCGGTGCTCTGCGGCGAGCCCGTCCTGCTTCCAGCCTTTCCTTTGTTTGTCCGCAATAGCAGCGAGCTCGCTGAGATCTTCGGCCATCTGGATCAGCGACATGGCGTATTGCATCCCGTTCTCGGCGATTCTACTGTGTGTGCCCATCATGCCATCGAAGGCCTTGGCAAAGCTGCCTCCCAGGTGGTCGGACCTGCGCATGTTGTCGGATGTCGTCCTGGCCAGCCTCTTAAGTCCGTTTGCGTTGTCCTCCTCGATAGCGGCCCTCTTCTTGAGGAAATTGGCGAATTCCTGTGCAGAACGACATGATCGAGTAAGCCAGTGCAACTTTGTCACTCGGAACTGAGGGCGCCAACCTTTGCTGATGCGACGCTCTGCTTTAGCCTGTTAAGCATGGTAGCAACACCGATCTGTATGACCGCCGTCAGCCCTGGGCCAGACCCATTCCCATGTGCGCGGCAGAATTCACCTCTGATGAAAGCACATCCTGCACCATCCTCTCGTCTCCCGACGGTGCGTTCGGCGGGGGTGCGGTCGTCGCGGGAGCCGAGTCACCGGGTAAGGAGCCGGCACCATTAGAATGGTTTTCGCCATTCTCGGGGAGGGCAAAGCCGCCGCCTAGGGACATGGTGCTGTCTGCTCGTTCGCGGCCGATTTGTGGGAGAAAGTCGGAGGAAGCATTGGCGTCGGCCATGTTGGCGGATTTGGGGGGGGGGGGCGTCTAGGAGGTATAACTGCGGGCAGGCAGTTGCTCGACAGGTGATATTGGTTTGAGGATCGGTTAAGCCAAGTAGCAGCCCCTGGCCGAGTCTACACCTTGCAGGACTGCTTGTTCGGATCAATGAACTAATGGCGCACCAGGGTGAGACCCCGTAGATTCCAGATCGGGGCCGTGAGCTGTCGACCTCGACCACGGGCGCCCTGCTGGGAGTAGCGCAGTGGGTTCTGACACAGAGTCCGGACCAGCAAGAAATAAACAAATACAACAATGGGCAAGCTCGCTCCCTTGGCTGTGGCCGACCCGAGGCACGCGGGGATCGCTGTGGCTCGCTGTGGTTCGCTGTCGCTGTCGCTGGCAGGGCAGGGCAGGGCAGGGCAGGGCAGGGCGGGACGGGACAGGGCACTGTCAGGGCTGGGCAGGCTGGACAGGCTGGACAGGCTGGACAGGGCAGGACCAGCGACTGAGTTGAGGGCGGAGGGTGAGTGGGCAAGGGTTTAAAACGGCGGGTTTTAATGCGCTCGGGGCGGAATGGCTGCGACGGCCCACACAGGTCTGTGGGATGCGACGAGATGTCGCCAGGATGTTGCCGGTAGACGCAGAGGCTTCGTCTGATCGCCCCGGCCAATGGCGCCGAGGAGCAACGGTCGATCAGTGCTCGGATGACACTTTGGGCTGACCCGGGCAATTGGGCGTGATCTCCAGTCAGGACCGTGGCCGAGAGGGCAGGCGCTGGGGCTGGTGTGTTGTGTGCGCGCGCGCGTGTGTGTGCAGAGCGAGGGGACGGCACGTCGAGTGCGGTGTTGACGACAGAAACCACCAAGATGGGCGGGCAGCTTGGGAGGTTGATGGTGATATGCATGCGAGGCGTGGCACAAAGTGGCTCAGCAACTAGCGGCAGCGAACCGGAAGTGAATGGTTTCCCCAGGTGGAGCTTGTCCTGAACCTCCGCACAGTGTAGGCCCCAGTGAGCTTGTGAGCCAAACAACGGGGTGGGGGGGCAGGGGTTCGGGCGGGCTGGTTGGGCTGGTTGGCCGGCCTCACCTCTACACCCGCATCTCTTAGCACTGAACGCATTTCGGGAAACCACCTCAGGCTTCGACCAAGCAGCTTAGCTGGGGGCCAACACGAGGCGAAGCTCAGAGCTAAATCTGCTGCCACTCCAACGGCACTCCTGGTTGCTCATGCTCTCGTGCCAGCACCAGCACCAGCACCAGCACCTGCTTCAAGATCGGAACACACGAGTGTCACCAAGAGCCACCACCTTGGAGACGGGCACGCTTGCACCAGCCGCCCAGCCCGTCCCAGAACCCGCGCAACCGCGCCAGGCGAGCCCGCTCAACGTTTCGCCGGCCGTCGTCGCGAGCCCCTTGCTAGGTGGTGGATCGTCCCATGTTGGTGCGGTGACCATCCCCTCATCTGGTCAAACCACGGAACCACACACGAGCCGGCGCCGTCAACTTGGGCCCAGCACCGAGTTCCCGAAGCTTCAACGCTAGGCCGCCGTTTCAGCTTAGAACACGGTCCTTAATCACGGTGTCCCGTTTCGTCACGATATGGCTAGCTAGGCTTTAGTCTGGCTGTCGCTGCTAATTATCGGGCGGCACCTCTGCTGGCGAGATGCGCTGACGAGATGCGGTCGAGCCAACCGTACGGTTATGCTCTCGTCCACTGCGGGACAAGAGTGGGCAGGTCGAGATGGGATTCCTGTTGGGACGAAGGAGAGTCGTCCCCCGCTATAATCGTGTGCCCGGGGGATGCCATCTCCACGTGCCAAGTCCAGTCCACGTTGTGGGGAAGCATGGATTCAGGAACAAGGAAGAGCTTACGCGAGCTCAGAATGCCCCGTCTGCGTCCCGGTGCCACGCTCACAACTCATTAGGTGGGAGACAGAGTCACTGATGTAAATGTAACCATAGATGTGTGTGGGCCACGTTTGACGAAACTAATAGAATGTAAAATAGACCCCGGCGCCATACAGCCATGCCCGATAGGTGGCGATCTACCACGCACGCCTTTAAAAGTAAGCCAAGAGGAAAAGAGATGTACATACCCACATCCCTGAAGTGTGGACTTGATGCTGTCTTACTTATAAGTTAACCTACAGACTGAGCTAGGGTTTCTAACTTTGAGGGCGCAGGTGTGCCGCTGAAACTTTTGCCCCATGATCGGCGAATCGATAGCGGCACAATTCCTGTCTGATCTTCTGCCTACCAAGCCTTCGTGATGATGGTGGAATGCTGAGGTGCACCTGCAGCTTGTCCGCTCCCAGGAGCTACGACGCCGTCAGTGGGAACCTCATACGGCAGCTAAAACCACAAAGGGGCTGTCCGCGGCCCAATAGGTAAAAAAGATGTCGCAGTTTTATTTTATCTATCCCGAGCTCCGCCCTGTTCCTCTCCCATCTCTTCCAGCTTGTTCTCGGCAACCCTAGATGTAGCCCTTCAATACGGCGGCTTCGGCGTTCAATATGGAGGAGCCAGCAGCTCCGATGACGGCTACGGGGCTGCGTCAGCCTTGACCCTCTGATATGCGAGAGATGATAACACGGGCTGGCGTGAACTCACTGTTATGGCTTAATGCAGTAAATTTGAGATCGAATATCTCGCTCTCGTCCTCTCTCACGCGGCCCACACTGACAGTGTAGCCCCTGGAGAGCTCACGGTCGAGTCTCGGCTGCGGCCGGTCAGGCTGGTCGTCGCCAAACACCTTGATGCTCGGCTTCGGCGCCGAGGGGCATCCAAGCTTCTCAGCGTCGCTCACGTAGCCGCTGAGCGCCTCGCGGACCTCCTCGGCGCTGGGGGGCGGCCGCTTGGCGAAGCGAAGCGACACGCACGCGGTGTGGCCGTCCAGGACGGGCACTCGGTTGCACGTGGCGGAGACCTTGAGACCCTTGAGCTCCTCGAAGGCGGTCGCGTCGGCGTTGATGCCGCCTAGGATCTTCTGTGCCTCCGTCTCCAGCTTGTCCTCCTCCCCCGAGATGTAGGGCACCACGTTATCGATGACGTCCATGGAGCTCACGCCCGGGTAGCCGGCGCCGCTGACGGCCTGCATGGTGACGACAGAGACGGCCTCGATGGGGCCGAAGCGGGCCTGCATGGCGGCGAAGGGGATAACGAGGCCGATGACGGCGCAGTTGCTGTTGCAGACCAGGAAGCCCTTGTCGAGGTTGTGCTGCTTGCGCTGGTGGGGGATCAGGGAAAGGTGCGACAGGTTGACTGTGGGAACCACGAGGGGCACCAGAGGATCGCGGCGGTAGTTCTTTGCGTTGGAGAAGACAGCGAGGTTGGCCTTGAGGAAGTCCATCTCTGTTGTCCGGATGTGCCCGGCCTAGTCAGCGTGTGCTTCGGGCGCAACGCACGAATTCCGAGACGGGGGGGGGGGGGAGACGAGGGAGCTCTGCATACCAACTTCCCCTGCAATGCTCGAGTCCAGGCCGCTGAAGACGATATCACAGTCCTGGAACTCGCTCGACTTGCACTCCTTGACGATCAGGTCGCCCACCTCCCCCATCGGGGTGGACTGCTTCCACCTGACCGCATCGCGGTACTTCTTGCCTGCGGACTGCGGGGACGCGCCGACGGCGACAAGCTTAAGGAAGGGGTGATTTTGGAGGAGGAGGATGAATCGCTGGCCAACCGAGCCAGTTGCACCCAGGACACCTGTTTTCAGCAGCGCATCAGCTGAACATTGTCCACCAGCAACCGAGACGGGGTGACGTTATGACGGTGGGGAGGGACGAACCGCACTTCTTTTCCGGGAATTGTGTCGCCATGGTCAATCGAGGTCCTTCGATTCGCCAAAGATTCTGCAGCTTAGAGGGCAAAGGCGTCTCGACCGGGCAATTGGCTTGTGGCGGGAAGGTTGTGAAGGGGCAGACATTCGAAAACAGTCATGGACCAGTCATACCATCAAAATAAAAAGAACCCCGCTATCGGAGTGGCCATCACACAGCAGGGCATCTTGAAGCTGCAGGCCGCCGCCCATGCTTCCAGGGATCTAGCCCTGTCATTCTTGGCGTGGCTCTAATTCGACGTCAGCGCGTCGGCCAACCAAATTGACACTGGATGGTCGGTCCGGTGGCATGGGCCAAACTCTACGGAGTACACGATTACACCTTTTAAATCATGAAATCGGCCAGACCAACCACAGGCCCACCAAGTTGAGCTTGGGCAGGCCCGGACTTTTCCTCTGCGCCTCTTATAAGATCCACCAACAGAACCTCGTAATCAATTTTCTTCGAATAAGCCTGTTAGTATTGTATCTTCCCCAGAAGCATCTCCTTGATCTTTCGGAGACGTCCGTAAATGTTGTGGTGCTGAGGAAATGCCCTCCTGGTCTCCTTCACAACCCGTGCATACGAGCCACGGCCCGGCTTTCGACACATCATGTTTCTCTGCGCTCGCCAACACCTAGACATTTGAAAAAGAGATGCTTTGGCCATCGTTGATACCACCAGATCCATAAGACCGCCCTGTGACCTAATATTACGACTTGTTGTCTGGGTTGTAAGGCAGCGCTGACTGGATACGGCATGGCCTCGGTCCACTGCTTCGAATGCTCCTCTGGGGAGTGGGTAAGCCTTGGAATCTCAGCTGTCTCGATGAATTTCCACAATCTTTATATACGTCACTTTTTATCCGAATTTCAACAAAGCGCCAGTGGTTTAGCGGTAAAATCCATCGTTGCCATCGATGGGCCCCCGGTTCGACTCCGGGCTGGCGCAGGTTTTTTGGCTATTCATGTTTTGATCAAGCACCGCAGCATCCCCCCTTTTTAGATGGGAAAATACGAATAGTTAGTGTGTTGTTGGAACTTACTATAGGCAATCCAGATGTTTGTTCTTAGTTCATGACACAAAATGTAAACAGTGTTGGACTCCTAGCCTAGGAGCCAAGTGTTGAGATAGTGCAATTCGCTAGTGAGAACCAATTGTCCATGATTGCTTCCACAATTGTCGCTGGCGCGCGCACATGGGCGAAAACAACTGCAATAAATAATCGCTCGTTTATTGTCAGCAATGGCCTGTAACCATACTTGTCACGTTGCCCTTCCTTCCTCACCAAAGACATGGTTTGATGATCACTACACATGTCATCGGTGCCCGATATTGGATTTCCAACCCATGCAACAAGGTCAATCCCGATTCAAGGCAGAGCCGAACACAGCAGATGGCGCCTCAGAGGATAAACAGCAGAAGATGAGATTGCAGACGCCTGGAGAAGACCTCAGCGTTGCGAAACCCTTGGTTAGCATTGCACAATGTCTCAAGCATCCCGGTAAACACAACGCAGGTCCCGGTAAAGGTGTGGTATATCAAGAAACAAAGCTTCAATGCTAAAAAGGACCGTGAATAGAGAAGAAGAAAAGATCAAGGTAAGCCCTATGCTCCGTCACCAATCTGGCCCACTGCAAGACGCATTAACCCACACGCCTCATCATCACATGTCCCCAACCAGATTTCCTGTGCTGTCTTCATTTCCATCATCGTCCGCAAGCTTGAAGAGGGCCTGATGCTCGGCCCAGCCTCTAGGAGGGCGTTTCCGCAGCTTTCTCGTGGGCCGGCGAGATTGTTGATGTTGACGGTCGTTCGAGGAGGGGAGGGGAGGGGAGTAATTGCTGTTGTAATTGGCGGTGGTATTGACGGAAGATGAAGATGAGGAGGACCCTGCAGTCAAGCGAGCGAACATTTTCGGAAGTCACCACGCGTTGCGATCCCAGTTTGGATCTGTAGGCCGTCATGTCAGCCACTGTCACATCCATGCCCCCCAAAACCCCCAATGGCGCACAGCTTACCCTGCACAAATGCCGCGAGGACCTTGCTCCCGGTCTGTAGTAGCGGGTGGCCGACGACGATTTTGAGGAACTTCTCCAAGCCCGCCCTCCGGCCCTCGATCACGTCGTCGCTGAACCGGTTCGTGAACACCTTTCCGGGCAGTGGCGGTATGGTGACGCGAGCGCTCTCACGCTCCAGAATGTCACGGAAGTACTCGAAGTCGGAGTACCGGCGGCGCACAGTACTCTGCCGCAGCTTGAAGGCGGGGATGTTTGTCCGGCAAACGATCTCGTAGTCGGTGTACATGGAGCGGCCGATGCCGTGCGTCCGGGGGTTGCGAACCTGGTTTTGCGACGGGCATGGTCAGCAGCTGGCTTGGGCCTCCCAGGTGTGTGGTCGCCCGCCTGTGGTCGGTCGGGCAGACTACGGAAGGGGTGGGGGGCGGCACACCTCGATCTCGAGAAAGTTCTCGGGCGGGCCGTAGATCTCGTCGAAGGACTGCTGGCGCGTATCCGGGAGACTGGACATGGACTGCATCACGGGTTTCGCGAAGCGGGAGACAGGCCCCTTGGGGGCTGCTGCTGGGCCAGGAGAGGTGGGAGAGATGGGCGGCGCCTGGGTCGCCGGTGCCGCAGCGCCATCGGCGCGCGGGGCGTCGTCGCCGTTCGAAGCCGTTTTGACGGTATTGCAAGGGTCCTCTAGGTGTTTCTGTATCTTGCGGCCCGCCGTCTGCTCGCCTGGATGACGCCGGGGTGGCTTGTTCTGTCGCGGTGTGGGTGATGAGTGCGAGAGGCCGTGGCTGGGGTGAACGTGACAGCAGCAGCAGCAGCAGCCGCAGCGAGCTACAAGGCCAAGGTGGGGATGCACTTGTCAATCAATTGGAAGGTGCTCGTATAAGCGCGGGGCAGGCCTGGAATCTCTCTCTGGTCTGCAATGCTTGGCGCCGCTACATCATCTGCATCTGCTGCGTCAATCGCTTCGCATCGCCCTTAAAAAGAATGCGCACGTGCCGCGTCGCTTTTGACATGGCGAGTTTATCAAGTTTCAAGGTGTCTATCTTGGAGTCTGCAGCTGATATGTGTTTGTTTGGCCGCTGCCAGGTGCTACTGCTTCCCGGAAGAGATGCAGAGCGAGCGAGTGATACATCTACAGTGCATGCCTACCTAGGCAGGCTACATACCTAGGTACTTGGGTAGCTTGCTGTTCCCTTGCCATTGTCTGATTCCTAGAAGGGAGGCCAGAGAGCCGTCATGATTTGCTGCTATTCTCCCGACACAAATCTCACGGCATGACGAGGGCATTGGTGCATCAACAACCTGCTCCATTTGGTTGGTATAAGCCTTGACAACAAACACACAATTCGCAAATCATCATGTCTCACCTAGCAATCCTGACGCCTATTCCGCTCCCCCCAGACCATTGCCACGGCCAAACCTGCGGCTGCCCGATTCCGGGTGCCCTCGATATAGTGACACGGTGGTTGGTGTGGTGTTTCTGTATGAAGCCAAATAGTATCTTCATCTGTCAGGCCGGTCGCCTTGCCTCGCCTTGCCTTGAGTCATCTCTTCTCTCCGGCAAACTTTTCGTGGATGGCGCGGATTTGCTCCTCCACGTTGACTGATTGCAGGTGGTTCATATGTGCCTGGCTCTTCCCATCAGGGTTGCCATCGAAAGCGTTGACCGCAACCTTCTTCCGTCGCGCTGCCTCTTCCTCGGAGACTGGCAGCCCAGTAACCCCATCAAAGACGTCACTGCGTTGACTTGCAAGCCTCTTGAGGTTGTTGGCCACGTCCACCGTGGAAAGGTTAGTTGTTGCATACCGCGAGTCCGCCTTGGCTTTCTGCTCCTTCCATCGCGGGTCAAGGAGTTCGATGCGCATGTGCTCCTGCAGCTCGTTGAGTGGTATCTGCTGTTTGCAGTTCGGGCAGATTGCCATCTGCGCGCCGACCTTGTTTGTGTTGCGTGCGGCCGCCCTGGGCACGGGGGTCTCTCTGATCTTGACCTGGGCAGGGCCTCCTCTGGCATCCGCTTGAGCCTGTTGCATACGGGCGCGTGCTTGCTCACGCTCCTGGATCCTCTGGTTCTCTTCTTCTTCCTGCGCCGATCTGCCACGCGCCGCCAGAGGCGCGGCCGCGTGCGATGACGGGTGCATAGGAGATTGGAATTGCGAGGGTGTTGCTTGCGCAGCGGGAGACGGGTGGACGGGCAGTGTTTGCTGGGCCGCGGGGATGAATGTATTGTCGTCGAAGGGGAAAGCCTCCTCGAGGCGGAGGTTGGAGCTGATGGCGACATTGTTCTTCTCCTCCAAAGAAGCATACTGCAGGTCGTTTAGGGACGTAGGCGGAGGGAGGTTGGCCTGGTCATCGGACTCGGTGAAGACAATGGTCTCGACAACCACAAAGTCATTCCAGTCGATTCGGGCGAATTCGAGCTTCTCCTCCTCCTCCTGCTCCTCCTTCCTTATCCTCTCGGCCTCCTGATGCTTTGCCCACTCTGCCCTCTGCCGGGCCCTCGCAAGCACGTGGTACTTGTCGTCGACAGTCCGCTGCAGCTCCTCCACGCGCTCCTGCTGAGCCTTGGTTCCCTCGCCTGTGCCACCGCCCTCCCGGAGCAATATCGAGTACTGGTCGATCATGTGTTGAAAGTAGTTGTGGAATGTGTGATTCTGGATCAGGAATTGGAACTGAGGGTTGCCGCCTTCGCGCTGTGCCAGGGTCGTCATGAACTGGCGCCCATTCCTCGCGACGAAAAGCGCGGTCAGCCGAAGGATTTCCAAGTCCTTCTGGTTGATGCGCGGCATGCGTGCAGAGAACTGGAAGTCGGGCGGTTTCGGTGGCCCCTTGGGCTCCTCCTTGGCAGGCGTCGCGAAATCCTCGCCAACGCGACCGGCGGCGTGGGCTGTGACATTGCCAGACTTGTACTGTTCCTTTCGCCACTCGTACCAGGCGTTATAGGGATCGGCTTGGCCATTCAAGAAGCTAAATTTGGGGTTGGCTCCATGGCTCTCGCGGATTCGTTCCTCGAAACTTACTCCACGTCGGGCTACGAAGCCAGCAGTCTTCTCGATGGCTTCTCGAATCTCGCCTGGTGGAGGTACGACGATGCCTGGTGGAGGCTTGAGCTTGTCGAGCTCGGCGGCCGCAGCAGCAACAGCAGCATCGCCGTTAGAGGTGGCCATGGTCGATGAACGTACGCGATGGCCCGCTGCGGTGTGGTGCGGTGCGGTGCAGAGGTTTGGTCAATGGACGGATTGGGGAGGTTGGTGGTTTCGAGGCAGACAGACGGGTTGGGACGTGACACCCAGTGCTCGGCCAAAAAAGTTAGCGCAGCAGGCGGCAGATGGGGCTGGTGTAAACTTTGGTGTGACCAGAAAGGGAACCGGGGGTAGTTCTTAATCACACCACCCTGGAGTATGCAGCTGTGCTCCGACGGACAGGGGCCCTGAGGGTTGGTATGTGCAACAATTATTAAAAACTTATAAAGAGGTTGGATGCTGGGGCCGAAAGGGCCATTCATCTGCGCATCATCAGACAGCTCTCAACGGGCTTTGCAGTGAGCCAGCCAGAAGTATTTGAGAAATCTGTCAAGTATTCGAATTGGTACAAGTATTTATTCGCGGAGTAGATACAACAACACGAATGACATCAGGCCACCCTCCTGCCCAATAGACGAGACAGACAAGACATTACACAGAGTTGCACAGTAAATGTGGTGAGTGGTGAATACAAGATTGCCTCTTGACTTTTTATTCGCGTAGGGTGTTGGCTGGCCGTCCTCTGTCACAGGTTCCAACGTATCAACATCGGACCAATTTCCCAGGAAACAGTCGAGGTATGACAAGGTGAAGGACGCCCTGGAGTGTACAGAGTACGCTGTTCACAAAGCGGAATGGAGATGGTCCCAATTTTCAACTCCCAATACACAGTAGTCCAGCCACGCGCCGTCAATTCAATTTTAGTACGACAGACGCTTGGTACCAGAGACCGCCCGTGCCATGTCTAATTTGATACTACACGACAAGCCTGTAGGGTGTCGAGTTGTAGGCGACAAGGGGGCAGCTTGGAATAGCCCCTTCTGGATTTCGAAACGGGACAGTACTTAAGTAGGTACCTATAGGTAGCTTGCGCCTAATTGCCACACAGATTACCCGCAATGGGACCCACGGTTGTCGTGTCCACAGCAGCTCTCCTAGCTGTGGTCCCACAGCTAATATGGCCACGCCATGCCAACGCTAGTGTGGTGCTCGCATTGGCAGATGTGGTGACAGTCAGAGGGTGGTTTGTGTGTTTGCCCAATGTGATGTGGAGGAGAGGTCGGATCGCAAAGACCAGATGAAGCTTCCCAAAAGCCAACTGTGTTTCTAGAAGAATTGACAAATTGACTGCGAAGGAAACGGGCCAGGGCCAAGGGATGGAGTGTATCGGAAGATCGTCGAGAAGCATGTGTCAACTGGATCTCCCTTGGCTGAGCCCACCCACCCCTTGCGGCCTAGGGCGGAGAGCTGGGACTAAGGGACCCCTGTGGTCCAAAGTTTAGAGGCCAGGTCAGCCGTACAATGCTACCTAAGCTCCCACGCAACGCAAGCAGGCATCTTTTTGATCCCCCTTTTCCCCATCCACGACCCTTCTTCTGCCACCTTCGAACAAGACAGAGGCCATCCCGCTGCATCGTCAGTATCGGCGACAGGACGGACAAGCCACCATCCGCATCTTGTCCCGGACCCCGGCTCCCAGCCTCTTTCTCTTCTTTCTTCTGTCCGTCGCCTCTTCTCCCGTGACGACCACCTCCTTCTAATGACCTTCACTTCTCGTCGATCGTTTCCGTAATCCGTTCCCCATTCCACTTCGCCAGCCCAAATCGACCCTGGCGACCTGAGTAGGTCCACCGCACCTCCGATCCAAAAGCCTCTGTCCGACTCCGAATTCTTGATCCTCTGGCACCATGGCGCGCTCAGTTGGCGCGCAAGCGCAACCGGGGAGACCACCCTCCCCCCGCTCCCAACAGAACCATGTGCAACCAAACACTCGCGCACGAAAGCCCGACGACTACACATCCGAAGGCGTCGACGACAATGATGTCTTCCTCCTCCCCGTTTCCGATTACCAGGTCATGCTCGGCATGACGATCCTCGCCGCCATCGTTCGACTCTTCCGGATCTACCAGCCTAGCAGCGTGGTGTTCGACGAGGTCCAGTATGTAGCCTACCACTCCCTTCGTTGGACCATCGTGTTCCCGGCTAACGCTTTTGGCCCCTAGCTTTGGCGGTTTCGCCTCGAAATACATCAAGGGCAAGTTCTTCATGGACGTACACCCTCCTCTAGCGAAACTGCTCATCACACTCTTCGGTTGGCTTGCTGGTTTCAACGGCGACTTCGACTTCAAGGAGATCGGGAAGGACTACATCGAGCCCGGTGTTCCATATGTTGCTATGCGGATGTTCCCCGCCATCTGCGGCATCCTGTTGGTCCCCGTCATTTTCCTGACCTTGAAGGCTTCCGGGTGCCGGACCTTCACCTCGGCCATGGGAGCTGGCTTAATTATCTTCGAGAACGGTCTCCTCACCCAGGCCCGTCTGATCCTCCTCGACTCGCCCTTAGTCCTTGCAACGGCTTTCACGACCATGGCATTCCTCTCGTTCACCAATCAGCATGAATTGGGCCCTTCCCGAGCTTTCCAGCCCAGTTGGTGGTTCTGGCTCGCCATGACCGGCCTTGGCCTCGGCGCGACATTCAGCATCAAATGGGTCGGTCTCTTCACGATTGCATGGGTGGGAAGCTTGACGCTGGTCCAGCTCTGGGTCTTGCTCGGTGATACCAAGACCGTCACGGCCAGGGTTTGGCTCAAGCACTTCATGGCTCGCTTTTTTTGCCTGATTGTGATCCCGGCCACAGTTTACCTGTCCATGTTCGCCATCCACTTCCTCTGCCTCGTCAACCCCGGCGAGGGTGACGGGTTCATGAGCTCCGAGTTCCAGTCCACCTTGAACTCGAAGAGTATGCAGGATGTTCCCGCTGATGTCCTGTTGGGCAGCAGGGTTTCTATCCGACATGTGAACACTCAAGGAGGCTATCTTCACTCACACCCACTGATGTACCCCACCGGTAGCAAGCAGCAACAGATCACGCTATACCCTCACAAGGACGAGAACAACGTGTGGTTGCTCGAGAACCAAACTCAGCCACTGAACATGAACGGTGAACCCATCAACGGAACCGAAGCTTGGGATAAACTTGACCCAACATTCATCAAGAACGGCGACGTTCTGCGACTGTACCACATCAACACGCACCGACGGCTCCACTCCCACGACGTGAGACCCCCGGTTACTGAGCAGGACTGGCAAAACGAGGTTTCTGCTTATGGTTACGAGGGATTCGAGGGGGACGCGAACGACTACTTCCGCGTTGAGATTATTGCGAAGCAGTCCAAGGCAGGCGTTGCTCAAGAACGGTTGCGCACCATCGAGACGAAGTTCAAGCTGGTACACATCATGACTGGCTGCGTCCTGTTTTCTCACAAGGTCAAGTTGCCTGAATGGGCCTCAGAGCAGCAAGAAGTCACCTGTGCCAAGGGTGGCACACTCCCTAACAGCTTGTGGTATGTTGAGTACAACGAGCACCCAGTCCTCGGTGCCGATGCCGAGAAGGTCAACTACCAGAACCCGGGCTTCTTTGGCAAGTTCTTGGAACTTCAGCAGGTCATGTGGAGGACTAACGCTGGCCTGGTCGAATCGCACGCTTGGGACTCTCGCCCGAGCTCGTGGCCGATCCTCAAGCGAGGCATCAACTTCTGGGGCAGAGACCACCGCCAGATCTATCTCATCGGTAACCCAATAGTCTGGTGGAGCTCCACCCTGGCTATCGTGGCATACGTGCTTTTCAAGGGCGTCGCTGTCCTCAGGTGGCAGCGGAGCTACAGGGACTACGACAACGTCACTTTCAAGCGTTTCGACTACGAGATCGGAATGTCAGTGCTTGGTTGGGCATTCCACTACTTCCCATTCTACTTGATGCAGCGTCAGCTCTTCCTTCACCACTACTTTCCGGCCCTGACTTTCGCCGTTATCGCGCTCTGCCAAATTTTCGACTTCCTGACTGCTCGGGTTGCAGCTTTGGGCATCCGCGAAAACTCGATCATCAACAAGACGACAACTACGAGCTTCCTGGTCCTCTCTGCTGCTGTCTTCATGATCTACGCTCCACTCGCATATGGGAATACTTGGACCAAGTCGGAATGCAAGCGCGTCAAGCTGTTCGACTCCTGGGATTTCGATTGCAACACGTTCTACAATGATGTAAGTGCTTTTTCTGGCTCTCCCCCAGAACAGGTACCTGAGAGACAGTTGTCTCAAAAGGGCTAGGCACATGACTGGGCAAGTGGAGGAATCGCTGTAGCCAGCGCTCCATAATGTTTTGCACCTTGCTCGCACAAAGTCTTGCGATTTGGAAACAGATTAGTACCCAATGAGGTCCTGCCAGCATAACTTTACAGACCTAGAGGTATTGTTTATAGGCGGCAAGGCGAGAGATGTGCCGGATACCATAATTGAACTAGAGATCCAATGTTGACTTGGCGGCTCAGTAGCTAACATTGTATAATATCACGTAACAGTACTCGCAGTATAACACCCTCGGGGGAGTTCCAGCTGCGTCCGCGACGTCCAAGAACTCGGTACCGAGCTCTAAGGCACCTGAGGCACCTGCACGGGCGCCGCCGGCTGGTGAGCAGCAGGAGCAGGGCCAGAAGCCGATACACGACAAGGATGAGTTTTTCAAGGACGGCGGAGCAGGCATCAGCGGGGCGCCGGCGCCGCCGGGCCAGCGATTAGTGAAGCGCGAGGAGCGGATTGAGTACCGCGATCAGGACGGCAACATCCTGAACGATGAGCAGGTCAAGGCGCTAGAGGGCAAAGTGGAATTCAAGACGCGGTATGAGACCCGGACACGCATGGTGGACGCCGACGGAAACGAGTTCGACGCACCGCTCGGGGAGGCCCACCAGCAGGCGGTGGGAGAGCCCGTCGGGGTCGCGCCGCCGCACCCGGACGTTGAAGGCGTCGACACGCAGACGGCGCAAAAGCAAAAGGCGATTGGCGAAGACGAGGTGGTCCCGCCCGCCAAGGAGAGCGTCGAGGGCGACCACGAGGCCAAAGCTAAGGCTGCGAAGCCTGCCAGCGAGAAGCAGGAGGCCAGCAAGGAAGCCAGCACATAGAGATAACTAGCAGCCTACTTTCCTCGTTGCTACCTTTCTCTCCGGGCATTACGGTGCCGTCTATTCTTGCTTCCTATGTCATCCATTTTCTTGGTTTCTTTCTCCACGGTAGGTCTTGGGATGGGGTAGGATGTAAGATACCAAGCAATTACCTCTCATACTTGGGCCAACCGGGATTGATTCGTATGTGAAATTGGAACTCAGCAATGAGTTGGCCCGCAGCGTCTAATGGAGCCAATCCCATTAGGGGCAGGCATATAGACTCATGATCTGAATCCTACACGCTACCATCTACCAAATATCAGCCGATGGCTTTTTACAGATGACACAGATGCTGAGACTGAGCCGCAAGTGATATGTGGTAGCTCGTTCCCAAATGCCACACTTTAAGCAAACAATGAGGCTGTCCTTGACAGTCATCGTATTTAAGTCCATATACGTCTTCCCCCGTCCTGATCCCGAGCACAACGTTGCGGGCAAAGCCGGACGCTCACCGCGCCCAGGATTCAGAATTGAACCTCGTCTGCTTTGGCACTGTTCAAGGGCAAACCAGACATCATGTCTTCGTCACAAAGATTCGGCTGGCGCTATTTGGCGCATGAAACATGAGTTCTCTCTGACACTGAGCCAACACACTGACCAGTTCGCCACTTCACGTGGACCAATTCTCGGCGCAAGGCCAATAATGTACCATCACAGGTGATGGACACTTGGGCAATGAGCAGCTCGCGATTCGGACTCGACGATAGCATGGAGAAATCGACGGCCTTTTTCCTATTTTTAATTTTTGGGGGGTATTTGTCCACGCAAGTTTCCCCTTCCTTCGCCCGGTCCAGTGCTGTAATATCTAGTCACGGTCTTTTTTTTTATGTCCGATATGAACAGAGATGTCAGACTGTATGATCCGTCACCACGGGGCAGATTCAGAAGATCTGCCTCCGCCCAGTCTAGGTTTGCCCATTGGCAATCCAGGGGCACGCAGATAGTCTCGATTTCGACATCTCGCATCAAGGATGTCTCCTCATCGATGCCCGGGCCGATGCCTCCTCTCCCCATTCCTCTCTGAGTGTGGTCACAGCCTCGTTAGCCTCGTCAACAGTATCCTCAATCGTCCTCTGCCTGTGCGAAAGGGTTCGCTATCTCCTCGCTGCCGTCTACAGGGCTAATCAACACGATCAGGGTGCCGCGGGCGACGGTCAGGCCCAGGGACCGCGTAGTCTCCTTGCCCTCATCGTCGCGCATCGTCTCCTTGGCCTCGTCGAGGACCAGATTCATGAGTGGGTCGTAGCCCTTGAGGACACCGGTGACTGTTTTTAAGACAGGTTCTACGTCAGCATTGAGCAGCCAAGCTGGCCCGCGTGTGCCACAGAATTGTTTTTTTTTTTTTGGAGATGGGGGAGGGGGGCGGGTAGGAGGCATGGGGACTAACACACCCTCTCGGCCGCCGTTGAACTTGACGGTGATCTGCTTGTCGCTGTACTTGGACAGGTCGAGGATGTTCTCTTTCTTGGGCCGCGATTCGCCGCCGCCCTCGCCGCCGTGCTGGTTGTCGCGCTGGTGGTGACCGCCGCCGCCGCCGCCGCGCCCTCCACCGCCGCGTCCTCCTCCTCCTCCGCCGCGCCCGCGGAAGTTACCCCCTCCGCGGCCGCCTCCGCCGCGGTGAGATCCCCTGTCTGCCATGGCCAAGCAAGCAAATCGGTAAGTGCGTGCGTTGCGTGTTTGTGTCGCGGGCGTGGGCGGATTGTCGCGTGATGGTGGCGAAAAAAGGGGCGAGGGCAATAAAGGAGACTGACTGAACAGTACGGATCAGGGGCCGGGGAATAGAAGGTAGCGCGTTCGTTTCGGGTGTCGTGGAAATTGTGAGGCAGGTTGGCAGGGTGGGATGGATGGACGATGTTGCAGGTGGCGTCGGAGGGCTGCGGGCAGGGAGCCGCGAAAGAGTTTCCGGCACCTGGGGTAGCTTGGGTAGCTCGACACAGGTACCTGGTCCAGCTCAGCTTCAGCTTTTGAGCTGGCAGGCTGGCAGGCTGGCAGGCTGCGGTGTCAAGGCTGCGGGTTTGTACTGGCGGGGGTCAGTCCCTGGCCGGGGGGGGACCCTTGCTCGGGTGCAACCCTTGATTCTAAGGCACGACTACTACTAACGTGGGCGGCCCAGATTCCAACCACCCCCAGATTCCAACTACTTACTTTTTAGTGTAAATACACTATAAAGACACCCACTCTTCAACCCTACCTATTAAATTTAAATAAAATCCTATAACCCTAACCCTAGACTTAAAAAGTAGGGATTTAATTATATTATTATATAAAAATACTATTTCAAACTTATAAATATTTTAATATTTTTAAAAAGATTTTTAAACTTAAAAATCTTAAAATATTAAGAATTCCTAATAAAATATTAAAGATTTATAACTAAATTAAAATTAGTTTTATTTAATAAATATTAATAATAGAAATTATTAAAAATTTATTCTTATATAAAAATACTTTATAATATTATATTAAGTTCTTTTAAGTAATATAATTTTATTTCTTATAAAATAAATATATTTATAATTTCTTTAAGAAAAGTTTATATAAAAAAGTAAAAATTAAATTTTAAAAATATTATTAATACTTATTTAATAAAACTCTTATTAATTTAAATAATAATAATAATTATTAAAGTTTTTAAAAAAGTAGAATTATAATTAATTTATTTAAAAGATATAATTAAATTAAAATTAAAGTTAAAAATATTAGTATTAATATATAAACTCCTAATATTTCTTAATATTTTAAAATTTCTAACTTTTAAAATTATTTTTAAAAATATTAAAATATAAAAAGTATTTTTTTAGTATTTTATTATACTAATAGATTTAAAATGCCATTTAATAAGTATAAAGTTAGGGTTATAGAATTTTATTTAGATTTATTAAGTCTGTCTGAAAAGTATAATTTTATATATGAAAAGTGGTTGGAATTAGGGGGTGGTCGGAATCTGGGCCACCCACGTTAGTATGTAGTACCCTACAGCAGCACCACAGCAACATAGTTCCTCATGACCCTGGGCCAAGAATGAGGCACTTCTACCTATCCGTGTACCGCGGTTCTACACTACTATTCAATCGTGGAAAAATAAAATTGAATACTCTTCCTCTTGTGTCGCAGGGCCGCGCATAGAACCGGCGGGCGCAAGGAGACCAAGTCTTGGCCAAAGTTTGTATGGAATTAGCATCGTCCTGGAGATGACATCTCGGTGGCTGAAGATGCCAGATGTAATGTGAAACCACATGAATTCAAATAGCATGCTATTGACTTTGCCGAAGTGATTCCTCGGTAGCGAGTGTACCTTATTCGAGCACGCGTATAACCTCGAGTCGTAGTATCGAGCTTAGTTGGGCAGTGAGGTCCGGAGTAAGGTCCGGAGTGAGGTCCGTCGAGATGTCCATCCACCCCGTAGATTGGCAATTATAGGAACCGCAAACAAGAACCAGGCAGAATTGCAGCGACACATGAGGTCGCTATGCCGTCTTCGATGTGATCTTGAGTGATGCGTATGTACTGGTATTTGCAGCCAGCCAAAACACCACATGCTCGTGTCTCTGCCATACGATCTGGCAGTGCAGGCATGCAACGGGCTTGGCGGACAGGCTTGTCAGGTCCGCGAGTCAGTCATGTCTGGCACTTGCTGGTGCAGGGCTGGGTGGAGGGAGGACCCAGCCAGCCAGCCAGCCCAGCCAGGGAAGGGCATCGCGCCCGGCTTGCACGTCCGCGGGCCGCAGTCTCGCTCTCCCAAGACCTGGCGGGACAGGACAGCCGATGGGTGGATGCAAGCCGGCGGACGAGGCTGATGGCGCCTCATTGGCTGCGGGGTGCGGTGCCGCCGCACTGGGGCTCATTGTCCGGGCCAATACACCGTTACTAGGGGTCTCAGGCCAACGGGCAGACTGCTGTGTCATCCTGGGCAGCCCTGGGGTAGGAGGAGGAGGAATTGCCCTCGCCACAGGTGTCAACCTAAATCTTGAGATGAACCCCAGGAATCGGGGGCGCCAGACGTCATAGGGGTCCCAGATGGGCTGACACAAGCTCAGGGAAGACCGGGGTCTGCCGGCGTCTGGCCTGGACGAGGATGGCACCTGTTCGGAAGATTTGGCGAAGAGCTCCTGGGGACACAGCATTGTGCCGGCGTGCCTGCGAGTCCCTGGTCTTGGCGGCGCAGCGGTGGTCGACAGCTTAAGCATCAAGTAGGGAGGACTACCTAGCAGCCAGGCAGCCTAGCAACCTAGGCACCTGCATGGGAGACCCGATCAAGCTATGTAACACCGCCGAGTAGCATTGGGCTCTGCCCAGGAGGGTTGGTGGCAGGGTGGCCTGGGTGGGTGGCGCGGAGGGTGACAAGGTTCAATTGAAGTGCAAGACCTTGGTAGCGTAGCATGATGTTGATGTCTGCGTAGTGTACGGCATACTTATGTTTGTGTGGGTGGGAAAAGTGATGGCCATGCATGGGTGATCAGGTTTTGTTGTGCCGGAACCGACGACGGAGTGGTGTCGGATTTTTTTCTTCTTTTCTTATTTTTTATAGAGGAGGGAGGAGAGCGGGAGAGCCAATCCGTAGCTGTGCACCTTCGATCCGATCGCACTTCGTCGAGGTGGTCAAGCACAGAAGACGTCGACATGACCGTTCTCATTCGGTGAAGGTTAACAGCGAGCAGGTTGTACCGAGGTGATTTGACCGGGGCGGAAGAGCTCTTAGCTCCCGCCCCAGCGGATATGCGTGGGTTTGTTTATTAGGCGAGTGCGTGCTGTACTGTGTGTGTGCCATGTATAGTAACTGCAGGTGAACAGTATGACATTTGCACTACGGAGTGCGTGATGCGTGCATTTCAATCCGTGGGTGCCACGAGCGCCAGAACGGGACCCCTTCCAGGCTGCCAGGCCGTCTGGCATCCATGTTCCTCTTGTTTTCCGTTCCCCCACAACGAGCCCCGGTGCCCAGCAGGTGTGCACACAGGCATTCTGGCACTGTGGGCGCGCGTGTGTGAGTGTGTATGTGGAAGGGAAGCTAACCCCCGTGGGACGCGCCCCGGTTGGACAAGGGCCCCTGCCGCCAGAGGGGAGAAAGTGGTTCGATTTCGACATCACCGGACAGCAGAGGCGGAAACACAGACTTGGGTTTTGTCGATCGCAACGCCCCGGGGCGGCGCCGCGAATCTGGCTGCGACTTTGTGAGGACCACCGCTGGCTACCGCTTAGATCCGACCGACTCCTCGTACGATGCAGAGTTTTGTCTCGCCCCGAAGAGACTCGACACTTGTTGCACCTGGCGGACAATGCAGATGCGCACATGCAGCATACCTACACTACATGGCACTCGGGGGTGGGATGGGCTTTGGGCTGGGGGTGGGTGGGTGCGAGTGTGGGCTTGGCTGGCTGGCTGGCTGGCTGGCTGGGACGAGGCACCCAAGAAAAGGGCGAGCGCTTCCATGTCGGTTTCCGAATCGAGCCGGCTGCAAGGAGTGCCCTGGCAGGGGACATGTCCGCCGGGTGTGCCCAAGGTTTTCCAAGGCTTGGGGGAGCTGGGGCCCTGCTGTGGAGGAGGAGGCTTCGATCCCATGGTTCTAGAAGAAAACCAAGGCAGAGGGGCGGAAACTCGAGCGGCGGGCAGGAGGCAAACTTTGGGGGAGGTGACCTAGGGACTTGGCGGCGCCGGCGCCGTCCTGTCTGCGTGTCTGCTTGTCTGCTTGTCTGCTTGTCTCTGCCTGTTCGCATGCCAGGCGTGCCTGTGCGTCCTGTTTGCCCCTGCGCTGCTTGCGATGCTGCAGGACCCAACCCGGCAGGGGAATTCGTTCCCGTCTGGTCTGGCTGCGTGTGGTTTGTGTGGGCCACGAGGTGCTAACTGCGAAGAGAGGAGCTTGCAAGAGGACGACGGCGACAAGATTGAAGACGAGAGGGTGCGGGTGTGTTTGGGCTGGATGTGGGAGGGTGAGGGGCAAAGAGACGACAACCCATGGACCCAGCAGCCCAGGGACGGGGTGCGGAGTACGGAGCCCCAAGTCGATTGTCACCGGTTGTCACCACGTAGTCTGTACCGTACCGTACCGTACCCGTACCCTTGGGCCCCACGACGAACACCCACGACGCGGCCAGGCAGCCCAGGCCAAGCCAAGACTCTCTTACAATACAAGCCCGGACTCCTTCCGTCCTGGATCTTTGCCGACTGCCTGCACTGGTCCCTGGATCTCGATTTTTTTTTATTTTATTGTTGTTATTCCCCTTCCTCCACCGTTCTGTTTCACTTTTTGCCCATGGGACAAGAGACCTCCCCAGCCAGACAGCCAGACAGCCACACACCCACCTAGGCACAGTAGGTAGTCTACCTCGGTACCTAGACCACACACAGTATTGACCCAGGCAGGCCAGAGCTCCGTTCCACCCCGCCGCTTCTCCGGCCGGCCTGCTGAGGTCCATCCGCCCTGCCAGTTTGCCAGCCTGCATCTCGCTACTACCAGGCAAACACCACCGTCTTGCAAGCCTGCAAGCCTGGCTTGATCTGCCCCAGGTACGCATGTGCTTGCATTCGTTCATGCATGCATTCATTCATTCGTCCTTCGTCTGGGCCTGTCGCACCCTCTCGCATACCCAATACACGCGCACACACGCGCACGTTCGCAAATGTGCATTGGACATGTGGCCGGCCCCACCCACGCGCGCCAGCGCCCACTTGCCCCGTGGCCCGTATCCCTTGCCCTCCAAATCTGTCGACACAAAGTCGCGGCCGTCCCTAGGCTTGCGGGACCGAACTTGCCAGTCGCACTCCTCCATGCCGCCTGGCTCCCCCCCCCCACACACACGCACGCACACATACCACCCCTCCCCCCGATGCACGTCAAGGCCGTCCTCATCGGTAAGCAGGGGAAACAGCTGAGCTAACAACCCACCCCTGGCATGTGCTGCAGCTCCAACAGGTGCATGAGTATCGACAGCAATAGCAGCAGGAGCAGGCACGTACAAACCGAACAAGGAGAATAGGAACACGGAAATCTCCAGACAGACAACTCGAGACGAGACAGACGAGACAGTCGAGACAGACGAGACAGTCGACAGTTGGGAAAAGGAGGCCCGGATACCGCACAAACGAACGAACATGATTCACTGACCCAGTGTGGGCTCTTGGCATCTTGTTCCTCCCCTCGCCCCGTCTCGCCCGTCGCCCGTCGCCCATTCCCTGCCTTGCGCCGAGCCGAGCCCTCCCCTGCCTGGCCTCCGGCCTCTGTTTCCACTCTCTGCCTTTGCGCCTAGCCAAGCCCAGGTGCAATCATTCTTTGCGACTCTCGCTCTTACTTCTGCGCAACCCGCCAACCCGCCAAACCCGCCAAACCCGCACACGCGCCAACGTCTCACCTCTCCCATCCGATCCCGTCTTACCTCAACTCACCTCGTCTTGCCTCGCGCGGGTTTTCCACCACTTCAACCCACCTCACCCCCAGGCCACCAGGCCACCAGGCGCACTTTATCGCAGCTCCTCCGCAGCCCCTGCGCCGCCTGCATGCCCCTCGCAGTCGGCCTGCAACCAAGCAGTCGGTCTCTCATGGGATTGTGGCGCACCTTGCACGTTTCCATCACACCCTTCCACTTGGGGCACCCTGGTCCCTGAATCCGCCACAGAAGCTTTCTATATCTCCCCCAACCCGCTGCAGGTCCAGGTGCGAACACCAACTTGGGCCGGCACCCATCGGATTTCGTTCTCTGCATCCTTGCGACGTCCTTCTCTTGGTCATTGGAAAGCGATTTTTCTCTTGTGCCCCCGTTGTGCTCCGCAGTGCTCTTTCTCTCCTGCCTGGCTCAGCCACGCCACAAGTGTGTGTCTTCGAGAAGGTGACATCTTCGGAACATCGATCCTGACGGACCTGGTGGACTAAATATTGGTGCTCGCCTCCGATGGGACAACACCTTGTGGCTTAGTCCTTTGAGGTAGCTACTGTCCCAACCGTTTTTCTGCCGTCAAGACTGCCGCCGCCACCACTACCATCACCACCCCAAATATCCTCCCCTCGGGATATTTGCCAGCCTCGATCTGCTTGGGTGGCTGGCATATAGCTTCCTGCAGGAATCTGGGCTCCCGGCGTGCCTGCTGCGTGCCTCCGGACAGTCTTGAGGAGGGCCTCTCGACTCATGTGGCTCTATCTTGAATATCCTCACATACCGACTCGATCGAGCACGTGCGATCTTGACTTGGCTCAGCGCAGTGTTGTGCTCTGGGCTGCCCAATATGGCACACCCGGAGCCCCTTGCGACCGAACAGCACCACAAGCGGAAGCGCGATTCTGACGACAGTGGTCAGCAGTCCCACGACAGGATACCTCAGCCGCCCCCTCCGCAGTCTGGCAATGGCGCTCACATCAATTACCTGGCCAGGGCCAATTCGACGCGACTGAGACTGATTCAGGGAGATGGCGAGGTATTCTCGGACGTGCTAGGCCTCATTGGGGAGTATGAAGGGGTGCTGAGTCGCCATGAGAGCTTGGCTGCGAACTTGGGCGCCAAACTCACAGGCCCGAGGCTGGTGAAGGCCATGGAGGGACTCTTTGAGGGCTCAATCACTGCGACGCGCAGAGATCCGTACAACTCCGACACGGTGACCTGGCTAGACATTGTCCAGTTTGCGAAAGCCAGCCCCAACGAGTTCACCTTGACATCTAATCCAGACCGTGGCCGGTACTGCTCCTTCTACCTCAAAGGCAATCAGGTTGAGATCACCGAGGACGACTGGCGACTGATCATGTCGGGGACGCTGGATAGGTTCAACCTTGCGCCTCTGCAACCCCTGGAAGAGGACGAGAACTCCGAGCTTGCGACCTTGGAGATAATGGAGCAGAGGCTCCAAGTCCTCATCAAAAAGGCAGACGAGGTCGCGCGCAAGGCTCGACAGCTGAACTACCACCTGAGCGGCCGCAAGGCGGCCATTAATTCCCGTCGCACGGTCCGGTCACCCACAACTCATCATGCTGGCTTCCAACCCGTCAACCATCCCCAATCAGTTCCGCGATCCAATTCTTCATACGACCTTCACGCGGACCTACTTCAGCAATTCACATCTCAGTCGCAGCCTGGATCCGCCAGGATCCAGGCTCAAAACTCAATATCCCTGCCAACGACCCCCGTCATTCAGGTAAGCAATAATGTCGCCCCGTGTACGCTCCTCTTCTCCGGCGCAGGAAAACCCACCGAGACCACGCACAGTGCCCAGTCACGAGGATCCACGTCTGCCGTACCCGCTGGTCCAAGGTAGATTGCCCCGAGGACAACACTTCGACAAAAAGTCTCGCTGGCGGATCAAAGCACAGAAGGCATGTGCTTGGGGAGCATTCCTTCCTTGCGGTGGTCTTCTGTAGCTGCTTGATCCACGGGGTGCTGTTCTGCGGATTCGAGTTTTGTCAGCTGTTATAACAATAGTGGCTTGTTATTGTCGCAGTGGTTCTCTTGGTTCTGTTGTCGAATAGTTCATTCGACAACCCGCCTGGTTCATAGTCTGATCACTTCACCAACCGGCCAAATGGCGCAACGACCAACTGAGAGAATACCGATTACTAAGAAAATGAGCAACAGGGACCCCCGATTGCCAACGTCAAATTGCCAATCCAGCCAGTTCAGTCCATCCACACACAAAGCGGACGCCCTTCGCCGGGGGCTTCGGATCAGTCGCAGTCCCAATCTCAAGCTCAGCCACACCAGCAGCAGCAGCAGCGCTCAGTAACGGCACAGTCTGACGATTCTTCTGATACGCACCGGTCGCTCGTAACTGCGCGTATCGAGAAGTTGGCAAAGGGCGATACCATCCACCCGCCCTGCGACCGGTGTCGCAGGTTGCGCGTGCAGTGTATAAAGCACCTCACAGCCTGCCAGGGCTGTACCAAGAAGCATGCGAAGTGTGGATGGAGAACTATCTCGGACGAAGAACTAAACTGGTTAAAACGCGAGGTCGGTAACGGGGCTAGTGGTGTGACGAGCGGCGGCGAGGGTGATGGGACAGAAGGAGACAACACTTCGAGCCGCAGCGGGGGTGGTTTCTCGCCCGACCCGCCGTCACTGCCGCCTGTCAGCACCACCAGCACCACTGCACCCTCATCCTCCAGCTATGGGGACCGGTCGCTGGCCGTCGACACGAGGGCTTTTGCGCCAGTCAACCACAACCACAGCAACAGTGTCGGTGGCGCCAAGGAGCGGAGTGGTGTGACAGAGTTTGGGCTCCGCGATCACCGCCCGTCGTCGGCCCAGGCCGAACACCGTGTCGACCATTATCGGTTGAGCCACATGGCTAATGTCGCGCTTAGTGCCGACGCGAGGGAGCAGCAACCGCACCAGCAACATCATCAACACCAGCAAAACCACTCCCAAGTGTTGCGGGGGGCCAGCATCCCAAGAGACTAAATCTTTGTTGGCTGCGCGGATGCTTAGAGTGGGCGGAAAAGGAGGGAAAGAAGAAGAAGGGATAAATTAGGACAGGACTCGCCTTATTTTGAAGGCGTTTGTACAGATTTGCATTTGCTGGATACCCCACCCACTTGGTCTCAGTAATATAGATTAGACCCAATACAGGGCCTGTTCGACAAGGCGGAGAAATTGCAAAGGCAGTGCTCGCAGGTCGATAGCCCCCGACAACGGAGAAGAAAATAGTAAGAGCAAGTGGCCCTGAGTAAGTAATCTACTTCCGGCCTCGGTGGACCGTTGGCAACTGATCGGCAGGCATGGTGGTAAGTTAGTGGAAATTGTATGTATGTAGCATGTTGGCAAATGTATTACTTGCCGTTCAACGGGGAATAACAAACAGGCAGACACCGGTGAGGCTACCTAGGTGCTTCCCCGATGAACCCGCCTTTGGCATTTCACAACAAAGAAAGACCCGTGAAAGGTGAGTGGCAAGATACCTGGTGAACTGGTGTTTCTGTACCTTGCGCTTGCGCATTAGACAGAGGCTCTACTGTCTTCGATGGCATGGAAGCTTACCCGGGCAGTTTGGGCGGCACTCTCTCATAAACTAGCCCCTCAGGGCGCGCCTCTGCATTTCTGGGACCCGATCGTCATGGCTCGTGCCATGATGTGTCGAGTACGGAACGTGCTTTTAGATTCAAGACTCTCAACGGCAACTCTCTCATTGAAGCGGAGTTGGAAGGTCACGCTCAAAACAAGTGGTAACGAGCAGTTGGATTCCAGTCGTGACTGGTGACAGATGGCAGCTTGCGTATGGCGTGGGCCGGTAGTCAATTTCTTTTGGCATACCTACCGCACCTCCTCGGCCAATTCGAAACCCTCACTCGAGTCGCCTGTAATTCTCTCACTGTTGCTGCGCATATCTTGGTGCCGTTTCTGTGGTCTCTCGGTCCCCAAAACTATTGAGGTATTGGCTTCCTGTCGGGCGAAGTGTCAACCGCCGATGTTGGTCATTGATGGTCAAAGGGCGATTGACGTGGAAGGGGTGAATGTCGGCCAGTTTATGTCCATCTTGAGCCCTATGCCTAAATCATACAGAGCGCATCCACGGGAGTCCTGCCTGCTCCTGGCCCCCTTTTACCGTTCTACTGCCCCATGCTGTGCCCATGCTGTGCCCATGCTGTGCCCATGACCTATTTGGATAGGATCAGGAAACCATCAAGAACCATTCTTCCCTACTTTGCCAACCAAGAATCCAATTCGATGTTATTCAGGACTTGTGCAGTATCTCCAACTACGCCTTTGTCGTGGTTGGATGCACGCTGGCAGCCCTGCAAGGACATTGGCAGGTAGGCTGATGTCGCTTGATACTGCTGGTCTATCCAGACATTTTCGCTCAACCAGGGTTTTCGTCGATTATGACGGTGTTGCGGTCCTAGAAAGATACTCAAAGGCACATATATGAGACAGTGCGGCCTATTGTGTCGACCGACCCCTCGATTCTGGGGTCCTGGGGTAGCAGGGAAGTGGCCGGCTGGTGGCTGCGACGTCTCCCGGGATCCCGTCATGGGAGGCAGATTGTTCAATGTTTGGGAGCAGCTGGGCTACGCAAACAATTGAATCTGAAAGGGCCAGTGGCCACCCTTGGGAATCCTCTCATTTTCGGCTAAATTTTGCTTGAGATGGCGAGACAACGAGTGAGTGGTTTGGGCACGGATGGTGAGCGACAACCAGCTCTGCGGGATGTGGTGAGCATAACATGACAGCGTAAAACGAAACAGCTTGATGATATTTGCTCACTACAGCCCTCAAATGATGCAATTTCCCAATGCAATTCTTCTCGACTTCACGTTTGTCTTCTGGTACTTTAGCCTATCAATCTCATCATCGCGCTGGACTGTAGCGGTCGGTACACAGGGCCGAATAGTCTGTGTTTGACTCCTCGGGTGACCCGTTTTTGTCTCAGCTGTCAAGAGTAGAGCAGGTCCTAGTCAAGTCTGAATTATATCTCGTTGAGGCCACTGGGCCTAGGTCAGTCCGATAATTTTTGATGGTGGTGTTTCATGGTTGTGGACGCGCCCCATCGACCGTGAAGATCTCTGCCCTGACCCCGAGTGCCGTGGCCATATCAGGCCAGGTGGGATTATTCAAGGTGGTGTCTACTCTCGCCCGTACATGCACCCACTCATGAAAGATTCAGATTGGTTATATTTGAAGTCAATTCAAGCACATAAGATATGTTTATTTTCTTATTTCTGAGGAAAAGCAAGAAGGTTCAGTTCGACCGGAGCTCTTGTTTGTCGAGAGAAATAGGATCCATGGATCCATGTCAAAACATCACATCACTCGTGGAGATTCAAGTGTTGCTCGCACTTTACTTCTCTGTATTGGAGTGGTACCATTATGGGGCACATCTTTTCATTTTGAGCGGGAAAGGAACATGTCTTTTGGCCAGTCTCACGGGGTCCTGCTGCATGTGAGGCTGGGGAGTGTTTGTGCGGCACTCGGTTGCGGTGGCCACCTTACAACTTCAACAAACTGACAAGTCGCTGAGTTACCTCGACGAGTGGACAACGTGTTTGGCCTTCGTCCTTAATTATCCTATGTGGCCTTTTCCAGATCTTCGGCTTGAAATCTACTATGAACAACTATTGCGACGACTTGAAGATGGAGATGCTGAGGAACGCAGTGCTTTGTTCCGTTGTACAGTACGGTTGGGTTAAGATATGGGAGAGTACTCTCCTACTGACTTGTCGTATATGGACAGATGGAAGTTCGAAAGTCGAACACTTGAACAAAATCCTCATCGTCACGCTGTGGCGTAGTTGTCCCCGTCCTCTCGGGACACCGAGTTGTGCCCTGTTCACACACAAAACGAAGCAGCCAGCCGTTTTCGCCATCAGGAACAATCGAGCTGTTGGAAGGAGGAGAGACGGGTATACGTGGAATCCCTGAGGACCATGCTCGTCCATGATGTGAAAGGCGTTCTTGCCCTGGACAGTTGGAGGGTGGCTCAAACGGGCTCGAACAACAAAATACCTAGGTACTCGCGTGGTGAGGGATCATCCAGTACTGCTCGAGTGTCTGTAAAGGCAGGACGGCGGACAGGTCACACGGGATACATGCCAGGTATCACCGAACCTCGTTTGCCCGAGATGATCAGGGAGTGTCTCAATGTCCGGTGGTCGCCCGCCTACCAGACAAGGGGTAGGGTCATCCAGGTGAGCATCACCTCGACTGGGCGGGTGTGAAGAAGAGTCCTCAGCTCGCACAAGTCTAGGCCTCAACGGGCCCGCGAGCTCGAGCTGGATGCCGACCGATGGACCATGGCACCCCGGGCGTTGGGCACAATTGCTTGCTTGGCCACCGGCCACGCTTCGTCTCATGCAGGTCTCGACGACAAGAAGGAGGTGAAGGTGGCGAGGCTGAGGCTGAGGCCGAGGTGGAGGCGGCTGCCACCGTGCCTAGTGAAGCTGGTCAAGAGCAACGCCGACTTGTCCGAATGGCATCGTCAGGGATGGTGGCTTTCCTTGGCACCCTCCCGTGAGTTACCCACCCGAGGTGGAATGGAGTGCCTGAACGGTAGCTTCCGCTGTCGAATGCTACGACTGGTGTATACTGCTGCAGTCCGTGACCACATGGGTACCTACTTAGTACCTACTCAAGTAGGCAGGTAGGCAGGTAGGCAGGCAGTCTCGAAGGGGGACGGGAATCGGGGACTGCCTCTCCCGCCGTGTCTGTCAGCGGAGGGGAGGAAGCAACAAGGTGCGAGCATCTCGGATTGCAAAGCACACACACAATAGGAGGAGGCGATACTGCTTATCAGGCGAGGTGGAAATCTGGGCTGGAATGTGTGGGCTCTGCCGGGCCTTTTCTTGATCTGTCAGGAGACCGTGTCGGGCGTCGAGATTCGGCCCAGGGCAAAAGGTCGAGGTCGTCGGCCCAGCAGCTCTTCTTTTCCCCTGGCCAGCTCGTACGTCCGTCTCTTCCTCGCAGGTGGACGCCAGCCAACGCTGCTGCTGTTGCTGCGCACGCACGCACGCACACTTGGGTGCAAGCCCTCCCGCCGTCTCCGTCTCCCACCGTCTCACGCTCCTCTCACTCCACCCGTCCCTTCTGGTCCTCTGTCAATCCCATTTCCAAAAACACCAACCCTTTTTTCTCCCCCTCCCCATTTTGACAACGTGACCTCCACGCTTGTCATTCACCCACCCGTCACCACTGCCACCGCCGCTCCACCAGACCACGACCCTGTGAGACAAGAGCTGCAGCTGCGGTGATTGCCCAAGAGAAACCCGCGCTGCACAGTGCTGCTGCACCCAGCTTGCCTGTCCGGCCTCCCCACGGCCTCTCAGCGACAGCACCCAATTCATCAATTTACTTATCCCACACGGCGTGGTCGTTTCACCCCATAACACAAGCTTCGTCTTAGTCACCTAAACTGCTGTCCTGGCCCGTCCTGGCCTGGCCATCTCTGGCTGTCCCGTCGGTCTGATCTGCAGTGGTAGGCAGGGCCTGTTGTTGCGGATACAAAAGGTCTTTCTTATGTGGACTTTGTCGCGCGCTAGGATCCTGGCCACACCACCTTAATTATCCGCGTCCATTGCTCTCCTCCTGTTTGGACCTCACCTCACCCAAACCCGCAGAGCTCGCCTCACCCGCCTCCTTCACCCGCAATACAACATCGAGCGACGCGTCAATTCCATCAAACCGCCCGCATCTGCTTACATCTACTCATTTCTTCCACCCCCGTCGCGTCTTTTCAAAGTCACGCCTCGGGATGGCCGGCCTCCTCGCTGAGACGGCTCGCGCTGACCTGCTGCCTCTCCCTACCCCCGAGCCTGCGCTGGTCCCTGACTCCGTTGAGCTTCCTCCCCTCCCCTCCGAGTCGAGCTTCCAGTTCTCCGGCTTCCCTACCGATGCATCTTCCAACAACGCGTCGTTTACCTCCACCCCCCCAACTACCGTTGCCGATGCCGCCAGCGTCGCCTCTGACACGTCCAAACACGACATCGCCGCCACCATACACGCTCTCGACGCCCCTGCAGCATCCACCCCCGTCACCGGCTCTGCTGAGCCTGCCGATCATGCTGCTCCCACCGTCGAGTCCACGGAGCCCGCAGGCTCCACAGAGCCCGCAAGACCTACAGAACACTCCCACCGCATTGAGGTCATCGAGCAGACCGTCCAAGTTGCTACCCGCCAATTACCCCAATTAGGCCAACAGACCCCAGAGACGTCCACACCAGAGGCCGACAACGGGGCACCCACTCCAAGACGCGCTCGGTCCGCGCGTGCGGCTGCGCAAGCCCCAGTCTACAACCTAGCCAAACTTGCAGGCACCGACGTCCACGGAAAGAGACGCGCAAATGGAGACTCCGTCAGGGACAAGCGCAGGAAGACCATCTCGGGCGACACATTGGTTACAGGTCATGGCACAGCCGCGAACGCTAGTCTCGACAGCATTGTCCAGCGTGGTGTCGACGCGTTGGATATGAACTGGTCTCTATCTGCCCCAACCTCCCCTTCGACCGCACACGACGGCAACGCCCCGGTCAAGTCTGCCGCAATCAACAAGAAGCAGAAGGCCAAGGTTGTTCCCGCAAAACGGATATCCACACGTGCTTCGGGGGCGGCTGCTGCCGATGCGGTCATCACGAAGGCTGCCTCAGCTGGCAAGCGGGGACGGAAAATGCTCCAAAACGCCCGCATACCTCGCGAGCTCAGAAGGCTGCAGGACACAAACGAATTCATCGGGGTCGAGGCAAAGCCAGTGCTCCATACCATCTGGAGCAATGGCAAGTATGTTGACCCCAACGAACTGGACGTCAACGGCGAGCCACTGCGAAAGAAGGCCAAGAAGGAGCGTGCATCGACTAAGCCCGAGGCTGAGGCCGAGGCTGAAGCTTCCAAGGAAGAGACCCCCACAGTTGCGCCCAAGCAGAAGCGCGTCAAAAAGTGGCTGGATAAGGGCCTGTATGCAGGTCAACCCGCCCCGCTGGACCACACCAAGGGAATGAGTGCTGCTGAGAAGAAGAAGCTTGTGCAGCTTCCAGAGCTCGCCCCTACCGGGAATGTCAACAAGACATTTCCACTGCCCATGTTCGCGGGCCTGAGAATCCTGCTTAATGGTCGGGATTTCAAGCTGCCGTTCGACGTCTGCAACCCGCTGCCACCTGGGCAGCCGAAACCGGACGAGTGGCGCAAGATGACCAAGAGTAAGGCATGTCTACATTGCTGCATCGGATTTACGAGCTGACTGTATCTCTCCTAGATCGATTTGTAGGGGACGCCGGCACGTACTGGCGGAAGACGGACCATTTCAAGGACTACCAGTCAAAATGTATCTGCAAGCCCGAGGATGGATGCACTGAAGACTGTCAGAATCGCATCATGTTGTACGAGTGCGATGACACGAACTGTAACGCTGGCAAGGAATACTGCCACAACCGCGCTTTCCAGAACTTGACTGCGCGCACCAAGAAAGGCGGGCGATACCGCGTTGGTGTAGAGGTTGTCAAGACGACTGATCGCGGCTACGGTGTGAGAAGCAACCGATGTTTTGAGCCGAACCAGATCATCATGGAGTACACCGGCGAGATCATTACACAGGCGGAATGTGAGACTCGAATGAACGAGAAGTACAAAGACAATGAGGTGAGTAGTGAACATTTGGTCACCCTTCACGCGGGCACAAGGCTGACAAGTAGTTCAAGTGCTACTACCTCATGGCGTTTGATCAGAACATGATCATCGATGCGACAACTGGCAGCATCGCTCGATTTGTAAACCACTCATGCGCACCAAATTGCCGCATGGAGAAGTGGATCGTTCATGGGCAGCCACGCATGGCGCTTTTTGCGGGCCCGCGTCCCATCATGACTGGGGACGAGTTGACGTACGACTACAACTTTGATCCTTTCTCGGCCAAGAATGTACAGAAGTGTCTTTGCGGCAGCGAGAACTGCCGTGGTGTTCTGGGCCCCAAGGCCCCTACGATGTCTCGCGGCGAGGCGCTGGCTAAGGGTGTCAAGGAGACCGTCAAAGCCGCAGCCAAGGCCGGAAAGCGCAAGCTAACGGCACTACTCGACGGTGACGCAGACTCGGGCGCTCCCAACAAGAAGCGCAAGGTGGTCAAGGCCACTGGTGCCAAACGCTCCTTGAGCGCAAAGGCTGCAGCTGCTGTCAAGAAAACCGCCAATAGCATCTCTGTCAATGCGAAGGCGGCTCTCTCGACCTCATCGGCACGACCAAAGACTCCAGCCAAGACGGTATCCGTCCGCAAATCGACCCTCGTCAAGGCGTCCAGGACGTACACCAAAAACGGCAGAGAGTTGCTCCTTGCTGCGAGCCTGACCTCGGGCGCTGCTACGGTTGTGGCCACGCCAGCGGCTGGTAAGGGTACAGGCCGTGGCCGGAAGAAGGGTACCCTCGCAAAGGGCTCAGCGGCCAAAGCCAAAGCCACCATCACCAGCGCTGCCGGGAGGGGTCACATGAAGAGCACGATCAAGAGTGCGAAGCACACCATCAACAAGACCACCGGCAAGAAGACCACCACCACGAAGACGGTCAAGGCGAGACAAATTGCCAAGAAGAGCATCCTGGAGGATGCCGAGGACGGCAAAGCCATGAAGAGACCTGCCAAGTTGGAACGAGCATCCACCGCCGAAGCTGGTTCAATCAGTGTCAAGGGGCCCCGGAAGGCGCTCGAGCTGTCCCGTACGCAGAATAAGATCCGCGTGGTGACAGACCCTGAGTAGACCTGACACAGCTCGTATAGGAGGAGGCCTGACATGAAATGGACTGTAACCAGTTTCACGGGATGTAGCGTGTCCTGGCGAATTTTTTTTCCATCCAGATGGAATGGGTTCTCAGTCTCGGTTCTGCCCCTTTGACAGGGTAGGATAGGATGAAGGAGAGGGAGGAAGACACCTTGGGGCAGAGGCGGCCCATGTAAGAGTATGAGACACGTTGAGGGTACACGAGGAGCAAGGGACCACCAGCATTGCATGGCAAACGTTATTTTACAAACATATTTTGCTTGCTACGCCGAGGGCTGGGCTGTTGCGCCTGATGAGGATCTGCCGGCCTGGAAGGAGAAAGGGCCACTGTCTTCAACCTCAGGGCTCTTGTGCTTACCGTGGGCGTCACCATCTCCTGAAGGGGCGTCTACCCGGAGCAGTGAAATTCCTCTTTGCAGCACGCAGCAGGAGAAACAAATAATATGATGGTTTAGCTTCATTACTCCCTGGCCCCGGTGACAGGCATTATCTGCGCGCGAACACGGCCCACGCCGTCTCACGAGGCTTAAGGCTCTGCGCATCCGCACTTTTCCCGCAGACCGGCCTGCTTATACGAGGGAGCCTGGGGAGTACCGTGTCAACCGAGTCCTTGTTTTGGACGGGGCGCAGCGCTTGGCTTCGGCAGGACTTGGGCGCGGTGGCTCCGGGGGAGAAGTAGGCTCTCTCGAGAGGGGATTAACCGATGAGGCTCTTGTTCTTCACCATAGTGAGTGAGTGAGGCTCTGAGGCTCTAGGGGGCTGTGATGCCCAACCTCGCGTCGCCATGCAGGGCTGACATAAGACCCGCCTGAACGGAAACTTGGGGTTCGTCGGGCAGAGGTGCATCTGCAGCGGATAGATTGAAGGGAGGATTCGTGATGATCAAGAAGGGCGGGTGGGCGGGTGGGTGTGTTGGTGGGTGGACGGATGGGTATTGTACCCTACTGCACAAGTTTGGTGCCACAGAACAACCCCCACCCCACCCCCCTCCCCAAGAGCGCCTCATTGGAACTCGCAGCCGGTTTGGGTTTGGCTCCTTGCCCTTGTGCGACTTTGCCCTTGGGTATGCGTATGAAGAGGAAGGGTCAGAGATGGAGGGGGGTTGATTCGCCTCGCTTACGAAAGGTAAGCTGGGGGGGGAGCAGATATGCGATTTTGGGAGTAGCAATGGTGACTAATCCACCCTCCCTTATGCAAGTAACAGACTCAATGTATTAACTTTGAATGAGTGCATGCCTGGGTCAATTCCAAAAGTAGTCGTATTTGGTACCGTCACCGCTCATTTCGCTTTGTCCATCAACTCGGGGTGGGTGGCTCTGTTTGAGGTGTGTTCTTCCTTTCTTGGCGCGGTGTGTGGATGGGTGAGGGCGGCGGGCGGACGTATGTCCGCGAGCCTCTGCTGCCCCGGGGGAGGTCGGCCTGCGGAAGTTCCAGCTAGTTCTGATTGGAAGCAGCACACGGTCTGGTAGTCAATTAGCTGACGAGTTAATTTTGACGCGTTGGTCGCTGACCGGTCTGATAACGCGCGCCGAGGTGATGCTGGCTGCCTGGAATAGCTACTCAAGGTTGAGAGGTTGCGTGTTGCTGCCGGATGAAAAGCACGATGGCCAGCGAGCCTGGCATCAGAACATGAGCTTCCAACCAAATGGGGCGTTCAATTGCATCCAGTGGTGCTTGTAGCGCATGGTAATGCATGAAATTGTCATTTATAACTCCGTCGGAACTCCATGTGTATCTCTATATCTGTGTAAAGCCAGCAAGTATGGTAGCCGTGAACCAGTGTGGTCTGTGGCCCGCCAAATCCCATTTCTATAATCCCATGACTAGCCCAGAAATTGGTGAGAATCCGCAGACATGTGTTCCCCAAGGTAAGAAGAAATCCTGATGGGTCTTGCGACCCCTGCATTCTTCAGAGCCAGCCGTGCCCGTCTAATAAAACCCAAGGAAATAATTCCAACGCTCGCTAGAAGCGATCGCAGTCTCAAGGAAAAACGATAGCGATTTTGACAGCAATCCAAAGCCGTCAATGATCACTGTGGCGGTCGACAGATGTGGTGGCTGGTGTGCACCGGGAGTTCAGTCCACGCTGAGCGGAGGGGACGTGGCTCGGTGGAAGGCGCGATCTGAGAGTCACGAAAGTGATTGTAACTCTGCGCAGCTGGTCATTGCCCGCTGATGGGCCGAGGAGGAAAGACGTGGTTCTGGGGCGGCGGTGGGTGGAAAGCCTGAGCGACGATGATTCGATGATTTGTTGTCGGCTGGCATTGGTCATTTCAGGCCAACACGGCCCGAATAGTCCTCCTCTGAACATGATTGTCAGTGTGTAGTTCAACTGGAGGACCCCATCATCGGTGCTCCGTACCAATTGGGTTCAGACGACCTCATGATCCGCGGACTTTGTGCACCTCCACAGTGCAGTTGCCGCAACGAACAACACCGCAGTTCACACATGCTGGTGTTGTGGAGGCGTTCATGCCGCCGTGGCTGCAGTAGCAGCACCACCACAGGTAGACAGGTTGTTTATGGCCCATGATGCGTGAAGTGCTTTGTTCTGCTTTCTGGAAGGGCTGCGACGGGTAGATTGGGTGTTTTCGGGACTGCGGTGTCTGTCCAAGGTGGATATGAAGAGAGCTATGATGCTGTTGGTGTGGGTGGTGATGGAGCGAGAGAAGGCCTGAGGAAGGTGGCAAGAAGAGAGAGAGCTCTTATACCCAGTAGATACGCTCCCGGCGAAGGGAGAACGAGGGGTGACATTGCCATGTATTTCCACTTGGATAACTTCACAGCCCACGCAACAACGCAACAGGCATACTAGCAATGTGAGGCGAGCAGACTGCGGCACGAGCCGACATAGCCATAATCGCAGCACTTGCTGAGATGAATCGCAGAGGAGCCTAAGCCCCAGGCAGATATGATTCAGAGACCAAAGAGGACTCAGAACAAGTGCCTAGCCCCTGGGGCCGTGGGCAGAAATCGTCGCGCGTTGGACGGCATGCCGGGAAGGGTGCTCCACTCAGAGAAGGAGAAGACGTTGGCCGAGCGGTTCTCCCACGCGTATGCCTCGCTGCGCATGAACAGTCATCGGTCGGTCCATGCCTGTGCCCCATAGCCCAGCAGGTTGACATCCCGGGGAAGGGAGGCTTGTACGGACGCCTATGATGACAGGCAGAAAGCAAGACCAGCAGCAGAGACGTGTTGAGCGGATTGGCCCTGCTGCAGAATTCGGTGACAGAATAAGGCAGCGACGGGGCGCCAGACGGGTGTAACGCGTTCCATTTGGTCTGGACTAGGTGGCTTAGTCTGTCTATGTCGCCAACGGCAAGGCACGGCGACGGGGGGGGTGGAATAGTATAACAATTACGGAGCTTGAGGAGGGCCATGGCGGTGCAGGCTGTCCCGGGCGTCTGGGCCAGGTAGATTCACATGGAATGATGAGGGTCGCTGGGTTGGAGAAGAACAAGACTGGGCATCCCGGCAGCTGGAGTCACGCGGTATAGCTCGAATGCTCGCCGGGCGCGGGGCCGTGACGTCGAAGATGCTTGTGCTGGTCTGCGGGTTTGGCAATTGGCGAAAGAGCGAGGGCAGAGAGTCGGGGTTGGAGAAGGCTGGCTGGAGTGAGCCGCAGAGCCGCATTCATCTAAGCGGGGCCCGCCTGATCACTGGGCAGCCAGTCGGGGCCAGCCAGTTGGGGCCAGCCAGCCAGAGTTGGCTGGGCAACAAGCGTGGGGTGCTCCACTTTCCCAACCCCAGAGAATGTAGGCACCAACGTCGGATAGCGCCAATTGTCTGATTGTCTGCCACTGGACTTGTCTCTGCAGCCTTGGGGGCCCCGTCGAGCCCTCAACATTCTCAAAGGAATTGTGCCTTCCCTTTACTTCGTTTGTGTGGAGCACGAGTGCCGTGAGCGGTCGACAAGGGCCAATGTCCTCCTCCCAGGGGGTTCCCAACCCTGCGGTCCGCCCGTGCAGCCTGACAGGGCCACTCTGCGCATAACCCCCAATGAGCATGGCCCTGCGCAACGAGATCCCCCGTGACTCATTCACTCAGATCGCAGGAGTGGCGTGCGTGGTCCGAGAGGCAGGGTCGCCAATGCCGCACAACAAGAGCCGCACCACGGCTGACAGCCGGCAGTCTTGACCATGCTCGCCCGTCAGTGTTGGACACTGGTCCCGTCTGCCTGGCCGCTAGTGCTCAGGGTGACCACAAGGCTGATTTAATCGGAGTCATCGTTGACCCGTACCTGTGCCGTCAGTTGAGCCGCATGCCCGCCTGTCTCGGGGGTTCACAGCCCCCCCGTAGCCCCGCCCCGTCCACCCTCCTCCCGTCGTCGACGGCGCATTTGAGCTCGGCTCTCGAGCGAGACAGCACTCGAGTGCTTGCTGACGGTTCGCTTGTTGACGTTCGAAGAGACGGGGCCACCGAGAGCATCGCCGGACTTGCTCGACCCAAGCAGCTGCCTTCCTCCCGTAGGCCCAGGGACGACGGCTAGGCCAGCCTACCTAGGTAGCTAGTATGCCTGCCTGCCTGCCTGCCTGCCTGCCTGTCAGCCACGAGACCTGGGACGATTCTTCCAAAGGGCCCCTTCAAGCCAAGAGACTTTATCGTGACGAGACCAGCCGAGAGCACCCCCTCCGTGGTGGTGTGTTAGTCTCGACGTGTTGTTCTCGTACCAGGCAGGCCTCATCTGATGTAGGTAAATTCTCCGTTGTTGCTCGAGACTAAATGCGGGACACTGTTGCCATACAGCAAATTCGACGGCGGATAGGTCGAGGCCCTGCCATACCAACTTGTATCATCACTCCGTAGGCGTGGAGGGCGCAGAGAGTTGTCCCTGAGCATGGTTCCCCAAATGCAAGACTCCACTGGAGCCCCCATCCACGTGCGTACGAGTACCCAGGTAGTGTCAGACTCAGAGACCAATAGGATGAGAGGGGAACTTGGGAGACGGCTGGCCTGAAACTGATGCTCAACTCTCCGCGCCTAGCAATGCCGTCCTTCGCGTCACCTTGTCTCGGCTTACTCTAGGGCAACCAGATGAAGCCGAGAGAATAGAAGCATAACAATTAAAACAAAAGGAGAAATGGGAAGAGAAAGACCATCCGAACGACACCTGTGGAACGCAGAATTGTCAAGATACACACCAGGTAAGCAGTCCAGGCTTCTGAATCTCTTGTGGTCTGACCTGCTGCTCACTCGCCACACCGAGACAACAAAACATATGGCACTTACCAAACAAAGAAAAAAAGGGAACAGACCAAGGACAAGACCAAGAAAAAGATAGGCTGTAGTCCGGGTGTTATTCAAATGTGTTGGAACTTCGAGGCAAGATTCCCTTGGAAAGGGCCCCTGGGATGGTGGGGGGCATCCGAGGAGAGAGCACTCAGCTGAAGGGGTGGCCTTGGCGGGATGTTCTGGGCCAGGTGATGTATCTTCGGAGAGCATCAGTGACGAGAGCAGGAGTGACTGAAATGAGGGTGACGTGCCAATTTATATCCTTCTGCAAGCGGAGGTGCAGCCCCAAGAGCCTCAACGTAGGATGGCAGCCTGAGTACCTGGGTATGCCTCCTCCGCCCGGGGAGGTTGCAGTCCTTGCACACCCACCCACGCCTTAGCACACAATTCGGGCAAATTCGCAACTTTGAGGTCGGTTTCCAAGGCCCCGGGGGCTTGTTTATGATTTGCTGTTGTTGTATCGGTCGCTCAATCCAGCGCCATCACCCGCAGCCTGCTGGTCAATGATCGAGCAGCCCAATACAGAGAGATGAAAGAGCCTTTGACCCATCTCTGCTACCAATAAGTGGCCAAACAGCAGAGATCCCATGTGCTCAAGACTTGGAGTAACCATCGGGCGAGACGATCATGGTCGTCTACAGGCGATCGACCCCAAAGCAGGCAGACAGGCTTCCCCAGTGGCACGGCAGATGCGTTGGTGCTTGTCCAACGATTGCAGATTGCGGTTGTGGTCCGGCACAGAATGGTAGACAAAGGGACAGGCCGGGTTAAGATACGTTGTCAAGAAGGATGGCATTTGCGAGGCGGCGCCATGAGTATGATTCTGGCTGGTCTAGGCCCGTGTCGTTAAGAGAAACCCACATCGACACTCGGATTCACACGTGCAAAGAGCCGCATCAGAGCTTAAATGTCGTTTGTCTCCGGGCGTACCACTAGGCCCTAGCTTGGCGTCATGAAGGAAGCCTGTTGACACGGCAGCACGGCCGCAAGGATTGGCTGGTGGAGTGATAGAAGATACCCGGGTTGTGATGAGCAGTCCTGGTTGGTGGTGACTGCGGATCAGCGAGCCTCGGAATTGACGCCTTCGGAGTTCAGGTCGACATGGGATGACGGAGGTCCATGAGACGCTGCTGAGCCCCTTTTGCTGGCGACAACCCGTCGTGAACCTTGGAAGTCGGCCAGGGATGCCGGTGCGACTAGCACTGGCCAACCCAAGCGGCACGCAGAGGCTGGGAACAAAACAAACCGACATGATTGGATGGAAGCTCGGACAGAAGATGAATCTTGTCTGATGGGGGAGAGTGTGTAATTCGAATTTCATGGGCGAGATGAGCGTAATCTGTCAGGCCGGCGCAGCCGACGATCCGGGCTCCAGGGCCTCGGGCGGCTTCTCCTGGCGGCTCTCCTGTCGAGTGAACGAGGCATGGCCACACATCTTTCCATTTATTATTATCTATTATCCTCTCTCTCTCTCCTGTTCCCTCCCGCGTGGCATGTCCCCGGCCGCGACCCCGGCCTCGCCTGCGCCAGATTGATGACTCTACCAACATTCAGAAACGACTCGAAACAATCCTTCACGCTCTTGCACCCACACATCTCGGCCACAGCATGGTCCCGTGTTAGGAAGCTGGGCTGCTTCAGTGCTGAAAGCCGGGTTGGTTCGTTCTTCCAAAGACCTGGCCTGGCGACCTCGCGAGCTGCCAACATTTGAACTCCAGGAAAGAAAGCCCTGGAGTTTGCCAGGGCCACCCCCGTTACGGAGCGTCGGGCCCCACAGGCTATATACGTGGATACGTACCTAGGTACCTAAGCCCTACCATCCATTAAATTAGCCTCTCGGCAAGCCGCAGGGATCTCCAATGCATGGAACTGGCAGCAGCGCACGGACGGCCCTGAGGATTTGCCGCGGCGCTCTCTATACGTCACTCGTCTTATCATTATCCCCCGACCATCCTCGCATTAACAGTCCCGACGTTCAACGACACCTCTTGTCCACCGCGACCGTTGCGCGTCGGTGCGCGACCATGTCCTCCTCCTCCCCCGCCGCCGCCGCCGCCGCCGAGTCTAAGCTGTTCCCACGGTCGGAAGCTAGGAGCCACAATGTCGCCAACCGATGGACAACCCGCCTAATCCCTGTTTTCCTGCTCGCGGTTATCGGCTTCGCGTGCTGGGCCCTCACCAAGCCTATTTGCAGTGAGTCCGTCCGTGCCGCGCGCGGATCGCACGTCCCAGAGCCCCGTCGAGATGGGGCCAGATGCATCCCAGGAACGCTGACACGAGCCGTCGCACCCACCTAGTTGACTTCTTTATCGCTCGAAACCAGCAGGGCAGCGCGGTCGCCCTCCTTGTCCTTCACTACATCTTCCTAATATTAATGCTCGTATGCTACGCCCGTACGCTATACACGGTTACATACAACCCTGGCGTCGTCCCCCTCCAGCCGAAGCTCGGCCTCGAGTCCTTCTACACCCGCGACTTCTACACCTGCCGGAGCGACGGCCTGCCAATATGGTGCTCCGACTGCCAGAACTGGAAACCTGACCGCGCCCACCACTCTGGCGACATCCAGCGCTGCGTAAAAAAGATGGACCACTACTGTCCCTGGGCCGGGGGGATGATCGGCGAGACAGGTAAGCGTTCTGCTTATTGTTACAGTGCGTCTTTCACCGGGGACACATGCACAACTGCCGTGGCGCTGCTCCGGGTCCGCAATGCGAGCATCATACCTCTTGTCTTTATCTCACATATTAACAGCACTCGGCACCCCCAACGCCCCCTTGAAGAATAATTACTGACGTGTGATATAGCATTCAAATTCTTCATCCAGTTTGTCACATACACTGCTTGCTACTGTATAATTTGCTTATCTGCCGGCGCATATGTCACCCGCACGCTCGCGAATGAGGGCAGCGATGTTTCTGTTCCAGCGATTATCCTCATAGCCTTTTCGGCCTTCTTCGGCTTGTTCTCTTTCACCATGGCTGCCATGTCACACGGCTTTGCCCTGAGCAACTTAACAAACATCGAAAACCTGAGCCGGACGACCAAGGTTCACCAGCTCGCCATCCGGATCCCGCTCAATCAGACGCCAAGTTCGGACAATAGCGCCACTCCGAATGAATATGAAACTATAACGTTCCCCTTGGCGAACCCAAACTTCGACGGGAATCAATACATATACGAGGCCCAGAACGGAGCCAACGGAGCCGGCCAGCGTGCCCCGGAGCACAAGTTTGCGATAGTGAAGACCGAGGTGGGCGAGAATCCGTGGGATATGGGGAGCTACTACCAGAACTGGAAGTCTGTGATGGGCGACAAAGGCCTATTCGACTGGCTGCTGCCACTTCGTCTCTCCCCTTGTTGCCATTACGATGGCCAGTACCCCATGGGACCGGTCGTTGATAGGCTCCGTGAGAAGTTAAAGAAATGATACCACTCGAACACCCAGACATTTCCTTGTGCTTTCCCCAATGAGCCATTCGATTTGCTCCCCCAAGCAAGACGCCCTTTTAACATCATTTCGGCATTCATGTGACATTCGCTGCTCGTAGATATGGAGTTCATCTTCGTTTGTGTGTCTGTGCTCATGGGATTAAGTATGGGGGATGTTGTCTACATTGGGCTTGTACGAACGAAGCACTGGCATTGGCAGCGGCTTATCTTGGAGACCGCGTCGAAACTACTCAGCGGATCTGGCATCGGCAGAAGCTCGTCACAGCCAGAAACATCATGAGAAGCACAATGCAGAACTTCTGTGGTGCGAGGTTCCATCCTATCATCTTTGTCAGCCCCAGTGGGAGACTTGACCTTGGTCTTGGGAGGGAGGAGGAAAGACGCGGGCTCTGGGCTTGAGCGACACATTGTATAACAGCAAGCAGGGCAAGAACATCCCTCACCGAAACACTACTTTTTGTGCCTGTCCTGGTGGCCCACCTTGGCAGCGCCTTCGCATCGAACGGCCCATCAGCCCAGAGCCAGCGCTCCGGGTGAAGATCGTCCATGCCCGGCTGCCAGAAGGCGCGGCATGTGTGGTCGGCCCAGCTGATAGCATCCCGCATGGTGTCCGGGACCTTGGCGAGGCTCGATCCGGCCACGCAGCGGGCCCTTGATCTCGCGCAGATCGCTGACGTGGACCAGCGGCCGCCAGAAAAAAACATGGAAGACCGCTGGATGACGGGGCTACAGAGCCTCTCGGACTGGGACAGGATCATTCCTCGGCGGGTCCCAGCGGCGCTGTGCCTCAGTGGTGATCCCGGGCATGTCGCCAGAGAGCCGGCGTGTCGAGTGGGGGCTGCACAGGATGCCATTGCACCGGCGGCGATGGGTAGCACGATGGTAGTGGTAGGCCAGAAGGGTCAAGGTAGGGAGTGCGATCTCGGCAGGTGTGCCCGGGGTTGCCATGGTGTGTGTTCATGATTGGGCTGGGTCTCAAATGCTTAGGTTTGGATACTGCCACATTGAAGGCCGTGTTGCACTCGGTGTCCCACTGGCAGCAGGGAGACGGTCCTTTGTCCCAGGAAAGCCCCTCCGACGTACTGCTTCTTTGGGGTTGGAACAATATCTAGAGCAAGGGAGGTTTGTATTGTGCCTCCTAATGCTGTCGCTCGCTACCGGCGAATCGGCTCGAGTGGCAGCACAAGGCACACCAAGGAGCACAGAGCACCGAAGAATATACTGATAAAAACCAGCCAAGTCATCCAGTCGCATTGTGACACCAATATTATGGCTGACAGCTGTAAAGGGAGCTTACTGTGGGTGCAGTGTGTAAGTTGGTATAAGCCGATGGCAACACACCACACGAATCATGACTGGGTCGCGACAACATTGCTGTGTCACAATCCGCACCTCGGCTTCCACTGCATACTACCCTAGAGAATGAGGTTCCTGCTTAGAACTCGTGCCGGAGACTGAATTCTGGGGGAGGGACCTGCCGTCGGCATAAGCAGGGATCCTACAAGAGGAAAGCATTATCATCCACTGATTGATGTGATGTAACTTGCTGCTCAAGGCTACCGTCCCACCGCGGCCGCCGCGACGGTATATCGCGGGACCTTAGTAATTGGTAGGAGAGGGTACAAATGATAAAGAATACCTAGAGTACGTCATCAGGTTCTTAAACACCCCCCCCTCTCAGATATAATATCACCCCCTTTCTTTTTTCTCCCTTCTAACTTTAAACTATTATAACTTTATAAAAGATTTTTTTTATATTATTAAATTAATATTAATAATATTATATAACTTTAAAGAATATTATATTAATTTTATATTTAATAATATTTATATTAAAAAGTTATTTTTATATTAAATAATTAAATAATATAAAATTAATTAAAATATATTATATAATTATTTTTAAAATAAAAGTTAATAAATAAAGTTTATAAAAGTATATAAAAACTATTAATAAAATTAAAATTATTAATTATATAATAAATTCTTTATAAAAATTTATTAATTATTTATTTTAAAGTTATAAATTAAGGTTTTATTTTTAATTTTATAAACTTTTAATAATAATAAATATATTAAAAATTATAAATTAATTATTTCTTTTATAATATTTAAAAATATAAATAAAATTAATATATTTTTAAAATAAAAGAGTTTTATTAATAATAAAATTTATATTAAAAGTTTTTAATTTTTAATTATATAATTTTAATTAAAAATTAAAATTATTAATATTATTAATATAAATAAAATTAATATTATTAAATAAAAGATTTATTATTATTAAATATTTAAAACTATTTAATTTATAAAAATATCTTTAATAAATATTATTTTTAATAATTAGTTTATATATTTTAAGGTTATTATTAATAATAAAAAAGATTAATTTTAATAATAATATTTAAAAGAGAGAATCTTTAAGTTTAATAATTTTTAATAAAATATTTAATTAAAAGTTTATTAAAAGTAAAATAAATAATTTATTACTTTAATTTTTATAAATAGTTTATAAAAGTTTATTTATTTAAAATTATATTTATAAATAAATTAGAATAATAATTTTTAATATTTAATAAATTTTTAATTTATATATTTTAATTAATAATAATATAAATTTAATATTATAAAGTATTCTTTTTTATTTATTTTTATATATTTTATATTTTTATAATTATATAATAAAGGTTTATTTTACTTTTAAAATATTATTATTAAAAAAGTATAATAATATTATTTTTATTTTAATATAATATTTATTAATAAATAATTAATAATTAATTATTATAAATAAACTTTTAATAAAGTTTTTATAAAAATATTTTAAATAACTTCTTTTAATTAAAATAATTTTATATAATTTAAAGAAAGTCTTTTAATATTTTTAACTATTTAATAACTTAAAAAACTTTAAAGTTAAAAAGGTTATAAATATTATTATTTTAATTAAAAGTATTAATTAACTTAATTATTAAAACTTTTAAAAATTTAAAACTTATTTATAATAAATAATTAAATTATTAATAATATTAATTAAATTTAAAGAATAATTAAAATATTATTAATTAAAATAAATAAGAAGTTAAATAACTTATTTAAAAATAATATAATTTAAAAATAAAATATTTATTTAAATATTTTTATAAAAAATTAAATTTTAAAAATATTAATAAATTATAAAAGATTTAAACAAAGTTTTTATAAAATAAATAAAATTATAAATAGAATATTATTATTATTTTTATATTAATAACTTTTTTAAATATAAAAACTATTTATAATAAAGAAAGTTAGTTTAAATATAGTTAAGTTTTATTAATATAAATTTAAAAAAAAGTTTTATATTTAAATTAAATTTTTAATATAAGAATTAAGTATATTATATTTATTTAAAGTTTTATAGTTAAATTAAAGAGTATATTTAATAAAGGGGGGTGTTTAGGAACTTAATAATATACTCTAGTTTAGTTCTGTTGTATTTGCTATTTTGGTAAGCGGTAAATCCCGCGTTTGAGTGGTGTGGGCATCCCCATCTGGCAGGTGAAACCCCGTGCCATACATGTTGTCGGAAAGGAAAGAATCAGCGGCAGCAAGGCACAGGGGGGGGGCCACCGTCCGGCCAGGGGCCCAACCAGGTTGGCACTGCAGAGCCGCAAGATGGCAGGGGGGTCTGTGGACTTCCGGGGCGTTGGGATCTTTGTCAAAAATTTGAAATACATTTCTGGGCAGGCCCAGCCTTGCGGGTGCCTAGCTGGCACACCTCGTGGCAAGCCTGCCCGTCACAAGATTGCTACCCTGCTCACCTCCCCTTCCAGATTGTGACCGATTTTCTGCAGCCTTGTGTGAGGGTTTTGCTCGCCTTCCCCCCTTCCCCTACACACCATACCGGGTGTGTGTGGGACTCTAGCTCGCTCGCTTCATCCCGCGATGTCTCACACACTGCTTCATCGAGGCCTGGGAGCCTCGTAGGGCCGGCACACCAAGGCGAGGTGGCCCGGCAGCCTTGATTTCCACTGAAACACAATCCTCAGGCCAAATTGAGGAGTAGAAAAGGTCGGTCATGATACCAACCAGCCTGGATGTGAACAAGTGCGGGAGTGTCACGGGAAGAAGGATGATGGGGAAAGCACGGGCGGCAACGATGCTATTTTATAACTGTGCCTGGGGAGAAAAGGTGGTCTGGAAGACAATGTCTCGGCGTAATGTGAGCTATCGGTACCAATGAGGACGTGTTCCAGGTCCTATGCTAAAGAAAAAAACAATTGAACTGCCCGTGGATGGGCAGTCAACATCCATCTCAACCGACTTCTTCACCTCCACGGATTCGCAATGGGGATACCGGCGCTGACGCGTCACAAGACTCTATGACCATGCCACTAAACGGCCCGAATCCGTCGGTCGAAAGGCAGAAGTTCCCTGTTCCGCCGAGGCTCCTTGCGGGCTAACAACATTGACGAGACGGCGTGAAAACCTCCTTGTGAATTCGGCTCTATCACAACGGCCCCCAAACGGTCTCACATGGGTAGCTTCACTAGCAAAAGCATACATACAACCCTTTCACCCCGGCCCCACCCCCGAATCTCCATTGCCGCTCCAGCTCGGTCATCTCCGTGTCACAACCAAGCATCAGTGCTCTGTTACTTAGTACAGCTCCCGCACCTGATATGGCCGCAGCTGCTGTCTTCACAAGTAGTGCTGTTGGAGCCGTTTGGGTTCAATAGCAGTGACCCCTTTCCCCTTGCCTTGCAGGCGCAGCAGTACCAGTTTCCATTGAAGGACGTGTCGTAGGGACCAGACCTGATGATGGAAAGTCAGCGGCCGTTAGTGCTAGTAAGTTATCATCTGTGTGGAGACGGACATGATGTTGGACTGTTGGCCAACCACTTTGCTCGAATTATAATGAAGCGGTGGTTTGGACTGGGGAACCAGGGGGGAAAGAGATGCTTATAAGACGTGACTGTCGCTGATACTCGTTGAACCGTCTATCGTGGTATGAGACTCTCAAGCTGATGATCGATTTCTGTCGTCTGAAATTCTTGTCGTGATGTCGGCCATTTTATAGTCTCAACTCCAAAGCACTTCTGAGCGTGAGACTCGGTCTGTATAGCGGCTCAGCCTACGATCGCAGACATAATCATGACCATCCTTCCGTGCTGAGAGCCGTCTTGGTGCCCGGAGCAGGGCAGCGAGAGCCACAAGCGAGATGATCCTGTCGCGTCTCGACGATTCAGAGACGTCGTCGTTGTCAAACCTTCGGGCATACCAAGCCGTCTAAGGCTTAGAGAGGATCCTGGTCCGTGAGCAGTCCTGCGACGTTGCCTCACCGTCGTGCTGTGTGCTCCCCACGGTGTGTGACTCAAGAACCTTTCGTGGATCCGGACACCACAAAGCGGCTTGGATCGTCACGGGAGGAGGTCCGGAGAAGGCGTTGAAGGATTTGTGAACAAGGAGGATGTTGGACGCCAGAATGTGGTTGGGCGGGCGGCAAATGAAGCGGGATGGAGTCAGGGGGGTGCCTCAACACCGTCGGCGGCGCCGCCCTGCAGCTCGAAGAGAGCACCGAGACTGTAACGAACGCCTGCTTTCGACAAACCTGATAGGTGGCTCTCCCGCTCGTGAGAGGTCAGTCGGGAGAGAAGGGCAAGAATGTGCTTACACCATATGCATAGTGGGCTTCTTTGTGCTGCGGTGCCCAGCATCAACCGCAACACTTTTGGGACGAGGGAGCGCTCGGGCAACGCTCGGCACGCGAGACCTCGAGCCGCAAACTGACAACTCTGTTCAGAGCCTGACTTGTCCGGCAGAGACGGACGGGCGTGAGCAGTTTCTCGGGCTCCTTTGTGTTCATCACATGGGTACACAAGGCTCGAAGTCACATCGTGATAGGATGTCGAGACGCCGTTGTCACATTGGGTAACCCAAGTCACCCTGATTAAAGTACCGGCTTGTATTCCAACCTGTCCTCGGCCACCTAGTGTTGCACTTTCGTTGAAGGCCACCGAGCTGCGGACTAGTAAGCTTCGATCCTCCTTGTAGTATGCGTATCCGACCCAACGACACACCCCAGAGGAGCAATATGAGACGGACAGAGCCGGGAACCGAAGATAAAGGGTACCCCCATGTTGCCTCTGTCGAGATGAAAATACGAGGACAGTTGGGTACACACAGCCTTGCCATGAAATATGACGCCAGTACTTACTGCAAGCTTACAGGTTTGCATAGCACTACATGCAAGTCCCAGTTCTGCCGCCCCCGGGGGGGGGGGGGGCAAAGCGGCTGATCTCTTAGAGGTTTGTAGTGTAAATGGTTGTCCAGCCTGTCATAGCTTGGTTTTGACCATGGCCCCGCGGCACCAGGGAGTCTAGGAGTCGAAACAACGGCAGGAGGGACGGGCGATGCCTATGGAGGACCACACTGCCTTGTGATAAGCAGAGGTCAGCAGACGATTACTGAGAGCAGATGGTAGTATGGGGATTGAGGGAATCAGATCACCCCAGAGGACTTACTGAGCCTTAAACCCGTCTAGTCGGAGCAACAGCTTCGCTACCAGTGCCCAGTCGCTCGTGGTAGATGGTCCCAGACCAAGTGAAATCTGCCCGACGAGGTATCACGGCGGCCGTAAAGCGGCGGAATACTCGTGTATGGGCCACGTTTCCCCGCTGTATAGAGCGAAGAGGGAAAATGGCGAATATGCAAGGACCGTCTTGCAAAAGTGCCGGTCCAACGGGGTCAGATGAAAGAAAAAAAGAACGAATCACCAAGACGGCGTTGTATGAGATAGTCTCAGGTCTTCTGGAGGTGCGGGGAATGCTCGTTCTCTTGCTACCGAGCCATTGCTAGATTCTGAGAAGACATCTGCTGGCGGTTCGACGCCATGGCGCACTGGGCACTGCACGAAGGCTTCGAGCCATCCGACCGGTTTCCCAATTCTGATGCCGGAGAGGAGCAGGCAAGTCTGGGATATCGAGTCTTCCAAGCTGGAACAGCGCCATGGTATTCCATGCTTGTGACATGGACAACTTCTCGTTTCGAACGGATCTGCTGCCGACACTTCTCAAAGTAGGATAATGGCTGCGTGCCACGTCAAACGACAGCTTCTAAGGCAATGCAACTTGACGCCCAGATTAGGTCGCTTCCCGCGCGCAGCACAATGCAACGCAGGTTGGTTGCATGTGGTCCAGACAAGGCAGGGTTGTATCAGCAGCCGATTTCTATGGCGCCCCCCGAATCCCAGCTCGGGACGCCGGGCGGGCGCCCCTCCGGATGCCGTACTCGGGACAGGAGATGAGCAGGGCCGGAGGGCGTACCACAACCCAGCAAGAGGAAGTGTCTCGTCTCCCCTCTCGAGACTCCCTCTCGGGCGGTTGACGGAAGCTGCACAAAGTCAGGCCCTACATAAGTGGCAATGCTATGACACGGGGGTGGTCGCAGCTTGGTACCATTGTGACTACTTGAGTACTGTACTGTGGTTCTTGGGGTCTCGAGAGGGATCGAGTAATGGCTGGTCCGACTTGCGTATGTGGCGCGCGCGCGCAGGAACCTGCTGCTGCACGACATCCTCGTCTAGCGATCATGTGGCCACAAACATGCCGGCTGCGAAGACCGAGCTGTAACTATCCGAACAAAATCCCAATGTGTTGGTAGCTGAAGCTCCCTGAAGTCTGAAGTATGGCCCCGGGCCCGGCTGGATGTTCGATTGGCGCAATGACTGGGGTTGCAGACAAGCCTTCACAGAACAGAGTCCCCGTGGCTTGACCACCTCTGGTGTGGTTGTTGTCTTATAGGCAGTTGTCCCATGGGATCTTGTCCTGCAGTGGGTTGGGGAGAAACTGGTTGAAGCGTGACTGTTTGGTTGCCCGCGACTGCCGGGCATTGTCTGGGCACTAACAGCAAAGCTCGCAGCTGACGAGCACCTGTGTTAAAGGGGGCGGGAGCACCTCGCCTAGATGGAAGCTAGCCCTCCGATTAGGCCTGACGCGTCGACACTGCCATCCTACCGCGTCGAAGGGCCCGACGACAGATGACTACCAAGTACTGGCACCATCAGAGCCAAGCCCAACCATGCCTTGACCTCTAATGCATGCGTTGCTGTTGACAAAATGCCCTCATCCCCGCCAGCTTTCAGGCAGTCCCCCCGAGCTGGATCGCCAGGACGTACAAGGTCGCAATTCACTTATCGCCACCTCAACTCCCTGGCCTCCTACTCGACATCATGTCCCCTGAGAGTCATCGCTCACATTGATCTTGACGCCTTCTACGCCCAGTGCGAGATGCGACGGCTCGACATTCCTGATGACCAGCCACTTGCCGTTCAACAATGGCAAGGCCTCATCGCTGTTAATTATCCTGCTCGCGATCGTGGGGTGGGGCGCTTCACTGACATTGCTCAAGCAAAAGAGCTGTGTGACAACCTGATCTGCCAGCACGTTGCGACCTGGCGCGAGGGCCAAGATAATTGGGCTTACCGTGATGACCATGACATGAGCACTGATAAAGTCTCCTTGGACCCGTGAGTGCACGCAACATTACTTGACTCCCCCCCCCCGGCTAAACCCTGACCTCTGGGATGAAAACTCATGAAAGACTAGGTATCGTTTACAGTCGAGGAAGATTCTGGCTCTGATCAAGGAATCCCTCCCAGGAAACCTGCAGAAGGTCGAGAAAGCATCCATAGACGAAGTGGTAAGTAAGCGCACCTTGTAAGCGCACCTGTTTCCCAAAGCGGTCTCCAGTGGCTGACCTGCCCTCAGTTTCTCGATCTTTCGGCCCAGGTGCACGCAATTCTTCTGGAACGCTTTCCGGAGCTTAGGAACCCTCCTCCTTATGATGACCCAACCGAGAGGCTGCCAATGCCCCCGGTCACAGCGCTCGACTGGAAAGCAGACGCATTGGTTGACCTTGATGACACGGAGACGGAGACGGATGATCCCGACTGGAACGATGTCGCTCTATTGATAGGGTCTGAGATTGTTCGTGATGTCCGAGCAGCCATTCGTGCCCACCTGAGGTACACTTGTTCTGCGGTAAGCACCAAGCCCATCCAACCTGTCTTCTCCATCTCAGGCTCATACTACGTGAAACAGGGTCTCGCAAGCAACAAGATGCTGAGCAAGTTGGGCTCTGGCCACAAGAAACCCAATGGGCAGACTGTCATACGGCATCGAGCCATCCGGCAATTTCTGTCGGGCTTCAAGTTCACCAAGATTCGTAATCTGGGTGGAAAACTAGGTGAACAGATTGCACAGACATTCAACACCGAGTCCGTCAGCGACCTTCTGCTTGTCCCTGTGGAACAGTTCAAGTCCAAGCTCGGAGATGACACCGGGGTCTGGGTCCACAATACAATCAGAGGAATAGATCACAGTGAGGTCAATTCGCGGGTGCAGATCAAGTCAATGTTGTCAGCAAAGTCATTCCGACCCAGCATCAACAGCGTGGAGTCGGCAGTCAAATGGCTGAGAATCTTCGTGAGCGACATATTCTCTCGGTTAGTTGAGGAGGGCGTTATTGAGAACAGGCGACGTCCTCGGTCAATCAACCTACACCATCGGCATGGCGGCCAAACACGCTCAAGGCAAGGTCCTATACCTCAGGGGAAGCCAATCAATGAGGAACTATTGCTTGACCTTGCCAAGAACCTTCTTAATCAAATCGTCCTCGAGGGTAAAGTCTGGCCATGTAAGCACCCGCGCGGCTGGGCGTTACGCGCGCTGGCAAAAACCTCATGCTACCCATACACTACACTTCTAGCAACTCAAAGGAACACAGCTGACAGTGTAATCCAGGCGCAAATCTTTCCCTCAGTGTCGGCGGATTTGATGAGGGCATCACCGGTAACATGGGTATCGGAGCATTCCTTGTGAAGGGCGAGGAAGCACAGTCTTTGAAGAGAAGCTCACGAGAAGGCTCAGCTGAGGCACCGCCTTCCAAACAACCCGAGAGAAACAAAACACTCGAGAAGGAAGGTATACAGCGATTCTTTTCCAGATCGGTAACGACCAGGCATGATTGTGAAGATCGTGGTCTGGATGCATTCTCTACCGGCTGGGTCGCCGGCGGTGAAACATCTCACAAGCACGTCGGAAATCCCATGCCAGAATGGGGACCTGCAGGTTTAGTTGCACGGAATGGAACCAGCGAGGACAGTCAACTGCAGGAACCACATACCCACCTATGCCGTCGATGCAACGCTAGTTTCGAGGACGCGGAAGATCTTCAGTGTCATCAAGACGAGCACCTTGCGAGGGATCTTTATGAGGAAGAACGTAGCAGCCACACACTTGCTGGACATTCTTCGCTTGCAACCACAGGAAAGAACAAGAACAAGGGCACACCTGCAATAACCAAGCGACCCGCGAAGCGAAAGAAAATGGAGGCTGGGCAGAGCAAATTGAACTTTGGATGATGCGCCACAAGCTGCTAGTCTCACCTACGGTACCAGAATGACAGACTGGACAGAGAGCAGCCCGCTGAGCACCGAGCAAAGACGTCTCAGGATACCCTGTTAGATTTAGAGATATCTTCACAGCGTCAGGACATGAAGAAAGACAGCAGGGGCTGGGCCTCTTCGGTTCCCTGTTCCTATGACATGGAGCGCACCCGTCTGCCATGACTTATTAGACGATCACCCTGGGCATCATGATGCAGCAGGAAAACCAACAGGCGACTACCGAGCATCGATGGAACGAGGCGTGAAGCCATATTGCTACGGCTGAGACGGAATGGTCGCCTAACCCACTAGGACCCTTCAATGAAGCTGGCCGCATGTTTCCCCAGGTGAGGACTCGTGCACACAAGGACCGAAACAAGCCGTCAGCCCGGGGCTGGAGCCTGTGCTGCCTAGGGACACAGTAGCATACTCGGCGAGTGTTTGGTCGTACCCAAGCCTCCCCTGTCTTGAACGACTCGGGCTTCAGGCTCAGCCTTGACAGCCGACGACGTTGTGTCCGGACTGTACTGGGCAGATGAGAGTAAGGGGAACATGTCAATACGACAAACTGAATACCTCAGAGGCTTGATCATCACGTTGCCGTGCTGGCCCGTCATTCTTTTGTTTACCAACATGGCAGTAAATGATCTTCATGACCTAGGCGCAGTGAGAAAAGAAGGAGACGAGCACAACTGCCGCACGGGATCAGCAAAGTGACAGCTGGGCCAGGTACGGGAGTACACGGTCATCATCAGGCCATCCATCTGGGTGACCGAGGCCAGGGTGAGGTTGATTGGCCTGAGCCGCCCCCAACTGCCCTGGCCCCACCCCTGTTTGCAGGTCCCGTTAGGCACAGCGGCATAAAAGATTGATACCCAAAGGACCATGGCCGCAAGTTCCCACTTTTCCAGTGGCCACACTGGGAATGGCGACTTGGTGAACCCGACCCAATGGGTTTGTAGCCTCCTTTGTGGGCACGGGCTAAAGAGTTGGGATGACGGCTCACAAACACTTCCAGTTCCAGGGTTGTTCGAGGACAGCCTGACAAACCACGCAGCCCCCGAATACCGTGGTCCCTCAGTAGGCCACGAAAGCAGCAAAGTTCGGACTGGATGCCAGTCGCTTGCAGGCGCCAGCTGTGGACACGGATTGTCGCCTTGTTGTTGCACCGCCCGGCGCAAGCAAGATCGACTGAACCATTGCGAATTTCGGGGCCGTGCCACCGGGAAGAGCCATGTCCCTCGGGTATCAACGCCTTGCTGAGGCTGCCGAAAGGGGATCCAAGGAGAGCCTGGTTCGGGACGGCGGAGCGATCAAATGATTCGAGGCGCCGGACTGCTACCACAGTATGTACACAGAAGCGCACCCTCACCGGAATAAGTAAATATAGAAGAGGGCTCTGCCGCGCCCTGGATTATTAGGCTCTTGTTAAGACCAGGTTCGCCTACCGAGGGGCTTGCTGCCGGCCAGCCGAACTGTTAGGGCTGCCAGCGCCAAGCAGCGGACTGAGGATGAAGAGACCAGAAATGATTACCGAAGAAGGTTTGCAATGACATAGGTAGGGCAGCAATGGCTGACACGGCCCGAGCTTCGCGGAAACCGCCTTTTGACGATCCAAGGCCGTCTCGTCTGTACGGAGCAGGCCTCGAGGTCTCACACGACAGCCCCAGTGTCGCGCATCATCGACGGCGACGGCGGGCGAAGGTCTCCAGTCTAGTACAACGCCATAATAATTGCTAGTCAGGAAATGCCCTCACCACTGCCAAGGTTGACAAGACCAGCGCTCCGCTTGTGTCTCCTCAGGCAGAGAACATGCAATCGTGCTTGTCGTCGGACCCAGCTCGTGTCGACGCCGGCCGTCTCCCCATCCGCTGTGAATCCGCCGTGTCCGACGGGATACACCCAAACCCAAGTCTTTTCCACCTGCCGAGAGGTACTGTGCGCCAGGCGTCACCGCTCATTGGGGATGCCACGGCCAGGCGCTTCACCATTGATTGCCGTTATGTGGTAGTCGCCCTCTCTCACCACCACCATGGCTGCTACATCGCAAAGCGCTGTCACTCTCGCGCCGGCTGCTTAGGTTCTTGGTCCAGGCCGGCCTGGCTGTGTCAGCCCATGCTGCGTCCAATGTCGCCGTTACAGCGCTAGGGACACCTCACGCGGTAACATGGATCAGAGTCGCGAGCCAACCAAGGCTGTCCACGCAAGTGCAGATCGCCACCAATCATCCCAATGTCCCTCCTCCCTGCCTGCTTCGCGCTGGGCTGGGCTGTGGTATGTCTGTCCCGTAGTGCCGGGCGGACAGAGCCGGGCTACTGGATTGGCCTCTGCTGTGCTTGACCGCGAGCGCCGTGGATGAGTGGATGATGGGTGGAAGGGCTGTCGCCTGGCCTGCTGGCTTTACCCCCCTTCTTCTCCCAAGGTTGCTTCTGTAGGCACATGTTCGCTCCGTGCCCAGGACTCCGGATCCCACGAAGCAGGTCTGACGCAGATACTATGTGCGCTGACGGCCTGCCAAGTTCTGCAGTAACCTGGTGCGCTGGCCAGGTGGCCGGGTTGATTCTCTGCTCGGCTTGCACCGCCCGAGCTGCTGCGCGGCAGACGCCTCCCTGTTGAGACATGCCACCAGGTGCATGTGGCTTCTTTTCTGTCCTTTTTCTTTTTTAATATCCCAGACGGTGACAGATGGAAACGGAGCGGAAACCACCTTGTCGTCCAAACAAAAGACACGGCTGCCGACCGGTTCACAGAAAACTTGCAGGCAAAGTCTGTGGGCTCTCTGCCTGCCTTACGAGCTTGGGAAACCCCTGTCGCGGCGCCGCTTGGGTACATGCTGGAGGCACACAGTGACATTTGACCAGGCCAGCAGGGAGGTCTCCCGTCAGTCAGGCTGCAGCCCAGCCACGGGACTCCCAGCCAACTGCAAGTCACCACCTGGGGGCCGTTCTGCTGCAGTGTGTGCGCCTTGTGCAACTGCACCTGGTACAACCAGGTACTCCGTCGAGCTGCCGACCAAGGCGGGAGCACCATGTATCCAAGCTCCCCCTCCCCACCCGAAATCTACTGGGGCCTGGGAAGTCGCGGGCCCCACCCCCCAACTCTTTGCCTGCTGCTGCTCCAGCCAGCTCTTTCCCTCCCTGGTCTTCTTGGTTCTGGCTCTCGGTCTGGGTCCTGGTCCTTTTCTTCCCACCTCTCCCCCGTCCTTCCCCTCCATCATCGTTCTTTTCAACCGTTCCGTCCGCCCACACTGTCAGCGATCTCAGTTCCGCCTGTCTTCCATCCTCTTCTCGCGCCGACTCCCAGTGATCAACTCGTGGATCCCTCTTCCTTTCCAGGCTAACTTCCATCTCCCGCAACCCCTCCCCTTCACCATCCTCTCCCTGGCCTTCTGGAACAAACCTTGCTGTCCACTCCCCCGCACATCAAGCTACCATGTCTTCAAGAAGAGATCATGGCTCTGGCACGCCGTCGAATGCTTCGGCCCGCCAGAACGAGTACTTCATCCCTCGTGATGGTATTGATCGTGAGGTGATCACCGCCGACATCTGTCGGTACCTCGGCAACGACGCCCTCGTTCGGCCCGGCACCTACGAAGTATGAAGGCCCTACCGCCAACGCGAGACGGCACTTGCGTGCGTTGCTGTGTCGGCTGCTGTGCTAATACTGCCTCTGCGTCAGGACAAGAAGAACGGCCGAGTAATACAAGGCTACTTTGTCACAGCCTACAGGAACTTGACATCCGTACGTGCTGCTTCCCCCCACTCGACCCGGTCCTGAACAATGCTGACTTGCCCCTTTCTCCCAGGCAATGATCGCCGACCTCAAAGCCGACTCGGCTCGATGGGAACAGGAGAGGCGGAATCATTCTGGAGGTACACTAACCTCGCACGACTCGTCTGCATTCTTCCTGAGAAGCTCAAAGTCTAACTCACCACCAGCGAGATACAGCGATTCACAGAATCGGTTTAGCGGTGCAACCCAGTATGATACCTCCGGCTTGATTTATCCTAGTGGGCCAAGCCGTGATTCTTATGAAAGCGTGCCTAGATACCCAGGAAGCGATGCCCCAGGATACAGCGCCAGCACCGGGTCCCAACCTTACCACCAGGAGAACAGGCAATCCGGATATGGTGGGCAGTACCAGCAGGCCACATTTTCTCCTCAGGTCCAGGACACCAGGGCATATCCGCAGCAACCAGTCGCTGGATCCAGCTCTGTCTATGGCGGCCAGCCTTACTCAAACCATCCCACAAACAATGTGCCGGACCCGGTCCCCTACTATTCCGGCGGTATGTCGGTGGTGTCGCCACAGTCGCAGCATCGTCCACAGGCGGGTTACCCGGACGGCAGGATAGATGCTTCTAGTAGAAGCGCCTACCCTCCATCTTCCTACGGAGCTCCAGAACAGGCATACTACGCCTCGCAATACCCTGTTCCACAGCCCCATGACGCCTCGTTTGGCCGCCAGGCGTATGGAGCCACCAGCCAGGCCGAAATTTTGGGCACTTCCTCCGGCCAAGCCCCAATGTACGACTCCCGCCAGTATGAGCCCCAGCCCCAGTACGATAACCAGACTCCCCCTCCTTCCCGCCCAGTTGCGTCTTCCAGTTCACAGGCTCAAACGGGACATAGTGGAAGTTCACATTCACGCCGCAGCGACCGCGAACGTGACCGCGACGACAGACGTGGTCGCCGATAAAGTACCACGAAAATGACCTCGCCACACGGGAGACAGTTCCGTGAGTAATGTTTGATGACGCGGTCCCTGCCTGCAATGGAATTCTTGTGCTTTTTTCTTCTTTCACCCTGGAGATGGCACCCGCGCTGCGGGTTGAACTTGCCCAGGACCACCGTTCCCTGGGCTCAAGTGGTTTCTCACGGACTTTCCGAGCTATTGAATTTTGCGCCTCTTCCCAGCGGCTGGATTTATTCAACTTGGGCGGGATATTTACTTTCTGGCAAGGCGCCCTGGTTCCAATGGATCAATTACCGGACTCTGCCCCTGGACGTGGATTTACGCTTGCATTGTTCTGGATGATACCGACGAATTGCATCCCGAAAGGACGAATGGCACCCGGTGTTGTTGATTTGCGTGAACTTCCGCGGCCCGTTGCGTTTGCCGCGTTGCGTTACTTGCTGCCAGGACCAAGCCTCCCGCCGGAAGAAGCTTACCAAACCCCGATGGGCTTCCCTTCACGGATCACATACTTACTTCCCTTTGCTGTCCGGATACGACCGTGCGGAACTGGAAGCGGCGTCTGCTGCCCATCAAACATGATGCGTCCCACCTGCCCAGGAGGAGTTCCACTTGCCGAGGCCGGCTTCTCAATCATCGTCATCTGTGATAGTACGGTAAGGTCAGCATCCGGACAGCAAGGTGGGTCGGCGTTTGTAAATACAGCTCAGTCTTGATACGCCCTCCAACTCTGAAACCGACCGGTCTGGATCTTTTCGCTTGGGGTCTCGTCGACGCTCAAGCGCAACTGACTGACCGCAGACTACCCCTGGACCGTTCAAGCATGGCCCACTCAGGACAAGTCAAACTGGACGGACTGGATGTCCAGAACATTCTGGACCTGGACTACTCTCCTATCTGGCTATCATTGCCGAACAGGTTTTGATGAGACATGCCCTTCTTGGACTATCAAACACCCTGGCCTTGTTATAGCTGGGAAGCACTGGAAAGCCCCAAGAATACCCAAGATCCCTTGGATGACGGACCTGAGCACCCAGAATGATTCCATACAGGAAAGCCGTGTCTGCTTCAGATCGCGATGGAACACAGAACACTGTCACTTGAAGGACCTCCTACTTCGGGATCGCCTGATGAAGGCTCTCCTAGTCTTTAGGACTAGGAAACCCCTTCCTGGCAGATCTCGCGAAATATTTTCTGGAGACGTCTGTCTCAGCTTATTGGTGGTAAGATACAAGGACTTCGGTCGCCTCGCTGAGGCCCGATCCGGATCATCAAAGCCATTGCTGGACTTTCCTATTCCTGCTGCTTGGGTTTCCGTTTGCCCTCTTGTGCGACATGGACGGATCGATGATCTGATCCAATAACTCCGTCGGCCCGGCCTTCCAGTTCGGAAATGTTTGCATTAGCTACTGCTGCACACTGCCACCAGTCGCCTTGTACCAGAAGCAGGCAAATGGCCCCGTAACGCGCAAATATTGCCAGGGCCCTACTTTTCTTTTTCTAGTGCAAGCCTATTGCAACACTCAGCCGTGGGATACTCTTTGGATGGAATGCTTCTTGGCAACCAAGCTTTCGACCCGGAAATCCTCACGGGACGCCTCTCAAGGACAAGCCATTGGCCAAACGGACCGCGCCAAGTCACATTCCGTGCTCTGACTTGGTCAGTCAAACGCGTATGTCTTATCTCGTGTTTATTTTTCTTTGACTCCGGACAACTCTGGACATGGCTCCTCTCGAAGGCACTGTCTTGTAGTCGAGTGAATTTCTGGGGGTGGCGCGGATTCGACGGACGGATCGCTAACCCAGGCCTTTCAGCTCTCATCAAAGCCAAAGGAACACCATGGGAACACCATGGAAAAGTAGTCAGCGGGGTACTCCGTTTGGATCGTCTGGGATAGGATTAATACCAGTGGCTGTGTGTGATTCGAACTGCGCCGGACCGGTTGGATTGATGACATAGAGGCATCTGGTATGGCGGTTTTGGTTTATGTGCTCGAGTAGGGGGCGGGCGCACTAGGTGTTGTGCAGGAGTATTGAACCCGGGTCTGGGGAGAGTTCAAAATGGGTCTACAGACGGTAAACAATGTGCCTGCCGGTTGGTTGCTTGGTTGGAATGATATTACAACGGTGACGGTGACGGTGACGGTGTATGAGCTGAATGAGGATGGCATGTTAAATGATCACTAAAGGCTTGTGTGCATGAAAGGGGTCAAGTACTGACTGAAGCCGGGATCCGTGACGGTGTTGTAGCCCCCCCCCCCTCCCGGGAAAAAACTTTAGTAAGGGGCACTACACTCTATTACTAACTTTCCTCCCTATTATATTTTTTTAATTAATTTTTATTTAATAATTTTATTATATTATTATTTAATTTAATTTAATTTAAATTTTTTTTAAAATTTTATAAAAATTTTTATTTTTATAAATTTTAATATATTTTAAATTAAATTTATAATTTTTTTAAAAAAATATATTAATTATTTTAAATATTAATATTTTTTAAAAATAAAAATTATTTTAATATAATTATAAATATAATTATTTTATTTAATTATATTTTAATTTAATAAAAATATAATAAATTAAATAATTATTTTTAAATAATTTTATTTAATAAATATTTATTTAAATAAAATTAAAATTTTTAAATAAAATAATTTTATTTTTATTTTATTTTAATTAATTTATATTTAAATTATATAATAATTTTATATATAATATTTAATAATATTAAAATTAAATAATTTATAATATATAATAATTTTAATTTTTAATAATTTTAATTTTTAATAAATTAATTTATATTAAAATTAATAATATTAATTTTAATTAATATAATTTAATATATTAATATAAAAATATTTTTAATTATAAATAATATTATAAATAATTATAAAATTATTATAAAAATTTTATATAATAAATTTAATTAAATTAATTTTTAAAATATATTATATTTTATTTTTAAAATTTTAATTATTTATTTTTAATTTTATAATAAAATTAAAAATATAAATAATTTATTATATTTATAAATATATTAATTTTAATTTATTATTATTAAAAATATTATTTATTAAATTAAATTATAAATAATTAAAATAAAAATTTTAAATATAAATTTTAAATTTATTAATTAATTTAATAATTAAATTAAATATAATTATATTAAAAATTTAATTATATTTAATATATTTATTATATTTATTATATTTTATTAAATTAAATAAATTTAAAATTATATAAATATTTTATTTTATAAAATATTTTTATTTTAATATATTTTTATATAATTTTATATATTTTTAAATTTTTAAAATTTTAATAAATATAAAATTTTATTAATTTTAATATTTATTTTATTTATTTTTATTTTATTATTATAAAATAATAAATTATAATAAATTAATTATTATAAATTAAATAATTAATAAATAATTTATATATATATAAAAATTAAATTTAATTAATAAATTTAATTAATTTAATTAAATATTTTATTATTTAATTAAATAATTTTAATTAATATTAATATATATTATTTTATTTAATTATTTATATATAAATTAAATTAATTAATATTAATTAATTATTAATTAATTTTAATAATAAAATAAAAATAATTTTATTTATTATAATTATTATAAAATTAATAATATTAATTTTAATTTATTATTTAAAATTATAATAATTATAAATAATTAATTATATTAATATTATAAATAATTAATATTAATATTAATTTTAATTTATTAATTAAATTATAAAATTATAATAATAATAAATTAATATTAATTTTAATTTATTAATTTAAAATTATTAAAAATATTATTTATATTTATTATATTTTTAAAAATTAATAATTTTAAAATTTAAAATTTAATTTTTTATTAATATTTTTTAATTATAAATAATATTTTAAATTAAATATAATAATTTTAAAATTTAAAATTTATAAATTTTTTAAAAATAATAATAATAAATAATTTTATTAATTAAATTTTATAATAATTATAATAATTTTTTTATAATAATTTATAAAAATATTAAATTATAAATAATTATAATAATCTTTTATTTATTAAATAATTTTTTTATAATTAATAATTTAAATTTATTTATTAATTTATTAAATATTTTTAATAATTTTTTATTTTTAAAATATTTTTAAATATAAATAATAATTTTATAAATTAAATAATTAATTATATAAATAAAATAAAATATATTTATTAAATAAAAATTATATTTAATATATTAATTTAATTAATTAATTAAATAATTAATTAAATAATTTTATTTATTTAAATAATTAATTATAATTAAATTTTTATTTAAATAATTATTAAAAATAAATTTTATTTTTAATAATTATTAATTAATTATTAATTAAATAATTTAATTAATTATATAAATAAAAATTATTAAAAAATTAATTAATTAATTATTAAATAAAAATTAATTAATTATTAAATAAAAATTAATTAAATTAATTAATAATTATAAATTAATTAATAATTAATTATATTTAATAAATAATTAATAATTAAATAAATAATTAAATAATTAAATAATTTATAAATATTAATTTAAAATATTAATTATAAAAAAATTATTAAAAAATTAATTAATTAAATATAATTATAATTAATAACAATTTAATAAATAATTTAATAAATAATTAATAATTTAAATTTAATTTTATTTATTAAAATAATTTAAATTTAAATAATTTAAATAATTTATAAAAATATTAATTTAAATTTTTTAAATTATTTAAATTAATTAAATTATAATTATATTTTTAATAATAATTTTAAATAATTTAATTAAAAACTATTTTATTAATAAATAAAGTTTTTTAATTAATTAATAATATATCCTATTGTAAATTTATAGTGAATTTACGGTGAATTTACGGTGGGATAGTGAATTTACGGTGAATTCACGGTGAATTTATAGTGCTTACTAATCCACCGTGGATTTATAGTGGATTCACTATATAGGAATGCCTAGTGAATTCACTAGGAATTTACTAGGCTATTAATCTATTTTATTTCCTATTAATTAAAAAAAAAACTTTTTTAAAAAATTAAAAAGATATTAATATAAAAATAATAAATTATAATAAATTAATTATTATAAATTAAATAATTAATAAATAATTTATATATATATATAAATTAAATTTAATTAATAAATTTAATTAATTTAATTAAATATTTTATTATTTAATTAAATAAACCTTTAATTAATATTAATATATACTACTTTATTTAACTATTTATATATAAATTAAGTTAATTAATAATTATAGTATTTATATTAATATTTAATTAAAACTAATTTAAATTTTTATTTTTTATTAAACTTTATAAAATTTTAATTTCCTTATAAAAGGTTAATAAGTTTAAAATTTTATTATTTATTAAATTTAATATTATATTATAAGTAATTTTATAATAAAATTATAATTTTTAATAATATTATTATTAAATTTAATACTATATTATAAGTAATTTTATAGTAAAATTATAATTCTTAATAATATTATATTTTTTATTTTATTTTATAAACTTTTTATATTATAAAGGTTAATTTTATTATATTAAAAAATAAATACTTTAAATATTTATTATAACTATTTATAAATCTACTATAAATTTATAATAAACTATTATTTAATAGTAAATTTACTATAAATTAGTTATTTATTATACTTTTATAGTGAACCTTAGTCTTTATATTTAATAGTTATATTACTTATTTTGTCCTATGGACTTCCTATATTACGGGGGTTAGTTTTGTTACACTAAAGAGTGGATGCCTTAGGCATTTACTGTAGCTGTCCGTAAATCCACCGTAAATTCGCGGTGAACCGTTATTTAACGGTAAATTCACCGTAAATCAGTTATTCACCGTACTTTCACAGTGAACCTTGGTCTTTATATTTGACACTATGCTGGCCGTCGCCTTAGCTCAGCAACGACCCGCTGAATTTTCCCTCCTGACAACAATTAATGCTTCAACCACTTTGACCACCATGATGGCCTCGAAGCGGAAGCAGCCAACTTCCTCTTCGAGCAGCCCAAATAAGAAGTACGAGACCGCAGTCAGCTCCTAGGAGGGGCCTGCACCTGTGGGTTTTGGAGGCCATCTACTTCTCGCCAACCCGTCCATACTTCAGATCCTCGACGATTGTCGCACACCCGTCCTATAGATCCTCGACGATGCTCGCACACAGATCCTCGACAAACACAACTTGCTTCAAATTCCAGCAGAGACACGGGACGATACTCATCCCTGGAAATGCACAGTACCAGGTTGCGACAAGGCATTCACACAGCAAGGCAGCCTTGACAAGCATACCAAATTGAAGCACCTTGGCGTCAAATACGTCTATAATGTTAAGGGGTATGGAAAAACCTTAATAATATAAGGCGGCCTTAACAAGCATATTAAATTAAAGCATCTTGGTGTTAAATATATTTATAATATTAAGGGGTATAAGAAAATCTTTATATAATAAAGTAACCTTAACAAGCATATTAAATTAAAGCATTTTAGCATTAAATATATTTATAATATTAAGGGGTATAAAAAGACCTTAATAATATAAAATGGCCTTAACAAGTATACTAAATTGAAGCACCTTGGTGTTAAATACGTCTATAATATTAAGGGGTGTGGAAAGACCTTAATAATATAAGGCGGCCTTAATAAGCATATTAAATTAAAGCACCTTAGTATTAAATATATTTATAATGTTGAGGAGTGTGGAAAGATCTTTATATAGCAAAGTAATTTCAACAAGCATACTAAATTAAAGCACCTTAGCATTAAATATATCTATAATGTTAAGGGGTGTGGAAAAACCTTAATAATATAAAATAGCCTTAACAGGTATATTAAATTAAAGTATCTTAGTATTAAATATATTTATAATATTAAGGGGTATAAGAAAATCTTTATAACGCAAAGCAATCTTAATAGGTATACTAAATTAAAGCATTTTGGCGTTAAATATATTTATAATGTTAAGGGGTGTGGGAAGATCTTTATAATGCAGAGTAACCTTAACAAGCATACTAAATTAAAGCATGGCACACCTAAAGAGTTAGCTGAGCTGGCGGAGAAGAAGCTCGAGCTCCACCAAATTCTGGCGGAGAAACAGGTTCAAAGACTCTGCACAGCTACGAAATCTTGTCAAAATCCAGCAGCACCTGACGGATTCTACTGTGTCCAACATGTGAAGATCGTGGACATCATTACCAAGGAGATCAAAGAGCAGAAGGACTCCAACAAACTTTCAGCATCTTCTATCAAGTCCCCTACCAAGTTTGAGCTCCTTTTCCAGCGACAGGAGATGTCTCTTGATCACAATGTTCAAGTATCCTTACAACTACTCAAAGACGGTTTCAACAATCTCCATCCAGCATCATCTAGGACATTTTTTATTGACGTGGAGTTCATTTGGGTGGGAGGTTACCGTCCCCTTGATCTTACAATCATGCGGGCAGATGGTGAGGTGATCATCTCAACACGTATCGACCTCGGAATGAGCATTCCAGATCTTACGAGCCTCGTGGACGGAAATCCCGTTGCGAAGAACAACATCCGGAAAGTTTACGGCCGTGCCTCAACTACCTACGGGCAAACACCAGAGGAGGTCGTGAAGATCCTTCAGGATGCTAGAATCTCCAAGGATACAATTTTCTAGGAATGGTCGTCAAATGGTTGTGATCTCCAAGCGTTAAAGAATTTGTGTGGTGAGGCAGATAGCCTCGTGGAACTACCAGAGTGTGGACACAGTGCTCTTAATCTGGCACGAAGAGTATTGCCAGATTTGCTTTGTTACAAATTGGGTGTCGTTTTTGGGCTTGCTTTTCCAGATATTACAGATTTGAAGGCGCACATGAGCAAGGCAGACACCATCATGTTGACAGGAATTTGTAAGAGAATGGCTGGTTTGAACTCGGTTGCTACATAATACATATCCCCAAGTCGGCCCCAAATCGGGTGTTGTCAGCATTGCGCACATGCAGCCAGCTCCTTCCGGGCAGCAGTAAAAATTAGAGACTGGACGAAGGGCTGTCGCAGCCCACGGGAAATACTACGTAGTGCCCGGGTCATCATGTATGGGGGTCCAGAGTAATAAATGTAAAAAAAGTTGAAAATTGTCAAATATGAAGACCAAGGTTCACTATGAAAGTACGGTGAATAACTAATTTACGGTGAATTCACCGTTAAATAATAGTTCACCACGAATTCACAGTGAATTCACCGTTAAATAACGGTTCACCGCGAATTCACGGTGAATTCACTATTAAATAATAGTTTACCACAAATTCACGGTAAATTTACAGATAGCTATAATAAATATCTAAGGTATTTACTTTTTAATATAATAAAATTAACTCTTATAATATAAAGAGTTTATAAAATAAAATAAGTAACATAATATTATTAAAAATTATAATTTTATTAAAAAATTATTTATAATATAATATTAAATTTAATAAAATAGTAAATAATTTAATATACTTATTTTACTTTTTAAAACTATTTTATTTTTACTTTCTTTCTTTTTTTTATTTTTTATTTCTTTTTTAAAATTATAATAATTATTAATTTATAAATTTATTATTTATTTTATTTATAAATAAATAAATAAATAAATAAATAAATAAATAAATAAATAAATAAATAAATAAATAAATAAATAAATAAATAAATAAATAAATAAATAAATAAATAAATAAATAAATAAATAAATAAATAAATAAATAAATAAATAAATAAATAAAGAAATAAATAAATAAATAAATAAATAAATAAATAAATAAATAAATAAATAAATAAATAAATAAATAAATAAATAAATAAATAAATAAATATTAAATTTATAAAATAATATTTATTATAATTTAAAAAAATAACTTTTAAAAATAAAATAAACATATTAAATTATTTACTATTTTTAACTTTTCTTTATATTTATTACTTTAAACCTCTATATATAAAGTTTAGCCTCTTTAGGGTTGTATAGTTATATAGTACCCTCAACTTAGATGCTTGTTGCCTGGGAGGAACTGCTCATGTATCTGTCTACCTAGGTACCTAGTACCCAGGTACCCAAGTACCTCGGAGCCATGGCCCCTAGCTCTCCAGCCTCTTGACCCTACAGCAAGCACATCCGCACTTGTCAATATCAGTCTGGCATCTTGCTTGGTTGGACACATTCTGGAAAAGCAGACAAACGAGCCATTCCCCAGACAATAAAGGCACGGCAGAGCAGACAGAGCAGACGCTGAGGCCCGAAAAAGAACCCCGCGTCCGAGACTCACGTCGCGGATCGGTACCCCTGGGTTGCAATTGGTTTCCGCTGCCCCGCTGTGGCCCTGCCCTGCACCGGCCTGCCCTTTCTGCATGCCAAAGATTTTTGTTAGGCATCCTCGATAAGCGGCTCTTGTTCACCCACCGCACCGCAGCCCAGACCATAGTCCGCAGAGCAGAGCAGAGCAGACGGACAACACACGCATCAACTCACACTGCCTTCCTTTCCCTCTCCTGCCTCGAGGCAAACAACCCGTCCCCCTCTGTATGTAAAGGCCCGCATCCTGACGTCAAGATGGATGCCTCCGCCATTCGAAGTTGCATAATAGCCACCCTCGACGCCGATGCCGACATTCGCAGGAGGGCCGAGTTGCAGCTCAAACAGGTACGACGCCCTGCCACAAGCCCGCGCTGCTCTGTCGTCTCCTGGGGCATGCCGTTGCTCCGTCTATCCCACTGCCCTCTGCGCCCTCCGTGGTCAATGGCGCCCCTCTACACGCGTCCCAAGCTGATCCCACCCGTGCTTGCAGGCAGAAGAACACAATGGCTTTCTTGACGCCCTCCTCGACATCCTCCAGTCTGAGCAGGACACAAATTACCGCCTTTCCAGTGCGTACCGCTTCCGTCTTGCCACTCCTTCTGGGCCATTCTCCAACCCCGTGGCCGAGGCCCTGTGGTTGTGGACTGGCCCCTCCCCTCCCAAATAACACTTCCGACCGTGAGGCTAACGCGTGCTTCAGCCGTCATCTACATCAAGAACCGTGTCAACCGGGCCTGGGCCGGGACAGACCACTTCCCAAACGAGCATCCCATAGCCGAAGATGAAAAGTCGAGAGTCCGCGAACGATTACTGCCTATCCTGGCCTCGTCACAAGGCCTCATCCGACAGCAGCTCATCCCCATCCTGCAGAGAATCTTACACTGGGACTTTCCCGAGAAATGGCCCACGTTCATGGACTTCACCATCCAACTGCTGAATACCAACGACCCCCTGTCGGTGCTCGCCGGTCTGCAATGTTTGCTGGCCATCTGCCGTGCCTACCGCTTCAAGGCCGGCGACGGGGAGAACAGGACACACTTCGACAAGATCATCGAGGCCAGCTTTCCCAGGCTGCTGGCTGTTTCCACCGAGCTCGTGGCTCAGGAGAGCGAGGAGGCCGGCGAGATGCTACACATTGCTTTGAAAGCCTACAAGCACGCGACATGGGTCAGTATAGAGGCAATATGCCCACTCCGCCCTTTTGCAGATCAGAATATCCTGCTGAGAGATGTACCTGCTGACCCTGGTCCCTTTCTGCAGCTCGACCTGTCCGCCTTCCTCCGTCAGCAACAGAACACTATAGGCTGGTGCACCGTCTTCCTCCAGACCGTCTCCAAGACGCCTCCCGCCATTGCCATGTCAGATGAGCCCCTAGAGCGCGAACGACATCACTGGTGGAAGGCAAAGAAGTGGGCGTACTTCAACCTCAACAGGCTATACATAAGGCAAGCCCTCCGCCCTATCCTCATGCCTGGCCATTGAAGCTAATTGTGTGGCAGGCACGGCAACCCGCAGGCAATTACCAAGAACGAGGGTGATCAAATGGCGTTTGCCAACTTCTTCTCCTCGAGTATTGCTCCCGAGGTCCTCAAACATTACCTCCAGGAGATCGAGAAGTGGGTCGCAAAAACGTCTTGGCTGAGCAGGCCCTGTTTGTCTTACACTATCGTCTTCATGGATGAATGCGTCCGGCCAAAGGAGATGTGGGCCCACCTCCGACCTCACCTCACCAACCTCGTCACCCATTTCATCTTTCCAGTGCTCTGCCTGTCTCAGGAAGACATCGAGAAGTTCGAGGACGAGCCCGAGGAGTACCTCCACCGGAAACTGAACTTCTATGAGGAAGTCTCAGCCCCTGACGTGTCGGCAACGAACTTCCTGGTGACGCTGACCAAGAACCGCCGGAAGCAGACCTTCGAGCTTCTGCAGTTCATCAACAACGTTGTGAGCACCTACGAGTCTGCGCCGGCTGACAAGAAGGACCACATATCCAAGGAGGGTGCTCTGCGCATGATTGGAACGCTGGCCCCGGTCATACTTGGCAAGAAGTCTCCGATCGCAGACCAGGTCGAGTACTTCCTCGTCCGATACGTCTTCCCAGATTTCACAAGCTCCCAAGGCTATCTCCGGGCGCGGGCCTGTGATACCATTGAGAAGTTTGAGCAGCTCGACTTCAAGGACCAGAACCACCTGCTCACCATTTACCGCAACATCCTGGACTGCATGGCCGACCCCGCCCTTCCAGTCCGTGTCACGGCTGCCCTTGCTCTTCAGCCTCTCATCCGACACGACGTCATCCGCACCAGCATGCAGACAGCTATCCCCACAATCATGCAACAGCTCTTGAAGCTGGCAAACGAGGCCGACATCGACGCTCTGGCCAACGTCATGGAGGACTTCGTCGAGGTCTTCGCTACCGAACTTACTCCTTTCGCCGTTGCGCTGAGCGAGCAGCTTCGCGACACCTACCTCCGAATCGTCAACGAGCTCTTGGAGAGGAACAACTCGCGGGACGACGACGAGTACGGCGATTTCCTTGACGACAAGAGCATAACGGCTCTGGGCGTCTTGCAGACGATCGGTACCCTGATTCTCACCCTAGAGAGCACACCCGATGTGCTGCTGCACATCGAGGCAGTGCTCATGCCCGTCATCCAGATTACGTTAGACAACAAGCTCTATGGTATGTTGGCTGCCTTACCGGAATCCACGAGTGCACGCGACGCTAACACGGAACAGATCTGTACAACGAGGTATTTGAGATCATTGACAGCTGTACCTTTGCCGCCAAGGCCATCTCGCCCACCATGTGGCAGGCCTTCGAGCTCATCCACCGTACTTTCAAGGCGGGTGCCGAACTCTACCTCGAGGACATGCTTCCAGCTCTGGACAATTTCGTTCAGTTTGGCGTCCCGCAGCTGATTCAGAAGCCGGAATACGTCGAGGCCCTGTACTCAATGGTGTCAGATATGTTCAATGACCCCAAGGTCGGCGGCATTGACCGGATCTGCGCCTGCAAACTGGCCGAGGCCATGATGCTGAGCCTGCCTGGCCACATTGACAATTGCGTCAATGGATTCATCAACATGGCTATGACGGTGCTGACGACCGAGGAGGTCAAGATCAAGTCATACAAGATCCACCTAATGGAGATTATCATCAATGCCATCTACTACAACCCGATCCTGACGCTGCAAGTACTTGAGACGAAAGGATGGACAAATAAGTTCTTCAGCCTCTGGTTCGGCAGCATGGAGTCATTCCACCGAGTTCACGACAAGAAGCTCTGCATCGTCGCCATTGTCGCGCTCCTAGGCCTGAACCCAGACCAAGTACCGCCCAGCGTCGCGGTCGGGTGGCCACGGTTGCTCCAGGTATGCCATTTGCAGTCGAAACCCCAAATGTCTACCCCGTCGTGTTTGCTAATATGCCTCTAGGGTGTCACTTCTTTATTTAAGACCCTTCCATCTGCACTGAAGAGTAAGTTGTCCCCCAGTCCTCCCCTGACAGGGTACTCGAGCATCGCGCTCATACCGACCTTGCAGATCGCGAGGATGCCATGAAGGATGATTACGGCCTCGATGCAAACTACTCGTACGATGACGAAGAAGAGTGGGGCGACGACGAGGCTGCATGGACCGCAGAGGAGGAGCAGGAGGAGGAGCCCACAGATGCCAAGGATGAAAGCACGGCATACCTGGAGTTCCTCAACGAAGAGGTAAGCCTTCCCTTACCACGGGCAGTGCTTGGGTTTTGGCTAACAATGACGACAGGCACAGAAGTTCGGTCATCTCGAGGAACAAGATTCAGACGATGAACTCGGCGAGCATAGCGTGCTGCTCGAGTCTCCTCTCGACAAGCTCGAGCCTTACCAGATTTTCAGTTCTTGCTTGATGAGTAAGATAGTTCTCCCTCCCCTTCCTCGTCCAAAGTCCCGACTGGGCTAACCTGGCCTTTTTTCTTTCTTCCTGTTTTTAGGACTGCAACAAGAACAGCCACAGTTCTACTCGAACTTGTCCTCTCACTTATCTGCCGAGGAGCAAGGTGTAATCCAGTCAGTGGTGCAGCAAGCCGAGGCCAACTCGGTTGCTGCTCAACAACAAGCGCAACAGCTCGCCGCAGGAGCCAACGGTGGAGCCAGCTAGTCCTGTGTCGGTGTGGTTGAGACAGAAACAATCCTGCGAGAGAAGAACCACGCGGATGGTGCGCCTCGGGCCGGCTTGAAGCCTCCGGTGCGGCGATAGGGTCTCTCGCCCTCCTGGGAGGCAGGGCAACCGAGTCAGGCCAAGGCAGTGAGTGTGTTGAAGGCAGCGGCCGAGAGTAGACGCAGCGTCTAGGTGGGCGACGTGCGGCTGGGACATGCATCGAATGATACCAAAGAAGTATTTCAAGTGCTGGGGAACCAAAAACAAAAACAAAAAAATCACGGGGCGAAGGGGGCCTCCTGGGCTTAGCCATCAATGGCTTGATCGTTTCCTATCAAGTCTTGTTATAAAGAAGGGGGGACGTCGAAGGGGAACAACATGGGAATCCTGTGGCGATGGCTCTATCTCTGGCGTGTCCGTTGAACTTTTTTCTTTCTATGAGAACATTTCCCCCTAAAGTATCCCATCGTCCTCCCCCCAAAATGGCATGTTTGGAAAAGAGGATGATATAAGAAGACCTTAGAGCGTGCAAACATCATCAACTTCTTCTTATCTTCAACCTTGTTTCAGCAGGATAACCGTAAGAAACGAGAAAGTACTATATATTCTGGTTCGACTAATCAACTAAGTACCTAGGTACCTAGGTAGTGCTTACCGGGCCCTAGAAGTAGATGGTCATGGAAGGGTTGGCTTTCCTGCCCTTCCTTGAAGGATGAATCTCCAAGACCACATGTATTGCGGAAGCCGACTCATAGTACCGGTGGTTGACACAACAGTCAGTGACGATGACTATCCGACTGTTTGACCGAGTGACTGATAGTCGGTAATTTGAGCCATCGGTGGGTGATGCTAGGTCCTTTGGTGTTGTCACAGGAAGTCATTATTCATTTCATCAGGGGGAAGGAGAAGAAGGAGTACGCCGAACACCGACCGACATGGCCCAAGCGTTCCGCTGCGGTTAGACGATGGACAGCGGTGCGCACTCCCTCCCGCCGCAGCGCCAGGGAGACCAACGGTTGAGCGACAACACGGTCCAGGATAAAACCAAAAAAAAAAACACGGAATACGACCTTTGGATTGTGGGACAAGAAGCAAGGCGACGGAAACAAATATGACTACACGATACAGAGTCGAATGTGAGTGACCGGGCAAGGGTGTCTCTCTCACACACACTCACACCCACACTCACACCCACACTCACACCCACACTGCGGGCTGGGCTGACTCGTTTCTATAGATGCCCTCAAGACGCACAGGAGAGACCAATTAATAGGTATGCATGCTTGTTGATGTTGTCTTTTCCTTCGGGGTTGATGGGTGCATTTGCGTTGGGTCAGTCGTCCAACGACAAACCACTCCTGCCCCCCCCCCTGCCCCCCGCCTTCACTGCGGCGAGTCGATGGCCTCCTCGTCCGGCGGCGGGCGGTAGCTACTGGACCAGCTTGCTGACGTCTACACCACCCGTCCGTGTCTACAGAATGGATCAAAGGGCTTCTGGCTGTGCCGTTCGTGCTGCACTCACAGCCACAGGGCGTGTTCCTCGGCAGGGACCACACGCCCAGTCTGGGCCAGATGGCTGAAGAGTCGGCGCGGAGATACGCTGAAATCAGTCAGTATCACTTTTCACCTTTTACGGATCCCCGTCTTTCATGTTCTGGAACGTTATAGAATACAACACTTTAGGACCCGTAGCAGGACTAACTTCACCACCAGTGAGGGACATAGAAGTTTTAATTGACGAACACATCAGCCTGCAGAACGAGGACTCGCCCCTGCCGTCCAAGCTCAAGCTGCTGGTGCCGACGGTGGGAACCTTCTTCACCCGCCTCCCGCTCGAGGCCGCCTTCAAGTCGCAGGACCGCAAGCGCTACATCTCGAGCCGCCGGTTTGTGTCGCCGTCGTTCAACGATGTACGGCTCATCCTCAACTCGGCCCAGATCATGGCCGTCACCACCTACAGCTCCCTGCACCTCGCCACCTTTGACGGCGACGTCACCCTCTACGACGACGGCCAGTCGCTCGAGCCCTCGAGCCCCATCGTCCCCCGCCTGCTGGACCTGCTGCGCAGCAACGTCCGCGTTGGCATCGTCACCGCCGCCGGCTACACCACCGCCGACCGCTACTACGCCCGCCTCCACGGGCTCCTCGACGCCATGGCCGCCTCCCCGTCCCTCTCGCCCCATCAGAAGGCCAACCTGCTGGTCATGGGCGGCGAGGCAAACTACCTGTTCGCCTTTGACGACACCGCCGGCCCCCACCTGCTGCGCCCCGTGCCCCGTCACGAGTGGCTGACCCCGGAGATGGCCGCCTGGTCCGGCGCCGACATCGCCGCCTTGCTCGACGACGCCGAGGCGGCCCTCCGCGAGTGCGTCAAGTCCATGAACCTGCCCGCCGTGCTCATGCGCAAGGACAGGGCCGTCGGCATCATCCCGGACCCCCCCGGCGCCCGCATACCCCGCGAGTCCCTCGAGGAGACTGTCCTCGTCACCCAGAAGATCCTCGAGCTCAGCTCCGCCGGCCGCGCGAAGAGGGTGCCCTTCTGCGCGTTGTGAGTGTTTTCGTGCCTATCACCAGGCCCATGCGACCGCCCCCCCCCCCCAAAAAAAAATTGTCACGTCTGCAACACCCGAGACATTATTAAGCTGACAAGCGGATCCAAAACCCACCAGCAACGGCGGGCGCGACGTCTTTGTAGACATTGGTGACAAGTCATGGGGCGTTACCGTGTGCCAGAAGTACTTTGAGAAGCAGTCACAGGCCAGCGGCGGCACCAGCAGCAAGCTTCTATTCGGGCCCGAGAACACCCTTCATGTTGGCGACCAGTTCCTGAGCGCCGGCGCAAACGACTTCCGCGCCCGCAGCGTCGGCACCACGGCTTGGATCGCGAGCCCAGAGGAGACGGTGTACGTTTAGACTGCCCCTACCCCTCCCCCCCCCTTTTTTCTTCCGCACGGTATCTATGGAGCAAGATACGCGTTCCCATCCCTGCCCGGTCCGAAGAATCCCCTCTAGTCACCGTGTACCAGGCCATCTGTAGCTGACAGCCCGTTGCAGTGAGCTCCTAGACGAGCTTGGGGATCTGATGTACAAGAAGCTGACCTGAGTGTGCATGCTTGCGCCCCGACATGTGACAAAGAGCGGGCGCGGACTGATAAATGCTATCTATCTACGTGTGGATGTGTGTGTGTGGTATCCAGCGACTGAATGTGCGAGCAAAGATACGCGGGACAGCAGCTTTTTGAGTTGGCGCTATGACTTTAGTTCTACAATGGGGCTTGTGGGTGGGACCGGCAGGGCGCATTTTGGTTTCAGCATTGTGTTTACGACGGCCTTGGAGCGAATCATATGAAAAATCCCAGTTTTGGGCTTGGTAGACGCCCTTTGTTGACGTGGCTGCCAAAGCCAGCGCGCTACACTATTTAACCTTCATGAATCACAACACATCATAGCAGAGACCTTGTGGCATACTAGCCTCTTCTACCGAGTATTATCCCGCAAGAGGGTATCCTGCAGGATAACGTCCCGCAAGAACTGAGCTGTCGTGCTGGGCTTACTCGATGATCTTGCAGGGATCTTCTCACCGTGTTTATGTTTGTGACACCCTGGCATGGCCATAATCTTGAGAATCTGGTCGTAAGCACTGTACAATCTGTCACCGCGTGGTCTTGGGAGCCGAGGAAGTTGGGTAGTAGAAGGCAAAGTCATGTATGCAAACATTGGTGTTGTACCTGGGGTATTGTGCAAAAAAGCCGTGCAAAGTCTCTAATCCGTCGGTCCATCCATCTGCTCAGGACCATCGTCATGATTGCTCCTTTCCTCCCGCACAATCACGGGGGGACGACGCCCTTGTCCGCTCTTGACAAGGATCAATTCGTCCCATGCCATAGGACCAGTTCTAGTTTCCCCTTTTGCCCACAGACAAATGAAATTTTGCTTTCAGTCTCGAGTGAGCGACAGCAGCCTGATCTCCAGACGACAAAAGAGATGGGATGCGGCACTGTAACGACCGTGCTAGGCATACCGTCGCTGCGTGATTACATTATGTACAGGGAGCTCTCAGGACCGTGAGCCTGTCTTATAGCGAGCCGAGGGGCTTGCCGAAGTTTGACGTCTCTCGGAGCTTGAGGGGTATTTCGGGCTCGGCTTCTTCGCCCTCGCTGTCATCTGCTGGGGCCAGGGCGACAGGTGCTGCTTGCGCACTTGGCTCGTCCCCCTCGCACTCGGCATCCTTGAGGACGGTTGGCGTAGCGTCCTCACCGGTGCCAACCTTCTCGAGCTTATCTGATAGCTTCCGCAGGAAGATCTCGTCCTTGGCAGGTATGTTGCGCAGCGTCAATGGGCCCTTCAGCTCGGGATCCTCATCTGAGGGTTCCATGATGGCGGGGTCGTGGTCGGCGTCGTCGATAGCGGTTCCCACCGGCTCAGCAGGCTCCTTGGACTCGAGACCATCGTTGCCATCGTTGCCATCAGAACTTATAGCCCCGTCGCCGCTGATGAGCGTCGGTGTGTTGGACCCGCTGCTGGTGACTGTGTTGGTCGCACCGGTGCTCACAAAGGACATGGACACCGTCGGAGTGTGCCCAGCATTCATCGTGAGCCTTGAGAGCGGGTCAGCCTTGAGTGCACGCGCGCAGCGCTCTCTTGCCAGCTCTCGTTTCTCCTCCGGTGTGTGAGAGGGCGACCCGTTGCCGCTCGACGTTTTTGACCCATTGCTGGATGGCGTGTCGGTGAAGGTCGCCTTTTTGACGGCGTTCACTTTAAGGTGGATTCCCTCCAGGTCTTTGTGATACTCCTGCACGTCGATGACTTTTGAGGGCGCCTCGTGATCCATGGCGATGGCTTGATTCGCTGGGTTGTTGTCGTGGTGGAAGAACGAGTCTGGCTGGCCTGTGGGGCTTAGTTGTGATGATGAGCTGCCCTGGAATGAGATAGACCGCGAATCCAGACCCCCACCCCTAAGAGCCGCTTCGTTCCAGCGCGCCTCGGATTTCCTGAGTCGGTTTTGCAGCAGCGTGACCTGCGTCTGTAACTGGTACCTCTCGGCCTCCCACTTGGTTTGCGCAGCCGCATGCTCACTCCGCAGCGCCTCTATGGCGTCACGGTACAGCTCCTCCGCCCTGTCGCGATTTGCTTGCAGTGCTCTTCTTTCCTCATCCCACGCCCGTCGCATCCTCGCCCTTGATTCCAGGTTAGCTCCTAGCCCCCAAGCTAAACATGAACAACATCAACCGCTCCCGGTACTTACTCCAGAGACAAGGATTGCGAGTCGGCGGACGAGTTTTCCGATGTCGTCCGTACCGCCGGCCGCCGAATGGTGATCAGTCCAGAACCAGTACCGGAAATCGTATCCACGGGCACGGGGACGCCCGGTGCGCTCGTGGGGGGCAGATCGACGTCGGAAGAGCGTGAGGCGTCCATCTTGGTACTCGCTCTAGCGAAGGATCTCCTGGTGGGGGACAGGCTGGCTGCACGCTGCTGGGGGTGGCGCTGGAACTGCAACTGATACTGGGCGTGGGAGGGGATGGGTGTCAGGTGTGGCGAGAGAAAATTGGGCGGTTGCGCCTGAGGGGGTCCACAAGTTTCTCCAGTCATCCGGGGGCAGTGGTGATTTGGGCCTGGCAGCGGACGACTCTGATCGAAGTAGTGAGCAGCACCGGGCAGACTCAGAGGCGATATGACCGAGGACGAGGCTTGAGCGCTGGGGGTCCCTGATGCGGAGGCCAGCAGATGGTCGGTGTCAAGAGCAGGCGAGGGAAAGAACGAGTCGTCGGCGGGTAAGCGCGTCATTGTTGCCAAGGGCAGTAAGAGGGCAGGGCACGGCAGGGCACGGCAGGGCACGACGGCGCTGGCGGTGGATATTGGCGAGTTGCAATTGGGTGGTAGTCGCTACAACGGCAGCATGTGGGCCATGCGAAAAATGACCAAGTCCTGCTCAGCAGAGTATCAGGGAGATGGCGGGCGTAGGAGGTGGGCTACTGCTGTGCAAATATAAAGGCGGGTGGGCGGACAGCAGAGGTCATCGGGAGGTGGCGGTCTGGATGGAAGGTCGGGTGATGCCACGAGAAATGCTGTTGCCATGCGCACACGGGTCGCAGGTTGGGCGTTGACTGTAATGTATGTAGGGCAGAGCAGAGGGAGACTTGCTACATGTCGTCTTGGGAGTGGGTCTCGTGCGCCCTGGCCGGGGCTGGCTTGGGCTCAGGCTCAGGTTCAGGTTCAGGTTCTGGTTCTGGCTTGGGCTTTGGGCCGGCGGGCGGGGCGGCAGAACAATCAATGCAAGGTACTGTGTGTAAGCGGGCGGAGACGTGTGCGTGTCGAGCTGGACCAAAGCAATGAATGGGGGAAGGGCAAGAGCTGGTGAGTTGGCAGGGTGTGGTTTGTTGAAAGGGATCGAGGCAGCGAGGGAGGCAGGCAGGAAGGGGAAACAGAGGGACGGGACTTGCAAGGGGCGTCGTCACTCTGACTGCGTGCAGTGCAGTTGACTGCATCTTGGTGTCGAATACCGAGCTCAGGGACCGACGGACGGACACACGCGACCGCCTGTCCAGCAGCCCAGGGGGGGTTGGAGGTGGGGTGTAACAAGAGATGGAGGCGTGCGTGCAGCCGGGGAAGACCACACTACTGGCAGGGGTACCTGCCTCCCGGATGTGCAACCGACTGCCCGACTGCCGTTTTGGTGGTTGCTTGGGGTGTGGGCTGGGGTCTTTGAACCCTTTCTTCTAACCTCTTCTAACCTCGACACGTTTCAACAACAGACCAGCCATGGCCCGGTAGCCCGGCATGTGGTATAAATAATACCATGTAGTAGCACGCTGCCTGGTGGCAGGCCTCAGGCCGCCCGCAGCGCGCCCATGGTTTCAGTCGTTCCCCCGGGCCGAATGGGAAACACGGTTTCTCTCACATGTCAACTGGCCTTGTCGCCGTGGCGTCCAGTCCGTGGCGTCCAGTCCGTGGCGTCCAGTCCGTGGCGTCCAGTCCGTGGCATCATCCAGTCACTAGTCAGGGCCGGCAGACAGCTCGCAGTCTTGACTCTCTGCCCTGAGAGGACGGCACCAGGGGAGGTCAAGTCTATGGCCTGGGCTGGGCTGAGCCGGGACTGGGCTGGGCTGGGCTGGCAGACGTGGCACGCCACCAACCGATGATTCTACCGCCCTGTCGGGCTCGACAATGCCCACGGAGTAGAGCAATCCCAAGGCACCCAGTCTGCCAGTCTGCCAGTAGACCACTGTGTTACGTGTACCCAGCCAGCCATCCCAAGCCCTCGATGCGAAGGCAACTCAGGGTCGGCCCGCGCCCCTCCCTTCCTCTCTCCCCTTTCCCCGATAGCTCAATGTGCCCACCCCCCGGCCGTGAGCCCAGCCCCTGCCACGCCTGCATCTTCCCCGGATGCAGCCGCCCTGTCCCTTGCAGCGCAATCAATTGGTGGTCCCCCCTAGAATACTCCGTACAGAACAACAGCACAGAAGTTGACAGAACAGTCTGCCAGTCAACCAGTCAACCAGTCTGCCCCTTTCCTCAGTGTGCACACACCCGGACCTGCAGCATCCTGAGCACCCTCCACTCGCACCACAGGACTTTGATGGGACCACGCAACCACCACGGAACCGCCACGGAACACCACGGAACATCCCAAAGGACGGCCCTGCCGCACCACCAGCATGGGTCGGTCACACTGACAGCGGGAAGCAGGCTAGGGAGTCACCCGCCCGTTCGGCGCTACGGCAGCCTGTAGCCCTGCGCAACCCTCTGCTGTGCCGCCCCTTTCTTCGGGCCTCGCAACCGGTAGCTCAGAATCACTCGTGCCAGCACCAGCACTAGGCGGTCAGCGGGAGATGCTCCTTCCTACGGAGTAATGCTGGTCGCCCCAGAGCTCTCGGCCGAATTATCTGTGGACGTGCCTGGTGCTACTAGACGGCAGTGTCATGGCCCGGCCATGACATAGCGGCATCTTGCCCACAGGACGGATTTGACACATGGCATTTTGGGTTCCAGCATAATCTCGGCATAGATGGACCCTTGTGGCAATACCTTATTCCAAGCTTCCACTTTCCACTTATTTTGGGGGCCGTACCAAGTGCTCAGGTACCGAGTACTCTTCCCAGCCAGCATGGGCAGCCAGCATCGACACCCAGTCTGTCAAGACAGTCAGGCACTGCCTCGTCCGCAGACAATCTGTTCCTCAAATCCCCATGGCGGATCTTCGAGATCATCATCCCACGACCCCAGCCCAATCTGGACCCCCAGTCAGGAGGGAATCCAATTCTCCAGCTTCTCGAGGACGGAGCCTGGGGTAACCAGCCGGGGTTCACACTTTTGCCGGTCATGTGTCCTCGTTGGGCTGCTGCTTTCAGCTAGCCTGCTCGCCCACAGCGGCCTTGTTGCCTCTTGGCAGATACCAACAGTATACAGATCTCCCCCAGAGCCTACCCGAATTTCCCGATGGGCCTGCCTGCTGTGCTCCGTACTCCGTACAATCCAGCAACTCGAAGCGCTGCAGGATGCGCGGGGTTGCTCGATTGGTCAAGGGTATCGCAGACACGTCGGCTTCCCTTTCTCGCCCGCGCAGAGATAGGCCAACCGTGCTGTGCACTTGCCTGTCCGACTTGCTTGCGTCCTTGCTGGCATGCCTGCAGAAAATTTCCGTTCGGCAGGCGACCGACCGAATACCCACGCGGTATGCGCTCAATATGCATGCTGTATTCTGCCCAGCCCATAAGCCCTGACCGCACGTCCTGCTTGCTTCTGCCGCCGTCGGGTCGTCTGTTGGCACGGCCTTCGCGTGACGAGGCCGTCTCACACAACCCAACCCCGGGGAGCCTGTTGGCCAACTCGCGCGGGATTCGGTATCGAGCTCATCTCGAGGGCTTGGCCGCCAATTTCCCCACAATATCGCTTCACTAATTGCCAACTAGAAAGCCCCCATCCCCGACGGCCGCCTCGAACGAGCCCCCTTTGGCCCCCGGAGCCCTTCGCGTTTTCTGTCTCCCACCGGCCTATCAGCATGCCTTCTCCGCGGGCCCGCGGGCAGGCGCTGCAGCCCGGGGGCCACTGCAGCATCCGATGACTTTCCTCGCGCGGAACCGGTCCTCGGGACCCACTCAGCTATGGCTCTCTGCCTTGCCGTCGGACCTCCCACGTCTGCGTGCCCTGCTCCGCTCTTGCGCGGCGGTGGGTCCCTCCGTGATCGCGGTTGGGGTCTTTGGAAGAAGAGTGGGGGGGGGGGCCAACATTGGAGGGAAGAAACGTCCCGACGATGATCGACTGTCGGGGCCTTTTCGGGCTTTCCTGCTGACTCGCTTGTTTGGTCGGCCACTCTCCGGGATAACCGGCCAGGCGGACACGTCGGCGCGAGGCAAAACGAGCTGTGGGCTCAAGACTTGTGCATCGCGGTGATCATCGCAGCACCCACAGGAGGTTGTCCATAGGAGTCTGTCTCATAGGAGGGTGTCCTACAGGTGTCAGGGATAGATGCTGTGGCTGCAAAGCGGATAATCGAGCAGAGCTCGTGTCGAGGTGAAGCAATGCAGGTCTCTATGTCAACAGCAGTTTGGTTCACTGGCTCAGAGGCCTGTAGGGACGCACAACCCAGACTGTGCCTTGCAGACTCACACGTATCGCCGCGATCTGACTCTGCCATGACTGCACGGCCATTGCGCGGTGTATATCGCGATATTCAGTCTCGCGCGGGCGTGTTCGAGGCCAACAGCAGAAGCATGTCCTCCGCGTCTGCGGTCAGTCTCCATCCACCGTTCTCCCAACCCGCACCGGGGCAGCTCATCGTGGGCGACGACCGTGTTGTATTGTACTCACGACCGAGCGGTCACGACAGTGCTGGGGCCCTGCGGCTCGATCTGGACACGACAGGCCTGTCGGCGAATTCAGAGACGTGTCAGCCCTACAAGAGCCCCCCGGCGTCAAACGACCCCAGGTGCCCTGAGTGGCCGGTGAATGGGTACGAGATCCACGGGATGTAGTGTAAGATGCACTTGCATGCAGCAGTAGTCTTCAAACTTCTTGGCACGCTGCAAGAGGCGTGGTAGAGATTCGTGACGTCTCCCCTCCGCAGTTTCTCCGGAGACAAGAAGAGCTGGGTATTGCCTCATCTGTCGTGGCAAAAGCCCGTATATAGCCACGCATTTCCCGCCCAAATGACTCGAGGTGACATCTGCCACAGTGGTCAATCCCGATCTCGTCGTCAGTTCAAGCCATGCCTCGATGGCCGAGAAGGAAAGGTCTGCCCTGGTCTGACCAGCCCCCAGAACTTCAGTCTCACCTTCACGATGACTCGGCGTCCCGCTTCGCTCGACAGAGAAAGCTTGTTATGTGGTCTTTCCTCTGAGTCGCCTCCTGGGGTCAACGCACGAGCTCCCGAGGGACATCAACATCAACCGCGGGCTTGGCAGCCTCGTGCGGCAACTCTACAGACGGCGTTGCCCCCCGAGCACCGGATTGGACGATCATGAACCGGGCCCGGCTCAACTGACGCGGCATGCAACCTTCCCGGATCAACACGGCCGGCCGGCAGATGTGCCGTTCTCCGTGATTCGTACACGAAAGCTTGCCAGAGCCGGACACGCCACCATGACGAAAAGCTTCACATGGCAGAGACCACAGCTCTTCGAGGGGCACCGCCTGGTAAGCTCCATGCCATCGCGGGTACAGAGACGACCGAGCCCACGCTTGACTTCCGAGGATGTGGTGGAAGCTTCTCCATCAGTTGGATCATTGCCTACAAGATACAGCTAGGCCTGGGTCCCGCGCTTTTTGATGCTACCGATCACGCTTCCCACAGTTCAGCTAAAAAAGGGCCGAGCATGGACCATAGTCGGACTCTGAGTGCATCCACTCCACTCAGAACCGGCGTGTGTTGGAGCACATGCCGGAGAAAAAGAGGTCACGCCTACCGCTCGCCATTGCTCAGCACCACCCACCAACTCCAACAGAGCAGCAACTGAGCTTCACTGCCGGGCCCACGTTGCCGACCCAGGAGTCTTGCCGGCTCCCACAAGCTGGGAGCTGTGTAGACCCCGTCAAATTAGTCACAACTTAAGCCAACTCAGCTGCACCTGAGCTGCACCACTGTGAATGCTGCAACCCTACCTTGCCCGCCTCAAAACTAAACGTCCCCTTGTCTGCTACCAGGGACAATGCTATAGAGGTGGCAACCCGCAAGCCTCACTCGCAGCTAAAAAGGGCAACGTTGTCTCGACTCACGTAGCTGCAGACGGGTTGGCGACTGTCCGGACCAGTCACCTGCGGGCGATCTAGGACCCTCACCCCTCCCAAACACGTTTTTCCGAGGGGAAAGCAGCCATAATTTCTGACGGGCGGGCTCGCGAAGATTGAGACCGACCCGCCTGTCCGAGACATGCTTCTGTCAGGCCGAGCTTAATAATAACTCTCCAGCACATTTCAAGGCTCCCCCAAGCTCTCCCAAGCTCCCGGCCCGAGGCGTGCAATAGGAAGCTCAGATATGGGTTGTACCGATAGCTCTCGGTCGCTGTCAAGCCTGACACCATCTGCTTCGGCCGATGTTTCAACTTTCGCTAGGAAGAGCGACGTCGGCGACGAAAGCTTGTGTCTTGCCAGTTTCACTGGCCTTCGGTTAGAACTGCCCACGGCATGTCAAGACCAGACCAGCTAAAACCGGTCATCCGGTTTGTTCTCGGGCTAGAGAGTGAGTGCCTGCGCGATTCGACGCGATGCCAGCCCTCAAGCCGGTCGACCTGTCTGCCAGATGGCTTGTCTCGAATTGGCTGCCGCAGTCCATGCATGGGGGTTGTAGTCTTCACAAGCCGTAGCTGGTGGATTGGCACGGCTGATTTGACACCACCCGTGGCTTACGCCGGTCGTCAACGGAAGGCACACAACGGGCGGACCGACCTAGCCAGTGTACAACCACTCTGTTCTGCTCCCACAGCCAATGGTGATCGACACAACATGACCGCTTGCACATTGCTCGGCAGGACGCAAGCCAGCGAGACCATGCCGCATCGTGCGGAGCGTGCAGCATACTAGCATCTAATGGCTAGTGGACGTAGCACAATATGGTGGAGGGCAAGACAGGCTGTTCTAGCTAAGCATAGGCGGAAAGCTTGTTGCCAACCAAGCTCGCCGGTAGGTCCAGCTGGCATGACATGGGAAAGGAAGTGACCGGCCAAGCAGGTCACAGCAGTAGCTTGTGCGCGGTGTTTCCCATCGACCGTCTCCCGGCGCTTGAATATTGTTTAGGGCATTACATGAGGCCGAGGGGCGGCAGGCGATAGTGTTATGGAGGTCGTGCGATAGGTGTCGAGTACTGGCTTTGCAGATACCATCCTGGAAGTCGTGGAGATGACACCTGGCTGGTGTGTGGAAGTGTTCCTGCCGACGGCCTGAGGCATTCCATAGCCTATCGCGCAGCACGGCGTCAATGCTGATAAGCGACATCTCGGCTTGTTCTGCCGTGGAACCTAACCCGGATTTCCATCCACGAGGAAGCAGCAGTAAGCAGGTCCAAACGCAAGCTGATGCAGCGGCCGTGCAGCGGCTGTGCAGCCTCACAGGGGGCACATTGCGTAGCCATTATATGGCACGACGCGGGAGCAAAGCGCACCATTCCCATGGTTACATTTCCGCCGCGCCGGGAGAATTCCGCATCGATCTGTGTTCCATTGATGGACGTCTGGCTGTAGCCCGAACCAGAATAACGAGCGCGCTAAACAAACAGTAATGTGCCAGAAGAAGCAAACGCTGGTTCTCTGGTGGTCGTCGCGCTGTCGACGATTGATACCCCGCAACTCACCGCCTATTGGGGTCTGACTGCGCTGAAGGATGGATGCGATGTGGTCGGCCTGATGCCAGACCTACAAGCAACTGCTACCGGTTGCGCTGCTGCTTCCCGGGGCGTCCAGCCGCCGTCCTTGAGATACAGCAGGCGCGGGGATGGCATATCTGGGTTGCACACCGTCAACCCCGTGATGCTATGCAGCTCTATAGTCTGCGTTGGCGTGCCCAACGAGGGCAGCGTGGATCGAAACGGAGCCCATCCAGTAGGGAGCGGACAATAGGGGACACCACAGGTAGACCACAAGCCCAGAACAATTGACCAGACCGGCCGTGGCTACGGTGCGCCCGCACATGTCTCGATTTGCACTCGCAGGATCGATGGACGGTCGCCAGCACACGCATAACCGGGCAGCTCTCAGTGGGACACAGTCCAGAGCTAGCGTGTAAGATGTCGCCTTCTGGGGTGGACAGTCTCTGCTCCCGGTGCCATATTTCGCACGACCGCAAGTGGAGTCGTGAATATCTTCAGCCTTGCGGTTGAAAGCCAAGACCAGCCGCATAGACAAGCTTTTGTCTTCTGCGTCCTGAGTCGATCAGTGAAAGTCGTGCCAGATCCGGCTACCCTTCCTTGTGTTCGTCTTGGCAGGCAGATTAGGCCAGGGGCGGGCACAGGAGCGCTTGTACGACACTTCGGGATTAATCGGCAGCGTCTTTCCAGACGTCGGCACTACTGTATAGAGGGGAAGGAGAGAGGGGGGTGGGTGGTGGGATGCAGGCCCGCGCGTGACGAGACGAGAGGGCTGCAGCCGTAAACACTAGCGGAAGCTCAATCTTCCTGGGCCGACGTATCAGCGTCCCCCCTCCCCCGAGTCGCAGGATTCAATGTCGTTTGAGGACATTGCAGAAGCTCAATGCATGGAAAACCGAGCCAACCGCCGTGCTTCACCCGAGCAGCCGAGTACGGATCTGGGGCAGGCAGGGCAGGCTCACCGGGGCCGGCTCGCCATCGATTGACGAGGACCCTCGGCGAGAATGAGCGGATCCAGATCTGCTGTTTGGGCGAGCATCACCAGCGAGGGCCATCTGACATGGTCGCCTCGTTGACGCTGGTCAAGCAGCCGAGAGTGCCGCTGTTGGCGTCGAGTTCTCTCCTGTTAATGATGAAAGCAAATGCTCCGCTCGGCCGTTGAGTATTGGCGCCCAGGGCTACGTGATTGCGTGCATTGAGCCGTCGGCTCACAACGGTAGGACCGAAAGCTGGTGGCGTGCGGCCTTTCGTCACTCTGGGCGAGCGGTTCCTGTATGCTCGACTTGGCACAAGCGGTTGGGCCAGTCTGGAGTGTTCCCTGACAGGTTCCAAGAGCCTCGTGTGCAGTTGGATCGATCCAGACTGCCTAGAATCTTTCTCGAAGGGCTGGGCATCGGTATTCTGTGGTGACCAGACATCGTAGTGCTGGCTGGCTGGCTGGCTGGCGCGCGCGAGACGCGGGAAAATGAGAAGCACGCCATAATAATCCAAGTTGGCCGCACCGGTTGCTGCTGCAGCGCAATTGAGGTCAGCAACTACCATCACGCGTCAGGCTTCTTCGGCATCTATCCGGTGAGAAATCCAGTCATCTGAATATGACCAGCATCGGCTCTGGGTCAGCAGACAATTCGAGGGTCCCGGATGGAAAGGCGGTCGGTGACGGCAGAGGGAGGTGTGCGAGGCGATGTGTACTGTAATTCATGGACGACGTGACTGTAGCGGTCGCGGTGGCTAGGTCTGGAATCCGGGTAGGCGGTCGTCGGATGAGAGTTCAGGGCCATGGTTGATCGCTGCAATGCGTCCCCGCGTGCGCGAATTACAAACACCAGGTCTCGGCGGTGAGAGGGCAGGCGGCCAAGGTGCAATCCCAGCAGAGTGTACCAAGCCTCGCGGCCTTGGGTGCTGCTGGAGCCTTGGGGGTTCTTGGCCGGGGCTCGAGGGAGGCTTGCGTGGTGCATCCTCCCACAATTGCGTGTGTCTGGGCTCACTATGCCCAGAGAGCCGGATCAAAGTCAATACAGAGCCAGGACGGCATCTGGTGCTCTCGCCATATCAGCTAACCAGCAGGAGGGTGTGGGCGACTGATTTGGGCGAGCGAGCCAGCAGGCAGGCAGGCCGTCGATGTGGAGGGCGTCCGAGCGGGCAGATACCGAGGCAGAGGCAATGATGTAATGGGGCGGCGGCAGCAGTCCAATGGCCACATCTCCCGCGACCCCCAAGCCATCCGCGGGATTTCTTTGTACGTACGCATACTTTGTAATGATCAAGACCAATTTAGAGTCGGAAATCTGGAGACGAGATTCGACTGGGGACCGAAATGTGGAGAAGGGGAGGCTGACAAGGATAGGCGAGCACCTCGTGAGCCTGCTAAGATGACGACAGAGCCCTGTTCCCTGCCCTGCCTGCCCTGCCCTGCCCTGCCCTGCCCTGCCCTGCCGTTGCTCGTTTGCCCTTGAACCCTGGATGCTTTCGTGGGGTTGCCGATTTCGATTTCGACTCGTCTCGAAACGGTGCGGATCGCCAAGCAGCGCCCCGTGGACGGTCGCCCGGGGACGGAGTGCCTGCTGGCAGTACGGAGTAGTAGTGTAGTACTTGTACGCGACTGGCATGTACCGTCTGGTCTGGACAGGTTTGTCCTACTACCTACCTCTAATCTGTACAGGTATGTAGCACCAGCCTGCCAGTGCATCCCAGGGGAAAGGAGCCGCCTCGGCCGGGCTGGGTGGGTGACTGGACGGCGGGGCCCTGAAGCCCTCGGCCTTTCGCACTCAGGCCAACCTCCGTCTCAGCGCTCAGCGACGGTGGTCCCCTGCTGCTGAGGTGACCACAGGAGGATTCGTATTATGTATCATGACTGCTGGATGACCGAGATGCGTGGAAGGAGGAGGACCAGCTCTGGGCACGGGGGCCTTGGCCAGGCCAGGCCCATGACAGCCAATACAATTGGCCAATTGACAATTCAGACAATTTACACAGACAGCGCAGTTCTGCGGCATCAAAACGGAATGAATGCACGTGGTCGGCAAGAGGGAAAAGAACCCGTGAGTCTGGTTGAGAGCCGACATTGCCGTGGCCATCCAATGGCCAGGCAGATGCCAGGGACCGGGACCGGGGATTCGCTTGAATTGTCGGCGGTACGGGAGCCCCAAGTCGAGGTACTCGGTACTCGACTGGCGCGGCTGCTCTGGACGAGGCATGCAGCGAGCGCATGGTGCGTGGTGCGGTGGGTGGTGCACCTTCCCAGCCGTATCGCGCGGCAATAAGGAGCCCGGATATTACACAGAGTCTCGAAAAATCGCTCATTTTTGGAACCCACACTGGTCAGGAGGGCTGGAGGGGTGACTGAGATCTCCATTCTCCATTATCCATTATTATTATTATTGTCCAACCGAACTAGGCAGCACACGGCCCCGGCTGGCATTGCATGGCATTACATGGCATTACATGGCATTGGTATTGGCATTGCCCAATTCCACTCTCCTGGCGCCAGGGAGATGGGCGCTGGGGCCTGAGCCAAGCCTCACTGATCGCCTGCATTCTTCTAGGCAGTAGGGCAGGGCAGGGCAGGGCAGGGCGGAGGGCTGGGCTGGGCGGAGGGAGGGCTGGGGCAGCCGGAGCTGCTGGCTGCTGGCTGCCAACAAAGCCCAGCTTGCTTGCATGTGTCGTGCCTTCGAGACCCATCGTGATCCCCAGCACAAGTTGTGCTTGTGCTTGTTAGGATTATGCCCGGTGTTTGTTGAGGCGTGACATAGCGCGCAGCTCCATATCTCTCGACTGTCGCACTAGTCCGTAGTTTGCTCTAGCAGTCGCAGCCCATAATAATCGTCTATGCCGCCGGCTGGCGATGGGTACCTTGTGGTGCTCATCAAAGACGGTTCCTATCTGCGGCTAGTTGGGGCGTGGGAGGGGCTTGCTTCCCTCTCAGGCCTCTTTGTGCTCCCTATCAGGGTACGGAGTACAAGGCCCACGATTCCACGATAGCAAGACTTGTCCCACACCAAGGCTGGGCCCGGTACATGGTTCGAGCCGCACCACAGGGCCTGGTGGCACAGTACCGTACGGTGGCAGGGTGGTGCAAGCAGGACCCAAGCACCCAAGAAGTGTCCACAATCTTTTCCCCAGAGCTGATCGCCGCTGGTGCACTGACTGATTTGAGCGTCCAACAAGCTGGCTTGCCTGGCAAAGGCCTGGCAAGGACGAAGCCCACATCCCACATCCAATAATACCTTCAGTCACAAACCCCCGTCCTGCCCATCCCTCCTCGTGCATTTTTGTCTGGATGTTCAAGTTGCATTGCATATTGGATTGGCCTCGCCTCGCCTCGCCGCTCTCGCACTCTGGCACTCTGGGGCCTGCCACCTTACTAGTGTCTACCTCTACCCTACCTAGGCACCTTTCCCATCCATCTTCCTCCGAATATCTCTCCTGTCTCGAAAACATCACGTCCGCCCTTCATCTTCATCTTCATCTTCTTCTTCTCCTCTTCCTCTCTACCCACACCTTCCTGCTTCCTTCCACACATACTCTGCACCAAAGTGGTCTCTATTTCATGATACCCCGACCACGACCCCGACCCCGACCAATCCGCTCCTGTTCCCCAGCTCTTGGCTCTTGACGACTCGCCATCTCGCCTTCTCCCACTGCGACGGTAGATCTCGCACCGTTTCAGGTACCACCCGAGACGCTGCCTCGACCTACCGTATCGTTACCATATTCACCCTGCGGCCTTGCTGGCTACACCAACTCGTCTGCACCAGCACCTACTTGCTTGGCAGCAAGTATCAATTTCTCGGCATTGGTCGTACCTGTCTCAAAGTTCCATCGTCACATATAATTCACTCGGTGTGCCTTGGACCCCCATCTGCCATCCTATAACTGAGAGGCATCCTCCCTCCCAGCATCCATTTTCCACCCGTCGTGAAGGACCAACACACGATACTCTGGAGCAGCCCGCGGACAAGGCCAGATACAGCAGCCATCCTCCGCTGAGCCCCTCTCGCCCCCTCCCCCAAACCCGACCCCCCGTATTGGAGGGTGGTGAACTTAACCTCGCCTGCACCTGTGCGAGTGAGTGTCGTCTGCTCAAATCACGCCCGCGCCCGCGCCCGCGCCCTCGCCCAGCTGCCTCTTTTCCCACCACCTGCCAGAGCTTGCCTGTTCCAGCGTCAGCAACCGGGAACCTTGGGGTTTCGGTACCTCCGGCTCTCCAAAGCGCAGCTCGACCTGGTCGCCCGGCCCTTCTTAGCCGCCTCTTGACGTCTTAGCCTCCCACCCCAGTCCACTCAGACCAGGTGAGGGGCGTCAACCAGGCCTTGGGGATTTTACTGGGGCAAGCGGCACTACCTCGAAACAAGGACAGCCTTCCAAACTCAATCTAGTCATAACCTACCGCCCTCCTTCCTTCCTTCTTCCTCCCCCAAAGTCCGCAATGGCTTCCTCCATGCTGGGCCCTCCTGCTCTGTCCCAACAGCCCTCCGCCCCGATCTCTGCACCCCCAGCCTCAACCGCCGCAACCGCTGCAACGTCCACCTCAGGTAAATTAACTCACCCATCCCTTGCTCCCTGTGCCCATATGTTTCAGCTTGTACTGCCTATGCCATCCGAGATAACTCAACCTTTTCTATTGTTCTAGAATCACTACGCGACGACTGCAGCCTGTCCTCGTCCTCTCCACCACAGTTCGCCAGCAGCCTCTCAAATCCAATATATGAGGAGAGCGATGAGGATTCCGAGAGTGTCGCACACAACGAGCCAGTGACGCCTGTGAGCGGCAGACAGTCCTCGGAATTCCGCACCCACAGGGGCAATGACAACCAGGGTCATCCCGACCTCACTGACTCTTCTCTGATTCCTTTTCCCTCAATCGAGTCTGACGGCGCTGCCGTCCCACCCCCAAAAATCGACCTGCGCAAAGGGCCTTTCGCCAACCATCACTTCGAGGCCAACATCAACACCCAGATCGCTGCTGATAGCCCGGTCACTCCCCAGGAGACGCCAGCCAGTCCCAGGAAGAGCATCTCAACGAGACCTATCTCCCCGCCCTCAACCGCCAGGACATCCGCCGACGAATCGCAGCCGGGCTCCGTGCAAGACTCGCGACGCAGCACTCGCGGATCTACGCACAGCTTCAAACGCACCATGTCCAACCTCTTCAAGCGCAACGGCCAACATGGCGACGCCGATCAGCCCGTGGTGGTTGTCGCTCACCAGGATTCGCTAGAGGCCAACCGCAGGTGGTCCATGAACAGGTCAACAGCCACCACTCCCGGTTCCAACACACCTCCCTCGCCCGGCACACGCATGCAGGACGGCAGCCAGCGCAGTAGTAACAATCTGCTGCCACCGTCGCCTGAGGAGTTCATGCACAAGAAGAACCGCGCTTCAACAGGCCTCACACTTCGCAGTCGTGCGGTGAACTTTGCAACGGGCAACGGGCGCAGCTCTAAGAAACAACTAAGCCTGAGGCGGGCTAGCAGTTTCGATGGCGGCCAAAAAAAACACCAGGCGCAGGATGGCGAGCTTGGTCCCGCGGCCGTCTTCTACGCGAGACCGGACGTCGGTGTTGGCGTCAAGGCACGGCGACTAAGTCTGAGCTTGCCGGACGAGCTGACCATCGACGTCGGGGAGCTCCTCAATGAGTTTGAATACAAGCAGAAGCATATACTTGCGCGCCATATGTCGCGACCACTGGGCAAGGGTGCCACAAGTACGGTCCGGATCATGTCGCGCAAGGGCTTCCCAGACGAGCTGTACGCTGTCAAGTGCTTCCGCAGCAAGGACAAATCAGATACGAAGGAGGAATATGAAAAGAAGATTAAGTCCGAGTACAGCCTCGCCAAGAGCCTGCACCACCCAAACATCGTTGAGACTGTACGCCTGTGCGTGGACCACGGGCGTTGGAACCACGTCATGGAGTACTGCTCAGAGGGTGATCTGCACAGCTTGCTCAATAAGAAATACTTGTCCACCGCTGAGCGGGAGAAAGACCGCCTCTGTCTCTTCAAACAGCTGATCCAGGGGCTCAACTACCTGCACAGCAACGGCATCGCGCACCGAGACATCAAGCCAGAGAACCTGCTCTTGACCAGCGACAGCAAGCTGAAAATCACAGATTTTGGCGTCACGGAGGTGTTTTCCGGGATTCACCCCGCCGCGAGGGAATCGGGCGGCGAGTGCGGCCGACAGATGAACGGGGAAGTTCGAATGTGCAATCCCGGCATTTGTGGGAGCCAGCCATACATGGCCCCAGAAGTCCTGGCTAGGGATCGGCAGTACGACCCGCGCATGCTCGACGTTTGGAGTGCTGCTTGCGTGATGATCAACATGTTGACTTCGGCAAACCTCTGGGACAAGGCCGTGTTTGGCGCGGATAAGTGTGACAGTTATACCTCGCTCGTTCAATCCTTCGACAAGTGGAACGCCAAACATGTCGACGGCAACGCCATCATCACCGAGAACGACTACCCGAGCTACCCACCGTTCGACGTGGGCCTCCACCGCCCAGCACTGCGACGTGTTCTGTTGATGATGCTGAACCCCAATCCTAATAAGCGCTCCACCATCACTGAGATCGCCAACGTCCGGTTCATCAAGAACATACAATGCTGCCAACCAGAGAGCTACGACGATCCTAGTGTGGTCATCGACGCCACCAAGAGCGCATCGTTCAATCTCAAGACCACCAAGACCTTCTGCCACAACCACCTGCCGCCCAAGTGGGAGAACAGCCACTCTCTGCCGCCAATGCCAGGCAAGGCTGGGTACTGATTCCCGCCGCCAGCAGTGCATGCGCGGCTACGGGCTTGGACGGAGGCAGTTCTCATATTTTAATTTCGGAAATGGGCGTGTTTGCCCGGCACGAGGGACGATTTACGTGGCATCACGGCGCAGGCAGGGTAGAGAAATGGGTGACCTTAGCATTTGCAGTCATTGGCACAGGCGTTGATGGGTGTTCAGGCGCGATGGCTTCGCGGAACTTGAGAAGAAGACGCGGTTGTGCTATACTATTTCAAAAGCCGAGCAGGGGTAATAGTTGCCGTTTGGTTCACAAGGGCTAATCCAGCCAAGGTCTCGCTCCCCGCCTTCGATCCTGAAACTTTTGATCAGGAACAGGAGCGCTGTAGTGATGGAGGAAAACAATAAGCAGCTCTTTAATCGATCGGCAGAAGCCCAAATGTACATAGTCAAATGACAGCTGTCTTGCCCACGGTGTCACTAGTCCCGGCCCAATCCACAGCAACACACAGTAAATACAGATAAACGCTTGGCCTACCTAGCTGCCTAGGTACTTGCCGCCTGGACGTTGGGGGTTCCTACCAGCCATGTGACACACAACGGACGTCTTGGTTGCAGAGAGGACTTGGAATTAGGTTTTGCGTCCTTGTCCGACACCGCTCCAGGTCGCCGCTGTCGATTGACCTGTTCCGTCAATGCGTGCGTCGTGGATGTACCGCCGTTCTTCTGAAGCCCTTGATTATCGGTGTGTGGCGTTCTGTCTCTGTCTCTCTCTCTCTCTTTTTGTCTCTCTCAACTCACGTCTCACTTACCTTCTTCTCCGCTCCCTCAAGCTATTGCCATGCATGGTGGGTCAGTGCGAGCGGCGAGGAAGATACTTGGGAAACGATTGTATTTGCCCCTATCTTTCCATCAATCTTGTGCCCATCCTCTTCGAGACACCGACCGAGGAATAGGCTTTGCTAGTCCTACAATTCCCCTCGAGGGTGACAATTACGCCCGCCAAGCAGCTCCCACCCCAGCCTGCCCTGGGGCCGCAGCTCGACGATCGATGACCGGCCCTGGCAGGTCCCTACGACCTTGGCAGACGCAAGTCAGACAATCTGTGTGACCCCCACGAGCCTACTACTGCCAGCGACAGCAACAGCGCCCGGGCCCGGGAGTCCGCACGGAGTATTCAAGTCCGTACGGTACATAGTACTAGCAGGTGGCCTTGCTTGCCCTTCTCCCCCCCCCCCCCTTTCTGACCCCTTCTGCCTCTCAGAACCCCGTCGTGCTACCACACCTAACTGACCTCATACGCGAGAATCTCCTGCCGGAGTTCCCTCTAACCTCAAATGGCACGAAATCTTCCTCAAGACCCTCCTATAGAACAAGCTACCCGACGCGCGAGCCGACGAGAGAAGCGCCCCCCTCCCCCCAATCCCACGAACATGGCTGGCTTCCCCGGATTTTCCCTTCTGGGAACATCCGCTAGTGCTTGCTTCTTGTGTCCTGGGCTTTTCCTGGGCTCTCGTCGCTTTGTGAAACTGGGGTAGCACCGCAGCTTTCGAACGTTGCCTTGGAATGTTCGCCCGGGGAAGAAGAGTGCCTTCATCGGAGCCTGGGAGGCGGCGGCTTTCGTTTGGTCACTGATTTGCATACCAACTGGACAGCCCATCAGCTGCTCGCTGATGTGAGAGGGCTGGTTGCTATGTGAAGTCAGACAGATACCCGTTGTTGAGATGCGGTCTTTCAGCCTGTCAGTCTGTCGCCCGTCACCCGTCACCCTTCACCTCAACGGTGCAAGCATGGGCTATGTCATCCCCCACCCACCAGTAACCAGACACGGCACATGTGCAGGCTTAACGGCACGGCATTCTTAAGACGTTGCTGCTACTACGCCGGTGGCGCCCAGAGCGGTTTCGGTCTCGGGGGTGACAGCAAGCCTCGCAGCCAGAGGAACAGATCCTCCCTTGTCTACCCCACAAGTCGTCGCCTGAAGACAGTCACAGGCATTAATGTTCCCTCTGTCGGTGGTGGAGTAGTGATGCAATGCAGATGCAGATGCGACTGCTTTGCATCCACCGTCGATGAGGAGTTGTGTCTGCCCACCAATTCCTACACTGGAAGGCCGTTCACTCCTTATCTGTGAGCAATAGACACGCCTGGCTGTCTGTATGCAAAACACAAAACTCCCGAACTTCGGACCAGTCAGTTCTGCGCCGGGTTTGTTCTCGCTCTGCCAAGCTCTCTGACACCGCAACATGGACATCACCATGAAATTGAACGCTAAACGCACCCGTTCTGTCACTCAGCGTCGGTCGAGAAAGTTCCTGATGGGGACAGCCCGTCACTGAACGGCCTCTCTCCAGTCCTGACTCCTGACCGGTTCGGTCGAGCTTGCTGCCAGGATCGGGTTCCTTGGCCTGTAAGTCTTGCGTCGGCGGGCCGCACCTTGCCTGCCACCCCAAGGATTGTCCCGTCCCCAAGCTTCTTGACTTCAGCCCTTGGCCTGGCCAAGAAAGTCAAGCCCCTCTGGACAATGACCTGGACATTGCAGCGCAGATCTTATTATTTGGAAGCTTGAATCAGCTCCCGGATCTCCCAGATGGTGACCCGTCGGCGCTGATCTATTTTTGTCGGGGCTCTGCAGGACGCGTGTATTCCTGTAATGTTTCCTCCACGGGGTTCCCGGGTTACCAAGTGTCGATCCATCATGTTGATCGATCACCGAACAGACCCGTGCTGGACCCCGTACTCCGCGGGTATGGCAAAGAAAATGAGGGAAGAAAGCCACGACGGGGCTCTAATGTTCCCCTGCGGCTGAGGGGATTTCGGAAATCATCTCACACAGTCCTGAGATTGAGCAATTCCCCTCAAGCCATCACTCCGGAACAAGTCGTGAAACAGTGCTGACAGCTGCTCCAGCTACCAAAGGCCCAGTCTCACTGGGTGGTCTCACAGACTCTTGGTAAATAGCAACCAAAAGAACCAGGCAAGCCTGCATCAGGGTGCGATGGTCACCGCCCAAACAGCAGAAACAGAGAGACATAGAGACAGAGAGGGCTCGATGTACCCCGAGTGGACCGCCGTCTGTTGACCGTTTTCTCAACGTCTCGTGTGACCTACGACAGCTGAAAGCCTTGGCTGTACCGCCGATCAGAAACCAAATCCCCCCTGCAGACGGGTATCTCGACGAGGTTGAGAGAGAGGGATTCGCTCGTTCGTCCTATTGTGTGTCCTATGCCCAGCCTTGCACGGTCACGGGCGTCGCATCGGGGCGTCGTCGCACAGGTCCAGAACGCCGCTCTCCAATGCTCTCTGGCCCAGTTGGGCGCCAGCCTCGCACCGCGCTGCCAGCCGGCATGGAAGAGCACAAAAACCCAAATCAATTTTAAACAAGTTAGACGCATACCAAGACGGGTAATGCGCAAGGACAGAACCACGCACACGAAGGCTCGCTCCCACCCCTATTCTTGACACAAACACGCTTGCGCACACGGCGCCGGAGCAAGATCGCCCCCTCGTTCGCCCCCGGGGAAGCGGGCGACTCGTCCATCGGGGACGCGAGGGCAGGAGGAGGCAAACCGACAACCAAACACGCTCTCCCCCTCCCCAGCCCTGCCAGCTCACCGATGGAATGACTGGGTGCCCTGATGGCCCAGGGGGGCGAGGCGCTGTGTGTCCGTGATGAAGCATCCTCCAAACGACCTTGCTGAGCGTACAGTGTGCTTCGCCCGTGAAACAAAATTCCAGCCCTCGTCACCGTACCTACATATATGGATCGCCCACCCTCCCTAGCCGGCGGCTTGGCGCCAATCGGCGGCTGTCGCGTCGTTGAACCGCCAAGTCGCCTATAGAAATTGTGACAGCCACCCTCCTCTGGATTTCCCACCCGGAAGGTGGCCCGCTCCCAACACGACACGACACGACACGACACGACACGACTACTACACAGACACGAACACACATAAACCTGTGTTTCATTATTGCCCAGGAAGAGCGATACATTCTCTCCCCTCCCCCCCGTTATTGCTATGCTACCCACCGCTCTGCCACCGGGGGCCTAGCTAACAGTCACACGTCCAGTCCTTCCTACCCAGAGGCCCGAGTGCGATGCAAGTGGCCAGCTTGGCGCGATCACCGGAGGACCGCCACTCCGCCGGCAGTTGAGGGTGACTGGCGGGCTGGCGGGCTGGCTGGCTCATGAGCCATGTTTGCCTGCGTGCTTGCTTGCGTCCATGAGTGGTGTTTGTGGTCGAGGCCGGGAAAAGAGAAAGAGCGGTATGGCTGGAAAAGTGCCTCACAGTAGCATCCTTCATCTCCTGCATTGCAGCCTTGCCCGGTTCCACCCGAAAGCGAGAGATACTAATAGGCCCAAAAGGAAGGGGGCGTGCAGTGCGCGGCAAAAGCTTGTCGGGCTTCACCACATCCGTCAAGCTTTTCCTCACATCCGCCTGAGGGGAGGGGTGGGTGGGAAGGCCTCTGCGAATGGCCTGCGCCCTATCCACCCCGGGCGAGCTCAGCAAGTTTGACTTTGCACAGGCCTGAAGCCGAGCCCACAAGCCTTACCAGATTTAGCCGGCATCCGGGGCGAGGTAAGCCAAGAAGACATGTCCCAAACAAGATTTCTCGTCTACTGTATACTCGAGCTGAAGAGGCGAAGTGCATGAGAGAATCGCCTGTTGAAACGACCGTGTGTGGTCGTTGATTCTGATTCGGGGTATTGTATGTAATGCCTTGCAGTGCTCCTTCTGTCCCGTCAACTCCGGCAAGCAAACTCCTATCCCATGTTGACCGAAACCGTCCCTGTTGTGTTATCCTGTTGGCGCCTGGAATGTTGTGCTGGTTGTGTGTTTGTTGTTTTGTATGTATGTACATGATCGATATGGTGAGATAACTCCGGTGCACCAGGTCGCTTGTATCACACTTCCCACTCGCTCTAATGCGCGAGGCCTTCGCTGGTGACATACTCTGGAGGTGGCTCGTCTTCCCCGGTATTCTCCATCCAAGCCTCATACTCATCGTCGGTTGCGATTTCGTCCGCCGGTTTAGAGGGGCCAAGTGTATGCTTGCTCTCTTTGAAGGGCTTAGCGGAAGTCGCCCCGCTGTCCTCCATCGTGAAGGGGTCCAGGTCCTCCTCGGCGTCCTCTACATACGGCTGCCGATAGGCTTCTTCTTCATAAGGTAGCGGGCTTGTTGGTTCCGAGTCAGCGATGGGGGCCTCGACCACGAGTATGTCCTCACCTTGGCCATGCATATCCTCGTCTGTCCGCCGCCGCCGCTTCGGCAGCGGGGGCGGTGGGACGGGTCTGCGCTTAGCGTCCTGGCCTTTCGAATCAACAGATGCACGCTCAGGTAGCGGAGGAGCAGCCACCGGTTTCCTTCTGGGCACTGGTATTGCCGTCTTTGTCTTTTTGTCTGGCATAGGCAGCGGAATGCCGGGAGGAGGGAGCGGTCTGCCCCCACCCATCGGCTTGCTCAGGTCGAGCTGAGGTTCCGACTCTCCTCCATTTCCATGCTTGGTCGGGTCATTTCCATGACGCTGCAAGGCATTCAGACCCCATCGCCGTGCCGCACCAGCTGCGCTGGAGACAGCGGCGAGACTGGTCGGAATACGCTTGGTCGTATCCGTGTTGGAATTCCCGGTTGCCGTTGTGGACGTTGAATCCGTCGTGTTCTCTCTTTTCAGGAAAAGCCCACGGGTCAAGGATGCGGTGCCCGTCTTGGACGATTTGACAGATGGGGTTGGCGAGCCGCCAGATCCAGAGCCGCCTTCGCCTGTGTTGCTATTCGTGGAAGACGCAGTGCCGCGGCGTGGCAGCTTCGGCGTCTCCTCTTTCTCAGTTTCCTTGTCCGTGTTCTCTTTGGAGGACGTGGATTGTGCAGAGGCGACGGATATGATTGAGTTTCTGTGGGGAGACGTGAGCGGCGAGCCCGTGCCAGAAGCACCCTTGGACCTGGATGAAAGTCTGGCCATGGCACTAGCTGCCGAACTTTCTCCTGGTGGCGAGGCGGGCTTGAATACATCAGCATTCACGGTCTCGGTCGAAACGAGCGGAATAGGCTCCCCGACAAAAGAGCCAGACCTGACAGGGCGCTGCTTCGCATGTGTTTCTTTCTTGATGTCGATACTTGTGGACGAGGCGTCCGGCTTTACGTGCTTGGGATCCACGCTATCCACCGTAGGGGAGGACGGGTTGGTCTGCGGAGCCTTGCTGCCTCTGCCCAGTTTGAGCCCAAATAGACTCGTCGACGGTGATGTTTGCACTGGCTCGATCACGGGCATGCTCTGACTCTTCTCCATCGGCGGAAGCTCAGAGTTGGGGGGCGTCCCGGTGTCCAAAGTCTCCATATCGTCAACTTCTCCTCCCTGTGCTGCCGTGGTCTCCGGGTCCAAAGATGGCTCCACAGCATCATCTCCTTCGAAAATGCCACCTCTCCACCTCTTGTGCTCGGTCTTGAAGAACGGGGTGTCATCCCAAAACGGCATAACAAGGGTCTCTGCGACGACCTCTTTGATGCGAGCCTCGATCTGGCGAAGGATCACAGTGTATGTGATTTGTCTGGAGCTCACAATAGGTTCGATGGTCATTTCCATCTTGGGCATCTGTGAGAAGGAGAACCACACCCGGTTGCTTGGGGGTGGTTTGATCTTGAAGAGCAAGTGGCCTTCCATCTTCTTCAGCGCCACGGACAGGACCAAGTCGACCTCGCGAGCCTTGAGCCGGGTTCCAAGGTCAAGTCGCGCGACAGCAGCGACCTCGATTCTGAAGTTGCCCGTGTACTTCACGTCAGACTCCATACAGCATTCTCCTTCGACCGTGAGATCTCTGTGGCGAAGGTTGGTGAAGAATGGTGCGGACTCTCCGGTATCTATTTTGCGAATCTCGATGCTGGACAAGAATGCAGGGCGCTTGACCCGGCTGATCTTTTTGGTCAGTTTCTCCCGGATGAGGGCTTCAATGTCCGCGGTCTTGTAAAGCCCCAGGAAGAGTCTTCCGATCATGGCATTGAGCCACCTAGTCTGAAGGTGCTCCTCGGAGGAGTGGAGCTTCTGCACCAAAGATATGACGTTCTTAACGTCGAAAGTAAGTGGCCGTGCGGTTGTCTCGCCGGTAGGGAAAGCCTGTTCCTGATTTCGCAGCAACGCGAAATAGAAGTCCTCCTTTGCGGAGCAGTTCTCGGAGAAGAGATAGAATGGCTTGGAAACCTGGCTGTCGGGTGGCAATTCCGACGAGGCCGCAGTTCGCCGCGAAAGACAGATAGCATTCCTTTTGATGAAAAGCTCCCCTTCCGGCGTGACATCGCCGCCGGAGTATATGCTGACGTCGTGATGGATCAGAGATATGACGTGTCGGACCTCGAGTTGTTCGTCGTCGTCGAATAGCATCAGATGGCCATGTCTACAGGCGAACGAGGTCAGTCTGGGATGAACACGGGGGCTTTGGGTTGGGAGGCCTCGTACCTCAACACCACGTAGAAGACATTCCCAGCCTTCTTTGGCCGCATACTCACGGTCTTGCCGTTGTCCAAGGGGCTAAGGTTCTGTTTCCTGTCGAATATACTGCGATACATAGTCTGGTACACACTCTGACTGGGAGCTGCTACTGTCGTGGAGCCAACAGGCGTTGATCGTTCGATGGGCTTGGCGTTGATCCCCATGGGAGTATACTCTCGACATACGGCGAAGTAGCCGGCCGCGGTCTCGGCATCCTGAAGACTGACAGCCTTGAGTTTTGGCTGCTCCTTGGTTTCTTTCTGAGCAGCCTGCAGCGGTGCGAGGTCGTCGCCGGGCTGGATGAGGCCATCCGCTGCCGCGTCCCCGCTCGGATCGGCATTTTCTCGACGGGGCAGAGTAAAGTGGGCGTGCAGAAAGATCGTGAGGACCACGAGAGGGAGGAAGGTGATGCCACCGAGGAGGTAGGTCAGCAGGAAGGTTGCGTAGCCACCCATGGTTGCGTCCGGGAGGAGAGGATGAAAGCCGGCGAGGCTGCAGTAGCTCTCAGACAGGCTCGGAAGGTCGGTCGAGGTGTTACGCTCTCCCTCGCTTCAGCATGCAGCATGAAACCATGAAGGTAAGCGACTCTGGGCGACTGGCTCGACGTGGTCATTGCAGCCCCTCGAGTCTAGAGTGGTTGTTTGGTGTAGACCAGTGTGCAAGGTGGCGGATGAAGAGAGGAATACATCCAACGTGTCGGTTTGCTATCATCAGCCGCGTCAGAGGAAGTGTCTGGCAAGGACCTGGTGCTTGCGCTGCTAATTTGGGAGCTAGTTCCCGAGGTGCCAGTCCCGCAGTGACGCAAAGCTGCCGGGGCGGCCCAGGATTATCAGATGAGCCTCAACTCTTGAACATGCCACCCCGAGATTCCAGGGGCATTTGTGCTTGAGATGGTTATCGGCACATTTGTTTTGTACAAGGTCATATGTGGGATTTTTTTTAATTTATTTTCGTCGGTTTTCTTTCTTCTTCGTCGATGCCTTGAGCGGACGGATTGCACTCAAGCGGCCTGATCACTTCTGAGGCACAGGACAACCGCCCCACCGTGTCTGTTGAAGCCTGGGCTGGTGATCCGCAGGTCAGTCCGCTGACACGAACAGTATCAACAGCTAGCTGGTGCAAACATAATTCATATATACAAAGTGTGCACGCCTGACAGCTGGACTGTGTTTTCTTCTCAAAAAGACATCATGATCCGCATCAGATAATTGCGCCTCATTCAAACGAGAAGGACCTGTGTCATTTAAGTGAAAGATAGCATGCTGGAGGGTCGAACTGCGACGCAAGCGATCAAATTACGGCTCCAAGCCAAGACGGCATAAGTCGAATGAATAGCAGCAGCTCCACAAGTACACTTGAACATTGTCTTCGTATAGAGACAGATTGTGCATTCCGTGACTTTGCTTTGAACTTTGATTCGCTTGATCATAAATTAACGGCTGTGATGTGAAACTGGGGACATGACAGCTACTATCAACACAGTCCCACACTGACAGACGATCCAAAAGTCTAGTAGTTGGGGTATCGGGTTCTAGCACGCTATGAGCTTTGCACTGGTGTCACCATAAGGTTATATCATAAATAGTGGATGGCTTTGTCGGTGTTCAACACCGAGACTCTTGAGGGATGAAACCCCCGGGAGCGATTTCTTATAGGTCTTTTAGAAACCACATGTGTGGAACAGCCTCCCATATAGCAAACCTTTGGATACCCTCCGCAGGACATCCTTCCTGTAGGGTAACCTCCTATGTAACGCAGACTCATGGCGAACACTCACTTCCCCCTGATAGCATAAACGGGCAGTAAGTAAGCCAGAGTTCTCGCTACTACGTTGCGTACCGATCATTGTTGTGGTGCGGTAGTTGTCAGACCAGGAGGCAGTGATTGCGAGGGATATCAAATTAACATATAGACCAAGCCGATCCCGAGTCTAGATGAGGAGATAGACGCATGGTATTCAACCGGACTTTCGAGGTCTGATAACCTGAATTAAGAACGGGGTCTGAGAAGCTGACCCAACCGCGCTCATCCACTTTGTGGTCGAAGCTGCGAAGAGCCACGCAAGGTGGAAACCCCGTCTCGGTCTGCCCATCAGTCATATACCAAATCTACGCCTTGAGGTTATAGGTGCATCTATTTTCCTCTTGGCTTACTACGCATGGACGGGAAACTTGAATCGAACCAGCCAGACGCTTCGTTTCGTGTTTTGGGCATATTCACAGAGTTCATCCAGGTCGTGCGTCGAGAATTCGTTGATTGTCGCTTTGCAAAGCGTCTGGGAATCGTAGCTCGCCTCAGAGCCTACACCACCACTCCGGACCAACGCGTCGAGTGCGTCTGGCCATTTTTTGGCACCTCGACGGACATGGCCACGCCTGATCCTCCGTCACCAATACAACCACGGTCGGGAGCCTTGGACGTGTCGTTGGTTCATCTTTTTTTTAATTTCCCTAAAAGCATTGCCACATTCCATACCGGACCATGCTAGAAATCTTTCCGTGCCGTATGTGAACCCCGTGCAAAGACAAAGCAAGCAATCGTAAACCACCGGAACCCCTCCCTGATTTCCCCAAACTAGATGGTGGTCTCGTAGGCGACAGGTGCGAGGGTCTCGGGCCGGCTGTCCTTGAAAGAGATGGTGTGGGCCTCGCGAGGGGCGACGGCTTGCCTCTTGACCTGGACGGTGGTGCCCTCGGACTTGGCCTTGGCCTTCAGGGCGGCGTTCTCCTTCACCCGGCGCAGGAAGTCCTCTCGGGATCGCGACAGACGGACGTGCTCGATGCGGAGGTTGACACGCTTCTCGATGTATCGGTGCTTGACCCGCTTGTAGATGATGACGCCGACAGCGGACTTGGTCACGTTGTAGACGACACCGGTCTTGCCGTGGTAGACCTTGTGGGGCATGCTGTATTTCGCAAATGTCAGGATTCCGTGGTCCTGTCGAGGTTCGTCGCGGATGCGCTGGTCGTAGGAACTTACCCCTTCTGGACAGCACCGTTGGCCTTGATGTCCACGATGTCACCGACCCTGAGAGCAGTTGTTGTTAGATGGCTTCCTTCGCTCTTTTCCGGGCTTGGTTTCGGCTTACTTGTACTGGTGCAGGTAGGTGGACAGAGCGATCATACCCTTCTTGCGGAAGTCGCGAGAGAAGGCATACTGTTTCGCAAACAATCAGCATTTTGACGCCCAGGGCTACATCCCGCCTCCCGTTCATCCATTGTGCCGGTTGGGTACGTACGCGAGTGCCCGCGCGGAGACCAGCGGCGTGACCCATCTTGACTGAGTTTCTGGGTGATTAGTTGAGACGGTTGTCGAGGTCGTCGGTTCTTGCTGGGGGCTGTCACAGGATAGCGGCCGCGAAGGTGTGGTCGGGTGGTGGATTTGCTTCGGATTTTTCAGTAGCAACAGTGCTTACCTAAAGCTGATTTGCCGGTTTCCGGTATGCCCTAATTCACGAGCTTTTGCGTCCGATGAGGAACCGAACCACGCTAGATCCAGCTGAGAGCCAGCTGCGGCCAGCTGCAAGCTAGATAAATCATTCAGTGGGTCCAGGTGCCTCCACCAATTTCAACCCCAAAGTCCGCGAATTTTCTTTCCCATTGCACGACAGCTGCGTCGACACATTCCGTAATCCGCAACACCAGCAATCATGGCGCCGCTCTCCTACTCCAAGACGGCCAAGGTGCCCAGAAGGTACAGTCCATTCAACAACGATTCGATCGACGCCTTTACAATATGCTAACTCTTAATCCGACAGACCCTTCGAAGCCGCTCGTCTGTCAGTATAGCCCGGCCACTAAGCAGCAGCTTGCCTCTGCTTAAGTCGAAGTGCATCCAAACTGACCATCAAACAGCGACTCCGAGTTGAAGCTCGTCGGCGAGTATGGTCTGAAGAACAAGCGTGAGGTCTGGCGTGTCCAGCTCACCCTGTCCAAGATTCGTCGTGCTGCCCGGTACGCACTTTCCGCCCTTGACGACGCACACACGTCCTCCAAGCCACCCAAGACTCTGAAGATCTAACACACCCTGCAGTCAGCTGCTCACCCTCGACGAGAAGGACCCCAAGCGTCTCTTCGAAGGAAACGCCCTGATTCGCCGTCTCGTGCGTGTCGGTGTGCTCGACGAGTCCCGCATGAAGCTCGATTACGTGCTCGCCCTCAAGGTCGAGGATTTCCTTGAGCGTCGCCTCCAGACTTGTGTCTACAAGCTCGGCCTCGCCAAGTCCATCCACCACGCTCGTGTCCTCATCCGCCAGCGCCACATCCGTGTCGGCAAGCAGATCGTCAACGTGCCCTCTTTCATCGTCCGTCTCGACTCCCAGAAGCACATCGACTTCTCCCTGACCTCGCCCTTCGGTGGTGGCCGTCCCGGCCGTGTCCGCAGAAAGAAGGCCAAGGCCGCCGAGGGTGGCAGCGGCGATGCTGAGGAGGAGGAGGAGGAGTAGATTATACCCACGCTCTCCTACTAAGGTCTCTTTCCGATGGAATGAAAAAAAATGCATTTGGGCTTGGGCAGCTAGGTTTGCTGGTCACGGAAACGGAAACGGAGTTTTGCGTCATCGATCAAGGCATGCGATGTGACGCCATCAGGTCAATGGAATAAATGAATGACAAGACACGTTTCTTCCCACACATCGTGACAGTATTGTATCACTGCTTTCCTGTGCACACACCAATTCGTACGGGAGCCTCCAGTTGTCCCTGGCCTCAGCTCTTGCTTGGGCACTTGGTCGCTGCTCAACCTCCTACGCAAGAACCTTCACAAGTATGGTCTAACCATAATGGACAATCGCCCATTGAGATGTTTCTGTGACATAGTACTACGGGGAAACCTGCGGGGCACGTCCGCCTCGCGTGGGAAGCATGGTTGAAGGCCCTCGTGGAATGACCTGGTGTAGCATAAATGGAAACAAAGTACTGAATCCAGAGGGACTGAGGTGTTATTTGCCGTGATAAGTGATGCCGTGTGATCGCCAGAGCGTTCCAGCCGAGGCTTGTTGCCCTCTGTATCATGCATTGACAATTTCATCAATACTGTTCCTCAAAGGTGCTAATTAGTGTACGAGTTCATCCTTCCCCAGAAACTTGGCCATCGGATCATCAGCCGCTGTCCGCTTCCGCCGGTAATCTTCCAGCTCCTCCTCTGTAATTCCACTCGCCATCTCCTCCCGTGTCCGCTTGAGGTTCTGCTTCCCGGACTTTTCTTCATCCGTTGGATTGGTCCCCGGGGCGGCGGCTTCTTCCGGGCGATTATCCTCGGCTGCATCTTCGAGCAGATTTGCGCCGGTCCGCTGCTGTTCCGATGCCTCCCAGGCTTTCTTACCATCTTCACCCGTGCAGTAGCTGTTCTTGATCGTAGAGTGGCAGCATTCAAAGCCCCACTGGAAATTTGACCACCAGCTGCCCCATACTGATGTGTGGTTGTTGATGTAGACATCTTCCGCGTACTTTGACTTCGCTGAGGCCTTGGCCCCCTTGATGAGACCGTGCTCGTCGTACTCGACAAAGTGCTCGTTCTCCGTGACAGTCATGTCCCTGAGCGCAGCCGGCATTGCCTGCGTACTGTCTCCATACAGCTCGCGCAGCTCCTTCTCCTTCTCCTGCTTCTTCCTCTCCGCCTCTTCCCTCTCTTTCTTCCGGTAGAACTCCCCTGCCGTGGGGTTTGCCTGGAGATGCTGGGTGGTGTCTCCTTTCTTCTCCTGGGCCTCCCATGCGTACCTCGTCGCACGCTCAAACTCGGCGGCGTCGCCTGAAGCGCGCACGAAACCCTCCTCCGCGAAGACCTCTGCAGCCTTGTCGGCAGTCGCACCGGCGTCGACGAGCGTCCTCGTCTTGGGGTCGTATTTTGCTGACTCCAAGTCTAGGTTCAGCAGGTATTTCGCTGTATCTTCTCGTATACGCAGCTGCCTTGTCGAGGTAGGCTGGTGCTTGCTCATGTCGACGTCCTCGGCGTACTTGTCACCGGCGTCGCCCTCGTCGGCGTCCTCCCCGTCCTCCCCAGCATTCTTCTTTCGCATCTGTCGCCTGAGCTCTGCCATCTGGTCGTACTCCTCCACGACGTGCTTGTAGTCCTTGGCCTCGTACCCGTTCCAACGGTCACGCTTCGCATCCCAGCTGAGCTGCACTTCCTGCACGACGTCGTCGGCCTGGATGTTCTTGCCCGTGTATTTTGCGCCCTTTTTCCTGGGCCTCTCGAGGCATTCCTTGGCCTTGTGACCCATTGCGCCGCAGTTCTCGCACGCGCCCTTGCGGAACTTGGTCGCGGCCGTGCCCTTCTTGCCCCTGTCGTACCATGTTGAGTCCTGCTCTTTCTTTTGAAGACGCTGATGCTCAAGGTAGTCTGTTTCCTCCCCCTCTCCGGCATAGAATGGCCTTTTCGAGATGAAGTTTGGGATGTAAGCGTTCTCCTCCTTGTTGGGTGCCGTCGAGGCATCCCGCCTGGAGGGTGGCGGCGGAGGCATGGCGGCAAACAGTGCGGCACGTGTGTAAGGTTGCTGTTGCGCAAATGGACAAAGGTGTTGAAGGCGAGATGTTTTGGGTACTGGAAAGGTTCGTGCTAGGTTGGTTCAGACTCGCCCTCCACTTGATGGAATGAATCGTCGAATTCCGCAACGGTTGTCGCCCTCGGGTCCCCTCTGCCGGCCCGAAGTACCAGCCAGGCTTCGGGACGGCACACTAGGGTCAGGGTACGGAGCACAGCCAGGCAGTCAGGGTTCACTCAGCGGCACCCTGCGCCCGTGAACTTGGAGTGGAGTACCTAGGTATCTTGCCAGGCTTTTGAATTCAATGCAGCGCATGTCAGGGGCAATGCTGTCCACGAAAATAGGTGCTTGTTCTACATAGGTACTTAGGTACTTACCTAGGTAAGTACCTAGGTACCTATGTAGTATCATAGCTTGCCCCACTGAAAATGAACTGCAGGGACCGCCCGCTCTCTGGCAGCAGGCGGCATGTTGGTCAGCACTGTCCACGTGCGGCCGCGACTCACTAACACGCTCGGGGAGCGCGTCTCTCAAAGGAAACAATACAACCGGCAGCCTCTTCTTGTTCCAAGTTGCAATAGGATGGTGATCCTGCCCCACGTCGACATGGTTCGGGCTGGGGCAACCACATGCCATCATGGATGATGTCTTGCCCTTCAAAGTTCGTCAGAACTGCATCGACTTCTACCAGGCAGCTCCGACCAGATACGACCCCCAGCTTCGCAGTGACGTGCGCCCGGACCAGCTCTCCAAAGAGCCCAGAGTCCCCGTCATCCGCATCTTTGGCTCGACCCAGACCGGGCAGAAAGTCTGCGCCCATGTCCACGGCGCGTTCCCATATCTGTACATCGAGTACACCGGCAGCCTCGCACCTGACGAGGTGGGCGCCTACATATACCGCCTGCACCTGTCCATCGACCATGCCCTGGCCGTCAGCTACCGCAAGGACACCTACAGCGACCATGCCAAATATGTCGCCCGCATCACACTCGCCAAGGGGGTGCCCTTCTACGGCTTCCACGTCGGATATCGCTTCTTCCTCAAGATTTACATGTTCAACCCTGTCGTCATGACCAGATTGGCAGATCTCCTGCGTCAGGGCGTCATCATGAAGCGGAAGTTCCAGCCCTATGAGGCGCACCTGCAATACCTGCTACAGTTCATGTGTGACTACAACCTCTACGGCTGTGACTACCTCGAGAGCACAAAAGTGAGGTTCCGCTCCCCAGTGCCCCAGTACAGCGACGACGATGAGAGCTCCCTGCACCTTTGGCACAGTCAATCCGTTTCTCCTGACATCATCACCGAGGACTACACCTTGCCTCGCGTCAGCCACTGCTCCATCGAGGTCGATATCTGTGTCCAAGATATCCTGAATCGGAAGATGGTGAATGAGCGGCGCCTGCACCACGACTTTGTTGAGAAGGACCACCCTGTTCCAGCAAGCTTGAAGTTGGTGCACAGTATGGCTGGTCTGTGGCGAGACGAGACAAAGCGCCGGAAACGAAGGATGCAGATCACAGCCCCAGGCAGCAGTCCATTTCCCCCCGAGGTCCTTGTGTCCATGTCGGCCGACCCCCGTGAGTCCCAGCCCCAGGGATGGGTTCACGAAGCCGAGTACGTGGAGGATCTAAAAAGCCTCGTTGCCGAGGAGGCGCGAGCCAACGAGGACTCAAATCTCTCTTTCGAAAGTTTTGTACAGCCCATACCATTCGAGGAGACTGTAAACACAACTCTGCAGTCTATCGAGGATCTCTTCCCACAAAACCTGCTGCCTGTCTTGGGCCAGTCGTCTCAACTTGCCGAACAAGACCAGAATCCTGCCGACAGCGTGGTAGTTGATGAGAAGGGAATCCTCACAGCAACCCGAGAGGGCGATGCGGATTTGTTTCCGGATGATTCAGACGAGGAGCCACTGCACGAACTGAATCATGACCGGAAGGCTTTTGAACAGGGGGGAGAGACGAAGCCGGAGACAGCTCAAGCTGAAGAGCTGGGTCTTAAAACGACAATCAACAAGTTAGCCACTTACAGGGCTCCCATGGGACGAGCTGGCCGTGGAACCGTGTCGACATCCATCGAACCTGCCGTGCCTAGTCCTTCTGATGGCCTGCCCAAAGGCGTTTGCTTCAGTGGCCAGAGAACCGGCCAGTTTCCCACGCTTCCTGTTACCGAGGACTTAATCGATGCAGCTGACAGGGATGGGCTGATCAGTAAGGATCCCTTGACCCAAGCAGCACAGAAGAGTATAATTATTCCGTTGAAGCGGCAAAATGAGCCAAGCAACCAGTCTTCAACTGCCAAACGACCCAAGGTCGACAAGGGCGTTGCTTCAGCCCTGCCGGGAACATTTCCGCTCCTGAATGGAGGCGGGAAGGCCCTGGACGGTCACCTTAGTACCAACACCCAGCGACATGTGAGATTCAAGTCCTCTCAGACATCAAAGCATATCAGGCATGGTGCCAAGTTTAAGAGACAGGAGTACCAGAGCCTTGGATTCCCTGTTGTCAAGGACCCCAATGATGTGACCACGAAATTGCGCTTGAGCCAGCAGAGTAGCTCACAGAAGAGCGATGACACCAAAGTAGAGAAGAAACCCCACAAGCTTTCCAACTCGGCCGAGGAGGTCTCTCCTGTGACCTCAAGCAGCGAAAGGCTCTCTGTGCGGCTTCCCTCCCCTTACTCTATCAAAACACCGGTATCGATTCCAGCTCAAGCGCAATCGCCTACCATACATTCAGATCCGGGGAGCTCATGGGTCGTTGTATTAGATCACCCACCGCCATTAGCAACTGAAGTTTGTACAACCATGCAAGACAATAAATTGCCAGATGTCATCTACCAAGACGCCTTCTATGGTCAGGAGAAAGACGTGCCGCCGAGAATTCGAGAGTACGCCGGCAGAGAATTTCGTCTCGAAGGAATTTCTTTGCCTTTCCTGCCTGACTTCGACGCTACTGGTCAATCACCTGCTACATATGGCCTGAATGCAGAGGGCAATCTGATCAGCAAGAGACTGAATGGCCTGGGATATCAGAAGAAAAGCCGGCAGTGTTCATTGAGAAGCTGGGAAATTGCCGATCCGCCACCAACGTTTCAAGAAGTCAGTCAGTGGTGGGCTGTCAAGCGAAGAAAAGGGCCTTCGCCTCGAGATCTCCCGAACAAAGATGCTACTTCTGGCCGACCAGTTCCCACACAGAAGCCCTTCCTATCACAAATACTTGGAGCCACGCCGAAGAACAAGCATGGATTCAACTACTCCCAGAACAAGAGAACTACCAGTGTTCAACATGAAGCTCAGTATATGAGTACAATGAGTCTGGAGGTCCATGTCAACACCAGAGGAAGTCTCGTTCCTAACCCAGAAGAAGACGAAATACAATGCATATTCTGGGCCACCAAGTCGGATGGGAGCTCTCCAGACGGCAGCCAGCTTACCGATGGCACTCTGGCTGGTATCGTTGTGGTATCAGAGGATGGTGAAATTGCGCAACGGCTGCGACGGCACACGAAGATAGAGGTCATAGAAGAGCCTTCAGAACTTGACGCCATGGTCCGAATGATCGAAATCGTCAGAACCCACGACCCTGATGTCCTCGCAGGCTTTGAGGTACACGGAAGTTCCTGGGGGTATCTGGTTGAGAGAGCGAGGCATAAGTATGATTATAACCTCTGCGACGAGTTCTCCCGTATGAAGACACAGTCACACGGTCGGTTTGGCAAAGAGGCCGATCGTTGGGGCTTCAACACCACGTCGACCATCCGTGTCACCGGCCGCCATATGATCAATATCTGGAGGGCGATGCGGGGCGAGTTAAATCTTCTCCAGTACACTATGGAAAATATTGTGTGGCATTTGCTGCACCGGCGCATTCCTCATTACTCGTGGCGAACACTGTCGGATTGGTACGCCAACGGTCGTCATAGAGACCTCGGCAAGGTCTTGAGGTATTACACCACAAGGACGAAAATGGACATCCAGATCCTTGAGGAGAACGAGTTGATTCCTAGAACCAGCGAGCAAGCTCGCCTACTGGGTGTGGACTTCTTCTCGGTCTTTTCCAGGGGGTCACAGTTCAAGGTCGAGTCAATTATGTTCCGGATTGCCAAACCCGAGAACTTTGTCCTGGTTTCTCCGAGCAGAAAGCAGGTTGGCGGGCAAAATGCGCTCGAGTCTTTACCGCTGGTAATGGAGCCTCAAAGCGATTTCTACAGCAGTCCCTTACTCGTCTTGGACTTCCAGAGCCTGTACCCCAGCGTCATGATAGCTTACAACCTTTGCTACTCCACCTTCCTCGGACGGATCGTGAATTGGCGAGGCACAAGCAAGATGGGCTTCATCGAATATAGACGTCAAGAGCGGCTGCTCGAGCTACTACAGAGCTACATCAACATCACTCCAAATGGCATGATGTTTGCCAAAGTTGAGATCCGAAAGTCTCTCTTGGCGAAGATGCTCACCGAGATCCTAGAGACCAGGGTCATGGTCAAGAGCGGCATGAAGCAAGACAGGGAGGATAAGACGCTACAACAACTCCTAAACAACAGACAACTGGCCCTCAAGCTCCTGGCAAACGTTACGTATGGATATACGTCCGCTTCGTTCTCTGGGCGCATGCCCTGTTCCGAAATAGCAGACAGTATCGTTCAGACTGGTCGTGAAACCCTCGAGCGCGCCATTGCATATATTCACTCTGTCGAGAGGTGGGGAGCCGAAGTCGTCTATGGCGACACAGACAGCCTCTTCATCTATCTCAAGGGGCGGACCCGCTCTCAGGCATTCGACATAGGCGAGGAGATCGCCAAAGCAGTCACGGACATGAATCCACGTCCCATCAAACTCAAGTTTGAAAAGGTATACCACCCTTGTGTCTTGCTAGCCAAAAAGCGCTATGTCGGGTACAAGTATGAGAGCCGCAACCAGGTCAAGCCCGACTTTGACGCCAAGGGAATCGAGACCGTCCGCCGGGACGGAACGCCCGCCGAGCAAAAGATCGAGGAGAAGGCGCTCAAGATACTATTTGAGACGGCCGACTTGAGCCAAATCAAGAGCTACTTCCAGAGCCAGTGTGACAAGATCATGCGCGGACAGGTATCCGTGCAGGACTTCTGCTTCGCCAAGGAGGTGCGTCTAGGCACGTACTCTGAGAAGGGCCCACCCCCGCCGGGTGCGCTGATTTCCACAAAACGGATGCTTGAGGACGCGAGGGCCGAGCCGCAGTACGGCGAGCGCGTGCCGTATGTGGTGGTCACTGGCGGGCCCGGGGCGCGGCTGATCGACCGATGTGTGGCGCCCGAGGATCTGTTGAACAATGACCACGTTACCCTGGACGCGGAGTACTATATCACCAAGAACTTGATCCCGCCCCTGGAGCGTATTTTCAACCTGGTCGGCGCCAATGTGCGCCAGTGGTTTGATGAAATGCCCAAGGTGCATCGAATCCGGCGCGTCGATGGCCAGGCTGCGGGACCCGCCGTCGCTGCCGCCGCCGCCGCCGCCGCCAGGAAGAAATTTACGCTCGAGAGCTACCTCCACAGCGCGAGTTGTGTCGTCTGCGGGGCCACGGTCAAGGTCAATGATGAGAACGACAACGACAACACCGGCGACGGTGACGGTGACGATGATGCTAAGGAGGTTGCCCTCTGCTGGAAGTGCCGGCATGATCCACCCGGCTCGCTGCTGCAGCTGCAGACAAGGCTGAACGCGGAGGAGAGGGATTACATGGAGGTCGTCAAGGTCTGCCAGAGCTGCGCGGGCCTGTCACCGCTGGACGACGTCCCCTGCGACAGCAAGGACTGCCCTGTGTTTTATACGCGGAGGAAGCAGGAGGCCAGGCTGAGGAGCGAGAGGGGAATTCTTGAACCAGTGATGAGCAGGCTCGCTACTGGGGCCGGCGAGCTGGAATGGTAACACCATACCTTTTCAAGCAAGAGACATCAACGACATCACATGTGTTGGGAATGAAGGCAATGACATTCGTTGATCATGAACCCTTTCATCTGCTACGGTATTGCGAGATTTGCTTCCCGTTCTACGAGACCTCGGAATATTTGATGCCAGTGGACGCCGTCCAAAGTCTATGAAAGCCGCCTCGTCATTCTAGTCGCCTTTTTCTGCGTGCGCTGTCTTTCCTCTGCAGGAGCGCACTTGTTTTCTGCATCGAAGCAGGCTAAGAAGGCCTTCATATTGATAGGTAGCTTTCGTGCCAAACCCAACACATAAGTGAGCCAAGAGGAAAATCTTAAGGCGTGGATTTGATACCGATATGTGGGTGGCAGACCAAGCTAGGGTTTCCAATTACGTGCCAGCCCTGGGGCACTGCACACCCTCAACCAAGTACCGATTTCGTTACACTCAACCACTTTCTTGCTTCCTTTCATATTTGCAAGTCCTATGACAAAACAACCACGGAAGAAACTCGCCTCCTATCTACAGGCACTTAGCACTCCAGCTGTATAGGGGCTAAGAAGAGGGACAACAAGCACCGCAAAGCTCACGCCGCCTCCGCTGCGGGTGGGCGCGCCTGCCAGCCCAATGCTAGGTGCTGGTGCTGAGCCGGGCCACGATGTCCACCACTACGGGGCTCCACTGGCTCGTTGAGTATGCTCCAGAGCCTGTCAATGCCATTGGGGAGGGGGCTTGTCACTTCCCAGTACAAACCTTCCTGGGCTGGGCTGGGCCAGGACAAGGCTGGGCGGGCGGGAGAAGGATGGTGCTGGGCGGGCTGCCCGAACAAGGAGACATAAACCGCCTGAACCACAACTGGAGCAGAACAAGGCTGGGGACCATGACGGCCATGAGGCCCGCGCCTATTTGTGGTGGATGATTGCTCACGGCAGGGTTGGCAGGCTTGCCAGATGAGGTCAACTGGACCGGATCAAGCAACCCAGAGGGAAGCCTAGGGTGGCTCGTCAGCCAACCTACCGCAGGGTTAGAAAGATCAGAATTATTAAATTGTCAGAAAGTCTAGGGTGACTCCTCGGCACCCACCAGCCAACTTAAGCAAGCCGTGAGGGTAGTGTGAGACAGGGGGTGCGTTGTTATTCAATCTGAGTATCGGTTGGTTGTGATGCTTTCATTAGGGGTATACCCCTCGTTTCTTTAGGTGTAAATCCTCGCTCTGTAGATGAACAGATTGTGTGAGGCAGGAACTCCAGCTTCTAATTTCACGACGAGCAAGTTCGCAAGGTACATTTTATGAGATCATCATTCAGCCACCAAGACAAGTGATCTGCCTACTTCCGCTGCTGCAATCACCAACGGAACTACCAACCGCCGCCCATCCTGTCCGTCCTTCTCCTCTTTCTCCTGTCGCAATGCAAGATGCCAAGACAGTCAATTTCGAACCCTGTGATATGATAGAGTAGCAGAGAAAGGATACTCCGTACTGCTTCCACCCCAGCAGCCTGAAACCGATTTACCAAGAAGAAGAGACTCAAGGAAAGCAAGCATGTAAATATAAGCAATGGGTAATCCTCGACAGCACTTTACTCCGCGAACTCCCCTTTCCAAGCTGCCCCATCATCTCCTGTGTGCGTACTGATACAGTGTGGAACAACACTCGTGAGGGCTGTCTCCCGATCATGTCTGTATCTGCAATACAAACACTCAGGCAGCAAGCTCAAGCTGAGGTGGGGAGACCGATGACGAGGTAACGACGAAGCATCAGTAAACAGTTCCACCCGGCGATAGTCGATTGGATAGATGCCAAATGAGGTTTCCATGCCGAGACAAGCAAAAGAAGATTAGGCGTCATCAAGTTCGTAAAGTTTTTTTTTCTCTGAGACGTGACGCTCGTTGTAGGCGATTTGGATGTATTGCAAGTAGTAATAGTCAAGAGCGGCGGGTGCTGAACCGCGGTCGATCTGCAATTTACGGTGCATATGGTCGGTTGACAAAAAAGGAAATATAATCAGTGAGTGACTGAGTCGATGAGGCTGGATTGTGACGAAATCACGATCCAGATCTGATCGTCCCTAATGACGGGCCGGGCGTACTCGCCCGAGATGGATGAGAATGGATGCTGGCGTGGTCGTGACCGTGCTGGGACTGGCGACTGCCCTTTTTGCGTGTTAGGGTGCCAACATCATGCCTCCCTATTTGTACCACGTTAGCGACGCCGATCTGCAAATTTAGGAACGTGGTTGTTGTCTCTGCTTACCATCACAGCAAGACCGGACGTTATCCAGTCTGTCAGCCTCCCTGTCCTGTTTCTCGTACATCAACCTCAGATCCTCCGCGCTATCGTGCACCTCATTGTTGTCGTAGAAACTGCTCTGGTCCTGGGGACCGCTGCGGCTCTTCAAGGTGCTGATTGAGTCTTGGGTAGACTTCCAGTACCCGCTAAGTCGTCCAGTGAAGGACGGCCGCGTGATACTCGCCGAGGATGACGCTTTCTTGTGGTTAGGTGTCAGGGTTGGCACGTCCAGGTTCATCGCAGAGTGGCTGCGAGTCCCCTGGGAGGTGTAAGATGAGATGGAAGGCGGCGCACGAGGTCGCGTGCCAGCTGGTTGGCGGCGTCCGTATTGTGGGTTGAACTCGTCAACATCTTCCCTGGTGATGCCGTTCACCATCTCCTCCGTATCTGCTTGGCCTTCACTATTGGTCCGGAGAAGCAGGTACGAGAGGGCGTTGAACCATGTCTCGTGCCGTTGACCTGTCGTACAGGTGAACTTGATACTTCGACCTGGTGAAATGATGACTAGACTCTTGCGATGCAAGCCAGGAGGCATGGGGTTATCGTCTGTAACGACACGCACTGCCTCGATCGGCACGCTCTTGGCTCGAAGCTCGGACCGGCCAGCATTGCTGGGATCCCGATCACTCCAGTACAAGGTACGGGTGTAAGGATGAACCCAGAAGTAACGGCGGTGTCTCTTCTCAGACATCTCGCCGCGGCCTGCTTTACGAGTGTACTTCCATAGATACTCGCCGATCATGGTTTGGGTGATGGCTTGAATCATGCGAGGGTCGGTGTTGGGGCCAAAGCCGTGTGGGTCCATGCCCATTCCACCAATGTTCTGGAAGCGCGCGTCCACCTCGGAAGCGAAGCTAGAGACGGACGACTTTCGGCTCCTCACGGTGAGCCTAGTGGGTGAGTGGACCTCTACAGTGCCGTGCGCAGAGTCCAACCTGTCCTGGCGAGGCGTCGGTGTGCCCCTGACGCTTGCATTGCCAGACCTGGCTGACATCGGCGTCCTAGGCCGGGTCAACGGGTTCTTGTAGGCAGACGCAGGGAAGAGCGGTGGCCCCATGCTGCCAGCGGTGCCTGTCCTCGCAGCCTCAATGACCTCCTTATGGTTCGGCGGCAGCGGTGGTGCGTTCTTTAGCGAAGGACGAGCGCTGGATGCGCTATCGGGTCTGCGAGACGCGGCGTCCGCAGAAAACTCGGCGCCAGCATCCACGGCTTTGCCCTTAGGTTTGAGGATACTGTTCAGGCTTTCATGGGATTGCTGCACACGGACAGTGCCAGGCATGCCCATGCTGTTCGTACTCACAACAGAATCTGACTTCCGATGGCCGATTTGTACTTGTTGTCTGCTCTTGGCCTGAAGTATCTGGTCAATGACATCGGCTGTCAGCGAGGTCTGAGCACCTGAGTCGGACATCTTAATGTTCTCCTTGTGGGAAAGCTGTGCGTTGCTGTTGACGTTGGTCGAAATCTCCTTGAATGGGAGTTGTGACTCTGGCGTGCTTGTCAAAGGTGTGTCTCTCGGTGACTGTCTGGTCTCGTCCTCGGCGATGAAGGGCGTCTCGGGCTCTTGGCCCTTGCCCCGTCCAAACAGGGATCCGAAGAAACCCTTTGATGGAGTCGACGGCCGATCGTCCTGGTCTCGCGGAATGATGAAGGCATTCCTCTTCGGGCTTCTAGGCGAGACAGGTTCCGTGTCCAACGACTCAATGCGGGAAAAGCCAAGAGGAGTAATGACCTTTCCAAGTGTGCTTGATGGAGCCTCCACAGGTGCGGTGTCTAGTGACTGTATTGATGAGAAGTCCAGCGGAGCACGCGCAAGCTTTCTCGCAACGACCTCGTTCTCGCTGGGTTGAACGGGTGGGACCGGTTCGACTTGCTCGGAGACGATGGACGATACGCTCAGCGGTGGCGGGAGCGTCTTCGGTTCTGATCTTGGCTCAATGTGCTCGGCAGAGATGCTCGAAACAGACAAAGCGGGCCGAGGCTCAGCTCTAGGTTCAACGTTCTCTGCCACGATAGAGGACATCGAGAGAGGAGCCGGTAGTGGTTGAGGCTCAGCTCTCGGCTCTAGGTGCTCTGAAGCTATCGTAGACAGGGAAAGTGAAGGGAGAGGAGTCTCGGGCTCTGCTCGTGGCTCAATGCCTTCAGCCACGAGGTTGGAGAATGACAGATTGGCTGGGGGTGGCTTTGGTGCCTCCACATACTCCACGACTCGGATAGTTCGTGGCTCTGGCTCAGGTACAGCCACAGGCTTGACTTCTGTTGATGCAATTGAGGAGAACACCAGTTCGGCAGGAGGCGGCTTTGGCGCATCCACATACTCCACAACACGGACTTCTCGTGGTTCAGGTTCAGGAACGGCCACGGGTTCGATCTCGGCGGACGAAATCGAGGAGAACGCAAGTTCCGCGGGAGGCATTTTTGGCGCATCTAGGTATTCCATCACGTGCACGACTTGCGGCTCAGGATCAGGCACCGCCACGGGCTTGATCTCTGCTGTGGATATCTGGGAGAACGCCAATTCGGCAGGAGGTGGCCTGGGGGCCTCCACATATTCCACCACACGGACGATCTGTGGTTCAGGCTCCGGCTCCGCCACAGGTTCGACCTCGGCAGCGAGAATTGAGGAGATTGCCAATGTGGGCAATAGCTGTTCTGGCTCTGCCACTGGCGCGACGTCTGTGGCCAAGATCGAGGACAAGGCTAAAGGAGGCAGCGACTTTTCTGGCTCAGCCATTGGCTCAACGTGCTCTGCAACTACCGACGACATGGTCAAAGTAGGAGGAGCAGGAGGTGTTACCTCCGGCTCGGTGATCGGCTCAACATCACAAGCGACCAGGCCGGAAATGCTTAATGTAGGAGGCACCACCTGTGGCTCAGGAATGGGTTCGACGTGCTCGGAGACGACGCCGGAAAGGCCAAGTCTCGGAGGCAGAACAGGCTCGGGCTCGGGCTCCGCCAGGGGCTCGACCTCCTCTGTATGTACATTGGAGAGGGTGAGCCTCTGGGGGGGTGAAAGCGGCGTATCTGTCACCATGCCGCTGTCCACCATCATAGCCCTTGGGATGCTGGGGACAGCTGGCACAGTAGAAGCCAGCGACGCGGTCCTTCCTGTTGCAGTCGACCCTGGTGTGACAGAGCGAAGGCTCCGCTGACCGGGCGTATTCATGACCGAGTCCTCATCGCTACCTTCCAGCTCATTAAGCTCGGCAAACAAGCTCTGTTGCGGCATGCCACTTGGTCCAGAGAAGCTGCCGTTGGGGTTGGTGGCCGGGCTGCTCTGCAGAGAGGGCCCGTCACTCAACTGTCTTGAACGCCGGGACATGGTACTACGGCTGGAACGCAGACGCATCAGATGAGCTGGCGAATTAGGCGTCCTGGTGGGATCCATGTAGTCTCCCTCGTCCTCACTTGCGGACGTCGAGGCAGTGCTCTCATATGAGTACTGCTGGTTAGGCGCAAGGATAGGAGCTCGCTTGAGAGCGTTGGCCCTGAGTGTAGCTCGCTTAGAGGGACTCTCCGTCTCGGTGTCAGAGCTGAAGAAGTCTTCGGCGCCAGTCTGGAAGTCGTCGGTCTCGGTTCCACGTTCATGGGCCGTCTCGAAAGCGTCGGTAGTCTCGTGTGCCTCATTGGCCGTTTCAAACTCATCAGTCTCGGTCGACTGGAGAGCTATGTCAGCCATCCGGGCCGAGTGGCCCAGTGGCGGAGAGCCCTTCTGAGTCGCAACCTCCTCCCACTCGGGGTCTTCCAAATGCAAGATCTCGGCCTTGACGGCGCGCGAAGTGCCTAGCTTGTCGAGCTTCGCTGGCTTCTTGAACTCTCGGGACTTGGCCTCCCTGGCACGTCTGTGGTGGGGCCGCTCACCAGGATCGCTGCGCATCTTCTCGATCTCATCCCTGGCATCCTGTAGCAGTCGCTTGAGCTCAAGCTTCTCGGTCTTCTCTCGGTGAACGTTGGTGCGGAGACTCTGGATCGTGCGCTGTGCGTGCTGGAGAGAGGTCTTCAATGTCTCGCTCTCAAGCATCGAGTGTCTTGGGGTCGGCTTGATAGGCGAGGGAGGAGGAGAGTGCTCCGGGGTCAGGTTTCCAGCGGCGTTCTCCAAGTCATCCTCACTACTTCCAGAGGGCGTGTTTCGCTGGCTGGTGCGTCCTCTCTCGAGCGAGATGGCCTTGGCAAGCTCCTGGTTCTGGCTGGTCAACTCGTCGATCTTGCGCTGCATCTCTGCACGCTCGCCTTCGGCTATGACGGCATTGCGCTTGGCCATACCAAGCTCGATATCATGATGCTTGACAGCGGCTGCATGTTCGTCGGCGAGCTTCGAATGCGCCGCCTTGATCTCGTCGAGTTCCCGTTGGGTTGAGTTCTTGTCGGCCTGGAGGAGCTGCAGCGAGTTGGTCAACTTCTTCTCCCTGTCGGATGCGTCCTTTTGGGCGGCCATGAGCTCCTGGATCTGGGTCTCCAAGTTCCAGTTCTCGTCCTTGTAGCGCATCTCGCTCTCGTCCAGGTTCCTCATCCGCTGCTGGAAGCCCTCCACCTCTCTCTGCAGGCTGGACTTGTCTGACTTGACATCTTTGAGCTCCTCGTCCCTCTCCTGAAGGAGGGCCTGCAAGTTTCGGACCTGGGTGATGAGGGATGTGCTGATTTCGGCGGCGAACTCGATGTCATGGATGCGGTTGGCAGGCTGATTGCGCAGTTTGCGGTTGGGCACGCTGAACTTGCTGGGCGATCCAGTAGCCAGGCTTTCGAACTTTTCGAACTTGGAAGGACTGGCAGATCTCTTGACAATTTGGTCAGCCGCGGCCTCCTTTGCACCGTTCCCACGCCGACTTACCCTGACTCCGCTCTTATCCGGAGTAAAAGGCATGCCCACAGTCACCTCGCTGCTAGGGAGTCGCTGCTTTGGGAGGAAGGCCCTAGCACTCTCTCGCGCAACCTCGTTGAAGTCCTTCTCGATACTCGTGAGCTTCTTCTTGAGATCCGGCGACAGTTCCTCCTCGGCCTCGAGTTGCTCCACCTCCTTGAGGCGCTCCTCGAGTTCCTTCCGCTGCTGGACCAAGGCCGTGCCGAGCTTGCCGGCTTCTTCCATGCGTCTGTCGGTATCGGCAAGGTGTGCCTCTAGTGCGTGCTTCGCGGAGGTGGCTGAAGCACCAGGGCCGAGCGCGAACAAGTGAGAGTCGAAGCCGGCGTGTCGTTGGGTGGCGGGAGTGCCGGTGGAGAGGAAGGGGTCGGGCTCTCCCTGGCCGACGACCAGGGAGGGCTTGTCGGAAGCCATCGAGGTAGCCATTGTGTTCTAGCGACACAAAAAGCAGCACGATGCCTTCGAACCACGAGGCGTTGCTAGACCATGGACAATGGCGTGGTGACTGGAGCGTGGATGTCTGTGGGAGTGGTCGAGTTGTTGAGAATTGCCCGATGGGGAAATTGTCGGTTCCACCCTACAGGAGAGACCCCGCGCGGGATCCAGTCCGCCCAGATGAAGCAGGAAAACACGTGAAGTCCTATTTAATGGATTGCAGCCAAGGATATGAAACAGCACGCGAAGGGGCGGGCCGCGAAGAGAAGACGAGACAGTGAAGAAACGGCGACCGTCGGCGAAAAGACGCACGACTGGTATGAACGAGCGAGCCGCGTTGTTGTGTTATGCTGTGCTGGTGCCGGATGCGTTGTGTCGTGTTGTCGTGTTGACCCGGGCCAGTCGCAGGCTTGGGCTCGCAGGCGGGCTTGGGTGATAAGCGGGAGGGGGGGCACCAGTAGCTTGTCTTTTGTTTTGGCGTCTGGGTGCGGTGCGGCGGTGCCAGAAGTGCACAGGTGGGATGGTTGCAATCAACACAAGGGCCCTCTACCCGGAGATCGAAACGGAGCTGGGACGAGCCGGGATGTGCAGGGTAGCGACAGCGAATTAGGGGCGGTGGCCAAAAAGCGCAGCAGAACAAGACAAGCGGGCAACTTGGCTGCTTGGGTGGCGTTCGAATGGCGGTACGGCACGGCACGGGATCGTATCGTGGGAAGTGAATTGGACGAACTGACTCTGGACGAGTCGATTAGAAAGAATTATAAATCGGTCTTTGGGTCCTGCTGCTGGGAGAAGAGAGAAACACCGCAGTACGGGCCGGTTAAGACGACTGTGGTGAGCAAGACAGGCAGGCGAGCAAGGTCGGTCGCAACGGGCCGCTGCGAGCCACCCAGGTCAGGTACGGAGTAGGCAGGTAGGTACCCAGGCAGGTGGTAGTTGAGAGAGAGAGTGGATGGAGCGGGAGAACAGGGTCCCGGCTCGTGGTGAGAACAACAGCAACAAAGTGCAGTCAAGCAGGCAATGACTTGAAAAGAGGGTCAAGTAAGATAAAAAAAAACAATGATACAGTACAGCCGCAGCCCAGCCCAGCGTGGAAAGCAGAGACTGACTGGCTGGAGCTACGGGGGGGCGGAGGCGAAGGCGAAGGGGAAAGGGAAGGGAAGGGGAGGAAAAGGGGAACGAGGTCGAGGTCGAGGTCGAAGGTTAGGGTAAAGTGTGAAAAAGAAGAAGAAGCCTGGCCTCGACTCGGATCTCTCCCTCTCTCAGTCTCTCTCTCTCTCTCCCAGTCTCTCTCGCGCTCTCACTCTCAACAGTGTCTCGGTGAGGGCAGGGGCGCGGGCGAGGAGCAAAAAGAAGGAGAATAGAGGGAGGGGGCCGCGAGCAAGCGAGAGATTGAGATTGAGGTCAAGGGAACAGACCTCACGACCAGGGCCGGGAGAGCAGGGTGGAGATCTAAACGAAATCGCCTGCTGAGCCTGTGATCCACATTTCCCCATTCACACATTCACACACGCACTGAGACTGAGTTGGATCGGTACACAGGAACCTAGGCTGTACATAACTACCTAGGTACCTAGTTTGAGACGGACGCATGGTGCCCTCTCTCACACGCTCCCGAATCACTGCCGCGGATCAGCGTAAACATTGTCAATGTCCATGTAAACACAGGCCAGGCCGGGCTGGCGGGATGACAAGATGAGTACTGGCCCCCCGGACGTTGAAACACGCGACACAAGCGTTGGCAGTTGGTTTCTCCCGTGCTGCCACTGTCACGACTCCCAGCCCATTCCCACATAACAGTGTGCCGCGCATCGCCTTGACAGTACGGAGTACTCGGGTCTCGCCCATCTGCCACGTGTTGAGACGTGCGCTCAGAACGGCAATCTTCATTTGTGTGGAGCAGGACATATCCGGCAGCTTGCTGGGAGCTCTGTTCTACATAGTAGTCGCATTCAAATTGAGGGGGGCCTTGTGCAGAGAACCTACTTTCCCCTTGCTCAGCTGCGTCTGCTTCGCCATGGCAACCACGCACCTGCGCGTTTACGCCTGCTATGCACGTCTTCAGCCTGCAGGCTGGTGAACGGTCCTCACGAGCAAGTGGCAAGTGCTCACCACACCATCGCCGATGCGCTGGCACGAGGTGAGTCAACGTCTTGTCAATACCAGTAACGCATAACAAGCTATGCTCTGCTCATTTAGGCTGGCCAGGGGCTGGCCAGGGGCTCCCTGTGGATGCTTGAGCTTCGCGTGCAACCGCGACACCAGGCCGGGCACTAATAATAACAGTCTGTCGGGCTAGTTCCAGGACGTCGTCTGCACTCCCCGCCGTGGGATAGAGATGGTAAGAGGCTGGCAAGTTGGGCGTGTAGCGCGATCCCACAGACAGACAGACAGACAGACATTGAACTGCACTCATGTGTGTTAGGCTTGCGTAGGATTAGATAGCCTCAGAGTCAGCCAACACTTTGTGGGCTTGTCCGCCAAGTCCTCACATACTATGTCCAACTACCTAGGTACCTAGGTAACTAGGTACCTACTTGAGGTAGGTATATCCGTGTCTACTACCTAGTATGTAGTACTGCAGCAGTACTAGGCCATCTCAGGCCGTTCGCTGGGTTGGGTGGCTTCCTGGTGCCCCAGAGAACAGGCATTAGTCAGGTCGGACTCGCCCGACGGCCTACCCGACGGCCGCTGCTGACGTCTTGCTCCGGCGGCAGCGATTTCTCAGCCGTTGGGCCGGCCTCGAAATGCAGGCACTTCTAACCCGCGAGACTTTTACCTACGCATCATCCTAAACACTGTGCAAAATTCCCGTGAGCACAGTACCCCACGAATATGGAGGAAAGTCAGGCTTCACCGGCTGAGGCACCAGCGGCGCCAGTCGCCGTCTTCAAGAAGCGAGGCGCAAAGGGCAAGGCAAACTTGAGAAAGAGGCCCGCCACGCCACCACCGGCAAACAGCGACAGCGACGACTCCGACTACACCTCCGCAGAAGATGACCAAGGCAGGAAGGTGAAACGCCGGAAGAAGAACACAGGCGTCGTCACGGCATCTTCGAAAACCAACCCAGCCGCCGACAAGGACGTGTCCGCCTCTGTCTTCAGTGCCGACCGCAGCGTCCCCTTGAGCAATTCCAATGATGCCACGAAACAGAGCAACTGGTACGACGAGGACCAAAAAGATGCGCTGTCAGCCAAGAACCTTCTCGGCTCAACGCGCGCCATGCCAGAGTCCCAGGCCCCAGATGGCACCTACAAGGGCCTGGCGAACCAGACCTCCTTCATCCAGAAGAACCCCAACGCGCCCAAGAAGACGGTCGGACCCATCAAAGCCCCGACGAACATCCGCACGATAACGGTCATGGACTACGCCCCCGACGTTTGTAAAGATTACAAACAAACAGGTTTTTGCGGCTTCGGCGACAACTGCAAGTTCCTCCACAGCAGAGAGGACTACAAACAGTCGTGGGCCTTGGACAAGGAGTGGGAAGACGTCACGAAGGGCAAGAAGAACCTTGGCGGGACGGTGGTGGCCAGCGCGGACCGGAATAACAGGTCGGCGGAGGACGAGGACGACGCGGAGGAGGCGATGCTCGAGAACATCCCCTTTGTCTGTCTTGTATGCCGGGGCCCTTACAAGGCACCCGTCATCACGCGGTGCGGCCACTACTTCTGCGAGCCATGCGCCCTGAATCGGTATCGTCGAGATCCGAGCTGTGCACAGTGCGGCGCGGGCACGAACGGGGTGTTCAACTCTGGCAAGCGGCTACAAAAACTGTTGGATAAGAAGAGGGAGCGAGCCGCAAGGAGGAGACAAGAGGCCATCGAGAGGGGGGAAGAAGTGAGTAGTGACGAGGAAGGCGCAGGCATCTGACACGCGGCTGTAAGGGCTCCCTATGCCCTGGCCGGTCTACAAATGGAGACAGCCAGAACTTCAAGCGAGGCCCCCAGTCTTGGTCTTTCAAACGCGTTTCTCCCAACTACCAGCCAGCCCGGATGCGTGTCTGAGTAGGACGTGTTCACTTGCCTGCTCCAAGCCCTTTCAGCTAGCTGTGTTCGTGCGGGCACAAAGCCGTCGTTGCATAAGTGTATGTCCATCTGGGGGTTTCATCAACGGGAGGTAGCTACGTACCTCCTCCCACTAATACTGAAAAGCCGGGCTGACCCCACCTGAAGCCAGCCAGCCCTGCAGCCCTGCTGAGACAGGAAGACAAGGCCTGCAGGGATGAGCGGCACCTGCCAGCTGCCCCTCGTCCCATGTGATCTCCCGCTCTCCATCTAGTTCGTCATTCATGGCCTCTCCCACTCTTATCAACCTGCCAGGCAGCCTCGCGTGATGACCTAGGAATTAAAGACCACGAGCTCCTAATTTGCTTCCACCTAGAACCGTTTCCTTGCTTCTCCGTCAGCAAACCTAGGCCAGCCCTCTCTCCTCCTACAACTTGCAACTTCCCACCTCTTGCTACCCCTCCTTTCTCCGATTACAACCGAATCTCACGAGTCGAGCCCCCCCGCCGCCGCCGCCGCCGATTGCGCGCAATCCCCACCATGAATATCGGCAACCCACTCTATTCTATCGTCAACAAGCTGCGGGACACCTATACCCCCGTCAGCAACACCTCGACCTTCCGAAAGACCGGCCAGATCACCCCGGAAGAGTTTCTCGCGGCCGGCGACTACCTCGTCTTTAAGTTCCCAACCTGGTCCTGGGCCGACGCCGAGCCGTCGTCGAAGCGCGTCAGCTACCTGCCCGCCGGCAAGCAGTTCCTAGTCACGCGCAACGTTCCCTGCCAGAGGAGGTTAGATGCCGACTTTGCGGGTGATGCCGGGCACGAGGAGGCGCTTGTGAACGACGGCGATGACTTCCAGGGCCAAAAGGGAGGGGATGAGGACGGCTGGCTGCGGACAGGCGGCCTGTCGAGCAGCCAGCCCTTGAAGGTTAAGGAGATCAGGACGGTGGACGACGCTGGCAATGTCGGCGATGGGCAGGTCGTGGAGGATGATGATGACATCCCGGACATGGAGGATGAGGATGATGACGAGGCGATCATCCGGGACACAGAAGGCGATGGCCTCAACAGGTATGTCTGCGCCGAAGAACCGCTGATGCTTATTACGTGCATGGCCACGGGCTTGAGCTGACTGGCGGTTTTCAACAGTGGCCGTCGTACGTATACCCTTTACATCATGTACTCGCCCTACTATCGCACACCAAGGCTCTACATGTCCGGCTACTTGCCCAACAGCCAGCCGCTGCCACCACACCTGATGATGGAGGATATAGTGGGCGATTACAAAGACAAGACTGTGACGCTAGAGGACTTCCCCTTCTTTGCCAACAACATCAAGATGGCCTCGGTACACCCGTGTAAACATGCCTCGGTCATGAAGACGCTCCTGGACCGCGCGGACGCAGCGCTCAAGATCCGGCGGGACAAGCTCAAGGCTGGCACGGCCTCGGGCTCTGTGGACAGGGGCATGGAAGGCCTGGTAGACGAGATCAATAAGCTCGATGTGAGCGGCGCTGCGTCCGACGCAGCGGAGAGCAAGGGGAGCGGGGACGAGTGGGAAGAGGTTGGGCATGACACGGATGACGAGGTCGCCATCCGGGTAGACCAATACCTGGTGGTGTTCCTGAAGGTATGTACCATCGCATTGGAAGACAGCATCTTGGTGACGACCACGCATGCTGACGATGCCCAACAACAGTTCATCGCCAGCGTAACACCAGGCATCGAGCATGACTTCACCATGGGTGTTTAGACATCGGAGCATGACGCTCTCATCTACCTTCGGCGTTGAGAGACGGTATCTCAGGTTACGCGCAGGCAGCTAGCGCTCAGCGCCTCAGCTGTTGGCTTACAGGATTGGCGTCGGCATCAAGAATGTTTCTGGTCACGGGCAGCACGAGGGTTAGGCTTGATTGGAATAGTTACGCCGATTTCTCGGCGCCAACATCGAGGTCTTGCCATCATCTGTGGTAGAGCTAAGATACGTAAGACAAATATGGGACAGTCTTTATCTACTAGAGGTTTCGAAGAAGGCTAGCCTAAAGGAGGCTGACCTGAAGGAGGCTGTCCCAAATGAAGTTATCCCACAGAAGTTTATCCTCTTACAAGCGAGCGTTGCTACGTGACATGCGCGATCTACTCCTTCCTTGAGCACAGTATTGCTTCGACACGAACCCGACTTGCTTCATACGAACTAATCTATCCTATCATTATTATTCGGCTCGCCCTGGACAAGGCCGGGCCGTCTTGCTTGTCCTGAACCTTCCGCTTCAATCGAAGGCGTACTTTGCACATGCCCAGCCTATGACCTCATCAGCCCCGAGTCACAGCTATTTCCGAGTCAGGAGGCGCACATCTTCACGGTTCATTAGGTACACAGGTTCTGCGTTCATCTCGGCTCCATCTTGAGATAAGAGTAATTTCACCGTTCAGGGGGCCGGTCAACGGCAGCCTAAATCCACTAGACCCCACGTGGAAATACCAAAAGTACCTAGGTACACCATGAGGGTTACGTAGCTACCTGCAGGCGCAACCTTGAGAGCTTGCATGACTGCGGGCAGTCAGGAGGGGCAGGTGTCTGCCTGCAGCACCATACTCGCAGCATGGAATGAGATCCCACACCTGAACCAACTCCTCCTTTGTCTGCATCATGTTTTGCGACAAGTTTCAACTTCTTCTGCGTCGCAGCTAACCTCACCGACAATCCTTTCCGCATTTCTTCACAAGCCTCTGTTATTGGGACGACGTGCATGTGCCAGCTGCCCTTGTTCAAAACGAGGCGACTCGCGGCCTCCTTGAAGCATCTCTACTCCACTCGTGTTACAACATCGGCTCCAATCATCTTACACCTCTCAACTGCCAATCGTACTGTCGGATCTTTTGGACGGTGTCCGATGTTCTGACAGTTTCGGCGCTCGTGCCAGCCAGGTAAGTGTAATAATCTTATAAAATCCAACAGCATATTGACTGATTTGCAGAGCGTCTGCCAGTAATCAATTACCATGGGCAGGGCGCGAAAGGCGGGCGCGGAGCGCAAGAAGTCTACAGGGCTGAAACCCTTCAAGTGCACGTACAAAGATTGCAACAAGGCGTATCCCCTTTCCAGCGTGCTCAAAAATCATGTGGATGCTGTTCACCTAGGCATCACGTTCACCTGTCCCGAGCCGGGGTGCGGGAAGGTGTACACGTACAAGGTCAGTCGTGACAATCATGTCAAGACTGCTCACCGAGGGAAAAAGTTCCCCTGTCTCTGTAAGTCATCCCCATCTCATACTGGTTCACAAAACTAACGTCCAAAGATGATGACTGCGACAAGAGCTTCTCCTGTAATTCAGGCCTGTATCAGCACACTCAGACCAAACATGTCGGCAAAATCTGGGAGTGCGTGTTTTCTGATTATGAGAGGAAATTTACCACTTCTTCTGGCCTTTACACACACGTCCAGCATTTCCACAAGGGAATACGCCACAGGTGTAAATATGACGATTGCCCGCAGGTCTATGCCGGAACCAGCGGTTTGAGCTCCCACGTCAACAGTGTGCACATCGGAAACCGTTGGCCCTGTCTCTACGATGACTGTGAGAAAGTCTATACCGCGCTGTCGAGCAGGGAGAGGCACGACCGGGTCATCCACCAGGGGATCAAGTTCCCCTGCAATGTGGATAAATGCAATAAAACATTCTCCTACTGGCAGGCTTGGGACGATCATCGACATTCCGAGCATCTTGACCTATTGTGGGACTGCCCGTGGGACCAGTGCGAGCGGCAATTTTGTTCAATCGGAGGCCTGAGGTACCACACCGACAGCGAGCACGAAGGGATCAGGTTCACCTGCCCAGCCTGCGGCAGAATATTCTCGGTTGAACACAATTGGAGTGCACACGTCAAGTCCGTCCATGGCACAGCCGAGGATGCTGCTGAGCTGAGCGAGAAAAAGGACCGAATCCGGCAGGCTTTGGCAGAAAAGGAGGCCCAGGGTCTTTGCAGCGCCACCAAGAAGTGCAAGAATGCAAAGGCCGGGAGTGGATTCCACTGCCAGTTTCACGAGAAAACCGTCGATTCCGTCGCCAAGGCGTTAGAGGAAAAGGCAGAAGAAGGTCGACTGCAGCCGAGCTCCATTCAAAAACCTGACGAATTTGCCCTTCTCCTGCAGCGGGAGAAAGTCTACTTGGATCCCGAGGCGGTAGAGGCTCTACAGATGCTCGCACAGGGGTTGGACGACGTCCAAACTGCTGCCAGATCATATGTCATGGATACCGAATTCTGCTGGGCCGGCGAGTATGTGGCCATGGACATCACCATTGAGCGATTGAAGGATGGTAAAGAGATCGTCTCAAGCCGCATAGACTTGGAAATGGGCATTGAGGAACTTGAGGACCGCTGTGCAATCGGAAGGTCACGAACTGGCATTCGAAAGGTCTACGGCAAATCCGACAGAACCTAGGGGCTGCTGCCGGATCAGATCGCGACTATCCTGAAGGAAGCTGGGATCTCCGCAGATTCAATCATCTAGGAGTGGTCGTCATCTGGTTGTGATCTTGCAGCACTCCGAAATCTGGTGGGAAAGGAGGGCAAGGTGACAGATGGGAATCATGTTGAGCTGCCAGATCAGTGGCGCAGCGCATTATTACTGGCAAAGAAGGTGTTTCCGGGTATATTTTGCTATCGATTGGGGGTCATTTTTGGGCTTGCTTTTCCAGACGTTCATGTCAAACCGCATATGAGCAAGGAGGACACAATGATGTTGAGGGATATCTGTCGTCTTCTTGCTTCGGTCAAAGCTGAAGAAGCGTAACGGGATCATGGGAAAATCGGCGGAAGCAGAATCGGCGGGAGTTCTGGCGTTTCTGGAAGTGAGAATTGCTGGATTCAAGAGGCACAAATCATGTCAGGGCGGAATATTGCTAATATTGGGCCGTATCGGCGGGATTTCCTGGCACTTGGGGGAGTTATATTGCTGGTTATAGGAGGCATTCTGTTACATCTGGCAGCCATTGCTAGAAAGGTTCACAGCGGCCTGAAATAAGATTAAGAGTGACTTTTACCAGCCCTTTAATGGTGAAGTTGCATTGCAGGTGGATTCTTGGAGAAGTGCCAGACGGGGACAGCCAGGGGTAGCTGCCTGGCGGATTACATAACCGTCCCTCCATCTACTGTGCATCAGCGCTGACGCAACACCACGGACTTAAGCTCACCAACTCCTCCTCACCACCTCGACCTCTCCTAATATTATTCCTCCAAGCCGCGAGAATGGCATCGCGCACTTTCGACCACGTCAAGTAAGCTGAAATGATACGCAGATTTTTGAAGAACACCAGATTGACCGCGCGAAAGGGGGGAGCAAGAACTCGCCATCAACATCAAGAAGGCAACCAACCCAGACGAAACGGCTCCGAAGAGAAAACACGTACGCAGTGTCATAATTGCAACATGGGACCATAAAAGGCAAGAAGCTGTTCTCATGGCTGTTACAGGATGTGTTGCTGACGGACGGTAGTGGACAATCGTTCTGGGCGGGGTTGAAAGTGTACGTATACCTCCTGTTTACCCGAGAGACGACGAGACAAATACAATCGATACTACGAGGAAGAACTCCCACGACAAAGAACGTATACGCGGATCGGACGAAGGCGTAGTATGCAAAGTGCGCAAAAGGCAGGCGAGGCTCCAGCGCTTCATGGCCCTCACAGCGTGGTGCGCTGATTACAAGATGCAGGAAGCCACAGTGAAGAGATGGTTGGCCTTCCGAGTCGGATGATACAGCATGTCGGAAGAGCGGAATTCATGACCGCGGCCGCGGATGATATGTGGCGATTGCACTTGTCCGGGGAAAATGCGCTGACATACTTGTGCAGACAGCCGATCCTTGCCGATGAGGTCCAAACCTTTAAAGCCCTGATTATGGTCCACAAGGTCATCCAAGAAGGCCACCCAAACGTAATCAGAGAAGCTCTGGCCAATCGAGGCTGGATCGAAAGCCTCAACAGGGGTATGGGCGGAGAGGGCATGCGTGGATACGGTGCTCTTATCAAAGAATATGTATACTTCCTGCTCGCAAAGCTCTCGTTTCACCAGCAGCATCCCGAGTTCAACGGAACTTTCGAGTACGAGGAGTACCTGAGCTTGAAGTCGACCACGGATCCGAACGAGGGCTATGAGACAATCTCAGACCTCGCGACTCTTCAAGATAAGATAGATCAGTTCCAGAAGCTGATCTTCTCCCATTTCCGCAACGTGGGCAGCAACGAGTGCAGGATATCAGCCCTGGTGCCGCTGGTGGCAGAAAGCTATGGAATCTACAAGTTTCTCACTAGCATGCTGAGAGCCATGCACTCGATGACTGGCGACGTCGAAGTGTTGGAGCCGCTTCGCTCCCGCTACGACGCCCAGCATTATCGCTTGGTCAAATTCTACTATGAATGCTCAAACCTTCGGTACCTCACGAGCCTGATCACAATCCCAAAGCTGCCTCAGGACCCTCCAAACCTGCTTGCTGAGGACGAGAATGCGCCAAAGCTGCCTGCAAGGCCAAAGCAGGAGATAGAGCGAGCACCAACACCCCCGCGGCAGCCCAAGAACGAAGAGCCGGACGAAATCTCAGAGTTCTGGAAGAACGAGTTGGAACGTCAAAACAGAGAATACGAGGAACAGCAGCGGGTTCTGGAGGCCCAGCAGCTCTCGCAACAGCAAGCCCAGCAGCAGGCCGCGCTGCAGGCACAGCGCGACTTCGAAGAGCAGCAGCGACGACTGGCTGAGCAACAGCGCATGCAACAAGAGGCTCTGATGGCCCAGCAGGCACAGTCTTTTACGCAGGGACGCCTTGCAGAGCTGGAGCAGGAGAACTTGAGGGCAAGGGCTCAGTACGAACAGGACCAGCTGATGCTGCAGCAGTATGACCAGCGGGTCAAGTCTCTTGAGGGAGAGTTGCAGCAGTTACAGAACAACTACGGGCAGCAAATTTCGAGCAAGGACGACCAGATTCGCGCTCTGCAGGAGCAGGTGAATACATGGCGTACGAAATACGAGGCGCTGGCGAAGCTGTACTCGCAGCTGCGACATGAACATCTTGACCTTCTGCAGAAGTTCAAGTCTGTACAGCTGAAGGCAGCATCGGCTCAGGAAGCCATTGACCGACGCGAGAAGCTGGAGCGCGAGATCAAGACCAAGAACCTGGAGCTGGCAGACATGATCCGTGAGAGAGACCGGGCGCTACACGAGAAGGACCGACTCACGGGGTCGAACAAGGACGAGCTCGAGAAGCTGAAGCGAGAACTCCGCATGGCGCATGACCGCGCGGACAACCTCGAGCGGAGCAAGGGCAATGAGCTCTCTACAATGCTGGCCAAGTACAATCGAGAGATGGCGGACCTCGAAGAGGCGCTGCGGCTCAAGAACCGTGCTCTTGAGGAGGCACAAGCCAGTGCTCGAAATGGCAGCTCGGACCTGGAGCTGCTGCTGCGCGACAAGGAGGAGGAGCTTGAGGTCTACAAGGCTGGCATGGACCAGGCACTGGTCGAACTCAACGAGCTCAAGCAGAACCAGGGAGATACAGACCAGGTCCTCGATGGGCAGTTAGATGCCCTCATCATGGCCAACCTGGACAAGATCAACGAGATCATCGACTCGGTGCTCCAATCCGGTGTCGCTCGCGTGGATGACGCGACATACGAGCTGGACTCCACCATGCAGGCAGGCAACCAGAACGCGTCACCGTCGTACGTGCTTTCTCAGATCGAGAAGTCATCCTCGAGCGCCATGGAGTTCGCGACGGCGTTCAACAACTTCATTGCCGATGGACCTAATGCTGCCTACGGCGATCTGATCAAGGCGATCAACGTGTACGCCAGCTCAATCGCCGATGTGTGCAACAACACAAAGGGTCTCACCCGCCTGGCCACGGATGAGAAGAAGGGCGAGTCGTTGATAAATGGTGCACGTCAGTCTGCATTGTCGACGGTCAAGTTCTTCCGTGGCTTGCAGAGCTTCCGACTGGAGGGCATGGACCCTATCCAGAAGACCGATGTTGTGATCAATAACAACAACGATGTCCAGATGAACCTGCAGAAGCTGAACAAACTGGTCGAGACGTTTGCTCCCGGGTTCGGCAAGCTTGCGAACAAGGGTGATCTTGGCGACCTCGTCGAGTCGGAACTGAGCAAGGCCGCCGACGCGATCGCCGCGGCGGCTGCCCGGCTGACGAAGCTGAAGAACAAGCCTCGTGATGGCTACTCGTCATATGAACTCAAGGTGCACGATTCCATCCTGGATGCTGCGCTGGCGATCACGGACGCCATCACGCGCTTGATCAAGGCGGCGACCGCAACGCAGGAGGAGATTGTGCAGGCTGGACGTGGCTCATCCTCGCGGACGGCTTTCTACAAAAAGAACAACCGGTGGACGGAGGGACTCATCTCGGCTGCCAAGGCCGTGGCCACATCGACCAACCGGCTGATCGAGACGGCTGACGGCGTTATCTCGGGACGCAACAGCCCAGAGCAGCTGATCGTGGCGTCCAACGATGTGGCAGCTTCGACGGCGCAGCTAGTGGCTGCATCGCGTGTCAAGGCTGGGTTCATGAGCAAGTCCCAGGAGAGCTTGGAGGAGGCCAGCAAAGCTGTGGGAGCGGCGTGCCGCAGCCTGGTACGACAGGTGCAGGCCATGATCAAGGACCGCCAGGGCGAGGATGAGCAGGTTGACTACAGCAAGCTGGGGGCCCACGAGTTCAAGGTGCGGGAGATGGAGCAGCAGGTAAGCTTTGGTTCCCTCGTTCCTCGTCTTTTTCCGTTTTCCTTCTTCTCTTTTCCCTCTTGTCTTTTGGGTAGCAGGTTAAGCAAGGATCTTACTGACGTGTCTATCCTCACAGGTCGAGATCCTACAGCTCGAGAACTCTCTGTCAGCTGCCCGACACCGGCTGGGAGAGATGCGCAAGATCTCATACCAGGAGGAATAAGGTACGGGCAAGGGGGGCTAAGGGACAGGGCAGGGGGGCTTTGTCCAAGCCGGAAGTTGAGATCGGCGCACAGCCGAGCCATGAGTATTCCCGCCGTCAAGGCCAGGTTGCATCCAAGATAAATTAGAATGAATGATTGAGGCATCACATTGCATTGCACGTGCGTTAATGATGGGTCACCAGCTGGCCAGTTGACAGGAACATGCCCTTGGAGGACGTCTTAGGCGTCGAGCGCAAGCGGGGCCCATTCCGGATGCATGAAGCTAGCGAGCAGGCCAGGAGTGGCACGGGCTAAAACAAGGGGACGGGCGGGCGGGAGCGGAACGAACGGCGGCTACTGGTCAAAGGTGTCAGCGCCGGTCTGGTCTGATATACGAGCAGCTCCCGTGACTGCTCAAACCGGCAAGCAAAGCAAATGGCACGGGGGCCGTTCCCAGAGGGCTAGCTAGCTTCGTTGACTGTGGCGTCGGAAGGGTGGGTGCATCAAGGGTTGCTGTGCTGACGCCCCCCTGTGCGACCTTCTGCCGGGGTGCAGGCTGTGACAGGCTGGACGACCCCCGCCCCAGCTCAAGGAGCTCGCCCACCAAGGTGAGGAGGGGAGCTCCGCCAGGCCTGGGCCAAAATCACCAACAGGGCTCAGGGGCGGGGCAAAACCCACACAAGTCCCAATCCAATGTCCTGCCTCTCCAGCTGTGCACGCACCCGCCCATGTGCCACTCGTTGCCTCCGTGTCCACCACGCCAGGCACAGGAATCAGGCAGTTCGGGATGGTTTTAGAGTTTGCGGGGGCCGTCGATCCTGGGCTGCGGAGCCACATAGCGTCGCACTGGTCCCCACACAGTCCCGCAGTGCGGCTCTGCTGCACCCCGGCCTGTCAGGCTAAATCTCGGGCCAAGATCGACGCTCATGCATCTTGGCGCCCGGCCGGTTTTGACTACACACCATCCTTTGTTGCTGCAATTGTGGCTGCTCACGCGAGAGATGTACTTTTGTTGTGTGTGCTGCTTTTGGCCAGTGGCCCCCGGGACACGTGTGCTTGTTGAGGAGGGGCTACCAAGGGAGGGAGTGTGGCGCCGGTCACCAAGCAAGAGGGGGATGCGCTCATTTCATAACTGTGAGTCAATTGAATTCCATACGGTCCAAGCTGCGAGCTGGTGATGCTCGAGCTGTGACTCCATTGCTATGTACCAAGAAGAATGTGCACTTTTCTGCGGCTACTTTCAATTCTGTGCGGACCCTCCTGTTCTGTGACCTGGGTCTCGTTTTGGTGTCCTACACTGCCGCCTCCCAAATCCTCCACTGGGTATGGACCACGTAGACGTCCTTGTACCAATTGCCCTTCTCCCCCTCTCTCGCTCTCCCTTTTTTTTTTTTTTTTTGTAATTGACTGTTGTGACTGAACGGCCCAAGGCAGGTTGGATGTTCCACGTCTTGATGGCAAGCTGCCTTACCGAACGTCCACTGTCCAAGACTGCCATCGTCGACACCCGGTGTGATCGGCCGCAGGCGACTCCAAACGCTCTTGTGTGTCCATCACTGCGCGATCTTCAGGAAGCTTGTCTGTTCACTAGAGGTTCCAATAGTTGTTTGCATCGAGGAAGTCGACGTTGAGTGGGTAGTCCTCTGGGTCCTCTGGCTCATTGTCTGCGAGATTTTGTTAGAAAGTTATATCGAGAAAGGCTGAACACACTCACCGATCATGTGATCCTCTTCAGTGACTTGTTCATTGAATGCATCCCAATGAGCAGGGAGTCCCATGTCGAGCACCTGAGAGGTGTTCGCCACCGCGTTGGTATCAAGAGTGTCAATGAGGGGGTCAAGAAGGTGATCGGTGGTGGTGTCGAACTCGAATCCGCCAACTGTGTGATCTCCGGTCATGCTGAGTAGACTGTCATCAATGCGCAGACTGCCTAGGACTGAGGTTTCGACAATGCCAACACCTCTCTCGAAAAAGTTGTGAGTCATATCTACCTGACTGAACCAGGAGCCAACTTGGACGGGGACATTGTTGATCGCATCGTTGAAGTTGAGGTCGACCTCTCCAAAAGGCACATTTCTGTCAGTGACAGTCATGTAGTGTCTCTGGCTCTTCACCAATTTGTCCAAGAGATCCACGGGATTCTTGACTGGAAGGCCGCGTTTGATGACACCGAACAGAAGCTCAACATCTGTGAGCTGTCGGGGCTCAGGAATCGCAGTTGGCGCGCGGTTCTGCTGCAGGGTGACCGATCCAGTGTTGTCTCTGACCAGGGCCATGTTGTAGGTGCTGAGCCAGAGGTCAGGCTGGGTCAAACCAGTCTCCTCAATGGCGGCAACGGCGAACTGAATGGTAGAATCGAATCCTCCACTGTAGTCTCGAATGTGAGTCCAAACCTTTGCGATCAAGGTCCAGATCGGCTTGTGGGGCTCCTTCTCCCACATTTCTCGAATGAATGGGCTTCGGTCGGCTTGGGGGTATTCATGGAAGACGTGCTGCATGGTCACTAATTGACGGTCAGTGAAAGAAAACTTCTAGAGCATTGATTTGGGGAGACCGACAGCGAAAAAACATGTAGCCATTAACGGACTTCTTCTTCTTGACCATCGGACTGAGAGAATTGGTGTCCTTGCTTGTAGAGGTAGACTTCTTCTCCACTCTGCCATCCTTGATCCTGCGTCTCTCCTCGAGAATAGAGCGGACCTTGGCCTGTCCGCCAAGGAGAGCTCTCGCAGCGGCATTCATGGCGAGAGGCTGTTGATCGCCGCGGGTAGGTAGTCAGATGGTGAGAGTCTCTGCAGAACTAGAATTGTGATTGAGATTGGTGGAGAGGGATCTTGTGAAAGGTTAAAAGGCAGGTTCTTCAAGATCAATGTTGTGGGATGGGGGGAAGGTTGAGCTGGAAAAGGTTTGGAGAGAGAGAAAGGAAAGTTCAGAAGGGGGGGGGAGGGTTTAAGTACTTGCGAGATGACACAAAGTGAGAAACGGCATCGAAAACGCAGCCAATCACAATACTAAATCACAATACCAACCACAACATTTGCGGATTGCCCAATTGGAAGTTCAGATGAATTTTGAAGGTATTGTCCAATTTTTGCTTGCTATTGTCCGCTCCTAAGCTCCCCACAGCTGCCAGTCACGGCCCCGCTAAACAAACACCCATTAAACCACTCTGCCCTGGCAACCACCATCAATCTTCTACGCCTGCATGCTGCAGCTCTCAAGTCCAATTCCTGCCACAAAAAGTGAAGATCTTCTTTTGCCAATCTACAATTCACGACAGGTCACCGCCCTCAAGCAGTGCTACATGGCCAAGATGAACATCGAGAACCATACGAAAGTCTACCTCAAAGATGGCGTCGTCGTCGACGCTAGCAGGGAGGCTGCCAAGGCGTATCGCAACGAGATGAACTTGCGAATGGCAGGTAACAAGTACTTCTCCCAGATTCTCCTCCAGAGAGGAGAAATTCAGAGGGATCAGCGTCTCCTGAGGGTTGGCCGACTGCTGGACCAGCTCAATGAACAGGAGAAAGCGCTTTTAGACTTGACCGACGAACTTTTCGACGTCTGCGACAGAGAGAAGCTGCGATTCGTTGCCATCCATCCTCATCTGGAGCGTCTTGTGGACGACATTCGCTACGCTGCAGACTTTGTGGATGAGTACGCAAGAAGGATGGGTCTGTGGCTGGACCACCACCTTAAAAACGGTATCGGACTGGCCGATTCTGCCAGATCTTCTCTTGAAGCCAGCATCTCAAGGCAGCGAGACATGACTTGTGGCCTCGTGTGGGCTGCGGCTATGGCCAACCCTGCTGGAAGGATTCGACCTCCCGGTCCAGGTAAACTGCCCTACGGTGTACGAGCCTCCCTCTTGAATGCTCACATTGCTTGCTCCTCTTATTGATATTGATCTAGCCTGCCGGTGCTCCTAATCCTGAGGAACAGGAGCCTCGGAAATACATCGACGGAAAACCTGTCCCAGTGTTGGAGCAGAACTACTACAGCGGCGAGCTCGAACCGATCAATTGGAGGTACGACCCAGACATTCGAATGCCAAGTCAATATTGCAAGTTTCTGCGGTTCAACGGCCCATACTTTTCCCCCACCAAGCCTCACCCACGGGAGCTGAACACTTTTTACCTGCCTGAGTCTCTGATCAACATCATTCGCTATTACACGAGAAAATACGACCACGCCGAGAGCAACCTCAGGGCCAGGGGTCTCATTCCTACCCGAACCGAGGAAGAGGAGGCGGAGAATCAGTTCCAGCAGAAGGTTGTGCACCTTACCTCAGATATCATGTCGATGCTAATACTCTCAACAGTTGCTCGGAATGCGATTGGCAGCTTCGACTGGAGAGGACTACGACATGTTCTCAATTGTGGTATGTTTGAGAAGCTGATTTGCTCTACGTGAGATCCTTGACTAAATCTTGTCAGAACCAATTGGATCACTCCGAGACGGTCGAGAACGCAACTGAGCCGTATGTGTGGGTGAAGCCAGGAACTACAGAGAGACAAGTCAATTTTGGAAGTGGAACGGGAAAGTTCAAGCCGGAGGATTTCAACCGCGCAATGAAGGTTGAGGCGACCGGTGTGCAGCACCACGTTCCCACAGTGGACCATGGCAAATGGGTGGAGATGGACAGGAAGATCGAGCATATGGAAGCACCTTGAAGATCAGATCACGGTCGCAGGCCATCAAGTTGAATGACTGAGACTAACAGAAAGAGGGAAAGTAGATTTGGCTGAGCAAAAAGATTGAAGCCATGCTCAGGTTCTGAATCACTCGAGATATGATAGTCACAGGGGCTCCGAATTCAAACCTGCCCATTGATTACAGTAGTTGCATGCGCAGTTGTAAAAGCAATTGAGTCATTTCTGAACTGTCGCTGGTACAGAACGACACCCGGGTCTTGAGTCTTCCAACATCAGAGCCTTAAAACAGCCCAGAGTCCCACCTTACAAGCCTGCAGTGGACTTAATTCGAACGTTTTCACTGTCCAATGTTTACACCTGCCTGATCGCTCTTGTAGCCTTCTGGACTCATCTCTTTCCGCAAATTTCCGCACTTTTGCACGTCTACCTACCCAGTTCCACCTCTCCACCTTTCAATACCTCCATCTTTCAATCCGTTTTTCAAATTTTCTACTGGCGATCTCGTCAGCCTACCTCCTGTCCAAGTCGTCCTCATCTTCCATAAGACCGATTCATACACCAAATTAAACGCCAGCATTCACAATGGCTGACATGAGGCCTAGACTCGTCTTCGTCCGCGACGGTCTAGGAAAGATGGCCACCTACCTGCACGAATGCGTTGGACAGGATGCCATTGTATCGCACTTCGGTCCAAGATACCAGTAAGCCATTTTGAAGTGCTCTAAACTGCAAATCTGATCAAGGCTTCCCAGGGTTGTTTTCATTCGTGGAGAGCCCTGCACCATCTTCTTCGACAAGGCGATACGCTACTTCATCATCGCACCTCTTATCAGCAAGCAGGAGTTTGCCGACAGACCTGGTCGATACGACCACATTATCGATCTTGACTGGATGACAGCCGATAATTACGCTGCCCCTGCTGCAGCAAAGGAGCAGGTGAAGGGTGATGACAAAGCAGAGGAAGTCACTGAGCCAAACTCCGATGACATGGATCCTGATGAAGGAGAACCCGCTGCAAGTGGCAGTCCTCGGGGCGCTGAAAAGATTCCTCGTCCTCCCAATTCGTGGATCCTTTTTCGAAGAGACAAATCGAAGCAGCTGCGCGAGGCGAACCCCAATATTTCCACTGGTGAAGTCTCCACCGAGGCAGCTCGTCAGTGGAAGGCATTGTCCGCGGAGGAGAAGGGCTTCTACCAGGAGATGGCCCGGCAAGCAGCTGAGGATCACAAGACTCAGTACCCTGATTATGTCTACAGGCCTGCAAGGAAGTAAGCCCTGCGCCATACTGTTCCCGTGAGTATTGCTGCCTCAACAGATTGAGAGGCAAGCGACTACGGAACGACGAGTGGGAGATGATCCGCTCAACACATACGACATACTTGCAGTTTCTTTCACCCGCGTTCATCATTTTACAGGGTCTCAGCAGTGCGTTCAGAATATGCCCGCATAGGAGGCGCAAGATTCAAAGGGAAGACTGACAAGAGAAAGGTCTTGATCCATAACCCGCAATTGGTACACAACGACGAGCGGCGGACGAAGATGCGCAGCAGCACCGCGTCTTCACCTGGAAAGGTGTCAGGAAGGTTCACTTAGTACCAGGGGTGTTCGACTCAGAGTACGGTTTGTACCTTGCTCTTAAGTGAGCGAGCGTACGTCCTGGGGCGCTATTGCTCTTAAATGAGGGAGGCGGCATCTTCAACCAGGGAAACCTGAAACGACAGAGACACACGACCACCATCACCTAGTACAATCGAGAGACGAAAGGATTGGACGGGGCGGGATGGATCTTTACTTTGCGTGGAGCCTGGAGAACGGCGTCGGTGAGGGCGTCAGAACGGACTTTCACCATGGGCAGAGCAACGCCCCCGGTCTCATCGTCACTCAAAGGTTTTTCATTTTTCGCATGTCTCGTTGCTAGAGCATGCCGTTTTGTTTTTCATTGACATCGGAAGCGCATGGAAACTCCACTAATGCATGGAATTCGAGTACGGCCTTGGCAAAGGTTTTGGAAAGGATTTCACCATGGATACGGAGCAAGCACTTTCCCCGCTCATCATCACCCCAAAAGTTTGGCATGTCTCATCCGTCGAGCATGCAGTTTTGATTTCTTTCATCGACACTGGAAGGGGGTGGAAGCTCCACTAATGCATGGATTTGAGTACGGCGTTGGTGAGGGCGTCGGAAAGGAGGTCACCATGGAAAAGGACGACATACCCCCTTAATTACCAGCAAATAGTTCAGTACGCCTCTTCAATTGGGCGTCCTTTGACACGGATTCAAGCTTGGGTTTCCACCAGCTCGGCTACCTAGTCGTCATGATCCAGATAGCACTGTACCAAATCACCAAAAAGGGGGGGTTTAGACCACCAAAGTAATTTTGTGTGTGCAATTGTGAGTCGCGTGCGGCTGATTGTGTGTGCCCTAAGCTACGCCACTGTGACCGCCACTGCTGCTGCTGCTGCTGTACTGCGATGCGGCTCCCTCCTTTGAATCTGAGCTGCGTGCCCAGATGAACGTGGCACATCGCCACTGGCTATTCTTCTCCTTCTGCCCGGACGGGCCCAGCGGCCGTGAGCACATGTAGAACGTGCGGCCACAATTGATCCCAGCCTTCTTCACGACATAGCTGATGCAAGGCTCGCCGTGCTCGCATAGCGGCGCGACCTTCTTCTTCCCCAGTAGCTTTGACCACGACTCTTTAGACTCTACAGGGTCAAACACCCTCTTGCTGTCTGCCTCTGCCTCGTTCGCAAGCCCCTCTGCCTCCTCGTCGAGGGCGACAGCACCATCCGTCTGTGGCTTAGTACTCGAAGCACACGATGCATTCTCTTGCTCAGTCGGCTCCTCAGCAGTGGCCTTCGGCACAGGGGTCTTGGGTTTGAAGAAGCCCATCAGGCTGCTTTGCGCCGGACCGGGTTTGCCTGTGTCTTTTCCCGGCCCCGGCCTCGCTTTCTTCTGGGGCCGACTTGATGTTCCCGATGAGCTACGCTTGGGGAGAGTCGCGTGGGATGTGATCTTGCTTGGGGACTTCGATTCCGCCGTCGACGAGGCTGCAGGCCGGTTGGGCGTGGCGGCAGGGGACGGCGAGGGTGGAACGTTGGAGGTCTGCGTACTGGGTAGCTCATCGCAGACGTCTGCGGACTCTGTGCTAGTAGGAATCGTCGAGCTTTGTTTCACGGTGGGTAGAGAGAGCTTCTTGGTGAACATATCCTTGATGCTTCGGCGGCGGTCGAACTCATTTAGGAGCTTGGCAGATTGTGGTAGCAGGTCCTTGGCGTCCCAGTCCCTGAGTCGTTCGCCATCTTTGTACATGCCTTTGGGGTTCATGATGTCCAGGATGTGGACATCCTCGCCTCCCATCCTGACGCAGTCGGCCATGGTCGCGTAGACAGGACAGTGGTCGGATCCCAGGAGACCTTCTTGAATGTTGGCGTCCTCGAACCAATCCTTCATGCCAGCTGTACATAGAATGTAGTCGATTCGGCTGCCAAAGTTGCCAGGTCGTGCATTCTTCTTGGTCTCCCAGCAGGTGAACATTCCTTGTCGGCTTGGGTGGAAGCAGCGTGTGGTATCCCACATTACGGGATTCTCTCGTCCCTCGTCCCTGTCTCCGATGACTTGACCCTCAAAGATGAGCTGGTTGAAAAAGCGCCGTGACGGCGATGAGAGAAAATCCTCGAACGTCATGCCTTCCTTCCGCAGGTGCTCTGCGCAACCAGCGGTGTCGATGTCTGTACGTATGATATTGAGATCACCCGCGAGGACGACCCGCTTGCCCATCGCAACAAGGTTGCGTATCCTCGCGTCGAGGGCACTCATGAAGCCCATACGAAAATCAGTTCTGGTGTCGTCCCTGGTCGCAGGCACGTAGACACCGATGAGTACAAAGGCCGGGAACTCGAGGAGCACGCATCGCCCCTCGGAGTCGAGCATCACCTCATCGACCGGCCCAATTAGTTGGTCCTCGCGAGGGTAGCCGCCGATCTGCTGCTCAGTTGGAAGGTCTCGAAACATGGTTGTTGACTTTGGGGGGCAGAGCACTCCGGTCAGACCCTCCTCGGCTCGGATGGGACAACACTTTGAGTTCCTCGTGTATATTGCAACTCCCGAGTAGCCTGAGGGAAGGTTAGAGAGGGCCACCTGCAACAAGAGGGCCGAACTGAAAGCACCTGCCTTTCTTGTCCTTTGGCAAGCTGAAGAAGACGTCCCAGCCGGACACCAGTACCATGTCATCCGTCAAATCCTTCCGCTGGATCTTGGCCTCTTGCATGATGACGATGTCCGCCTCCAGGATGTCGAACATGGCCTAGGGGCTGTCAGCATTCATCATCCTCGCTGTGATCAAGGATGGAGCGCTTGCCTGGAAAGACCGCTTTTGATTCCACGGCGCATACCCGAACGGGTTCCTGAAAGAACGAGTATAAGCACATGACCGACGATTCTGCATGACTCTCGGGATGTCCTAGGCAGACAGCTGGTGGGCGTCCTGTAGCCCAACTCAGCCCTGGCATACCTGATGCCGTTCACTGCACCGCCGGTCAGTCACGGGCCCAGGACCAACGCGGGAAGACATGGTTCGGAGCTCACCGTTCCAAGTAGTAATTCGCAGACCCATCTTTGCGGCTCTCCCAAGCTGTCGCGTCGACGGACCGGGAGTGCGCAGACGCTAGCCTCAGTCTCCTGTTGTCTCGCCGTGCGAGGGTTTGCAGTTCTCGGGGTGAAATGCAAACATTCCCAAGGTAGAGCAGACAGAGAGCTGCAGCAGGGCAGCAGGGCAGAAGGGAACAATAAGGCACTACACAATTATCACTCCGATGCTTGGACTTTTGCGACTTCGGCCCTCGATATCCCCCAGCATGCTTCAATGCGCCAGCCCAGCTACCGCGTCGCGTTCGCCACTTACAGCAGGAGCGGGAGTCTCGGCCCACACGCTGTCGCGCTAGAGCCCGAGGCCAGCCAGACAGGAGCCGGCCGGGAGGCCGCTGACATAAGCAAACCCCGTCTTCCAATCGTCAGTGGTCTGATTCAAACCTCAACCGTCCGAATCCCCCTTCTGCAGCGACATACCAGCCACCGAAGCAATTGAGCCTCTCCACTCCCACGCCATCGTCGAGCCCCGAACCACCGAAAATGTTCCCGCAGCGACAGATCCTGCGCTCCGCGCCGCGCTTCCTGCGCTCCCCCGCCGTCCAGCGCCGCTTCATGAGCTCGCCCGCCCCCAAGGCCGGCGAGAACGCCTTCATCAAGGAGCGCGAGGCCGTCAAGCACCACGCCGCCGGCACCACTGGTGAGCCCTCTCGGGATCTGGACGAGGTCCATGGAAGGCCAATTGGCTGGTGAACGGATAGCTAGACTGACATAACCTTCGTGTAGAGCTCTGGAAGAAGATCTCTATCTAGTATGACATCACCCTCGTGATCCCGACCCCATTCCCCGTCACCGAACTGTGCCGATTGTGCTGCCTTGAACCCGAGCTTGGGAGTCCACTGCGCAGTGCGCGGGCAGATAGGCTGCTGCTGCAGGAGAATCAGGAACCCGGCCCAGCATCAAGCGAACAGCATGGATGAGACTCGGCAGCGGCCGGGTCGGGCCAACGGAAGGGGGGCCATGGCAAGACGGACGGCGGCGGCAGCGGCAGCTGCGCCCAACTCTATGAACACGAAGTGCTAATCAAGTCCAACCACAGCGCCTGCATCCCTGGGCTCGCCCTTGCCGGCGCCAACGCCTACTGGCTGTGGTCGGAGCACTGGGAGCACTGGTCTCACTTGCCCCCTCTGGAGGAGCGCACCGAGTACCCCTACCAGAACATCCGAACCAAGAACTTTCCCTGGGGAGACGGCGACAAGACCCTCTTGTGAGTTTTGCCCTGCGCATGGGCATCTAGATAGGCGCCTGTCTGGCTTGCAGTCCGCTAACGCTGCCCGCAGCTGGAACGACTCGGTCAACTACCACAACAAGGACAAGACCACCTAATCTGGGGACGAGTCTGTGTCAGATTATGGAAGAGCTCGCCAAGTCTGGCGTGGTTAGATAGAGCGCCGGAGAACCGTCGCAGACAAATCGACCTGTACATGTTTCCTAGAGTCACAGCAATCGATCTTCAAATTTACAAATGTGATGTTCATGCGTCTTCAGTTCTATTCGGTCACGTCATATGTATCAACGGCAGCCTGCTCGCTGGAAGCTTGCAGTTTCGCTCGCCTATGTGATCTCTAATTACTACCCGTCGAATGAGGACACATGGATTGGGATGACACTGCATTGCTTCGCCCCGGTCCGCGCAGCCCGTCATCTGATGCATGCGTATGGAGGAAGAGCTGATATTGCTGCGATGGATGCATATAGGGCCCGTTCGCCATTCCAAGGATTGATTGGATGCCGGCGACTGACGATGAAGCATGTGGCTCCCTCTACGACAATTCGGACGTCATGTCTTCATCCGCTCGCTCCTGAGCTCGAGGTATTTGGCTGCCAGGTCATTCGAAACCCTCAGGTCGCCTCTTATCCTCATGATCGTCGACATCTTAGCCGTCACCTCAAGCTTTTTCTGTAGATCCTCAACGGCCGCAAAAAAGTCAAACGCTCGTCTCAGAGCTCCCATGGCCTTGCTGAGGTATTCTGTCCTCCTCTTGGACGGCCCACGACCAACGCCAGTTGTCGGCGCCATCTTGCCCGCGGCGCCGACATAAGCATCTGCGAGGCTGGAATACATGGTCGCAGCCATATAGGACCCGTCGCATTCGAGACACCGCGGTATGACTACCAAGAGGAGCCTCTCTGCGGCCTCGAACTCATTAAGCGAAATAAGCACCTCTGCTAGAGTACCAATGGATTGCCACAGAAGGTTCATAAGCCGCGCCTGCCACGCAAGTTTGGCAGCGCGCATAGCCACGGAGAAGCCGCGCTGGGGACGCCCCGCCTTTTGGAACAGCAGCGCTTTCATGAGGAGCAGGCGTGTGCGGATGCTGACGTCTTTGTCTTGGGAGTGGCTGTCGGAGATGAGCTGCTCGACCTTGGCAAAGGCCGACTGAAGGTCGCCACGTCGCACGAGCAGCTCGTAGTGTAGCGAGTCGACGACGAACGTGAGGTCGGACTCAAGATCGTCGGGTTTGGACTGCATAATCTGCGAGAGGAGGTATTCAACTCCATCTAGGTCATTGCGGTGGAGGTCTCTGCGCAGCCTCACCAGCGCGCGCAAGTTCTGCCAATATTTCTTCGCTCTCCACGTCCGCAGGGAGTCCTCATCGATATTCTCGAGCAACTGCATTCCCTCGTTATACTTGCCCTTGGTTGCCAGGAGGCTTGCTAGCCGACATGTGATCTTCAATGTATCATCAAGCATGACATTTGGCGCATGGCAGCGGAGAAAGGTCTCACACATCATCTTGGAGAGGAAGGCGACACCGACCCTGTCCCAGAGGGCAATGTTCAGTGAGACGTGGGTGCCCATCATGTTGACAAGATTCCGTTCGACCAGGAGATGCGAGCTGCGTGCGATGTTCTCGAGGGCAGTGGCAATGCTATCGCCACTCAGCAGACCCTGCTTGGCCTCGCTCAGCAATGCAGAACTCCAGGTCGACCACATGCCCGTTTCTTTTGCTTTCACGCGAAGAAATGCGAGGGTCTCTCTTCCAGTGGCACTCATGCTGGTCGACTCCAGATCTTCCACCAGGCCTGGATGCGCCAGACCAAAGTTGTAGAAGAAGTTGAGGGAGAAGTTGAGACAGTTCTGGTCTCGTTTCTCTCGGGCGGTCGCAATCGTCTCCAGCATGGTAGATACAGCATCCTTATAGCAGCCAAAGTCTGCTTGGAGCACGGCGAGATTCAACAATGCATAATGGTAGTGCTCTCTGTCACTGTTCTGCATGGTATAGTCGAAATACCGATGCAGGTAGTCAAAAGATGTGGGGTAGTCCCCTGATTTCCAAGCCTCAAGGAATCTAGCTCTGGTCAAAATGGCTTCTGGCAAATTGCTGCGCCAGTAGGTGGTCTCACCTGAGATAATGGCCAAGTTTGGGGTTTGTGCGGCTCGAGTCCAGGAGACCAGAGAATTGTCTCTGTATTTTCCGAGGGACTCGAAGACCATATTCTAGCGGCAGCCGCGTCAGGTGTCTGCTCAAGAACATGGTAAGGCACGTACTTACTTTGCATTTGAGCCACTTGGAACTCGATCAAGCGATCCAAGCAGTGAGCGCTGACTGCTATGTCAGAAGAGGTCAGATCTCCGTACGCAATAGCCCCGATCGAGGCGGCGCCATCCCCCCAGTCTTGGCTGCAGATTTCGAGGACCTTGTCAAACCGGGCAGCACCTGAGGACGGATTGCGTCTCGCCCAAGCCGAGGCTGTTGGTTGCCGGTAGACGATCAGGTCTTTCCACAGGCCCGACGCATCTGAGAACTGCAGCCTGTTGAATTCCAGCTGTGCCCGCCGAACGAACAAGGCCAAGGGAGAATTGGCCAACAAGGGTATTCTACTCGTTTGGGCGGCTGGCTCGGGATCGATCATGTGCTGTATATCTTTTTTGGTAGCGAGGAGGGATGCTCGCCTGTCAAAGAAATCATGTAAAGCGTCCAACGAGTTGATGGCCCATAGTTTGGAGAGGAAGAGATCCCAGAGTCGGCGGCCAGGCAGGCCGACGGCAGCGGAGAAGGGGAGAAGAAGCGACTCGAAGGTCTTGATGGACTTGACGAGATCGATGTCATCCTGAGCCTTTCGCCAGAGGCCCTGAGGACCTGGCGGGTCTCTGTCCACGTCGGTGCCGGTGTGTGAAGCCAGGAAGGACAGGATAGGGATGATTCCGCGGCCAGGAACGGCCCCTTCCGTGTACAGTTCGACAAGGACCAGGAGGCCGACGTCCGAGGGCATGAGAAATCGAGACATGGTGGAGCTCGGTCATCTGTGTCTTGCTCCGGGTAGAGAGCCACGAGACTTATTGTGGAGTGTCAAACGCCATGAAGAGGACTTCATGGCAGGTATGGGGAATCCAGAAGAGTCGTGTTGCCTTTTTCGAGGGCAAGCTTGGGTGCTCGGCAGCTTCTTGCTGCGTGTTGATGCTGTGGTGGAAGTCGCGATGCAGGCGCGTGGAGGGCAGTTTGAGCCAATTAGAGGCTGCACACCCCCTACCCTAGACCGTACGTAGTTGCACACACAGTAGGCACCGCCGCTGGACAGCACCCGCCTGCCTCGGCCAAGGCCATTAATTACTGCTTCAGACTCGATTGTCAGTTTTTGGGCAGAAAACTGATGGGTCGGTGTCCCACGGTCCCTCTGGGTGCTTGTTCCGACTTCTGGAGAGGCTGAGAGGATGAATAACTGCCTTGCTTGGGGTGTCATCGGGGATATCGGCCAGGGGTTCACTCATGGGAGCTCCCGAGGTGCTGGGGCCTCTGGGCCTCCGGCCTTGTAGGCGGATGAGTTTCGAAGGACGCCCCCGGATCGAGCAATGATGACCGTGACAGGTGAGACATGTTGGAGCTAAAACGACGAGTGCCCCACTACCGGGAGTCGACACCCAAGCACGCCTGTTGTTTTATGTTTTACAGCAGATAGACTACTCCGTACCCCGTGATTGTGTAGATACCTGCACTACGGAGTACCTAGGCATGTACTTACCTGAAGCTCCAAGCCTTGGCTGACTGCTCTCGTTTTTTTCCCCTTCGTTTTTCCCCCCTTCCTTTTTTTTTTTTAGGGTTCAGCTCTGTGTTGCCATGCTGCAGTGTGTGGCGGTCGTTGACTCGTCTGCCGGCTGCGCTTGTAAAGCTTAGGAGCTTGCCACGGGCCAGTCCTCTGACCCCAAGAGGGCAACGGCGAGTGGCCAGGCCGGGCTGGCTGTGGATGTGGAGTGGTGGAGGTGGTGGGATGGTGGGACGCTTTTCCTATGCGACCGGAAACGTCATTTGAGATGTGCACCTCTAATCGAGCGCCCTTGTCGCCGTCATCGAACGCAACCACCAGCAAGTCGCCGCCCGCCCTTTATCTATCTATACCTTAGCATGGCGCAGGACGAAGCATTTTGTCAAAGGCCCCAGGGGACATACACAGTAGCTGGATGCTGGAGGCACAAAATGCTCACGAGTCCTGGGCCCTTGGACCACCCACCCATGATCCTGGACATCCCGTGGCCCATGCAAAGACGGCTGAAAATGTAACCCAAGAGCAGCAGTTGAATCAGTGGTGAGAAAAGTCACCTAAAACACCCACCCCTCACCCACCCCCCAAAACGCCCGGCTTATCAGCCACAGCTCGTGCACTGTCGAGACTCGAGAGTCAGGCACCCGCCACTTGAACCACCGCCCTTCCATGTCCCAGTCGTCGTCCTATACCCAGGTAGTCTAGACCGTCTCTTCCCGCCTGTGTGACCACGGCCACGCTCAGGCCGCTGCAGCAGCAGCAACAACGACCTGTGGGGGGCATCTCGTGTGTGGTGGGCACCTGCCACGGGCTGCACGGCTGAGCTGGGGGGCTACCTGGGTACCTAGGTAGGTACGGAGTACTTGCACGCGCTCCTCTCTATCTATCGTAACAGTAGCCCGGTGCATGCAGGCCGGCCAGTCAGTCAGTCTACCTACCGACGCTACCTCCCCACCCCCCTCCCCCAAAACAGGGCTTGGCACCTGCCCTGTCGTCCGATTACATCGACTCGCCGGATCTACACCCTCTAGCCCTCCTTTGTTCTCCCTCTTCCTCGACACCTGCAAGAACCTAGACCTCGACGATCTCTACATTGTGTATAATTCTCCCAGGCCCGCCTCTCTGCGTGGCTGTCGTGTTCATAGACCTTCGCGAATGATTTGCGCGCGCGTTGACCTGCAGGACACAGACCCCCCAGCGGCTGTTTTGTCTGCCAGCTCGAGGCCGGCCCAGGTCGGCGCTTCATAGCCCAGCTGCAATCCTCCGTCTTATCCCATCATCACACGACAGCACAGTCGCTCTGTTGCCTCTCCTTCCAAGTGTCCCTCTCCTCTTTTCTCAACGCCCCCCGATCTCCCGCCGACAACACCCAGTGCCGCCCTTTGCTTTGTTGTCCCTGTCCCTCGAAATGCGGCCCCCGAGAATAGCCATTCTCGTCCTCTTTCTCGCCGCCTCTCTCTTCCTCTTCTGCCGCTCCGTCATCTCGCTGAGGGATGCCAACCAGTCGCCCACCGCGCCCCTGAGCCCCCACCGGACCACGACTCCGTTCCGGTCCTTCCTCTCCTTCACCGCGCCCTTCACCCTCTTCCCGCCAAATGCCGCCATCTCGCTCACCGACGACAACAGCACCTTCTTTCCTGCACGACCCGCCGCCTTTGGGCCTCCCCTCCCCGCCAGGGGCTTGAGCGGTCAGCTGTGGATCGGGAGTGGTTTCGCCGACGAGAATCTCCCCGATGGCGAGGGAGAAGGCGAGCTGGGCTGCAGTGACTTGCCAGGCTATGGCGATGGGACAGCCATCATAGGCCTCAAGGGTACAACCGTCGGCATGAGCGCAAAGGCAAAAGCCGTCTCCGCTGCTGGGCAGGGCGAGAAACTGAAGAGGTCGAGTCTGCCAAAGGGTCCTGCTGTTGACCCTGCAGCAGCCGTCGACGCAAGGCAAAAGGACAGGACGGGCCCTGTCGACGACGGCACCGACGACTACCTACACCAGACCCTCGCCTCCAAGGCTCCTGGCTACGAGATGACCACCGTGACCTCAAGTCATGCCGACATACAGTCAATTCAAGAGACGGCAGAGATCACCGGAAAGGTGGTCCTGCTCAGCCGTGGAGGGTGTGGCTTCTTGGAAAAGGTCAAATGGGCCCAGCGGCGAGGCGCCGTCGGCGTCATTGTTGGAGACAATCAGAAAGGCAGCCCCCTTATTCAAATGTTCGCGCGAGGAGACACGTCCAACGTCACAATCCCCGCCATCTTCACTTCCCGGACGACCGCGCACCTCCTCTCGTCTCTGATGCAACCTGGTAGCTTTATCGAGGACGCCTTTGATGAGAACGGAAACCCGGCACTCAAGGTGCAGCAGTCAGACCGCCTGCGGAAGAACAAGGCCAAGGGCCAGCCCACCACCGTTCAAGAAGCAGGCAAACACATGGTCGAGTCCAATTTTGCGAAATCCAAGGTGACGAGGACGGAGTCCTCGGCCGCCGCGGACGACTCTCTCTCCCGGGCACAACCGTCGAGGAGCTGGATGGCACGGTTGTTCGGGGGTAGCAGCGGGCCCAGGGCCGCGACTGAGCAGAGCCGGCCCCCAAGTAGCGGCCAACATGACTGGGTACTTGTTGATGATTGGAATGACGAAAAGGACAAGGTGATCCGCAGCAGCTTGGAGAAGGCCTCGAAGAAGGACAGAGCCGCTGCGGCCCCGGCACAAAAGAGCTCAGGAGATGGGTTCCAGATCGGCGTGCAAGACTGGCGTGACCCTGACTTGGTGGATGTTTCCGGGACAGGGGCGGACAAGACTGCGGCCAAAGGCAAGGACTCGAACATCAAAACCAAGGATGTGGCCGGAGCTGAAGTGGCTGGGAGCACCAGAAAGGCATCAGACAAGAAGTCTGCGCCCTCAAAAGACGCGAACGGGCCAAAGGGCGGCAGCATCACCCCTGGAAGCGGCCAGTACCCCCCCACGTATTCCTCCAAAGACAGGCAATTCTCGTCCTCCAGGGCAGGAAAGCATCAGGGCAGCTCTTCAGGCCTCATGTCCAAGCTCTTCGGCGACGACGACGGGGCGGACTTCACTCAATCAAACCCTCCACCGAAGCCGATTAACACGCCACTGACTAAGGAGCCCATGCCAAAGGAGCCCGTTCATGAGGGCCTATGGGTGACCATCACGCCTACTGGCAGCACTGCACCTTTCTTTGACACACTCCTGGTCCTGGTCGTCAGCCCGTTGATCACTTTGACTGTTGTCTACGCCCTCCTTATTCTGAGGGCTAAGATCCGAAGGCGGAGGTGGCGCGCTCCCAAGTCTGTGGTTGAGCGACTACCCGTCCGTACGTATCACACCGTCGCGACGACCACGCCAAGTCAAACACCACGGCTGCCTTCACCAACAAGCTCATCGCCTACGACGCCTTTGCTGCAGAGCTCACCTCGCCCTAGACCACGCTCGCGGACTACTACTGGTGTTCCCGAGGCAGACGACCTGTTGCGCGTTGACTCTCCCCTACAGCAATCACGGTCCCCATCCCGTGCTTCACCCCCCCATGAGAAGGAAAGCCAGTGGAAGAAGTACATGGGCCGACAGGTGGAGTGCGTGGTCTGCTTGGAAGAATATGTCGACGGTGTCAGCCGTGTCATGAGCTTGCCCTGCGGTCATGAATTCCATGCTGAATGCATGTAAGTCCACAGCCATCGCCAAGCTCATGTACACCTCTCAGGAATGTCTCGCTAACCACGTTGTCTACAGAACCCCCTGGCTGACAACTCGTCGTCGCACGTGTCCCATCTGCAAAGGCGACGTCGTTCGATCGCTCGCACGCGGGTCACCATCTAGTCCCCGATATGAAGCTTACCACGATGATAGCGACGAAGAAGATGATGCCGAGCCAGAGGCCTCAGGCTCCGGGAGAAGGTCACCAACCGTTCGGGACGCGGAGGAGGGAATCTTGTCGCCCGCACCCCGTCACATTGCTCGCAGGACTGGGAGAGCAGACGGCTGGCTTGGTTTATTATCCAGCAGCTTTGGCACAAACGCTTCTGCATCATCGTCGCGATCTAGGGTCCCGGATGAAGATCGTGACCGGTGACGGCCCCAGTAGAACCCGGCCGCGGTATGCTTTTGGGAAGATGCGTGGTCGTTGGCATATGGTCACTCTGAAGCCCAGATGCGCAGGATGGAGAGGAAGACTCTGCTGCCTGCGAATTGCCTGCCACCAAACTTTGATTTCAGCTTTGAGCGCATGCATACTTGATTTTCATTTGGGACGGGCGGTTGCAACTCGATACCCACACACTCGCTCAGATACCACTCGCATCGGTCTTTATTTCCCGCTCTTCCTTCCTTTTCGCGCCCCTCTGTCTCTACATTACCGACTCGTTTGGCGTTGCGTTTACTGTTTTGTTTTTTAAATCATCACTTGTTTATGGGTCATGGCGCAGGAGGAATTGGACAATGGCACAGAAGGAGCACAAGGTCAAGGGCAGGCACAAATTCCATTCATCTCACAGAGTGCGAAGGGTGCTTCACCACTTGGCAATAGTATGTTTTCGCATAGATGCCACTGGAGGGCTTAGACGCACGCAGCACAGCGAAACGGAGTGCTTCTTTCCGCGTTCACATCTTATGAAAGAGAGCAGTGGGGAGTCGGGGTTGGGATGGCTTCAGCTATATCCGGAGGCGGCAGTGGTTATAAACCCTTTCATGGCTACACTCTGAGGTATCGTGGCTGGGCACTTGTCAAGGGCTGAATGCGTTGGAATCAAGAAGCCAGTACATTAGGCCATACTTGTACAGTGTGAGTACGGGTGCATCTGTCTTCCTCTAGTTCAACAGAATGATGTTGGACGGGACAAAGTTGGACTGGACTGGACTGGATTGGAAATAATAACCCGTTTCAGCAACTCCTATAAAGCCGATTATACCTATCAAGCTCGCTCATCCTTCACACTCAGGTTGGGAATTTGCTGTCTGTCCGCTTCCCGGGATTCACCGCGTCCGCCCCGTCTCAAAGATCTACGACATAAAGCTTACGGGCCCATGTCTTTTGCTCCTCTGCCAAATCCTTCCGCGGTGACGAAAGCAAGTTCAGGACTCGTCGGACAGCTCGGTGCTGATGAAAGGGAGACAAGGGATGGCCATAAACACGTAAGCCTGTGCTGCACAAGCCCCGCTAGTTTGCGCGATGTGGACACAGCTTGTATAATGCACCACTTGGGAATTCTTCGCCGTTCTACCCCCTACGAGAGTAAACTCCTGTAGGGCAACTTCTCGGCGACAACCTCCTTACGGGCCGAGGTCTGTGGTGGAGGCTTGGGGAGCAAGGACGGCCCAAGTGAGGGTTGGGCATGATCGCCAACAGTGGTAGAGTGTCGGGAGACCACACGCAACCAGCTTCACTCTGAAAACGAAACTGGCAATTACTTCCGCGCGAGACGGGCGATGGACCAGGTTGTATCTGACGCGCCCTTTGGGTCATGGGCGAATTCAGTACACTCCAGTCGCAACAAAGACGGCGAGGCCGCGTAGGTTTGAGGATACCGTAGTGTGCTATATTGAAGCAAGGATCCGGGCGTGTGAACACATGTGGACGGGTCTATTATCATACAATGCTAGAACGCAGGGACCCTAGCTTCGAAACCCACTCCACTTGGGCTCAATACCAAAACATCGAAGCATTCCAACATGCTGCAGCTGCGTCAGAGACAGGCAGTGCTCTTCAGAGGCTCTCCGGCGGGCCGAAACGACCGACAAGCGACTTCCCATTACTTTTGCATGAGGACAGACCAAGGCATGTGCCGATGGCCAAGAATAACCAGGCTGAGGTAATTGGTGGACATCAAACATCTCTTGGTCTTTGGACTTTACTCGCTGCGTTGACCTGCATTCGACGATTCCCGTGATGCAAGCCGCGCCATTCCTCAGATTCACGGCTCCAAGGCCTCTGCTCTTCAGTGCAAATTCTGTTGCTATCGTTGTCGGAACAGCTGGGAGGGCTTGGTGAGCGCAATGAACAAGTTCAAGCTACTTCGCAGCTCACTCCCAACGGCGGTTTCATCGCGCTAGTATCCGCTGGCAGAATCCCAGCTGGAGATGAGGAGATCATTCGCATGGTGGCGAAGGTCAGAGAATGCGGCTTGAACATCCTATGAAGCAACCGCGTTGCTCGGACCTGCCTCAGAAAGAGCACCGTCAATGATGGCATCGTTGTGGGCAGAAAGCGGGTCCTGAGACTCGAAGTTGCCGAGAGATTCGCTGGGAGCAGTACCAGGAATGCCTTCTTGCGCCAACATTGGAGCCGTGGGGGCTCCGCCTCCAACCTGGGCCTCGGGTTGCATTTGAGCCTCTTGAAGGGCTCGGAGATTGGCGTCATCGACAGCATCTGCGGCGATACTCTGGTATTCTTGCGGCGTGGGCACCTCGTGAGCTGCCTGCCTCTGGTGAGCCGTGGGGTCATAAAGCGTGTTGCGTGGTGGGCCCTGGTCGGGATCATTGTCCTCTTCTCTGCGGTCCGGGTTCCTCCCAGCAGCAATGACCATATCTTTCTCCTTCCTGCCTAATACAACAAGGTCAAACCCGGGCGGAAGATGCGAATCGGTTCTGCATAGCTTGAGTTAATCGTGCACGTCAAAGTAGCGAGCAAAGGGCGGCAACCTACTTCAAGATGTCGACCTTGACGAGGCGAGCTTTATCGCGCAGGCCTTGCTGATCACGCTCTGGTACATTGAAAGGAATATGGTCTTCCTTGATGGCCCTCTCAATGGTGCTCCACTTCGCTTTGTATACATTCACTGCTCGAACAAGTTGCTGGGTATCGTGTGCTGTCCATGGCCTCCTCTGCTTGGGCTGTGATGGCTTTCGGTTGGCCTTTGAGATGAGTTGGGAAGCCCGGGACATGGCTACGACATCGATAAGCCCGTCTATCGGCTCAGGCATCGCAGAAGATGGAGGAATTGCCCCACCTGCATTTTGGCGGGGAGGAGGGGGAGGCATCGCAGAGGCGTTAGCGGCGCGGGCTCGCTTGTTCGCCGGGTCTTCGTCAACACCGTTCTTTCGACCTCGTTTGCGAGCTCGCCTTGTAGTGTCGGCGGCTGCAGCGGCATACAGAGCGCCGTCGCTTCCCGTGATTGCAGCTCGGCTAAGGTCACGGGCCCTTTGGGCAGCAAAACTGTCAGTACCAGTTGTGATGAAGCTGGCGTTTGAAGGCGCTGAAGGTGAATGCCGGTCTGGAAGATCAAATTCCTGCTGTCCGCTGCCGGCATTCCTCACGTGCTGCTGGATAGCGCGAATGCCGTCGTAAACGAACCTCGAAGCAAGAGTCAGCCTTGCTGGAAACCAACCCAGAGAAGTGTGAAATGCGGCTGATATGATGGAACAGTAAACTCACTTTCCTTGCACCGCCCTTATTTCCTGCTGCAGTTGCTCTTCGAGAGCGTAGGAATCGTCGCCGTTCAAGGACAGAGACTGAGTGGGTGCACTGATCTTGGCCTCGGACGACTTGATCCACCCCTTCAACCCATCCAGGAAGGGTTGGAATGGGTAGTCCTGGTCTAGTTGGCTGACAATGGCATTGGCATCCATCTCCTTGATCATTGCGCGGAACCTATCGATTGCTTCGCGATACTGTTGTGCTTTATCGTCGTAGATGTCGACACCGGGGAAGGCTTTCAAGCGCGCCTCTTGAACATTGTCGTTGATCGAGTTGTCATCCATGTTCTCGTCCATATCGAGAAAAACGCGAGCGAAGAGCCGGGACGGAGGTGCGTTCTGAACCGCGCGAAGGGTCTCGATGTAACGCTGGGTGCGAATGTGGAAGGCTTGCCTGAGGATTCCATCGTCTGGTACCGACGCATCCAAGGCCTGTCTCCCTCCAGGGACAAACGCAGCAGGAAAGTGACCATCAATGTTCTCAAGCCGCGGCAGGCGCTCAAGGACCATAGCCTCGTCCTCCTCCAGCCCGTAGATGCTGCTCAGCAGTTGTGCGAGGTTGGCGGTTGCAACGGCCTTGGTCATGCTTGGCCAGATGGGGGATTCCGCAGCCTTTGTCCTGTCCGAGACGACGTCGATGTCGATGAAGCTTTCAGACTCCTCGTAGAACTTATAGTATTTCTCGAAGACGTCCTTGTGAGCGTCAAGCTCAACCTTCCATGGCTCGTCCCTCTCAGGGCCCTCAAGAGCAAGGTGGGTCAGCAGGTCCGTGGAAGCCTTGAAGAGACTGTCGACAAACTTGTTCATCAAGTTGACTCTTGGGTCTCTGGTCCTGGGCGTGAGGATTGGGGTTCCCTGGGGAGGGCGACCATATGTGACAGCCTGGGTTACCTGTTGCGGCGTCATAGGTTCCTCTAGTCATAGTCAGCAAGTGAGCAGGGAAGAAACCATGTAGAGGCTCGTGTTCACCTCTCGCATCGGACTGGGTTCCCGGCAAGGAATATAGGCTGGGTGGCATGGTCGCGCGTGTCGGGACACGGCGCGTCGCTCGACGAGCATACTGCTCACCTGGGGCTTTGCCTGTGCCGCGACCAGCCCTGGAGCTTGGAGGAGGAGGCATGGGGGATTCTGGAGCAGCGCCATCAGGGACGTTTTCGTCACCATTATTATCACCAGGGGAGGCATTTAAAGAGGCCTCTGTGTCATGGGCGGCATCATCGTCATCAGCAGCATCGGCAGCATCGGCGGCGGCGTCAGTGGCAGCGTCAGTGGCAGCATTGATGACCGGCTCCGGCTCAGAAGACGCAGGCTCTTCGGGGGCGGGCTGGCCGGCTGCTTGTTGTGCTGCCTGAGCAGCAAGACGCGTGCTCTGTCTACCGGGGGCAGCGGAGCCGGCGGGAGCAGCGCGCCCTCCTCTCAACTTAGGAGCCATCCTGCCGATTGGCCTCCAAATCACCGCGAAACCTGGTGATGAGAGGTGAATATCTCTGATGAGTGATGGGTGCGATGGACGTTCAGGTCGCGGCGAGGGTTAAGACGGACAACAGAGGGATAGGGGTTTTCAGGGTTTGAGGGAGAGAGTGTGGGAGTGCGAGCGCGAGCGCGAGAGGGAGAGGGGAGAGGCGCAGTGGGAAAAACCAGGTGCAGCGACAAGGAAGCAGGGACCAGCGGCCACTGTTGATTCGGCCCCAGCTAGGTGCAAAGCTGTCGCCGGCCTAGTACCCCGTACCTAGGTACCTACCTGCCTGCCCAGGTGGGTAGGTAGGCTGGCAACTGGTAGCAAATCCGGTCTCCAATATAGTCACTTTTTCAACCCTTCCGAATCCATTGGCTCAGACAGAAATCGCAACGATTGTACTCACTCGCCCCCAAGAGCTCTGGATACAGGATCACCACCCGCGGTGGGGGGTCGGGGGCCATCTGCGTGCCTGTACCACACCGCACCGGGTCCCATGCTCGCCAAATGCCCGAATACAATGTGCATGCCAACTCCAAAGCGACAAGATCAAACCTTCGTCGAGCAAGACTTGAAGCCCGAGTATCCTCCCCTGCGACGATCTGCCCAGGCCATAGTACACAGTGCAGTGGAACGGTCCGCTCTCGAGGTTTCTCCTGGATGTCCTAGGTATGAGGATTTCCACATGCTCTCGAAATGAATGAACTCCTAGGCACCGAGTGGAGCCCGAAGGTGTTGATGCATCAAGCTTTCAAGAGGAACAACTCAAGATGAAGTGCACGGTGGTGGTGACCCAAGTGGCCCTCAGAGCCACAATGTACCACGTATATCTACACAGCATCTTACAGAGACAGACTTGGCTGGCCCTGCCCCTTATCCACCACGCACACGCAGGGCCTGGCAAGGCTCAGGGCAGTCTGGGGCAAGGGCTGGGCCGGTCGTGCTTCCGTAGTGCAGATCTGTACGGTTACGTAGACCCCTGTACAGAGCCCCGTTCTTTGGCAGAGCGTGGCTTCAGTAATATGTACCCCGTATTGGCTGCATTGCACTATTGTCATGGGGACTTCCTGGGTGTCTAAGTACTAGGTAAATCTGTACTACTACTACGACTACCGTACCAATATTGAAGGTACCGTAATCTACCTAGGTAGAGCGTCCCTGCATGCTCGCCCAAACAGGCCACCCACCACTACGGTTCCCAAAAAAGTCATCGTTTCCATTCGCGTTTCCTCCTGTCAGCCCTGTCCTTACTTGAAAACCTCCTCGTCGCCCTCTCCAGCCCGGGCTTTGTCAACAGTCGGTGCACAATTGTCTGTTTGGGCGGTCTGTTGGCCAAACCTGACTCGATAGAGGCCAAAAGTGCAGGACCTCCTCCGGCCGTGTCAGAGAATCGTCCCGCCTCACCACCTCGCCCCCCCCCTCCCGGCGACAGCAACATTCCTCGTCGAGTCCGACAGCAAACTGCAGATTGACCGTCCTCTGCCTCTCAACCGAGTGTTCGCCACACCTAGCGCTGCCAATATGAGGATCCGACAGCGAAAGGCGCCCCTGAGCCTCCTGCTCCTGTCCTCCCTCGCCGTTACCAGCGCCCTAGCCACGTCCTTGGACTCGGTGCACCCCAGCCCAGCCACGGGATCCTCGTCCAAGATAGGCACAAAAGATGCGCCCGTCGACGGAAAAGACGGCCGTCCTCACGAAGGCCCTTTCGTCGAGGTTGAGCACCTGACCTCCGGCAGCGACCTCAAAAAGTTGCCACCCCTCGAAGGCCGCCCCACGGATCCGACCATCGTCGATGGTGTCAAGATCCCACAGACCAATGACGGCGTTATGAACGATCCGGACCGGTCTCAGGCCAAAGAGGGGACAACTGGCACGTCTGGTGGCGTGAGCGAGAAGGACCAGGTACGCAAGGCCAAGGAGGGCGCGACGGGCGAGAAGGCAGAGAACAAGCCAGAGTCGCCAAAGGAGGCGCCCCCCCTGCCGCACAGCGAGCAAGAGAAGATACTCAGCAAGGAGGATGCTGCCAAGGACAAGAGCAAGCCGGACGGCAAGTCAGAGGACTTCTCCGGGTTCGAGGTGCGCGCGACCTGCATCGGCCCTGGCCATCCCTGACCATACTAACTGCAACATGCTGACTATCACCTCTACCAGAAACCTTCCGACCTCCCTGGCAAGACCTCCGAGCAAGCACTTCCCTTACCCGACTCCGCCAACAAGAACCACCTCGATGTCTCGGCCTCGACCGGCAAGTCCTCCGGCAAGCTGCCCATTGACAACCCCGACGGCATAATCCAGCCGTTCCACTCTTTCCTCCTCTCCTACACCATGATCCTCGTCTCCGAGATAGGTGACAAGACCTTCCTCGTCGCCGCCCTGATGGCCATGAAGCATGACCGCCTCGTGGTCTTCTCCGCTGCCTTCAGCGCGCTGATCACCATGACCATCCTGTCCGCGGTCCTGGGCCACGCCGTGCCTACGCTCATCCCCAAGAAGGTGACTAGCTTTCTGGCCGCAGGTCTGTTCCTCGTCTTCGGTGCGCGCATGTTGAAGGAGGGGCTGGCCATGAGCCCGGACGAGGGCGTGACGGCCGAGATGGCAGAGGTGGAGCTCGAGCTCGAGGAGAAGGAGACCCTGGCGCGCAAGGCCGGCCGGAGGCGGTCGTCCATTTCACCCTACGCGCTCGAGATGGGCCTGAACCGGACGCACACGCGCAAGTCGCGCTCTCAGTCACGGTTCCCGACGCCCCCCCGCAGCCCCTCGGCATCGCCTGAGAGAAGCCCAAGCCCTCGCCGGGGCGCCCTCGGGGCAGTCTTCGACGGCGCGAGCAACCTCTTTTCGCTGCTTCTCAGCCCCGCGTGGGTGCAGACGTTTGTCATGACCTTCCTGGGCGAATGGGGCGACCGCAGCCAGATCGCAACCATCGCTATGGCGGCCGGCCAGGATTATTGGTGGGTCACACTGGGAGCTGTGCTAGGTCATGCATGCTGTACCGGTGTTGCAGTTATTGGCGGTCGTGCCATCGCCGGCAAGGTGTCTCTCAGAGTCGTGACAGTGGGAGGAAGTGTGGCATTCTTGGTAAGTTCATACCCTGACGTGGGTCCGGGACATTACACTCCGGCCTATCGTCCCACATATACTAACTCGGTTCTAGGTATTCGGTATTATTTACTTGATTGAGGCTCTGTGGGCTTGATTACTGCACGCCAGCTGCTCCCGACCATTTCGTTACAACCTACCTATCCTTTAATTTGGTGCTGTGATCTTTTGGACTGCTGCTCCCCGGGCTTATAGCAGCTCGCAATGTGGCATTGTGGCAGGTGTGGGCGATGGTGCTGGCACAGCGAATGAGGCAGCGGGACTGGTGGTTTCTTTCAGAGGAAATGCATGGGCGGAGTTTAGAGCAAAATCAACAGTAGTTTTGTCGTGCTTCTGTATGCGACGGCAATAGGAAAGAAGAATAAGCATTGGGCAACAGGTCTGCCTGGCTTGTACCTTTAGGGAAACGGCCTCGGAAACGGCAGGTTTATTTACTTATGGTCTAGCTTGTATGCAATAGGACATGACGCCGTTTAATGAAGCTGTGTTTGGGTACGTCTACTACATCTGGGTACCTTGGGGGTTGATATCACACTGGGTGAAATGTTCCATAGGAGGTCGTCCCTTAGGAGGTTATCCTATAGGAGGTTTTCCTATAGGAGGTTATCCCATAAGAGGTTGTCCCTGAGGAGGTTATCCTATAGGAGGTTTTCCTATAGGAGGTTATCCCAGAAGAGGTTGTCCCAAAGGAGGTATCGCGCGCGGCCAAGTTTGAATAAATACAAAGCCAGCAGCCGCCATATCCAAGCAGCCGGTCGCTGGTTGAGATTCCACTCCAGAGACTGAACCACAAGAGGCTAATACCATTGGGTGGGATGATATTGGAGTGCTGTGATTCATGTCTCCCTCTGTCAGGCTGCAACTGTGGATCCTCGGCAGACCAGCTCGGCGCTCGTTGGCACGAGAACAAGAGGCTCGGGCTTCTTTGCATGGGGCGGACAGGACCTCGCTCGCACAACGCATGGAATCTCCCGATGCGTGACAGAAGCCATCATCCTGGATTACTAAGTCCCATACCGCCAAACCCGTGCCTGTGCACAGGTCGCCTCCACCGGGTGTCCGTTGAGACACACAAGGTTGGCTTCGCGAGATGGGACGATCTTGCCGGGCCCCTGTTGTTCGGGAGGGCTTGTTTCACCAGCGGTAAGGCGCTAGGTGCCTGGGTAGTCCATCATTCCTCTCGGTAGTGACGGAGCCCAGGTGGTTCTCCGCCAGCGACAGTGCTAGACTGTGCAGACAGCTAGCTAGCTGTCGGCGGTGGGACTTACACGCGAGAGAGCAAGCTCGAACCCCGCGGCCGCCCCTTTCCCCGCTTATCTACCTGCTGCTGTCCTCCCCCGAGCTCCGGCGTCCCTCCAGCCCTCCAGCCTCCAGGAACCCTCTCCCGAATTAATTTGCTGCCAGCCTCTCTCTATCAGTGACGAGGACACATACACACGCCCTCCTGCCAAAACCGAACCATGTCTGAGCTCTGGACGAAGCCATCGGGGTCCGCCTCGGCCCTCTGGGCCAAGCCCAGCTCCATCCCCGAGTCCCAGTCCCACAACCCCTCGGCCATGCCTCTCTCTGAGGCCCAGACGAGGGTCCGTCACCCCGGAAGGCGGTTTGCGTGAGTGACGATGTTTGTCGACATCTAGCAGCAGCAGCCTTGCTGTCAAGGGCGCCAATTGGCTCCCTTGCTTTTATCCGGGGGCAGGAAAGAATCTCAGCACAAGAAATATGACCCCCGACACCAGCTCAGGCCAACCCCGCCGATGACTGACTGACTGGCTGGCTGGCTGGCTGGCTGACTGGCTTGCTGACATGGTACCTCGACGCAGGCAAATTGTAAAGCTGAAGCCCGAGTACTACGAAAAGTACAAGGAGGTTCATGCGGCCGTTTGGCCCGAGGTTTTGAGGCAGATCAAGGCCTGCAACATCGTCGACTGTAGGTTCCCGCCGCCCATATGAGATCACCTGCTCCAAGCCCGAGCTGGGAAGCTGTTCCTGATCCCGCGACCCCGAGTCGTCCGGGGGCGGGAACAGGGGCGGAAGCAACCCGGCCAACCCCTGGCTGTTGGCCACGCCATTTGCAGCTGCTTCACACAGTATCGGCTCGGGCCAGAAAGAACATCAGTTCAGGATGGCGAGCTGACGCCTTCTTGCAGACAGCATATTCTATGACGACAAATCACACACCCTGTTCGCGACATTCAAATACGTCGGGTACGATTACGCCGGGGACATGGAGAGGATGAGGGAGAACCCCAAGGTGCGGGAGTGGTGGAAGATGACCGATGAATTCCAGCAGAGTTTCAATGAGAACGCAAAGAGCAGTGAGGCTGGTGATCCCTCATGGTGGAAGCCTCTTGAGGAGGTCTTTTACCAGGCTTAATGGGCGGTGTGGTGTTTGGTAGCCGTCCTTGTTCTTGAGCTGGTTCCGGGAGGTCCTTGTTGTTCGGCCCGTGGGTACACGTCGCTTTGGATGTTCTTGTCTCTTGGTGTCGTGGGAACTAGAAGTAGGGCCTCAGTCGAGCGTCAGGCTTAAATAATAGACGGCCCAGGACTTTCAATCGCTAATATCGTGTCGGGTGGCAGGACATTCGGGCCCCGCCCATGGCGACCTGATCCTATTTCCGCGACACAGCTGGAGGCCACGTGCCCACAGACGTATTGTATCCGTTCTGCACTGTTACTGACATCATTTTCTCTTTCTAAGGAAAGAGAAAGCTGGGTCTTCAGCGTTGACCACTGTATGAAGGCGCCACGTGCGCTTTATGTAGAGATAGGAGATCCACACAGGTTTCAGGTTTCTTGAGTGTTGCTGTTCGTCTCTAGATTCAAATGTTCACACCGCCGGTCGCGTTCTCGCCAGTCGGACTGATGGCAAGTCTGCAGAAGCTCATATCAGGCAACAAATTGCTCTGTGTAGCAATTAATAAAATCTTGAAGTATGTCAAACAACAGACTTCCTTTGATCCACGCTTAGTTGACAAGTGATGGTCTCGTTCTAGTTGGCATGTTGTGGATTTCAACTACGGAGTGACTGGGCAAGTGTGCCCTGCAAGATTTAACCCTTGGAGGTTGTCCCGGACGAGAAGCAGCTTATTGACACAATGATGTGGAGTTTCCCGTCTAAATCCTATGACCGAATCATAAGGGCGAACCCATTCTCCCAAGTCCCATAGGTGATGCCTCAACTCCGTTCCTATGGCATGCATATAAAAAGACGCTAGAATCATGCCCTGTTTGCAGAGCCTCAGTCTTCACGAAACTCATTATCCTCCCAGTGCTGTCAACTCAATATTCCACCGTTTTAAAGTTCACCTAGAACTTCTCCATGAAATTAGAGCGCAGGGTCCACATTCTAAGCCGTTTTCCATAAACAAATAACGGCGCCGCTGTGAATGCTATAATCAGCTGTATGACTCCCAAATAGATGAAGACCGACTTGGAGCCGTCTGTCTCTAGCCATTCCGTCACGAAGAGGCTGAAGACGAGCCCATGGAGGATGTTCTTGCTGACATTCAGCGTGACGAGGGCCTCGCCAGCATACTGCCTGTAACTGTCGACGCAAAACGTGATCGATGTCGTGCTTCCGAGGCAACAGCCAAAGCTGATGATACCTAGGAACACAGTAGGGACAATCCAGTGATCCTGCTCTTCCGCACTCCAGCCAAAGCCCATCAAACCGATTGCGGTCGAGATAGCGATCGGCAGGGCCATGATCAGTCGGAATTCTGGCTCGTACAGGCCGCCATTCCGTTTCGCCATCGCCTTGACAAAGATGTCGGAGACTTTTCCGGCCACGGCAGTGCCCAAGATGCCACCCACGAAAGGTGAGATGTATATCAACCCGACGCCAAGCGCGCTGAAGTGGTAGTATTTCTCCCGGTAGATGACTGCGATCGACTCGGAGACGACAATGAGCCATCCCACAGAGCATGCGTATATGGCAGATGACCAGAGCACAGCAGGGTAGGCGAACAGGACGAAGGGCCGGATCATGACCTTGAGCCAGCTGTCCTTGTTGAGCCGGCCATGCCACGGGCGAAGTTGCTGGATGAATGACTTGGCCTCGCGCTCTCGCCAGTGCTCGCAGTACTCATTAAGGTTCGCCTGCTCCTGCTGCCGCTTCTCCGGGTCGCGGGGGGACCAAGGCAGGTAGCTTCGGATGGACGAGGTCCTGCTAGGTCGCTCGGCCGTGGGACTCGGAAGCGCCGGGATGCTAGCCTGAGGTGCCTCCTCCATTTGGTCCCTCGCTGAAGGCGCAGGCGGCTCATCTGATGAGCTTTCTCCTCTAGGCACCTCGAGCTTCTCGTTCTTGTGCTGATACAGTTTCGATTCGGGCGTGCCCAGAGTGTGGTCGTTAACAGTCTCCGCAGCAGGCGCAAACATGACGTGGTGTTCTCCCCCGGGCACCCTGTCTCGACTTTCGACTGTCTCGGTTTCTGACCCGGTGGAGAAGTGTACGTCCTTGTGCGGCCTCTGCTGCTTTGCCTCTGTTTGGGGCGATGCGACAGTGTTCTCAGAGCCTGGAGCCTGCACTCGTTCGTGCCGAGCCAAGTATTTTGAGGACATCCGCTGAAAGAGGCCGGGTCTGGACGGCGCACGCGTTCGGCCGTGAGGCACGCGCATCCAAAAGCTCTCGCTGACAAAGAGAAAGAGCAAGACACTGCAGAATGCGACCACGAGAGCAACGACCCTGTGACGTACGATGTTAGTTGCGACGTTGTTTGTAGCTGACGTCAAAGTAACATACCAAAAAACCCAGCGCCACGAGAGGTTTTGAACGACGACGGCTGCGACCAAAGGGACCAGGTTCTTGCCTCCGAGAAGCAGAAGGGTGTAGATGCCGAGTCGGAACGCCCTCTCATGCAGGAAGAAGATCTCGGCAACGGTGGCCGAGGGCAGACACTCGACAGGGCTCACGGACATGCCCTGGAATATCCTGGCCAGAATGAGCGAGGGGTAGTTTGGTGACAATGCGCACCAAACTGATGTGATAATGAAGCACAGAGCGCTAACGAGGTATACAGGTCGCTTGCCCCACAGAATAGCCGTGGGCGAGGCAATGACTGAGCCGAGGCCGAGCCCCATCATATACAGACCCGTGGTCAGTGAGACCTTGGAGACGGGCACGCCGTAGTCCTCAGCAACGTTGGTGAAGCCGGCGGCAAGAATCGAGGTCTGTCCACCGCCGACCATGCAGTAGATGCCTATGGACAGCAGAGCGGCGTCGCGACGCCAGGTGGGCCAATTTAAAGGATCGTTGGGAACATCTTCGGGTTGGGGGTCCAAGATGATCTTCCCGTCAGGGGTTTTCTTCTTCTCGTCGGCTGCTTTGTCGGCCTTTGATTCATACTCCCCCTGGCGAATGCTAACTGGTATGGACGAATGAGATGTCCTGGCAGGAGCATTACGCAGGCCAAGTGGCTCATTCCTATGATCCGCCAGTAGTAGCACAGACCCTTGCAAAGTTAGACTCGTTGTGATGACTTCGAGAGACATATCTCACCTGGAACCTCAATGGTGTGCTTGTCATTCAGCACACCAAAGCTCCACTTGGGTGGTCGGTTGGATGTGGTTTCGTCCTCGCCGTCTGACTCTCTCTTGGGAGAGTTTGTGCCCTTGGCCTTCCGCCTGCCAAAGAACGGCAAGCGTGACATGATGGGCGAGGCTGGGGTGTCGTCTTGGGTCGCCATGGTGAAGCCCGGACGAGATGTGTTGTGAAATGGCGTCGAACTCGTGATATGAGGGACCGGGGGGGGGGGGGTTATGAAGCCCAGCTCTGCACTAGAGTTATAGCTCGGTGCACGGGGAGTGCTTGGCCTGGACCTTCCTCGACATGGAAAAAATAATAAGAGAAGGAGCAAGGGCACAAGAGGGCAAGAAGGGTGGAACGGCTCCGCGTGTCTTTTTATCCTCTTAAAAAAGAAGAAGAAGATGCTGTTGCCACTAGAGACATGCGCATCAAGGGTAGGCGTGTGAAATACGCCGAAGGATATCTGAGCAGCAGGGCTGATTCGGTCGAGGTGGCGCAGATGGCCCACCAAATAGGCCGGGCCTCAACCAGAAGGCTTTCGGTTGGTAGCGTGGACCTTTGCACACAAAGGAACTAGCCAAGAGATGATTTGAAGGCAGAACAGCCGGAAGGAATGTGCTATTTTCAGGCAGCACCAGGCCAGGCGCGTGCGTATATATAGGCAGGCTGGCAGAGGCAAGGAGCGAGCGGATGATCTTGAATAGATGAAGTCTGTTGACGCTGTCGTAGGCCACGTGAACCTGTGTGGAGTTAGTACCTTATGCTGGGCCACGGGCCACAGGGAGTGGCCGGGTAGCCTTGGAGTGTTCCTGGCCAAAAAACAACAAAAAAACAAAATGCTCGAGTCAACGAGAGGGCCTGGTAATCCCAATCAAGCTTGAGAAACAGGCCCATGCTCGCGGCAGGCGCCACGGGTCTGGGGTGGAGAGGTGGTCAGAGAGAGAGAGAGAGACAAAGGGCATATCGCCCTGTAATCGTCGAGGGCGATCTGACGATCTGATAGCAAGGCGTCTGCGTATCGCAGCACGACAGACCGCCAGTTTGCGCCAACCTGGATGGCACGCTGTCGTCTGCATCTCGGCAGCGGGGTCAGATCAAGAAACTTGGAATCATGCTCGCTGCGGCGCCGTCGCCGGATCCGCAGCTTCCTCTGCTGGAGTGATCCCTGCGTCCCGAGTCCTCTCTCTCTCTCTCTCTCTGTCTCACACCACGACACCGCCCGCCAGGCGAGAGTGATGGAGGGATGGAGGATGGAGTTGAGGGTGAGACAGCAGACGCACTAACACGAGCCCCCCCATGCCCCCCCCCCCGGCAGCCCAGGCTCCTGCCGCGATGGGGCTCGCGCATGAGCTAGCCTGGAGGGACCCCATGTGATGTGGTGATCCTTGGTCAAATGGCCATACCCGCGCTCAGCTGGCTCCCGGCAATCTGACATGCTGTTGGAGAGACTGCCCTAGCCAGCTCATGCGACCCTGAACTATGACGAAACCGTTGTTTTGAAACGTACTTAAGTACTGTGCCGCTCAGGTAGGCAGGGCTGGCAGGTAGGGTCCTCCACGGCGGCCCCAGGCTGGCCATCCTCGAGGCCCTCGAGGCCCTCGAGTGGACCCCCTCCCCATCCCATTTTGGTATCTGTGCAACTGTGGTGGCCGCCGCAATACGCGATGCAGCCGCTGCACATGCCGACCTAGCAGCCCTAGTTGCGCAGTACCTAGGTACCTGTAGGTGGCCTTGGCCCCACGGGTGTGGCGGCTCAAGCCTTCCAGTGCTTCGGGTCGCCAGATCTGGGGCGCCGAGCTTTCGAGGCTCTGCTGTTTCTTTCTGGCTCGGACATACTAGGTAGCGATTAACGTTTCTTGAGCCCCGGACGAACCACGAGGGGCACCCATTTTCCCAGGCACCTCAGAGGGCATTTCTCCATGTGGCATGACCTGGCAATGGTTTCTCCTACCCTTTGCTGGGTATGGCCTGCCTCTGCCGGCTCCAGGGCCATCGACAATGCGCAGCCCCTGAATCCTTGAGCCTCTGCTCCTGAGCTAAGCCTGTCAGGCTGGGTGGGCTGGGTTGTTACTCCTCGCTTGTCAATACTGTGTATACAATGCATCGAATGCTTGTTCGCGGTACCGGACCGTGGGGACCTCTGTGCGGCCGTGGTAGAGCCACTGCTGGAGCCGACCATTTCCTTCGCCCGCCAAGTCTGAGGGGAGGGGGCGGGACGGCCCTGGCTCTACGTCACCGGCAGCATCTCCCGGAAGCAATTGGCCCTGACTTCCAAGGTTGTCATGAGCCCAATACAGGCCAACACAGGCCAATACACACCAATAGATACAGTGCGCCTGGGCAGATACCATGATGAACATAACACCCAGAGTTCTGGCACGGGCACCCGTGCGACCGTCCCCCTCGGCCTTGCCCAAGGCAGCTCATTTTCCAAATCTCAAGGCAGCCTCGACGCTCTCTCAACGTGCCTGCTTCTCATCCACGACCACCCAACGGCAATCCGAAAATCGAGTCTACTCGTCGTAAGTTCCGCCAGATGCTTGGAGAACCATGGGCCCGCACGCTGATAGATCTATCAGCGTCCGCAATGAAGACCAGTTCAGGACCTACCTCGCCGCCTCTTCCAGCTCCCGCAGGCCCCTCCTGACGTTGTGGACAACTTCCTGGTGCTCAACGTGCCATCAGGTTTCGCCACTGATCAAGTCTCTTGTGGATGCGGGCGTGGGCGAGGCCGAGGGTGGCGTCACGTACTGCGAGATTGAGTTCGACGCGCCTGATGTAATGAGTGCCGGGCTGGGCCTCACCTATATGATCAGTTCAGTGCCCACCCTCCTCAGCTTCGACGCCGGTGAAGCCCAGGTTGAGACCAAGGTCGCCGACGGCAATCGCTTGAAGGACCGGACATTCCTCGAGGAATGGATCAGAACTGAGGCCAGACGTCATGGTGGGAGGGGTGGCGGCAGCGGTGGCGGAGGAGGAGGGTCACTCTTTGGCGGGCTCTTTGGGAGCCTCAAGTACTGAGTTTAGGGCGCAAACCCGGCCCCTGACTGCGAATAGTCATGTTGTGTTGCCATGAGGGAGCCGCGGTGGCCAGAGGTTATCGCCTACGAAGCTATCCCATGGGAGACTGTCCTATGGAAGCTGTCTCGCGAGAGTGGTTTTGTTTCTCATCCCCATATATGAGATCGTAGATTCGCACCCGCGGAAACGGAGGGTACACCCGAGCCCTATAGTACAACCTCCTACCTACCTAGGTAGGTATATGATAATCTCTAACAAACCTCCTCTAGAATAACCTCCTATAAGACAACCTCCTTTAACTTCCTCTAGGACAATCTCCATAGGACAACCTCCTCTAAGATAACCTCCTTTAGGATAACCGATAAACAGCAACACTCAAGAAACCTGAAACCTATGTGGATCTCCGATCTCTACATAAAGTGCACGTGACGCCTTCATACAGTGGTCAACACCCCAAGACCCAGCTTTCTTAGAATAACCTCCTCTAGGATAACCTCCTACAGGATAACCTCCTATAAGATAACCTCCTATAACCTCCTCTAAGATAACTTCCTATAAAATAACCTTTTATAAAATAACTTTTAATAAAATAACTTTTTATATTAATAAAATTATATTTTTTTATCTTTTATTTATTATATTAATTTTATTAAATAGATATTTAACTTTATATAAGTGTTATCTCTATTCTTATAAGTGTGAATCTCTAATTTCTAGTACATGGCTTTAAATACTATAATTAATTACTGTCGGTTAATTACAAGCATTAATTCCAACTAAGTGAGAACTAAGAATTCCATGTAAGTGCTAGAACAAGAGACCATAGGCTGAGACAGGGGGGTTCGCGGTACCGCAACGCGTTGCCCAAAGAGACATCTGAACCAGAAGAGTTCTTCCCCTTGCTATTTCTATAGGATCAAACCAAATACGTGACTAAACCCCACAATGCCAAACGGACTTGGAAGTTTGGAAATGATTTCACAGAGATCTGGTCTATGAGTGGACGTTGGACTCTAGGATACTCATGGCGTTTCTCCACAGTGCGACAGTGAAGTCGGCCCCAAAGCCGCCGTCTCAGCAAAGAAATTTATACTAGGCACAAACCCACCACAACGACCAGACCAGACAGGTAGAAACGGGGAATGGCGTCTCAGATACCGCCCCTTTTGGAGTCATACCTCTCCCTGCCGCCCGAGACCTCACAGATCGTCCTCACGGGCATCCTCGGCGCGAGCACCAACTGGCTGACCGTGCGGTACCTTTACAGCCTGCTGCGGCCAGCCACCGCGGCAGCACGGCTCGACGGCGACGGCGACGCGGAAGGGGCAGGCGAGGACGTCAAGGTGCTGCTCGTGAGCTTCATGAGGGATTATCCCTTCTGGAAGGAGGGTGCAGGACGACTGGTTTGTGTTCTTCTTTTTCTTTCGTTCTATGCCTTCTTCGCTGCCTCCCACCATTTTTTTTTCTTCTTCTCATATCCAACTTCTGCCTCCATGTGCGAGAATGGCATGATTGACCGGTGCACCATGTAGGGTCTCAACCTCGACACTCTAGCAGCGCGAGGCAGGTTCCTGTTCGTGGACGGCCTCAGCAGGCTGTTTTTGGGCGGGCGGAACGGCACTGCTGCACCCCCCCATGGCCGTGGTCCCGGCCGGCAGCAGGAGCAGCACCAGTTGTACCTCGACAGCCCGCGGCTCGCTGATGCCGCGAGGGTTCTCGGCACAGCCGTCGAGAAGCTGCAGGCTGGGGGTGGCAAGGTTGTCTTGGTAATGGACCAGCCGGACGTGTTGCTCGCGGCTGCGTCACCCGCCGACGGCGTCACGGGGACGGCTTGGAAGGACGTGGTTCTCGGGCTACGACAGGTGCGTGCCTGTGCTTTTTGGCCCCTTGAGAGTTCCCCTTGCCTGTCTGGCACGATCTGGGTCGACAGATGGGCTGCCTGTCTTGACATCTGGCTCCCTTTCTACATAGCGCATGGGGTCCAAGCACGACAAACATTGTTCAGCGGTTCACATGTAACATTGACGACAGCCGGTAATGCTGACTAGGCGCGTAACAGAAAGTCCACGCAACCGTTCTTACGGCGTCGGCGGATGAGCCACTGGTTTCCGCGCAAACGACGACATTGGAGAAGGAGCATGCTGCCTTCGTCTTGTCCCTGGCGCACGAGGCCGAGGCTGTGCTCAGCTTAAGGCTGTTGGACACGGGGACAGCCAAGGACGTCAGCGGGGTGGTCAGGATTACTGGAGGCGGGGGCCATCTGGACCGCGTCATAGAGGAGCATGAGTATCTGTACCATGTTGGCGGAGATGGCGTGGTTAAGGTCTTTGAGCGCGGGCAGTAGCTGGCAAACACACCGAAGAAGCACGAATAGGAAACCATCCATCACTGGGGTCCATGGGGCCCGGTTCTGTCGCACCGCGTGGTCTTGGCTTGTCTCTGCATTGTACCGCGAACACTTGGTGTATCTGAGGGTGTAGATGTGCTGGAAACTTGGTTGCGAGGCTTGTCCACCTTCCGTCATTTCGCGAAACAGCCGTCCTCAATTTCCCGTGTTCATGCTGGCTTCATGGTTGGTTGCGATCCGCATAGCCTTGTATTCCAGACTACGTACGAATCTCGACTCCCCGAACGCATCAAAAATGCCATAAGTTCATATGACGACCTGCAAGACCGAAACCCTTGCATCTTGCCCGGAATCATGAAGCAAAAGAGAATGGTCCGATCCGTTCAGCATTGTGTGATTCCCCCTTCCCTAGACGCCATTTTGCTCATTTGACCACAAGTCTCCGAAACGTTGACTGAACCTCGCCGCGATTTTTTTCGTGGCGGCTCGTCATCTATGCCTTCTGGGGACCGCGGGCACCCTTGGGAGTGCCGGTCTGGAAACCGTTCTTGAAGCGTCGGGACATGGTGGAGAGGGATCGCATGCGGCCGGTACCGGTGGTCTTCCTGCGCTTGGCCTTCTCGGACCAGTTGTCTGTTTCGTGTTGTGGTCAGCATCCTGCTCTGGTCCTCCTGCGTTGTTGCCGGGTCTGTTGCATGGCTGGGTGGTGATTCGCGTGAGGGTAGATGGTTCGGTTTCACGTACACTTCCTGGTCTTAGCAGCGGGGAAACCGCAAGAAGCGCAGGTGTGCTTCTGGATGTGCAGAGATCGGCGACCTGTTTGTTGACAAGACGATATAGTCAGCCCGCTGTCGTAAGTCCTCCATGCAATTGTTCCTCCTCATTCGGTCGTTCTCTGCTCTTCCAATCGCCAATTCCAAGTCCCGATGGGTGTCTGCTACTGACCACAGCGACGGCACAGAGTGTGCGTCTTGTTGTGACGCTTTCCGAAAGAGCTGGTTCCCTTCGCTGTTTGGTTTTGTCAGTTTCGCTGTCGTGTCGGGGTTGATCGAAATCGTGGGACCAGGGTGGACGAACTCATTTTGCCGGTTTGTCTACGACGAGAAAGTCAGTACGAAATATAACGGGATTTAAATTCGACCTGAGTCTGACGGGGATTTCACATACCACTGTTGATGGGTTAGGGGGACAAAGGTAACGGTATTCTTCCTTGGGTCGTTGATGGAGTCGCTTCGCAGCGGGATGGGCCAGAAAAAATCTCGGGCAACCTGCAACTTCGGTGCGCAAGTCACGTGCCGTCCAAGTCGCTTCGCAGCTTCCCACTAGCCTTGGACTTTAGCGCCCCTGGCCTGGCCACTGCCCAAACCATCAGACCAGTCAACCAATCAGGCTAAACAGGCCCGCTTGTCTTCGGGTTACTTTATTTATCATTAGCTGACCTCTCATCTCCTGCGGGACAACTGGACAACCTCCCTAAGTGATGACCGCCTACAGAGAGCGACCTACGACACCGCATCTAATAGAATGCCACCTATGGTACAATTCTGATGGAAAACCTCTTGGTAGGATAACATCCTATCATCCTGCCGTGATCACGTCCGCATGGGCTCTCGGACTATCCGTTGGAGGGCCTCTTTGCCATGGGGACCCCGAGGTTCTACAGACGCTCGTCACACGTATCTGTCTGCGCCCGAGAAGAGTTGTCGCATAGCCAGGCTATCAAGAGAGGCTTTCAGAAATAAGAGAATCCTGCCACGAACTGGTGGAGACTGTCGTGGGCGCCTCGAGTGTATCTGAGATCACATGACTAGCGATACTCAAGACATGAATTCACGATGCAGCAAGCATATTTCAGATTTTTTGATTCATCTGTGTGACAGAGCCAACTGGCAACGTGCTAGCTAAAGCTACCTTTCCATCTGGCGGAAGAGTTCCAAACAAACCAAACAATACTGTCTATCTGAACAATGTGAGGCCCGAAATCCAGGCTGTTCCTGTCCGCGAATCAGTTCCTCGGACCAGTATCAAGATACGCGACGGGCTGAAATTCCTGTCTTCCACGGTAAATAGCCACCATGGCATGAATTGCCCTACGGGGCCGACGAGAATCCAACGAGTCGGGTGTTATGTGATCGGGCGTAACAGTTGCGTCCTGCCACGCTCAGTGTTTATGATGACATGGTCGACGTGGCATGAAGGCGTAGGCCACACAAGCGAGATGCGTGTGTGTCACGCCGAACGGTATTAAAGATGTATGTGGTAACAGGAGAACTTTTCAGACCAAAACCCGAGACAGTCAATTGAAGAAGAAGGAACGCAAATAATGAGTCGCGTGCGGTCTGTGCTGAGGGAATAAGTGCTCAGTCCTCACCACAGCCGTTTTCGGAACCATTGTCGACAGTGCCATGGCCGTTGCGAGTAGGGGTCGACTGGCCCTTTGTGTCCTCGGTGCGGCCACTCATCATGGGAGTGGGGGACTGAAATGCGTAAGCGCCCATGTAGAAGGAGGATGGATCGTATCCCATCATGCCAGGCCAGTAGCTGTTGTAGTATGTCCAAGGACTGGGGATCTGAGGGGTCGCCTGAGGCGTCACTGGCATGCCCGAAGCACCGGGGTGAGCGCCGTAGCCCGTTGCATAGTTAGGGTGCGCGAAAGGCGAGTTCGGTATGCCGTAGCCCCATCCGCCGTACATCGGGGGAGGAACAGGTGCAGGAGACATCTCGGCCGAAGCGACAGTCGGACGGGTGGGGGTGCTGACGACCTGGACGGCAGGGGACTTGGGCGGTCCGCGCGCAATGGGCGAGCCTTCTGGCTGCCGAAGAAGGAGCTGAGATCGGGAGGTGCGAGGGGTCGGGCCGCGGTCTTTCACAGACTTGCGCTCAACTCGAATGACTGTTCCCTTGAAGACGCTGCCATGGAACTTGCTGATTGCGGTCTCGGGCATATCGGACTGGGAGTACTCAACGAAAGCCATGGTTCGGGCGATGCCAGCATTGTTCATCTTTTTGATGACATTGACCTTCAGGACCTCTCCGGCATTGGAGAACAACTCTTCAAGATCACACTCGGTTGCGTACACCGGCAGGTCCCCAACGAATACGGAGCGACGGTCTCGCTCGCACGCCGCGAGGAATGCCTCGTCACTGGTGTCACGAGTGGCCGCGCAGTTCTTCTTGAGATCGAAAGCCGCGACAATGTAGACAGGGTCATGGCGGAAGGCTGTATGAAGGTCTCGAGTAGCATCGAACATGGAGAACTCTACCAGGACTGTGGGCGGGAATCCAAGTGGCTCCCGTAGCTGAGGATGCAGGAGCTCGCACTTGCTCAGCGAGCCGTAAGGCAGTAAGGTGCTCTGCGCCTCCTCAATGGTGATAGGGGTACCAGACCTCTTCTGGACAATGAAGGTGCGGTTGGCCTTCACCATCTCGGTGCGGCATGGGCGGCCGCAAATGATTGCTCCTTTTCCATTCTCCAGGGCGTTTCTTGCCTCCTCGTCCGAGGTGAATTGGACAAAGGCGAAGGGCATGTGATGAGAGTCACGGCGAATCTTGACCCAGCACTTTCCATACTTCAGGAACTCCCGGTAGATGGCAGCCTCTAGGTTGAGATCATCTTTCGGCTCTGGGAGGCTACATTTCAGTGTGAGCATAACGGACGAGTCGAAGGAGAAGGGGATGATGATACTTACTTCGCGACGAAAACGCAAGCAGTGGGGGGGTACAGATTCTGGGCATCAACACCATCAATCTGGTGACGGCCACCCACGTTGGACGCACGGGTTCGAAGAGCGTGGTCTCCGTTGGCCAGAGCGACATCGAGGCGCTGCATGTTGGCGGTGGTGATAGAGTGCTCTGAGCGCCGCTCCCTCAGCGGCTTGGTGGGCGAGCAAACAAACACATCATCACGGTCATCTGCGCTGACGCGGCAGGTTGGAGACCTAGGCGAGGTTGGTTAATTAAGGCTCAGTAATACCAGGCTGGGCACCTACTCGTTGCCAGCAGTCCGCATCTCGATGGCAAAACGGGAGTTTCCAGTACCAAAACGAGCGTGTGGAGGGGTGTATCTAGGAGAGCCGCAAATCGATGAAGCGTCGAGGCGAGCGCCTAGTGATACTGTCAGCCAAATCCGTTTGAGATGGGCCACTCCATCGAATGGCAAACGCGACGAGGTACACATTGTTCTGCGGCAGGTCAAGGACCATCCTCTGTAGGGAAGACTCACCGCCAATTTCGCTGTCGCCAGCTGAAGAAATCTCGCTGGGAGAGGGGGCGCGGTCAGAGGCAGTGAGCATCGCTGCCTTGTTGCGCTTGAAACGCTCGGGCGAGGGCTCGCAAGATCTGCTGAGTGCTGCCATTGCGGTTGCGTTATCTGTGGGTGCCACGATGGCTGGTCCTTGATTTGAAGATTTGAAAAACAAGTTGAAAGAGGGTGATGAGGAGAAAAGTAATGACCACTTAGTGAGTGAGAGTGGTGCGGGATCAACACAGAAACTGGGCAAGATGGGGAAGTGTCGAGAAACCCAAAAGGAGTGTTTTGTGTCAAAGTTGGTCAACAAGAAAGTCTCCAGTCAGTATGGTAAAGGATGTTTTTCTGGCTAACAATGATGAAAAGTGGCGCACACTGTTGGAACAAATCCAAGTACAAGTCAGATGGAAGACTTTGCACCAATGGAGAGTTCTGACGAAAAGTGGTTGCCTCTGGGAGGTGGTTAAGGGACTGGATGGGCGAAGTAGGGGGTAGGCCTGTGCCAGGTGGGTGGAGGGACCTAGGCAGCCGGTTGCACTCAGAAATGGCATGCTTTGGCATCACTGCATCTTTGGCAAGCTTGCCCTTCCGCCCCTAGCCAGCTTTACACTTAGGCATTGATTAGCTGTGCTGGCCGTGCAGCATGGTAGTACCTCAACGACAACAGGTAAACTGTGCCCTGTCAACCACAGCTTTCTGTGTTCTGAGGCCATGAGGCTACCCGTGATGGACAAGGCCTTTCGATGACACAAGCTTGACGGTGTCTAATTCTTTGGCTTTCCTCCAAGAAGTGCGCTTGCAGAAGCACTTGGGCAGGGTCAACAGGTGTGCTTCGTCCCTTCCTCTCACTACTACACTTGTACAGTAAAGTGATTCCAACCCAAGCTGTCTTTCAAGGTTGTGTTTAAATTTTTAGCCCCCATGAATGTAGATAGGTTTAAGAAACCGCATCTTTGGATACCTTTTTCGTTCACCCAGTCTTTCGTAAAAATCCAGCTCTTCAGGAGGGCCACCATCAGCTGAGCAAAGCATGAAGCCCAAATATTGGACAGCCCTGGGTTGTTACGTCTGCCGTTCTTCCAACTTTGAGACATTCTCACTTGGCCACCAAAGCTTCCCCTCAAGCTGCCTTCAATCCTAGGCCATAATGTGTTGGGCCTCAGTCCACAGCACTTGCATGTGAGAGCGGTGTGACAGAGAGGAACGCAGGCCGCTGCCCTGACACAAATAAAAAGAAAATGACAGACCAGGCATACTTCCCAACTGTAACTTATCAACTGCCAACAACAATGCGGCGTTTTCTCTCTTACAGGTAAGAGTGAAAATTGAGCCTGGTTTGTAGGATCTTTGCTATCTAGCATGAGATAGCTCTCCCGCCGGGAAACCGATCTGCAAAGCGGAAGATGAGTCAAAAACAATGCATTCCCAGTGAGTGGGATGATCACTGATTTCTTTCGAGCAAATGAGATCATAGGAACAAGGAAGTAATCCACAACCAACATTCTGCAAGAAGTGGTAGGAGGTAGCATTGGGCGAATGGCCGTCAGCCGACGCAGCAGTGGTGGTTGTCGTCGGAGCTCGTCTGGACGTGTTATGTAATCAACATTGAGCTCCCAGAGCTCCCGAAAATGACGTCCTCAATGGAGGAGGCTCTAACTACAACTACATCTCGCAAACCCTCTTTCCCAGTTCCGGTCTGCAACCCATACGGAGGCAATCTTTGCTACCTAGCATGGGATAGCTCTTCGAGCCACGAGGCTCTCAGACTCCAATTTCCCACAAGCCATCCGTGTCAATTCGCAAAAATGAGGGCCACACCTCGCCTGTCAAAAGGCTTCATCGGCCGCAGTGTCGACGAGCTCAAGAGGTTTACGAGCATCGGTATGGGCCCTGCATACCCTGAAATGCTGCAATGTTCTAACACCTGTTCCTTCCAAGCACTCAATCTTGAGGCTGTCAAAGGTCCAGCCGGTCCTCTCCAGTTGCATTCCTTCCGCGCACAGGAGTCCATGCAAGCCTGCAAGCTCATGTCCGATGCGGACATTGGAGGCTTCTCGAAAGCACAGCTCGAGTGGATACCCCGGTCATCCTCGGATACTTTGGCGCGCGGGGACAATCTCAACGGCTACGCCAGATTTCACGGTTCCATCTCAACACAATTACCAAAGGATATTCCTAACGTGGAGAGATCAGGATATGCAGCCTGGCGGACACTGGACAGGCCGCGAACACTATTTGGAAAGAGCCTATGGGACATCGATCCATACGCATATCTCGCGCTGAGGATCAAATCTGATGGGCGAAGCTACATGGTCAACGTGCAGACCGAGTCCATCGTGCCAACAGATATACACCAGCATCGTCTGTTCAGCAGGCGGCCCGGGCAGTGGGAGACCGTGCTGATCAAGTGGAATGACTTTGTGAGGACGAATCACGGCTACGTTGTTGAGCCACAGACCGAGATGCTGCGGCAGAAGGTCCGGACCATCGGGATCGGGCTCACAGACAGGATACCAGGACCCTTTGATCTGTCCATCGAGCGGATATGGGCTACCAATGACCCAAACGAGGCCGCTAATTCCGAGAGCAGTCCCCCGAACAAGGGTGGTTTGAAAAATAAGCAAGGCAAAAATGTCACTTGGGTTACAGATTGAGCTCAAGGCTGTAGGACAAGCAGCTGTCCCAAAGGCCTCACTCCGTCTGCGGGAATAAGACGGCCGGCTCAGAAGAAACAAGACGCTCCGGGATTAGACAACCCAAGGATGCAAACCCAGAGATACGAGGTCAGGGTGACGACAGTCTGACAACCAATCCATCACGAAGCGCCCTTGTGCCAGCCAGGAAGGATAGCATAGCAACCTCGGCTGTGAGGTTCAGGCACAATAAGCCGAGTCTCTGTTGAAGCTAGTCGGGAATTACCTCTTGAAGAGACCATGTGAACGCAGAGGGATGGTTGCATCCGTTTTCTTCTGTGGTTCAACTGTCATGACACGAAGGATGGACTGTTTATCCGGCCGATGCACGCCCAACAGTGGCTGAGGGTGCGGCCGGAACGCCTCTATTCGCAGAAAGCATGCGGGCAGCCGGGCAGCCTTTGCAGCAGCAGTGTATTAAATCACTATCACATCAAGAGAACTAGCATACACCCACAAGCACTTGACTGCGCATTGCTTCTCAATACGTACTTAGGCCGTGTGGATCGTCGAGAAGGTGCCCACGGGCCAATCATTAATGCGTATCCTCCAGCTCTGCTCCGTAGCGGGAGATTAGCCCCCCACACCACGGCCGATCGGAAAGGCGATTCCAGCCGGGTAGCACGCCACGCCGGCCAAATTTTCATCGTGTAATAGTCCTCCACACATGATCCATTGATACATAGCACGCGTGACCACCATACTTTCCTTTTACAGAGTCATACCTTTATCGCTGTCCTTTTCTGATGCTCTTTTCCGCTGTGCTTCAACCACTGTGAAACCCCCAGAGCGTCTGATCAAGCAACTTACACGAATCATGGGTCAGCCGTCATCCCAGGCGTCCAACGCCATAGTATACCTAACTTATGGTGCATTTCTGTGAGTTAAATAAAGCTCCGAGGCGGAGACTGTGTTATATCTTTAAAGCCCTAAGCGGAGATAAGCTGACCTCCTTGATCAACAGTATTCTGGGAACAGCCCTGGCATGGAGATTCCGCAAGGACTCTAAGGGCGAGTTCCTCTCGGGAAACAGAACTCGGACTGGTCAGGAAATCAACACCCCTTGAAGTGGATCCGGGATGGAAGGGACGATACCTGTCGAACACAGGGCTTCGTAACTTTCACACCAGACTCGCCGGCCCTTAGCCATGTTGCTTCCATGTTCCGCCATCGGCTAACCCTATGGCAGCACTTCCGATCGCCCTGAACTTCATCGCTTCTGGTCAGTGAGACAATGCGCGAAATCGCTCACCATCCTCGAATCAGAGCGGTAGCAGACAAGAAGCATTACCTTGAGTGTGACAAGGCCAAGGGCCACGCCCTCTCCTCCAATGGCAGCCACCACGAGGTGGCGTCTGGCCATCGGGCAGAGGCCGTGCGAGTATATTTGTGAGACTGGCAACAGGTTCGTATTCAACACTTACAGTCATCTCTGCCCTCTCAGAAGATGTCTCAAGAGGCAGCTGTCTGCAGGCTCCTTCTGGGAGACCATGGGCTGGTTTGTTTCGAGTGACTCTTTTGAGAGGGCAGAGATTGCGGCTCACTACGGGCGCGGATTTGAAGCGAGTTTGCCAATTGTGGTCCAACCTCTCACTCCAGATGTCATTATCTGAGGAGGGGAGATCATGAAGGCCTCGTGGAAATGAAGCTGAGATTGTACCGTAATTACTCGATCAAGTTAATGCTTGCGTGGGAAACGTGCTGCCGCTCCGGTCTTAAAACCTTACCCTTACTTGCCCCCCTCAACCCCCCATCACCCTACTAACTGACCTAGGTCTCGGATCTGGCATCCTCTTCTCCTACCCGGAGCTCGCCACGATCGCCGGCGTGCAAGGCGTGATCACCTACGCGCTGATGTCCGCCCTGCCTCTGCTGATCTTCGCGGCTCTTGGGCCCATAATCCGCCGGAAGTGTCCCGAGGGCTTCGTCCTTACGGAATGGACACGCCAGCGCTACGGCGTCATAACGGCCCTGTGGTTGAGCTTCTTGACGCTGGTTACCATGTTCTTGTACATGGTATCTGAGCTGTCCGCAATCGGCCAGGTCGTCAGCACTTTGACAGGGCTGGACTCACTTCCAGTCCTCATCGTGCAGTGTGTTGTTACGACCATCTACACCTGTGGGTCAACATGATGGGAAAGCATGTATTGGCGGGGTCATGGGCTGACATTGTGCCTCTTGCAGCTCTCGGCGGCTTCAAGGTCTCCTTCATCACGGACAACATCCAAGGCACTATGGTGCTGGGCCTCATCATAATCGCAACAATCACCATCGGTGCGCGAACCGACATCCAGCCGGGCCTCGTCGAACGTTCTGGTCTTCTAGAACCAAGCTTGCTCGGCTGGCAGCTCCTGTACATCTTCCCGGTGGCGATTATGACCAATGACTTCTTCCTCTCCAGCTTCTGGCTGCGGACCTTTGCCTCAAAGACCGACAAAGATCTCTGGATCGGCGTCAGCATCGCCGTCGTCTGTGTGCTCATTATCCTAACGCTCGTAGGAATGACCGGCTGCATCGCGGCGTGGTCCGGCGCCTGGCCCGGCGACCCAGCCCAGGAGGGCAGTGTAGCATTCTTCCTGCTGCTGGAGCAGCTCCCCAACTGGGTGATCGGGATCGTTCTCGTCATGGCTGTGTCGCTGTCTACCGCGTCCTTCGACTCGCTCCAGTCGGCCATGGTCTCGTCCGCCGCCAACGACCTGTTCCGCAACAAGCTGAACATCTGGTACATCCGCCTGGGCGTTGTGCTGCTCATCGTTCCCGTGATTGTCATTGCGCTGAGGGCCATCTCCATCTTGCAGATCTACCTCATCACGGACCTGCTCTCGGCCTCAACTATCCCCGTGCTGGTCCTCGGCCTCAACGACAGGGTCTACTGGTGGCGCGGCTTCGAGGTCGTCGTCGGCGGGCTGGGCGGCATCCTAAGCGTGTTCATATTCGGCACCATCTACTACGGCAACGCCCTGGCTGGTGCACAACTGATCCTCCTCGAGCAGGGCCTCTACGGCAACGACTGGGCTGCGTTCGGCGCCTTCGTTGCTGCCCCTGTCGGCGGGCTTCTCTTTGGCTTCGCAGCCTGTGCGCTGAGGCTCACTTTCCAATTCTTGTGGGCAAAAAAGAATGGTACTCGGTTTGCCGGGCTTGACCGCCCTGTGGACGAGGATTCTGAGACAGAAGTGGTCGTCCATCAGAATGAGGAGGTACCTGTAAGCAGCTGCTGGATACAGCCCTTTCCCCTTGCCATTCGCAGCCTGTACAACAAGGACTTCAGGGGCTTCATGTTTGAAGACAGCCCATAGCCACCTTGTGGCCTGCTCTTTGCTTCATTGGCACCAATGTACTCGTTCGATTATCTGACCGCTGACTCCCAACGTTGCAGATTTCCAAGCATGCTGGCAAATTCTTCTAGGGCCCTTGTCTTCGGCGATTTGGGAGGCATATGTGGGAGGTCACCTCTGGGAGGTAACCTGTGGGAGGTAACCTGTGGGGTTGGTGTACGGGCGGCGTGAGTCGAAATGTGACAGTTGCATAAATTGTGGGTGCTGGCAGGCGGGAGCAGTCTCGAGAGAGATGATTTACTGGGTGAGCGGTTGGTATCTTCAGATAGAACCAATGGGGACATTATCGCTTGGAGAAGATGTCTTCGTGAAGAGATATCGCGCGAACCATCATGCATGTTGCATAATTGGATGATCCGAGTCGATTTTCTTGCGGGGGTGTCGTATGAGGGCAGCACATCCAAGACGACGGCAATTAATAAGGGTATTAACCTTCCGAAGATGCGATTTTGCAGGCATGGGCCATTGTTGTATTGTACATCTATTTGCGAGTACCGAGAGCCCTCCGTTCGGTGTCCAGCTTCTTCTGGGCCAAATTCTTCTGGGCCATGTTCATCTCGTCCAACTCCTCCATAATATCCTCGTATGTCGTCTCCTTCAGGGTTCCATAGATTTGCCAATCAGACTGCGTCATGTTCACGGGGTCAACCTGACGCCACAGCACGATGTACTCGAGCAGCTCCATCTCCTTCTGCGAGACCCTCTCGCCCCTCGCGTTGAGCTCGCTCAGGCGCTGCTTGCTCTTGATGCCCACGACGGCCTGGCGGAACGTCAACTTCATGCCGACGTCCGTCTCGTTCCACTTGTTGTCGACGACCCGGGGCCACCACGGCCGGCCCGTCTCGGCAACGCGCTCCCACTCGTAGCGCTTGCCCCTGGGCCGACTCTCGATGGCGCTCAGCAGCGACCGGTACAGCTTGGGGACGCAGATCTGTGCGAGCTGTGCCTTCTCCTCCGGGCCGCCCTTGGCTAGACAGGATGACATGGACGCGTGCAGGCTGCGCGCCGCGGAAATTATTTCGCTGTTCGTGGAGCGGAGGCGCGCCTTCTTGTTCCATGCGGGCTTGGTGGCCCACGAGTACGAGAGCCGCTGCAGCCGGTCGACAAAGCGCTGCTTGAGCAACTCCCAATGGTAGTTCAAGAACTGCTTGAGCGCGCGAGGTCGTTTAGAGAGGGGCAGGGGCACAATTGTTCCTGCAAGGTCCTGTTAGCCTTGCGCTTCTGTGGCTGGGTAGCTGGCCTCGACCGCCGTCCACGGGGTGGCTTACGTGGAGCGAGCAGGGCCATAGAACCGATGTCCTGCTTCTTGTCCGCGGCGTGCATCTGCTTCAGTATGGTTGAGGTTGCTTGTTGCTGGCTGATCTGCTTCATTGCAGAGCCCAAGCTTTGCCTGTACGATGCGTCGACCTTGAAGGACTTCCCTCGGGTCTGCTCGGGATTCGCCCGGAAAACTCGCGGCCCGGAGAGGAACGACGGGGCGACCACCTGCCGTGGGGAGGGCAGCAGCCGTGGCCGCGTGCGAAATGTGGCTGCCATGGTCGTGGCGGGTGTGTGTACGGAGGACGCCCGGTGGAAGTCGAGCCTTAGTCGAGGACCGGGGACGGCGTCATGCAACGAGCTTGGGTGGATCGGGTCGCAGGGCAAAGATGGGGGTTACGGAAGCCGTCGTGGCGCTGCTGGCAGTTGAGCGACTGGTCCCGCAACAGGTTCACCTCTCCTTCCGCCCTCGTGGCTGAATTGCTGGTAAACACAATGCGCCAGGTCGGCATATCACCGCCTCCTGCGGGTCATGATGCAGCTCCCCTTCAGCAAAATTTTGGCGGATGCGCCCGTGCCTGCCCACCGATAAGCCGGGGTCTGGGTCCCGCTGTGGGGAATACAGGTGCCTACCTAGGTACCTAGGTGGCCTGCCGGCACGGAGTAGTCAAGATGCTCTCTGCAAGGGGCAGCTGGGTGGCACCCGCGGCAGTCTAGCCGCTCGCGAGACACAAGGGTCCCGAGGAAGCTTGGACTTTGGCTATGCTCCTGCCGTCACGGTGAGAGCCAAGGTAATTTTTGTGCCGGTAGAGCAAGAACAGAAGTCTACTCGAACAAGTAGTCGGCCGGGGCACCATTCCAAACCACAGTATCTACCAGCTTATCTCGCTCCCGGAAAATCAGAGCTGGGAGTGCTGGGAATGACCTCAGAAGAGCGCCCTGAAGCTCAGAGTCTCAGTCGAGGTTCCCCCTCTCCAGGCACCTGGCTTCTCCTCCACTAGCTCGCAGTCGAGAATCCTTCTCTCTTGGAACGCATGGTCATTTTTCACCCAACGCACTCACCTGCACCCATGCTATGAGAAAGCTCGCCAGCTGAGCATTCCAATCCCTAGCCAGGAAGTCCTCTGCCCCAGGGTCTGAGGGGCCGTCCCACCTGCCCCCCCCCCCCTGACGAAGGGAGAGCCCGCCGATGTCAGCCTTAACCAGGGCGCGGACGTGGTCGACGAACAGACACGACCAGGAGCAAGCACACGCAGCGGATCGGGCAGCAAGGCATGTCTCCTCCGCCGCAACTGCCACTACCACCACCACCAGGTTCAACACCGAATATGTCGCCGTCGCCAGAGATGGCCGCCCCATCAAGGACAACACGTACGGCGCCGCCGCCGGTCCAGACCTCGAGGCCGAACCGATAGCCCACCCGACCTTCCTCCAGCCCCGTGTGGCCGCCGTGCTGGGCGTCTCCGAGTGGTGGCACCCCATCCTATTCTCCCTGCGGCTGCTGTCCATCCTGCCGTCCATTTACCTCTGTTTCCCCGTCGCCATTCGCTTCCTGCTCAAGCTCCACGCATTCGCCACCTCGGACGGCGCTGGCGCCGTGCAGGGGCGGACATCCGGCCAGGACAGGCTGCTCCTGACCGAGACCATGCTCGCTATCGTCTGGTGCGGGTGTTCTGGGTACCTGTCCTTCTTCTTCACGGACTGCCTCATGTCCAGGTGGTAAGTCACTGGTGCCCGCCTGCCTTTTGCGTGCCCGTACACTTACATTGTCCTGTCTGATTCCTAGGCTGGTGAACTATACACCCTCCGCGACGGCCTTCCGCCTTGTCTCCGTATCTGCCCTCAATGGTTACCTACAATCGTGGACCCTCGACCTCAGCGGCAGCTCGCAGGATCCTTTTCTACTCCTGCCGACCTGGATAATTATAACAAGTGTAAGAGCCCCCCCCCCCCTGTGCAACCTCACTCAACTCGCCGCTCTCCGGGTTCTTGCTCGTTGCGCAGCAGCTCGCTGATCTTTTGGAAACCTCAGACGCTCACCCTCGTCTACCACATAACACAACGCAAGATCAACATCCTGAAGGAAACCTCCACCTCCATCAGCGTCTTCTCCATGGCGAGCTACGTCAGTATGGTCGCCCTCTTGATTCAGCAGCACTGGGATCGGGACTGGTTCGATTTGCCATTCGTTGCGCTGGGATATAGGCTGTTGCGTCAGGGAGGAGAGCTGGTGGTCAGCGTGGCCAACTTTGCAAATATCACACTGGAACCTTGAAGGAGAACAGGTAGTGATGGTATTGCACTCTCTCTCTTTTTTTACATGTTCTTCTCTAATCCGGGATTTTCTGTCAAATCTGCTTGAGATACCCCTTGTTCAGCACAATCGAGTCGGCAGGAAGCATCGGGCTGGAGTTATAACGGTTTGGGCATGACAGGTTGGTCGGGAATCTCGAGCCTGTGTAATCACTAGCGCAGGAGCTTGGTACGGTTGCAGCAATTATGTTCGTTCCCCTTTGTATGTCGCCGGGTCCGTGTGGGTCCGTCCGTCGTGCAGTCTGTCAATCAGTCAGGGGCAAGACACAGGCCACCTATCGTGGGCCGCGGGCAGACCAAATGCGCGAGCATCAATGTCACAGGAGAGCCACGTCTAGGGATATGAACGATGTGCCATTTCTGCTACTAACGCCAATACTGCGGAAATCATAACGAGTGAAGCGCGTGGCGACAAGGACATCAGCTCCAACTTCAATCAATCCCCCAAAAAAGGACTCCCCCAAGGATTCGATGTCCGTGATCGATGGGGTATCATGTCAAGTGTTTCCTCTCCGGCGCCCGAGATGTCTCCATATCTGGAGAAGCTGTGGCATGAGGAGACCTGATGTGTTCCTTGGTTTAGGTATCGCCTCCGAATCAAGCCGTTCCCACGCAGCAGTCCTGGTCGAGGATACGTGACATGATGAGGGCCCTTAGAAACCGTGGACCTTAATGGTCTTGGGGTCGAGCTCAAGACCGTCCTTGCTGGTAAGGAACTCCTGGAAATCCTTGCGCTGGTCGCCCTGGAGCTGGATCACCTCGCCCATCTCAGCATCGTTGACGATGGTGCCATTGCAGGCTGCAGCGTGGCAAAGTTAGTCACCAATCTTGGTATGAGTCAAAGGCGGACGTGAGTGGGTGAGTGGTTGGTGGTTGATGGTTGGGCACTCACCAAACTTCTTCTTGACGACTGCAAGAATCTTCTTCCGGCTGAACTTTGCAGGGATGCCCTGAACTGTGGTCAAGGTCTTACGTCCATTTCGCTCTGTTGGGCAGACTCGTCAGCCGGTGTCGCGCAGAAAGTACAGGGCAGAGAGGAACAGTCTAGATGGGCGGCGTCATGGTTGCACAGAACCGCTATCAACCATCATGTTGCTGTCCCACCGTCCCCCCTCGTGGGGAGGCGGTCAGGGATGGACGTACGCTGAATCCGAATATGGATATAGTCAGGAGCCTTGGACTGTTCTCCAGTGTCCTCGTCGGCTTCGGCGAAGGGGTCTGTGAGGGCTGATGTTAGCATTGATGTTTGCGGGCTTAGCCTGATAAGAGGCCCAAACGCGGGGAAGGTGCTGCCGCATCGAGGGCTGTTCCCAAGGCTGTCCCAAGGCTGTCGGGGGCCTCGACTCTCGACGCAGCGGACAAAACAAGGAATCCGTGGCCTGTGCGACGCAAGACTGACGCCTGCTGCTCAATCACAGGCGGTGCATCGCAGGGAGGGGCGGATCCATGTGCGGTGGGCTTTGGGTGGTGGTGAAGCTGAGAGACTGACCGTAAGACTTGAGATTTTCGATTGACATAGGCAGCGACGGACGGCACAGATGGCGTCTCACTGAAATTGGTGTGTTGAGGTATCGGGGTGGAGCCGAGGTGCTGTAGATCTGGACTTGGCTGGCAGACTTGTTGCGGAGTCGGATGGTGGTGATAGGATGGGATGTTTTGTGGAAGAGAGAGGCTGGTCGAGAACGGCAATTTGAGGACGAAGTGTTTAAGTAGAATCGAGGAGGGGTCCCGTCTAGTCCAGTGGCCGCCGCGCGCCGCTTCTACGCCCCTCGCCCCCTGGCTTTCTGGGCACCAACAACCGCACTGGCCAGCTAGGCCTGACAACTTGGTCCTAGGTAGATACCTAGGTACCTAGGTAGTGCCTACACACCCAGAGGTGCATTACGGTGTGTGCAGTGCCCCGCTTATTATTAGAATCTTCCGACTCTAGAACCTTACCTTCCATCACCCCCTAGAGGCCCAAACTAATTATTTATTAGTCATTATTATCTATAGTATATTATAGTTAAATAAGTATTATATTTTTACTTTAATTATAAAATTAACTAATAAATATATTTTTAATTTAATTTTTATTATTTTTATAAAATTAATTTTTTAAAAAATAATTATATTTTATTTAAATAAATATCTTATTTTTTATAACTTATTATAAATACTCTTATTTTAAATTAGAAATTAATAGACTAGCCCTTACCCTAAGTTGATCCTCTTACTCTCCCTCCTCCCCTCCTCCCTCCTACACTCCTACCCTCCTACCCTCCTACCGTCCTTACCCTCCTCAAAGCCCCCCCCCCCCCCCCAATCATGAGGTCATCCTTCGGCGGGTCACATCAAAAGAGGTTTTCTTCTCAAGTCTGATGGATGCCTCTGCAGGCCGCCCTGCTCAACGCCTCAATGCCTCAACGCCTCAACACACAGATGCCTTTCGCACCTGATGATCTTAGCGACGCCAGCAACAAAGCATCGGCTGTCTCCCACCAGATCTTCGAGGAGGCGGGAGCCGGCAGTAGCCGCTCTGACTGGACGCCTTTGTTTAAGCATGAGATACGATTCGACCCGGTCATATTTGACCAGGTGATGCTAAATTTGATCCGCAACCCGAATATCAACTCCTCCTGGCTTTTTCGAGCCGACATTCTGCTGGACCAGGTCGCTGGCTCAGAAGTCTCTGATGTTTCGTTCGACGGCCAGCCACCGGTCCCAGGCTTCTCAGGGCTCAAGGAAACCCGGCGTTTAGTTCGTCGGATGATCCCTCGCAATGAGCTGCGAGATAAGCCTCTCGATCAGACCTGTGTCTTTTACCAGGGTTCCACGCCGCAAGGCTTGCAGCGGTCTCTGATCACTTACCTTCCACACTCTAAGTCAGAGTCTGATATTCCCTATTATCATCCAGCCGTGCGAGGCATCGCCTTTCTGCATGATTGGGATCCGGGACATTCTCGTGGCACCATCTCTATCAGCTACTGCCTCTTTGATGGGAGCGAGCGAGATGAGAAGCTCTCGAGGACGGCACTCAACCTGCTGAGGGTTTTGCACAGGCACGGCCACGGCCAAGCGGATGGCTATAAAAAGCGTGTTCACCACGATGTACTGGTTCCACAGGTGGCACTTCAGAACAGGTACGCTACTTTGAAAAAGAAGTACGCTCGGTCCCTTGTTGAGGGATGGGAGGAGGTCACTGACCCCGGCAAACATGTCTTTGAGGATATCTGTATTGCGGCCTTCCTCATCGAACTGTGGGAGGAAATGTACAAGGACTCCGAGTTCCCTGGCTGGGTAGACATTGGCTGTGGCAATGGCCTCCTCACCTACATCTTGAACAGTGAGAACTACCCTGGATGGGGGTTCGATGCGCGGGCAAGAAGGTCATGGCCAAAGTACAGCACTGAAGTCCGAGTCCGGAATCCAACCGACAGCTTTGTAGAGCGACAGTCATTGGAGACACGCGTACTCCTGCCATCTGTCGTGGGTGGTGCGCAACCAGGCGGCGAGGATATGCCCCATGATGGGTTGATCCACGATGGAGTCTTTCCTCCCAAGACATTCATAATCTCGAACCACGCCGATGAGCTCACACCGTGGACACCCATCCTGGCGAGACTCTCGGACTGCCCATTCATCATGATTCCATGCTGTAGTCACAACTTGACAGGTGCCAGATTCCGCGCTCCACCACCAAAGGACAAGGCAGAGTCACCATCCGCGTACAACTCCCTTTGCGCCTGGGTTGTTGAGATCGCAAAGGACTGTGGCTGGAAGGTCGAGAAGGAGATGCTGCGCATCCCAAGCACGAGAAACACAGCATTTGTGGGTCGAAGCTTGGCCGAAAATGCGGATTTCGATGTGCAGGCCGTCTTGGAGAAGTATGGCGGAACGCAAGGGTTCTACGAGAACGTCATCAAGCTGCTCAAGGCATCGGCTCGCGGTCACTAGGAAGCCTCGAATGGAGGAAGGAGGTTAACATGCATCAGCGTCTTCAATTTTGCATTCTTGCAAAACCCGCAAGACCGCACGGTGAAGCGGACGTCTACTCAAGACGGCCATGGTTAGCTATGCCACATTCATAGACGACGAGAAACGATAGGAATGTAGCTCAGGGGATCATGACACACAATACCACATTTCCTGCCTTTGGGATAACAAACCATATTTCCGAAGCTGGGGTTGCTACGGCCTCCCACGGGCGATGGGGGATTTGAACAATATATATTGGATGCGCTCAATTGAACAGGAGGGTGTATGATACAGTTCAGTCTACATCAGGAACCGGCAAATGGTCAACCAGCTTCATCTTGAGTCCCTGAGCCTTGAGCGCCTTCATTGCTTGTTCGTCTCTCAACGCCAGGCTCTCCTTCTCGGTAATAATGACAAAGTCCTTCTTCAGCAACCAGATCCCTTCCGGCACATCATACTCCTGCGCCGTCTTCTTGTCTACCTTGTCCAGGTCAATCACCAAACTCTTCTTAACACCGAAGACAGCATCGGATTTCTCATACGGATCATCACGGAGGTATAGCGCGCTGTTCGTCACCGGGTCAGCAATTGGACCGCATCCGAACAAGATCGAGCCACGAGGCTCAAGAGGTGCACACATACGTGATAAAGTGATCCCAACCCGGCTTCTCAAACATGAAATGCACATGTGCCGGCCGGTAGCAGTGCCTGCCCAGCAGCACCAGCAGCTTGCCCACGGGCCCGTCGTGCGGGATGGGGTAGCTGACGGGCTTGATCCCCTTGAACCAGAAGCGCCCCTGCTCGTCACTCACGAGGATGCACCGCTCACTCGGCTCGCCGCGATCCGAGTGCTGAACGTCGTAGTGCCCACTGCTGTCGGTCTCCCAGATATCGATCTTGACGCCCGCCACGGGGTTGCCCTCAGTGTCTCGGACGGTGCAGATCGCGAGCATGGGCTCACCCTCGGGGTCGCTGGCCATCTTCGCCCCATTCTCCAAGGTGGGCGCGTCGTGCGTGTGGAAGGGGCCCAGAAGGGAACCTTCGGTGGCGTTGGGCGGCTTGGGGTGGTTTATACTATCTATCAAGAGGGACAAGCCGAGGATGTCGGAGAGGAGGATGAACTCCTACGCAGAGCACGGGGGCCAGTCAGCACAAGCTCTTTCCCTAGGTCTCCCGGTCTGGATCCGGTTCGGGGGTATGTTGTGGGGTGATCCATAACAAGAGGATAACTCACTTGCCGGACGTCACTGCAAATCTGCCCGGCCTTGGTCAGGAACATCAATGCCGTCATCCACTCGTCGGTACTCAGTCGGGTCTCGCGCGCAAAGTCGTGCAGATGAGTGACGAGTCGTTCAAGGAGATATTTGAGACGCTCATTGTCACCCTGGTTGTTGATCCTGATTGTGTTTGGTGTGATGTTGTCAATGGTGAGGTCCAACAACTCTGGGGTCTTTGCGTCCTGAGCCATGGTTATGTCGTCGTCGTCGTCGTCGTCGTCGTCGTCGTTTCACCTTCGAATAACAATTGGTTGGCAGCCCCGGGAAGACAAGCAGATCGAGAGGGGGCTTGAGATTTTGAATACTCTGTGTATGTCAAGCCCGCGTAAGGTCTTAGCCGTCAGTCGTTATGTAATGCTCTGTCATCGGCTATCGTGAAGCTAACCACAGCCCGGCTGGTAGATGACTGCTCGACTCTTCTCCTCGGTAGCTCTTTCATGAAGATGATCACCTCCTAGCGGGGCGTAGTCCTGGGAAACCAAAAGGACGGAGAGCCGTAGTATTGGTACGGACCGTGCCCTCATTTTGTAGAAGCCCGCGAACGGGTTTACGGAATTATCTCGCCCTTATTCGACACCATCAATCTGCTAAATACTTTTGGGTTCCCGAGTCCCGTCCGGGACTTCCCTATGGTCTTCGCGGCGGTGACAGGTCGGTCCGCCATGCCACCCAGGTGGGGTTGGAGCTCTCAGCGCGGCATCATCAACGTCACCCTGTCTCCCGCGGCCTCCCCTTGTCCGCCTCGGGAGTTGACGACGGCCCCGGGATTGTCTGCATATTAGTAATGCGGGGAATTAACCCTAGGCCATGACGAATAAAGGGTAGACGAAATCGGTCCAAGGCTTATTACATAATACCGCAGACATGTGCGGCGTCGAATACCGTTCCAGGCTGCACAACAGTTATGTATAGAGGGCTAAGTTTTTAGTTAGAATTCTCTTTATACAAGTGAGCATGGACTGCCGAGTCGACTATTCGAGTGACAAGTCGTAAAGCCCGGGGGCAGATACATGTAGAAAAGGATTAGGGCGCCGTGCTACATCGTAACCACCAGTTGCACCAGGCTTTTCAAGCACATAGGAGCTTTTGGGGACTAGCTGTGTAGAATGTGTATGGCTGCATTCGAAGGCCCGATATCTAAGTGAACAGCAAGGTGCATTGTTCTCCCATGTATCCCAAACAAATCTGTCCCAACGCTGCCGAGCCCAAGATACCGTCTTCTCGGGTCGACGAAATCGCCCGTCTATTTTCCTAGGCTCTTGCTCTCCTTTTTGGTTCCTTCCCACTCTTAAACGCCACGCCAACCACGAAAACCCTAGAAGCGGTCCAGCAGACCCTGGCTCTCCAGCATCAGCACGATCTGGTGAACAATGGACCGCACGGTCTGCTTGGAGGCGTCAACGACCAGATTGGGCTTGGCAGGAGCCTCATAGGGGTCGTCGACACCGGTGAAGCCCTTGACCTCGCCGGCGCGGGCGCGGGCGTAGATGCCACGCTTGTCGGTCTTCTCGCAATGCTCGAGCGGGGTTGCGACATGCACGAGGTAGAAGTCACCGTACTTCTCAACCAGCTCGCGGGCGTGCGCACGAGACTCCTCGAAGGGCGCAATGGGCGCCGCGATGACGGCCGCGCCCGAGCGGGTCAGCTCCGAGGCGACGAAAGCGATACGGCCGATGTTCTTGTTGCGGTCCTCCTTGGAGAAACCCAGCTCCGACGACAGCTCCGAGCGCACCGTCTCGCCCAGGAGCATGGACACGGAGCGGCCACCTTGCTGGTTCAGTGTCACCTGCAGGGCGCGGGCAATCTGGTCCTTGCCGGAGTTCATGTAGCCCGTCAAGAAGATGGTGAAGCCCTGCTGGGCACGGGGAGGGTGGGACTCGCGCAGGACCTTGACGACCTCGGGGTACGAGAACCATTCGGGGATATCGCGGCCACTTCGGAGTCTTGACCGAAGCTCGGTTCCGGAGATGTTGAGTGTCCTGACGTCCTTGGGGATGGTGTCGACAGGGGCGTACTCGTCGCTGTCGGGCAGGTAGGTCATCATCTGGAAAGGCACGACCTCAATGCCGAGCTCGTCGCGGTATTTCTCGACGGCGTACTGGGCATCGTAAGGGCCGTAGAAGTCAACGCCCTTGCTGTTCTTGCCGGGGCCGGCATGATCACGGCCAACAATGAAGTGTGTCGCACCATGGTTCTTACGGATGATGGCGTGCCAGATAGCCTCGCGGGGACCGCCCATACGCATAGCCAAAGGCAGCAGGCCCAGCACGGCCATGCCGTTGGGGTACCTGGGAAGGAGGGCCTTGTACACACGCACACGGGTGAAGTGGTCGATATCACCAGGCTTGGTGAGTCCCACAACGGGGTGGATGAGAACATTTGCGTGGTGAGAGCGAGCCGCACGCACGGTCAGCTCACGGTGAGCACGGTGCATGGGGTTGCGGGTCTGGAAAGCGACAACGCGGGTCCAACCCAGCTTGTCGAAGTGTGATCGAATCTCCGCAGGAGTGTCTGAGAACTTTGTCAACATGCAGGGTCGCTCTCAGAAATATTGTTTGATCACTCACATCTCAGGTCGACGAAGTCGTAGTGCTGCAGACGGCTGACAGCCTCGAGCTTACCACCGACGTAGAACTCGCCGGCGGTGTTGAAGAGGTACTTGACGGCAGGGTGAGCCTGGTCGTTGTCACCGAAGACCTCTGTGGCCTCGAGAGCCCTTGGGTGATGAATGTTAATGATGCAACCGATCCATCATGTGTTACTGAATCCCCAGAGGATGCAGTGAAACGGGAGAGAACTCACTTGTCAGGCTTGTAGATGTCCTCAATGGTCAGGATGGCCAGGTTGCGGTCATCCCGGAAGTCCCGCAGTGTGATCTTCTTGCCGGGCGCAAGGCCTAGCTCATCGATCTCAGACTTGGAGACATCCAGGGTGATGGGCATGGAAAAGAGAATGCCATTGGCAAGACGGTTCTCCTTGACGACTCTGTTATACGGAACTTGTTAATATCTCGCATATAACAGCACAATCCACAGCAAATTGAGGGCTCGTTTCCGGCTCTCTAAAAGCCCTTGATCTTGCCATCGCCCTCTGTTCCGAGGAAACGTTGGCCAGGACCGTTGGCTTAGTGATTCAGTTCAAAAAGTACATACCCATTGTAGTCCTTCTCGTTCATGAAACCTGCAATTGCGCAACGAGTCAGCCGTCACGTCACCACAACGCCCCATGCTCGGCAGGGTATCCGCAAATTGACCGGGGCTTGAATGGCATTTGGTGCCTCGGCTGGCCGCGCAAGGGCTGGCCATGATGCCTTGGAAGCTAGATATCTGCCCCTCTCCCCCGCCAAAAGACCATATACCTGACGATGCCAGAGTGGTCCCCCAGCGATAATGGTAATGAGGATCCAGGATGGGAAGCATGAAAAACCATTAATCTTACTGACCTTCAAGTGGAGAAAAGCCACCGTTCAGGATCAGCTCGAGATCGCAAAGCTGACGCTCGGTCAGGACGAGAGCAGTGAGGGACTCGGCCTCTGCTGCGAGCTCATCGTGACGAGGAGCATCGCGTGCGAGCAAGTCCTTGAGGACACCTCCGTGGGGGGGGTTCGCCATTTCGTCTGAATATGAGATCTCAGGATAGAGATCTGAAATCTGTTATCGCGGGACACGGGTCGCGGGTCCGGCTCGGGTATGGCGTTATGCGGCTATCGGCCGGGAGTAAGTCAACCGCAAGCACGACAACGAAAAAAAGCGGATGTGGGAGGGTGAGAGCAGAGAGGATGACAAGAGGGAGGGAAGGATGACGGGAGTAGACAAGCCTAACAAGAAATCGAGAACAGGAAGGAGGCGAGTCTTGTGTCTGATCCCCCCTCCGGAGGATCCCCAGGGATTTTATATAAGAGCGTGGGACCACCCGCGGATGGCTTACGAAACCGGGTGTGGAGAGTTGGTGAAGTCGAGAGAGTACCTTACCTGGGTGGACTGGGTATTCCCGTCCGGGTCGCTGACACTGGTCACTGTGCTGGCAACGGTGTGCGCAAGGTTTTGGTGACCTGAATCGAGACAACGAAGGGCTTCGGAAGGAGGGCGTCCTCGATAATCAGTTGGCGATGTTACTGCCTTCTCGCAGCAGTTGCTCCTGTGTTGTGTCCTGAGTCGCACTGCAAGGGAAAAAACCATTTGCAGCCCGGAAGGGGATTGGAGACCCACGAATACTCGTTTGGACCTGATTCCTCTAGCACAAATTGCGTGATCACCGGTGCCGTAACCGGTGGCTGGCCGCCAAGCGCGATAGGCTATCCGGAGTCAGTCTACGGCGCCAAAGCTGTGAGCCTCGAGGCGTTCCCACAACAAAGCTCGCGCAGCATGACGTTCGGGCGACAAACCGCATCGCCTTCCCCTGTCAGCCATATTCGCCATATTCGCCTTTGCCCACGCCGCCAGACAACCTGGCCACAATCTTGGCCGTCACAGTGTCGCACGCTGCGCGAGGACAAAAACCGCGCATCAACCAGGGCAAGGACCTACGCGGCCTCCTGAAGAGCATAATTCGGCTACGTCTGATGGTTATTGGGGCCCCTGGCGGCCATCTGGCCTGTGAGCGTGCAGCACCCGGGATCATCAGGCAGTACACTCATGAACCTCCTAGCAACCCATGTGAGAATCGGCCTCATCACCCCGCCGCCCGGTCCTGGCAGGGCTCGAGAATTTGTGTGCCGTCGGGAGGATAGGTGGGGCTGGTGGTCGATCAACCTCACCCCGTGAATTAGGAGAGAGTGCATCTCCAACTCCGTGCTCATCTCTCTGTCCCTTCGCAGCCAGACAGCTGTGGCACCTTGGATGACACAATGCTGCGTTGAGATGCGAAACCTGGACACGGAAAATAATAGGAAGCAAAGCGAAATAGTCAAGGGGCCGCCGTGGTGGCCAGATTCTGTCAGCAGCATGTAAGAAGCCCGGGAGAGCGTCTGTGATCCCGGCAACATGACACAGAGCACAATATTGCAAGTCCGCGCCTAGGAATGGTCTACCTGTCTCGATCTCGTAGTCGCTGCTGTGGGAAGTACTACCCAATTGTGAGTCCGGCTTTCCTTTCACCACGAACCTGAGGGTCATATGGAGTTGTCGTGGTGCCAAGTCCGTCCAAGCAAATAGTCAGCGGGCCAACGGCGGGGAGGAGGGTACATGCAGTCGGACCCCGGACTTGTACTCGGTAAAGTCGTTTTTCTTTAAAAATGCAGCCCTGGCTGCTGTGAAGATGAGAAGATGCGTGGGTAGTCCAGGCCAGGTTTAATCAGCAAGGCCTCGCGGGGGTTGGTTTCTTGTGTGTAAAGCCGCCTAGGTACCGTGTCCGCCAGACAGCAGCCCTACCAAGAGAGCCGACACGTCGCCTGGATGGATCTGGCAATGACAGCCAGGCCCGGGGCCCGATCGAGCTGAGAGCCTCGCAATGAAGAACCGCAGCGGGTCCACATCGAGGTACCACAGTACACCGTACTCCGTATGTAATCCGGTCGGACCCAGCCCTTGTCTCGGCAGTCGGACTGGTGCAACACCTCGGGTCGCCCCGACAAACGCGGCTTCGGGCCCGGCGACTTGTCAGCACTTGAGCCTAATGCACCACGACGCAGGCTTTGATTCGACGACCTACTTGAGCAGTGGAATATGGGCCGAAGAGCACACCCTGGCGGCAGAGTAGTCGGTCTGTTCCTTTCCGTCGGACCACATGATTAGCAGCCTCTTCAGATGTTTGTTGTTCGTGGTCTGGGTTGTATCTTTCTAAACGGCATCCCCTGCAGGCGGCCGACGGCGGCTTGACAGAGACTCGAGGCAAAGCATGATCATCGGTCCTCGTAACTCAACTCTCCACCCCCCAAAATAAAGTCATCATAACAATGACAAGGTTCGACTGTGCCCATCGCTATTCCAGAAAGGCAGCTGCGGGGGATTGGACTGAGCACGGTAAGCGGAGGCAGGTTCTGAGCGACCCCACAATTCTACTCCTTCCCGCCGTGTAAGTTGCCTGAAGTTTCCTGTGCCGGTGGCTCAACGCCTGCTTCCGATCCAAGCATAACATGGCTGTCTTTCCACGTCTTTTCTTTCTTAGCCCCTGTCGGCCAAAAGCAGCTCATGGTCCATCGATGCCTAAGTGCCTAGGTACCCTATTTAGGCACTTGGAATCAGCAAAGATAGAGGCGTCCACACGTGGGCTGACTTCCCACTTGCCCAACTCTAATCACAAACTCAAGCCCCCCCCCCCACGGACCAATTCTTCTTGTCTTCACTGGCACCATTTGCCAAGACGATGGAAGTATCTAGCAGCCACATCTCAAACGTCTCCGAATTCTATGTTGTGTGACTGCTTGATAGCCCTGGGAGGTCAATCCCGAGATCTGCGACAGCTACTCCTGCAGGCACAGAGTGGTTGCAACCGTGCGCCAAGCATTGGTCTGATTCCTTCACCACACCTTTCCGTTCTCACTTCCTGAAACAGATATGTATATTCCACGGGGCCCAGGCACAGAAACCAGGAGGTGCTGAAGATAGACTATATACCTAGCTATGTATTCGCCCTACAATAATGCGGATCCTGCTGTTATTCGGTCCAAACAAAATACCACAGTGGTCTCAATCACAGCCGTAACTCCCCGGGTCCATGTTCCACGTGATAGCTTCGCCTCTGGACCATGTGCTGTCTACTTTTGACTAGCAACATGGTGTTTCCAATCATACCTCGCGGCTTGGTTGCCCCTTTATTCTTCCTGCTCTGCCTTGTTCAGGTAGCTACGGGACGGGACACTGCATACATCTCCGGTACCAGCACTGATGGCATCACCAAGCAATTGGCTGTAGACAGGACTCCTGCATTGTACACGGGCAATTTCGGTGACTGCCAAGGAGGGCAGAGTCTCTTCAACATCACCAAGTTTGATGCAGCGGTAAGCTTGAATCCACATCGAGCATCATCTTTTCAACAACTTGTTTTGGACAATTTTATGAGCAATTCAAGCCCTCGTTTGCCATATGCTTTGGATGCATGGATTTTCAGTAACGGGCAGAAATGGAATGCTGATCTTATTTCCGACAGTACTACAAGGACAATGCGACTGTATTGTTTCATCTGGACGGCGTATCCAGCATCAAGAACGAGTCGCTTGTAATGCGCTTCTCCATGGACGCATATGGAGAGAATCGCTTCCAGAAAATATTCGATCCATGCTCTGTCAACATACACAGTCTGTGTCCCCTCAACGCTTCTGTCCCTGTCGAGGCCTGGGCTGTCTTTCCAGTTGGCCCAGCGCAGGTTGGAGACATTCCGGACCTCTCCTTTACCATCCCAGATCTCGAGGGTGCTGTTCGCTTGCAAATATTTGCAAACTCCTCAAGGAGCCAGGTCGGGTGTTTCCAAGCGAGTGTGACGAATGGGGTTACCATGAGCCAACCTCGAGCCATAGGCCCAGTCCTGGCCTTATTCACCGCGGTGGCCATCGTTTCATCTTTTGCAACTGCAGCTTGCGACATGACCCCTACTCAAATAAGAACCCACTACGCCCACTCGTTGTCTGCTATGACTGTCTTCGAAACTTTCCAAAGTATCTTCTTTTCTGGGGCTCTCTCGCTCTGCTTTCCAAGTATTCTTACCGCCTGGTGGAGCAACTTTGCCTGGTCTGCCGCGCAAATCTTCAACCGTTCCATGGTCACCTCCATGAACTCATTTAACGGGGTAATTGGTGAGACTAGCCAAGCTGGAAGTGCTGGACCAGTCGCCTGGAGTATGAAGGAGGGCAATCTGGCCCAACAGATTTATGGCCGATCACAACATCTGGATGAACCAATAATGGACAGCCTTCTGCGCCAACAACCTTTTAACGCAAGTGACCCTTATGATTACAATTGGTCAGGCCATGCCGTGGGTCCTGGTATTTCGCTTCCTGGGACGTGGACAGGTTTCCAAAGCACCTTGGCGGCCGTAGGTGTTCCAGCCAGCGATGCCCTCACAACATCATTAGTCTGGCTGTCAGTCTTATTCGGGATTTTGGTCCTCAGCATGGCTTTCCTAAAGTTGTCCCTGGAGTTTCTCGTCATTACCAAGCGGATCAGAGGCAACAACTTGCTGTGTTTCCGAAGAAATTGGATTAAATACACGGCACTCGCCTGTCTGCGGACGTTACTCGTGGCATTCAGCATGGTGATGACTTTGAGCTTCTACCAATTCTCCATTCGGGGATCAAAAGGCGCAAAGGCTCTCGCGGCCATGTCCTTCCTGCTGTTCCTGCTCGGACTTGGGGGGCTAGCGGCCTATGTGTGCCACTTGCGGCTCAGACTTGTTCGATTCACTCTGAGAGAAGACCGCATCCTAGTCTTGCACAAAAGCTGGTTTGGACCAACACCCTTGATCAGCTTTGTGAGGTCGAGCAACTTGACAGAAGCAGACCTTCCAGGGACGCGCATAGGATCGGTACCCTTCATCCGGATTGTCTGTCAAGAAAACGATGTCGGTTGCACAACTGTGCATAAAGACCGTGACTTTGTCACGAAATTCGGATGGCTGTCAGCTCGGTACCGTCGCAGGAGGTGGTGGTTCTTTGGTTTCACCCTCATCTATCAACTGGTCCGGGCCGTGTTCATTGGCGGGGCAGTGTCGTCGCCTCAGACACAAGTGTATGGACTGCTCATACTTGAAGTTGTTGCGCTCTCAGTGTTTGCGAAACTTCGCCCCTTCGAAGGCCGACGGAACATGGCGCTGGCTATTTGGATGCTGGGAACGAGTAAGGTACTGACAACAGGCCTCTCAGTTGCTTTCCTACCCACAGTGAGGGCAAGCCGAATTCTTACCACGGCAATTGGACTTGTGATAGTGGTTATTCAAGGGCTCTTGGTTATTGGTCTCATGATCCTGGTGGTTATTGGGGCTGTTTCTTCGTATATCTCGCTGACACGCAACACCGAGGTTGTCAGGCCCACGGTACTCCGGTCTACGCGATTGAGGTACCTCGGGCATTTGGATATTACATCTTCTGAAGTTCATCTTACCAAAGAGCAAGGGGCGTGGCAGGACAAACTTCGGGAAGCCGAAAAGTATTTGGCGCCAGTCCAGCCTTCCTTCTCAGTCATTGCTGTCAGACGGGTGTCGAAGATTGAAGATGAGGACGAGGAGGAGGGTATACTCGGAGCTCCAGCCTCTAACGCGAACCCTGCCAGCAGACCGATGCGGCTTAATCGCAGCAACAGCGTCAGCTCCAGAATGTCGACCCATAGCCTCCCGCGTGCAGCTCGCGCTCATCGGGTTAGCTGGAGCTCACGAGACTTCAGAGAGCGGGAAGCGCTTTCGCTTCAGCGAGCAGATAGCGGCCTGGCCAGGCGGCTGAGTGGACGTGGACTTCCTCCTAGCAACGCTTTGAGCGTAACACCGCCACACGTGGTTGAGGAGGAGCCAGCCGTCGTGATTCGGATGACAGTTGCAGACAACCAGGTTACCGACCATCAACACCCACAACGCCCCTCGACTAGCTCCCGATCAATGCCACAGAACTACAAATGAATGATGGCGATTTGAGCGTCGGAAAGGAGAGCCAGACCAGGACCGTTAGCAGCAGGTACTGACTGATCAAGATACCAAACTTATCCTATTAATATTAGACAAATGTAATAAATTACTAAAACTAACTATTTAATTAAAACTCTTAAATTGATGTATGTAAATAAGTTTTAATAATGTATTATAACCGTTATTATTAATAATATATTCTTTTTAAGTGCTAGGTCTTAAGTGCTTATTATTATATAAAGGTACTATATATATCCTTAGATATATACAAAATAGAAGCGAAACCACATATATGTATTTATATTGGGGGCATAATATGTTTACTACGAAAGTCTCAACCTATGTGTGCAAAAAGGGGCAGCAACATGAAAACAATGGTGTTTGAGTACATTGTAGTCAAGATCAGCGTCCTGGGGTCCAATTTAATACAGCACTTACTACTAGGACCGGTATTGACAAGATAGAGAACCATAGACGCCTTGGAGCTTTTTGATTTCTCTTCTTTTATCAGTAGTGGACAGTTTTGAGAGGCAGCTGCACCCACAATATCACAGCAACGGTTTGAATATGTGCGCTGCTAGCCTAGAGAAGGTTGCACAGATGAGCGAAATCTGACGAACCAATGTGAGTTCGAAAAGCTCTACAGTAATAAACTATGCTTATATGCAGGAGGGTGGTAAGTCATTACAGCGTGACCATGAAGGATGCGGCGACATGCTAACACTTGGATGTGAGGAACAATTAAGAATCCATCTCTATCCTACCGCACTATGAGAATAGAGTAAAAAGGGGGGACCAAGGGCGAGCAAATTTGAAGGTCTATCTGTAAATTAGGTAGGAGCAAGCTGTCATTGAAATGACATGAGGCCGAGTGGAATGCGTCGTTGCGGAATTCCATTGCTTCATTCCCAATTTGCAAGGATGATTTCGCCCTTCTTAAGGCCTGTGTAGCAGAGGGTGTCCTTCCAGAGCAATCGGCGCTTCTTCTCGTCCTTTGCCTCCGCAGTCATCTCCTCGACACGGGATCCGTAGAAGTACATTGCCTTGGGAGACTCTCCGACGGGCTGATCAAAACCCAGAGCCGCGGCAAGGATGTCCGCTGTGCCCCTATCGATGGTGCGGATAGGGCCATTGGGGTTAAGCCACACCGCGAGGCGTGCGATGAGGGGCACAATGATACCGAAGATGAGAACCCTTATGAGCCAAGGCCCACGACGGGTGATGTCAGTGGCGATGGAGCCGGGGTCAATGCCAAGTACGCAAATCCGTGACAGTTTGGGGTCGGCATCCAGCCTTCGCTGCAGTTCAGGGCTGTGTCCTCGGAGTCAGTATATGCTTTGCTGGATGAGATCCGAACTGGGTGGGAAAGATAGGGGGCCTACATCATCATTGCCTGGCAAAACTTGGAGGCGCCATATCGTCGGAAGCCACTGCAGCGCGAGTTATTAAATAGCGTAGCTTTGAGGAGTATGGGGCTGGAGGTCAGAATGGAAAGTCCTTGTAAGTGAAAGGCCAAATCTCACGAGTGAAATGACGGGTCCTCCTTGTTGGTGCTCCATGTCCCCCGGGCAATCGCGTCGCAGCTATGGTCATCAAGGAATGTCATCCATCTCTCCTCATTGAACGCGGCTTTGCTTTTTGAATTATACGGATCATGGGATTCGCTCCCAATGACGACAATCCTGCCGGCCTGGGGATCCATACTCTGGAGCAGGAGAATTGCTAGCAACCAGTGCCCGAGATAGTTGGACGCAAACGTCGTGTCAAAGCCGTCTTCGGTCCATGTTTGCTTCAAGAACTCAAGGTAGCCCGCATTCAGCACCAGCGCCCGGATCGGAGGGATCTCGCCTGCGGCTACACGCTTGTTGATCGTGGCAGCCGCGGTGCGGATAGCGTCGAGGTTCGTCAGCTCAAGAGAGATCACATCGTGGGAGTGAGAGCCGGCGAACTTCCCGGTCTGGAGGGCAGACTTCAAGGCCGGTGCTGCGTCTGTATTTCGTGCAGTGTAGATTCCGTGGTAGGCCGCCGCCTCGGGCCTCGACAAGAGACGGGAAACGAGTGCGCTACCGAGACTACCGTTTGCCCCCGTGACAAGAATGGTGCCCTTTGCGTTGTTGCTTGAGTTTCCCATCGTGTCAAGTGTGGTTGGCTGCCCTACCAAGGTTGGCTTCGTCCATGCTCGAGCAGCGGGCTTAAACGTTTGAACAGGAGGGCGTTTGTTAGGGCCATGGGCTGATTGCCCGCAGGACCAACCAGTGGGTCCGTACACCCAACAACCTACTTATCTTGCGGGATTGCAGCTTCGCTACTTCCCCCGTACTATTCCTTAGGCAACTCTAGTTTTGAATCAACAATTCTTCGCAGACAATTTGAGGCTACTTTGCCATAGGTCGCGAGGACCGTCTCAGCGGGTCACCTTACCGACGCCTGCAAGAAGAAGTTCCATGGTGCCGTAGATATGATTGGTCTGTGACACATCGGATGCTAGGCAGTTAGTAGGTATTTTTAGCACCATTTTTAGCACCAGGACGGCAGGACGGACAGGCGGACAGGCGGACAGGCCTGCTGCAAGTGGTTGGATGTTGGATGCCGAGCGTGTGCAACGGCGCTTAGAGCGTAACGGGAACTTGGTGCCCAACCGCGGGATGAGGTGCAGGAATGGTACCCAAGACTTTGCGAGGACTGCAAGCCCCAGGTGCCTGCATCGGGGTTGCGGGGGTCTGGAGGAGCCAGTTGAAGAAGCAAGAAGCTGTGACCGGAATGAGGCCCTAGCTGGCTGGTCATGGCATGGCAAAAGGGGGCGAGACAGGGCGTCGGGACGACTGGAGGGCTGGAGGGCTGGACGACTAGTAGACACTGGGGGGCAGTTGTTGAGCTTGGGTAAATTGGGGCTGCTGCGCAATATGGTGACGAGGGCAGGAGGGTTGCAGAGTGGGAATGAATGGGCCATGTCTGACCGACAGTTCGACTCCTGTTGTTGGACGATTCATCCTCGAAGCAGTCCACGGGTGACGACTTGCCAGGCCCGCCCCACCCTGCCCTGGCCATGCTGCAGAGCACCACCTGAAGTCCACCCCTGCTCAGCCCCAGCATGCCCCAGGCATCCTTGGACTGCGAGCACCCACCCGACTGGCCTGCGATTCCACCTCGTCTCCTCTTGTCCTGTCTTCCCTGCCACCAACAGGCACATCGGCGACAGCCCTGGAGCCAAGCCATCTTGACTCCCTCTCCTCCCCGAGATCACCTCACCTCGACAAGAGTCGCCCGCCTTCCACACTCCCGACAAAGACCGGTAGCCAGCAGGGAACCGCCGCCGACGGCCATCCGCCTAGCCCTCGCCTCCTGCCATTTGCCTCGTGCACAAGACTCGGCACCACTGGGACGTCAAGGTTTACAGCTCTCCCGTTCCCCCTCCCTCACTGCTACCACGAGACTTTCGGCGTCGCGGTCGACCACAAGACGAGCCCAACGCCCAACACCCACGCCCCGCCTAGAGCCTGAGGCTCGCGGCCACCACCCCGTCGCAGCGGTTGCCAGTCAGCCATCCACTCCCAATGTGAAACCTGGACCATGTCTTCCAGAGATCGCGACGTCGACGCCGACGACGTGCCCAGGGAAAAGCGATCCTCGAGAACCAAGGGCGACAGGGATAGAACAAGGGACAAGGACCGCGATAGGGAATCTAGACGGCACCACAAGTCCCACAGATCCTCCAATCCTGTCATCGCCACAGGCTCCTATGTGTCCCAGTCCGGCTCCGCTCGACGACACAAACTCAGGGACGCTTCCTCATCCAAGAGCCGCCTCGAAGAGCCCCTCGACGAGAACTCCTCAATGACTGACCTTGTGCCCGAGCTGAACCGTAGCAGGGACAGGGTCCACATACCGTATCCCACTTTCAGCAAAGCCCACAGCAAGGAGTCTGTGGCCAGCAAGGATGACCTCACCACCAGCTCCGCCGCCGGTCGGGGCACCGGCACCGGCACCGGCACAGATCCCCTGACACCAGAGACGACGGACCTTGGCACAGCCGAGGACATCAAGCGGTCCAAGTCGGCAGACTTCGGTTCCAAGAGGAAGCTGTCACGCAAGGCCGACCGCCCTCCGAGCCCGCCAGACACCAACCTGTCCGAGGAGAAGAAGGGGTCGACGCCCTCTGTCAGGCTGAAGGAGGCAGAGGATAGACCACGATCGAGGACGTCGCATGCCTCTAGGTCAACCTTCAAGACAGACGAGACGTCCAAGCTCTCTAGGAAGTCCAAGTCTTCCAGCCAGGCCACCTTCGTCAGGCCATCAGCATCTAAGGCTGCCTATGCCGACACAGACAACGCGGCGGACAGCGAACGTGACCCACGATCGGCAGCTACATCGGTCACAACCAAGAGATCAGTCTCCGGCAATACGCTCAGGCCGCCCGGGCCCGATCCGATCGATGTTATCGACGATTCTCCGGAGTCTGCTCAGGAGTCCTCTTCGCCAAAGACGCCAACAAACACAACCCCTCAGTTCCCTCCGCCCCCCATGTTCCACGACGACAAGCACGGCATACCGTATCACATGCGCTTTGAACGTCCTCAACAAGTGCCCACACCCGCCACGGACTTCACAGACTTGAGCAACGCACAGGACGCGCCTCCGCCTCCGCCTCCTCCCCCACCGCCATTGAATATCCAAGAAGCCCCCAAGGTCGACTATCTCATGCAGAACGGCGGTCTCACGAATGTTGTGCCCAAGAACTTTCTGGCCGTATTGCCCAGGCAGAATGGAACTCGGCCTTCAAACCCTCCCCTGCGCGGTGCGGAGACGCTATTTGCGCCGTTCTTCAACCTTCTAGATCAGTACCAAGAAGTTTTAACCAACCGCGGCTCCATAGCTGTGGCTACTGGTCACCGAACCGTGGCAAGGAGGCTTCTTGACCGGCTCGAGGACGTCTTCAACAGGGATCTGCCAGAGGAAGGATGCAGCTGCATAATGTGCGAGAAAGACGGAGAGAAGCATCGTGGTCTTGGTTGGGGAGAGGTCCTAGAAAGGGTCAGTGGACGTGTGGAGATACCATCTTGGCCGCCGTTTGATATAGGGACTCTGGGGGTCAAGGCACCTGAGGCTGCACCGAGCGAGCCCCCGCGACCGTCGTCACCAGTCAAGATCGACCCAGACATTGCAGAGGAGTTCAGAGAGCATTACCTCCGTCAATCCAAGAAGGTCAAGGCCGCTGTAGATAGGTGGCTTACGAACTGTGCCGAGGCACCCGCACCTCCGCCTCAGGATGTCGACGACGAGACCCTCACTTTCGCCATCCTCACGGCACTGGACCAAGAGGACCGACCGTACTTCAACGCCCTTCTCACAGGGGCGCGAGAGCTTCAGCCTGCGCTCCGCGCGCCAACGCCCATGCGCAAGCCACGCGCAGATCTCGTGATCAAGTCCGGCCTCGCTTTGCAGCGACTCTACAGGCTGCCACAGGCCCCTCGCGATGCCGAAACGGTGTGCTACCTCGTCAAGCACCCGCAGATGCATGACCTACTCAGCACGATATGCGACATCAACCCCCCCGAATGGGAGATACTCATATCGGGACGTTTTGACGGCTTCCTTTGGTCGGGTGCAGATGCTGACGACGACGATGCCGCGACACCGACTGCGGGGCCGTCTCGGGGAGCGACGCCAAACTTCTTCCCTCAGCGCGGCCCTCCTTCTCGGGGAGCAACCATGAGCCCTAATAATATTGCCCGATTCACGCCGGCGTTGGGCATCGGCACGAGGAATACCACCCCTTTCTCCAGAGGCACCACGCCTGCCTCTTTCGTATCTGGCGCGAGTTCGGCGTATCCGAATAGACAAGCTGTGTCTAATGATGAAGAGTCCGAGATCGCAGTGCTTGCCGAACTTGAGCGAGAGATATACGTGGGCATGGAAGCCCTAGAGGACGCCTTCGAGACCTTGCACCAGCGCGCCGAGCTCGTCCGTACAGCCCTCCGTCAGCGCGGCGCAGGTCTATCCATGAGCTTGCAACAGCGCCGTGGCTACGGCCTAGCGTCGGATGTCAACGGTGGGATTCAAGTCCTCCCCCAGAGTGGTGGGTCTGTGCCAGGTATGGACCGGCCACAGTGGGCAGATGAGGAGAGCCTCGCGTCCGAGTCGACGGACGACTGGGGTATCGACGCGGACTGGGAGCTGCGCCCCGATGACTCGGCAAGTAATATTTCTAGTTCACGACAACGGAGACCGAAGAGAAGAGACGAGAGAAGGAGCACGCCTGCACCCATCAGGGAGGAGGACGAGACATAATGAACAACAGTTATTTTGGGCACATGCACGCAGCAGTCTGAAGACAGCAGAAAGCCAAGTGTTTTAAGACTTCAGGTCAGAACATAGCCTCACATCTGAGCGAGCGAGCGAGCGAGGGCATAAATCGTAACGCGATTTGCGGCGGATACCATTCATGTATATTCCATGTTTCTTCTTCTTCCTCGCATCAGTATTTGCGCGAACGCATGGCATTCGAAGCTATCAGGGCTTCATCTCTCTCCTTTGCACGCAGGCAAGTGGAGCAAAGCACTTGAGAGTTCCCAGTGCTCACGGGTGTGGAAGGAAACAAAAGTTACTCGGCTGTCGCGTCCCTGGGTCGTGCACGCAAGTTTGTGAATTAAAAGGCTTTATATCCGGGCTCGGTACTGGAAAGCGAGCCTTGCACGCCACATACTGCATATCATTGGGAGTTATTGGTATTGGACATGTAGCCGGTTCCGTCCTTTTGTCCTTCTAATTGGCTTTCTCATAACTTGTGAGAAGGGTTACGTGTTACTGGATAGCTCTTCACGGCAAGGTATTCCAAGCAAGTAATTATGTGGTTTCGCTTCTATTCCGTATACGTCCGAGGACATACATGGCGCCTTCATATGGTAGTAAGCGCTCAAGAATTACTTCTTCTCTAAGTCGAGAAATTGTGGGCTTCTGAATATGTTGTGCCTCATCCGTCTATTTTCTTGCGGGTGGCCTCTGTGTCGGGGTCAAAATTTCTGGCTGCAGCGTCAATTCAGCCTACACTTTGGTGCTGATTCCCTCCCGGACCCCTTCCACTTGCCGTCCCGAAGTACTATACGTATCTGGTCGAGTTGGTATCGACGGCTGATGGGAACAGTTCCACCCACGAGCACAAGGAACAACCCAAGAGATAGCGCCTACCTCGAAATGATACCGTGTCTATCCACAAGCGTCACATTGTACAGGAAAAGTAGCATCCGTTCTGTATCACAGAGATCCTGCAGGAACATCGCACGGCACATTCCAGAGACTCCCAACATCCTTTTGTTTGGCTCGCTCTATGATGTGACTTCTATTGCGTCACAGTCCTAAACTGGGGAGCAATATTTAACGGCTGAAGGCCATGATTCATGCCTGACTGCTCTTATATATTTGTATCTGCCTTGGCAATGTCGGACTTCGGAGCCTAGACGATGTGCAAGGAGCGCTATACTGTCAAATATGCTATTCTGTGTTTGAGACATCGGCATGGCGACGTTTTACAATGCTCCACAGCCTTTGTACGAGGTAACATCTTTCCACAATCCGATGATGCTTAGGAGAAGTGCCGTCGAGTTTGACTTCAAATACAAGGCCCGGAATAGTCCTTCCCGTTCCGTCTCGCACCAGATGATGCAGTGTGCGCTCAACAAAAGTCGTAATAGCTCTTGGGCACGATCTTGAGCTACCGTGGCCTACAAGTTTGGCGAACTGAACCGAGCCCTGGGGACTTCACCGGCAAAAAGTAGCCAATGGGGAAGTGTGTTTGAAGTTCGTTATTGCCGTGGGCACCGGTCTCGGGCGCCTTGTCTAACACTGTAAAGGTTATGTATTTGCCCTGAACATGTTGGCGACGCCTTGAGGTCGAGCATAGAATATCCCTGACGGCTGTGTATCGCGTCATACTCACAGAGTTGCCCGTTTGGGGAGGGGATGGTTGTTCCCGTCTGATGACCGTTAAGTATCCAGGTGTGAGTAGTAACTCGAGGGTCCGAGCATGTTTCCTCAGCCATCGTCGATCAAGTGGTTCCCTCTTTGCACCACAATCTCACGAGTCTTTCAGCCAGCCATCGTCCGTGATTCCGTTGAGTAACGCGGGACTGGACTGATTCCCGTTGAAAGGCATACGCATATCGGCCAAAGCGACACAGTTCTAACAAATACATCTATCCTTGAACCTGAAATTCTCATCGCACCGACTTATGGTTCTATTCTGTTCGTCTATTGCCCATCGACGAGTTGTTCAGAGACAGCAATGCGTGCCAGAACCGTTTCGATACTCACCCTCATGTGGTCCGCTTTAGGCCAGCATGTCGAACAAGAGAGCATGGAGGCATTGCCTCGCCAGAGGGACTTTGTGGCCAGAGCGGTTCCCCTGGAAATTTTGACAACATTGGCGGTAGCTTCATCTCAGGTTGAAAGCACTCAGCACAGTACGTTCCGCACCTGCATTGTGGTGGAATATATACTCATTGTACTCAAAACAGATAGCCAGCCGCCTAAAGCTCTCCCAACGTCACTTCGTGATATGTCTATAAATGAAAGAGATGGCAGTGAATTTTACCGCCATCCTGAAAAAGCCGAAAGTCCGAGCTATCGTAATCATTATCAAACTGCCGAGTCGTCCAGCACGTCTTCCTCAGCTGGGGGCTACGCTGGGGGCCCTTCGCCCTCGCCCGTTCATACTCACTCAGAGGACTACGGAGAAAGTCAAACTTCTGTGACTGTAAGTAACTCAGGATATGGTAACAGTGTCTTTCGGTCTAGCAGTGGTAACGATGGCTACCACGAACAGTCCAAGTCTCCCTATAAATCCAGGGACGATAACCACTGGCCGGGGCATGGACACGGCCACGGCCACGGCCACGGCCACGGCAACGGCCACGGCCACGGTCACGGCAACGGGCACGGCCACGGCCACGGCAACGGCCACGGTGGTGGACGCCCGCACTGGGGACATCCGCACGATAGCCACCACGGCAACAGACCCTGGCACACGAAGGGACCGTGGTCGGTAACGACTATTCCGTAAGCACTGGGAACGATTTTGATTCCTTTGATAACAATAATACCCCGTCCTCAGCCTACATCGAAGAGGTTTTAGTAGCTACAGGTTTCAAAATATGCTGCGGCTAGCTTGTGGCCTACTCTTTGCTGTGTTGGCATGAAGCCATTCCTTGATTGCTTTCATTGCTGACTCTACATTGCTATAGGACCTCAAGCACCTCTACCACATTCATTGTCTCAACATCGACCTCAGCCTCGACTTTGAGTCCGACCTCGATCTCGCTGTCGGCCCCGATGCCTACCTCCACAAGTTGGCCGTTGAATAGCTCCTCGGTAGATCCTGGAGATACACTGACCAGCGCAGATGCTCTAAACAGTTCGAACCATATACCAAGCTTCACACTGAGGAACTCTTTCTCAAAGAACTCCTCTGTAGTGTTGGCATCTTCCGGTACGGCTTCCACCACCAATTCCTCTTCGGCAGCGGTGACACCTCGGCCTTTGACGCCGAGTCCAACTCACTCGGGAAATCCGACCAACTTGACGATTGAGACGAGCTTTCCTTCCATATCTTTGCCGGAGTCCACAGAGACGCTTGTCTCATCTTCAGTGAATGCAAGCACAGACACACTGACCAATTCAAGCCATGCCACCTCGACGCCCCCTCTATCAATCCTGAGCACATTCCCTCTTTCCATCTTCACGCCCAATACGACAGGTTCTGCAGTCTCAAACTACACCATATCCCTGAACACGACCACACTCATCGTGGGGTCGAGTGCACACATGACGTCCTTGGTGTCCGAAACAATCAATACTTCACTCGTCACAACGACGAGCAAGTCAACTTCACGAACCAGAAGCGTACTGAGGCCGAGGCCAACCTCGGCACCATTTCCTTTCACCAATTCTACCTCTGCGCCATTGACCTGGGAAACTCTCGTGACCGGCTCTGGCCGGCATTCCACTCTGAGTGCTGCGTCTAGCAACGCAACATTGCCACTTCCGGAAGTCACACTGTCCACGTCCACATCCACGCTCCTGAACGAGACAGCTCCTGCCTCGACGACAAGTGTCTCGCCACCATACCCTCTTACCAACTCCAGCACCTCCCTCTGGGAAACGACGTCGTCACACGTGGCGACTATCATATCAGCTGGGCCACCCTCAACGACGACCAAAACACCCCCCTTCCCATTGGCCAACTCTACATCGACTGGGGAGACAGCCGCCTCAGGTATGTTCCACAAAATCTGCTAAACCACAGACATTCATTCCGTATCTACCTTGATTGTTGTGCCGTCACGCATCAATCTCCTTGCTGTGGTGTTGCTGGCCCTACCGTCGCTAAAGACATACCAGTTTCCTCATCCCACCGCCCGCGCCCTGCAGCCGCATCTGTCACCTGGAAGCCCATCACAGCCAACACAACTTGCGTCACGACGGAGGCAACCCTTGTGACAAACACAGCCCATGTTACCTTGGTGACGACCTCCACAGACACGGATTTCGCTGGAGTCATTTCTGGAACTGTTTCTGTGGTGCCACCCGCTGCCTCGACCGCCCTTGATATTTGAGCTTCGCTGCTTACCATTGAGACTTTACCCCTCCTCTCTCCAAATTAGTAATGATGTCTTTGGTGGCACAATCAATCTTAGGGTCACTCGTGGGAGACTACTCTGGTTGGTGATGATCTATGAAGCTGAATTTCTGAACGCACAATCTTTTCTAAGCTTGAGGCTGGCAAGTATCTTTGAAGGACTAAGATGGAGGGAAGACTGCAAAGTCGGAGGATTTCAGATTAGAGCACAGTATTAGAGGGCTTACAACTTTCTTTGGGTCTACTGTCGTGACCATGCCTGATTTAGTTCATAGAATGGAATACTTTTAGGTCCGAGCCGTGGGCTACTTGCACGACCAACGGCGTCGTCAAGACGGTGCCCCTTAGCCTTGTCTGTGCGTCGCAAGGCTGAGGCCACAAGCACCTATCGTATTATAACTATCGTTATCGACATCGCGTCCTTTCAAGCGCTGGGTCTTGAGCGCTTACTACCATATGAAGGCGCCATGTATGTCCTCGGATGTATACGGAATAGAAGCGAAACCACAGAAGAAGTAATTGATAGGTGTATTGCGATATAGGGATTATCCTGGCAATGTTCTTTACTTGCCGGCAACTTTGGTACGTTCGATAGGAACGACAACGATTACCCGTATTGCGAAACCGTCGTGTCATCGGTTCTTTTGAACCTCCCACATATTCTGCCTCGGTCATGGCGTGAAACCGTCCATTGTTCCAAGTCTGTCTGACAAAGAGATGGGGGAGACGACCTGAAATCTGATCATTTACTCGGCTTCCCGAGCTGCCTCCCGAAGCCCTGGCGCTGTCGTGCGTGTCATGGACGTACTCTTCGATTCTATATCTGCGGCCCAAAGCGCAGCTCCAACAGCATTGGTGAATGAGAAGAAGATACCCGCAAACGGTACCATCTCCAGGAGGGTAGCAACGGTACCGAAGCTAACGATACACATGGAGTCAGCCGAAGACATGACGGTATATTGGTGCATTGAAAAGGCTTAATCAGGGGAGACGTACGCGGTGTAAGGGCCTACATGCTCCTGAAGCCAATCCGCTTTCTGTCTTGAGCTCCAGCCTTTCAGCTGGAAGTACCGATCATGAACAGACTTTCCGCGGGTGCGACCCTGCAGGGTGATGAAGATCAAGGTTCCAACCACGGGTATGAAGTTCAGCGGTAGGTACATGACGTATCTGATCAAGGCGCTCGGTGTGAAGCGTTCAAAAGGACTCTTGATGATTTTCCCCAGTTTTGATATGGGATCATGACCTGCTTTGATTTCTCTGCCACCTTTTACCAGGTCTGTGGAATTCCTGGCGACGAGAGTGCCGTCAAATGTGTCGAGGAGGGCATCTTGGAGGACCCAGGTCTTGGAGATAGTCGACACGAGTGTTGAGCTCTCGTTGAGAACCAGGAGAACGGTCGAGAATACCGCGAGAGGACCTTCCACAAAGATCATTACCGCCAGCTGGGGTAGGTAAGTGAAGAAAAACATGCTGGCCAAGACCCCGGCGCTGAGTGTAATAGTGGGCCCTAGCTTGCTCAAGAATGGTTTCCAAAGTGCTCGGTGGCTAATGAAGTAGGCGATACCCTGTGCAAACGTCAGATGCCACTTGTCTTTGATGCCAAAGATGATGTAGCAGCATATATACCTTGATGGGGTAGCTATAGCCAGGTTAGCGATTTGTCAAGCGGTCAGAAGGAGAAACGACGTACATGTAAGAGCCACTCCGCGCAGCATCGTTCACAAGGGTCTTCGCCTTGCCGAAGTCCTCCCTCCTGCGGCGTCCTCGTCAGATTGGGTCTACAAGACGCGTGAATCGGTTTCTTACCCGACCTCACTGGCCTTGGCCTGGATGGAATCGACAATGCCCCTGCGCTGTGACATGACTAGGGCGTGGGAAAGTTCGATAGTATGGTGTCCACGTATCTGCTACGTACGTTTGCAGCGAAGAGACAAACGAGTTGATCAAGCTTCAGTTTCCTGCTAATGCTGGAGGGATGGGTAAGAGATGAGGGTTCTTTATCGATAGTCAAAAATCAAGCAATGGACCATAGACCTCTTTCTGGCATCTTTGTGACGGAATTGCTCATGATGACTTACATCGTCATTGGCTCACCGGCAAGTGGCGCCAAGGAAAGGGAGCTGGTGCTTCACGATGACGTATAAAGTCGAGCCGGGCCGTTCAGAGTCCTTTGCTAGGGTTGAACCCTGAAAAGTCTGAAGGACAGACAATGGACACCAAGTGCCCATGGGCATTACGGAGTACATGGGGTGGGGATCAACACACAGCAGCCCTGACCAGCCTCACGTGTGAATCCATCGACTTGATTGCCTGCCGAAAAAAGGAGACCATGTATTGAAAACACCAGCACCCTGGATTTCGGGAGGGCAGAGTCAAGCAGGACCTCCAGCACCTGTCGCACGGCCCCGGTTCTCGTCCCAGACCGACTAACAAAGGCTCTTCTACAGGATTGAAACATTCTAATCTCCTGCTCAGGGATTGAAACGAACTTGGCATACAAGAAGCAAGCTTGAATGTGTTTCTCCCCTTGAAGGGTGGTAGATCTGAGGCCAGGCCCTGCCGCTCGGGTTCTCGCAGCGGGACTGGAAGGGGTTGATGACTGTCCAGCTCACAGATTGGCTTCAGCTGGGCCAGCGGCAGGGCAGCTTTTCAAGACAAGTCAAAATATGTCTCTCTCGTGTAGTACCACTACTACCTTGTCACACACACCCAGGTTTCAGCTATGAAAACGTGGGGTTGCTGGGCTTTTCCCCATCCGGCTTGTTGGCGGCGGCCACGGTCTGCACGGGCGGCAAAGCATGAACAAACCCAATTCACTTCTGGGCAGATTTCCACCGATCAACATTGAACCGTCTGCCAGTGGTGCCTCCCCATCCCCCCTTCTTGCGAGCACCAGCGGGAGAATCCACTCGTCTGAGGGTCAGATTCGTATTCCAAGGTCATGGCTTTCCCTGTTGTCACGCGATGCCCGGGGCCGTCGACTTTGGTTGGCTTCTCCACGATGACGAGGAAATTGGCCCACTCTGTCGGCCGAGTGCAGCAAAGGATGGCCGGTCGTCCCCAGCTCACCAAGCTCCTAGGTACCCACTCTTGGCAATACCCTTGGCAGTATTACAGCAAACACTCGGGAAATCTTGACACAATTCTCATGATGCCCGGTAGCCCCCTGGGCGTTGAGGCTGCCTCTCGAAAACGTTGCATATTATCCTGGGCACGGAGTACTTGGTCGGCTGTCTGCCTGTCCAGGCGCCCCCCTGATGAGCACCCGGGCCAGCGACGGGCAACTGGCTGGCGGCAACCAGAGTGATGATCATGGGCAACGTGAGCCCACGGTTCCCCTGGATACGACCTGTCCGTATATGCAATATATAGCGCTAATGACGCGTATGGCGCGTTGTCCTATCAGGTGCCGGTGCAATTACTTTCTGCATGGTGCGTCGCATCATGGCTCCGACCCTAGCTAACTAGTTAGATGCCGTTTAAGCGTGCCCCTGCGCCTCCCAGAGACTTATAATAAAGTCTTCATTGTGCACAGCCATGACTTGCACTTCCTCGCGGTTCTCCTCTTCTCCCCCTCGCGCCTCTCAATTGATCATTTCGACATCATTTTCGTCACAGTACTCTGCAAAGTCCAATCGTTTCGAAACACACTGTCAAAATGCAGCTGACTGCCTTCCTCGTCGCCTCTCTGGCCGGTGTTGTCGTCGCCGTAAGTCTCAACATTTCTACTCTCACTCCGCGACTCTGGGCATGGGACAAAGCTCTTGGAGCATGAATAGCAGGTGCGCGAGCAATTGGGGGCTCGGATGGATGTGGTGCCCGGCATGGAATCGGGTGCAAAGCTGAGAGAGACGGGAGGGGGCCCGACGAGCGCCTCGCACGGACTGTTTCCCTTTTCATACTCGGCCATGGCTGACATTCATATAGCAAGACGGCGCCGCAGCAGCATCCAGCGCTGGTGAGTTTTGTCCTTTCCCGATCTGTCCACGGCCCCAGCACCGCTCCAAATCCCCGCGGAACCAATAGCTCACCAAACCCACAGCCTCCTACGCCGCTGCTCAGGCCAGCGTCCAGTCCGCGCTCTACTCTCTGCAGACTGCTGTGACTGCGACCGGTGAGGAGAGGAACTCCATCTTCGCCTCTCTGCAGTCTTCCGCCGTCGCTGCTCAGGCCTCCCTGGCGAGCCAGTTCAACTCGAACCTGGGCATCACCCAGACCAGCGCTTCCGCAACCGAGACCTCGGCGCCCTCTGGCTCGGCTTCTGAGACTGGTTCGGGCTCCGTCACTGGGTCTGGCTCGGCCACCGGCTCAGCCTCGGAGTCGACCATTACGTCCGAGTCGACCCTGACTTCTGTCTCCACGTCGACCTCGAGCGATGAGGAGACCTCGTCCACCTCCCGCAGCAGCAGCACTCGCACCAGCAGCGGCAGCAGCACCAGCACCGAGAGCAGCGCCAGCGAGAGCAGCGCTGCTGCTTCCGCCGCGGGTGCCATCACCCTACCCGGCATGGGAGCCCTAGCTGCCCTCCTTGTCGCTCTCTTCTAAGGGACCGAAAAGGAGAGCAACGGCTGGGTGTCACTGGGGCTGGCTTCGGATATTTGGATGCTTGGATATTAATATGTAATGTGGAAGATTGTAATTGTATTTACACGTGGCTCGGTCATCTTTGTACAACACGATGCAAACTCCTTCCGCAGTACGTAGTTGGATGAAAAGCTTTAGAAACGACGGCATTGCGCCGGGCAATTCAGGCCACCGTCAACAGCGCAAAGCAGCGCTCAGCACAGTCTTGGAACACTTGAACCCACTCTTTCATTTCGTGCTTCACATAATGAACTCTGCTCGGGTGTCCGCTACGCAGCCACAGTATCTGGCTGACGGGATAATTCTCTGTGGGGTAACCTCCCCTGAAAGATACAAGACGAAGAGCCAGCCCCTTTGTAGTAGCATCCTATACAGTCATTACACGGGGGTAATTGAGCCACAGGGTCTCCACAATGGCATTTTGAGTTCTCTGCATGTGGCTGTGTTACTACCGTAATGCAGGTGATGAAGAATCTTGCTAATTATCGGCCGGCCCTGGCACAAGTTGATTCGCATCTACTGTCGCAGCCCAGAACTGTCATCTCGGCCTCATGAGACCCATTCAATCCGCGCCTAGATTTATGGCCCGGTAATCTGCAAGGGGAAAAAAAAGAGTAGAAATGTGTGCTGTCTAAGAGAGTTGGCGAAACTGGAAAAGGGAGGCCCTTGCATTGACCAATTGAGAGACCAACGTGGGCTCTCGCTCTGCAGAAGGCTGTCGCGTTGGCATTCCGCCTGAATGCCTTCTCGTGGGTCGCGGATCGGGGCGAGCCGCCGACCCCTCTACATTCCCCACACACAAAATGCGGAACGCATTACTCAGGCGACATTGATGCCATTGCCAACCGGTACTGTGGTGTGCGTCTGAACTGGCCTGCAATCGCAAAGCTTATATGCATACTTTTGATCTTGAACATCCGTCCAGGTTCACTCTTGGGCCGTAGGCTGGAAAACACCCTAGTATAATTACAACGCATCGAACTATTTCCGTTGGCGCTTTGCCATCTTTATTGTGCGGACTCTGTTGGCAACTGCACCCCCACGTAAGCACATCTTGCAACTTGATCCCCTGGGTGGTCATGGAGTGAGGTCATTGTGGAACACCGTCGACCGTAGATGTGATGATGCTCCCCCAGTGGTATGTCAATGGCCACGAAAGCTGACCTACATACACCCACTGGGCCGCTGCAATGAAGGATAGCCCCCATCAATTCAACATTGGCATACTTGAACGGCATTCAATGCTGCTCCCCCGATTCTTCCATTCAACAGAGTCTTTCCCGCTCCGACAACACGCACCTCACCTGAATTAAGCCCATAAAAGACAGACGCTATGTTCTGCCAGACCGCCAGAAAATCACTCCCTGACGCATAGCCGTTAGCACCAGGATGTCCGCTTGGAGCGCTGAAGACGCTGCCCAGGCCGTTGGGAATTCAAGAACAGCAGCCCGAACAAGGCACCTACTTAAGTACCTAGGTAGGTAGGCAGGCTCCTTGTAGCCGTCGAGGAGAGTTTTACAGTTACTTCGATCACACAGCACCCGTAGATCATCTCATCCATATGTGCGGTCAGTAAACAGCAACCTGAACGGGAACATTTGGAAAGTTGGTGAGGAATTCGGGGGACCTTTGTTTCGAAGGTAACATAATTTTTGGATTAATCCCCCGCCTGTGTTTTCACTGGCCATGGTTCAGCCGGCATTCGTCTCTGCAGGATGGTTCTATCGTGACATTGCGGGGAAGGTGGAAAAGAGGCTGTGCAGGCATGTCTTTTATGTACTGGCTTCTCGAAGAATATGAGAGCCTTACACACATTACATGCTCCAAGAGCGATTGTTATGCAGTTGGCTCTGTCCTGGGAAACCCAAGCCTGGGAAACCCAAGCCTGGGAAACCCGAGTCTCGGGGTTAGACCCTGGGGCCCTAACCCGGAAGATAGCTCGCTCCGGCTAACAAGGTGGCCTGTGCGAGCAGGCTGGCTGGCCGGGACTGCTTGGCCGCCCTGTCCATCTGGCTTCGCTGTCCATGTCCATGCCGCCGCCCTAAGCCCAGACGCAGTTCCCATCTTCACCTCCACGCCGTAACTGCTTGCCCAATTGCCCAGCATGAACTACGGCAAAAAGGATGAAGATGCCGACACCGGCCTGGTAAAGGTCGATCGGACCCAGGTGTTCCAGGAAGGTCAGCCTGCTCGACTCGATCCACATCGCCGCCCCTTACCAGAGGAGCTCACATGCTAACCTGCCACTTCGCAGCGCGACTGTTCAACAGCTCGCCCATACAGCCTCGAAGATGTCGCATCCTCCTGACCAAGATCGCCCTTCTCCTCTACACCGGCGAGAAGTTCCCAACCAACGAAGCCACCACCCTCTTCTTTGGCATCTCGAAGCTGTTCCAGAACAAAGATGCCAGCTTGCGACAGATGGTTCACCTTGTCATCAAGGAGCTGGCCCACTCCGCCGAGGACATCATCATGGTCACCAGCACTATTATGAAGGATACCGGCGGGAGCACCGACATAATCTTCCGCCCAAATGCCATCCGCGCCCTGTGCCGAATTATTGATGTATGGCGCCCGCCCCGAGTCTCCTCGCCTCTGTGCCTGCCTCCCGCCCCCTTACTGACCGACCTCTGACCAGGCCACAACTGTCCAATCCATTGAGCGCGTCATGAAGACTGCCATTGTCGACAAGAACCCGTCCGTATCCTCTGCCGCCCTGGTGTCGTCGTACCACCTGCTCCCCATCGCGAAGGACGTCGTGCGTAGGTGGCAGAGCGAGACCCAAGAGGCTGCCGCCAGCACCAAGTCCTCGGGCGGCTTCTCCCTCGGCTTTTCATCCTCATCCGGCCAGCTCCCAGTGAACAACTCCACGATGACGCAATACCACGCCATTGGTCTGTTGTACCAGATGCGCATGCACGATAGGATGGCCTTGGTCAAGATGGTCCAGCAGTTCGGCGCGGCTGGTGCCGTCAAGAGCCCTGCTGCCATTGTCATGCTGGTCCGTCTGGCGGCGCAACTTGCCGAAGAGGATCCTGGTCTCAGGAGACCTATGATGCAGCTCCTGGACGGCTGGCTGAGGCATAAGAGCGAGATGGTCAACTTCGAGGCGGCAAAGGCCATCTGCGACCTGCGCGACGTCACCGACGCCGAGGTTGCACAGGCCGTCCATGTCCTGCAGCTGTTCCTTACATCTCCCCGAGCAGTCACCAAGTTCGCCGCCCTGAGGATCCTCCACAACTTCGCGTCTTTCAAGCCCGAGGCTGTCCACGTCTGCAACCCAGACATCGAGCTCCTGATTTCGAATAGTAACCGCTCCATTGCTACCTTTGCGATCACGACCCTTCTCAAGACCGGGAACGAAGCCAGCGTCGACCGCTTGATGAAGCAAATATCGGGTTTCATGTCTGAGATCACGGACGAGTTCAAGATTACCATTGTCGAAGCTATCCGGACACTGTGCCTGAAGTTCCCCAGCAAACAGGCCGGTATGCTGCAATTCCTGAGCGGTATTCTACGGGACGAGGGCGGCTACGAGTTCAAGCGCGCTGTGGTCGAGAGTATGTTCGACTTGATCAAATTCGTTCCGGACTCGAAAGAGGATGCCCTCGCCCACTTGTGCGAGTTCATCGAGGATTGCGAGTTCACGAAGCTCGCCGTGCGGATATTGCATCTCCTGGGTGTGGAGGGCCCAAAGACGTCACAGCCGACCAAGTACATCCGATACATCTACAATCGTGTCGTCCTGGAGAACGCAATCGTGCGCGCTGCCGCTGTGACTGCCTTGGCCAAGTTCGGCGTGGGGCAGAAGGATCCTGAGGTGAAGAGGAGTGTGCAGGTTCTACTCACTCGTTGCTTGGATGATGTTGATGATGAGGTCAGAGACCGTGCCGCCCTGAACCTTAGGCTGATGAGCGAAGAGGACGAGATGGCGGCGAAATTCGTGAAGAACGACAGCATGTTCTCCCTTTCTTATTTCGAACACCAGCTTGTCATGTATGTCACATCGGACGACAAGTCCACTTTCGAGTCAGCTTTCGACATCTCCAAGATCCCCGTGGTTACCCGGGAGCAAGCGGATGCCGAGGACAGGACGAAGAAGCTCACAGCTTCAACTCCATCCCTCAAGCCACCGAAGGTTACGGCAGCCAAGGCTGCACCAACCGGAGCCGAAGCTGCTGCTTCTGCTACTGCGGCAGCTCAACAGTACGCCCAGGAGTTGATGAATATCCCAGAGATGAAGGAGTTCGGCAGCGTTCTCAAGTCATCATCTGTGGTCGAGCTGACAGAGGCCGAGACGGAGTACGTCGTCAAGGTCGTCAAGCACATATTCAAGGAGCACATTGTGCTTCAGTACGACATCACCAACACCCTCGACTCCGTTGTCCTCGAGAACGTGTCTGTGCTCGCCGGTCCTTCAGACGAGGAAGAACTCGAGGAAGTTTTCATCATCGAGGCGGAGAAGCTCACTCAGAACGAGCCTGGTAAAGTCTACGTGGCGTTCAAGAAGGCTGCCGGCGAGGACTCCCTGCCTGTCGTTTCTTTCACCAATACCCTCAAATTCACCAGCAAGGAAATCGACCCCTCAACAAATGAGCCTGAGGAGAGCGGATATGATGACGAATACGAGGTGGCCGAGTTCGACCTGGCTGGTAGCGACTATGTCATTCCGACGTACGCGAGCAACTTCGCGCACTTGTGGGAGCAAGTCGGTGCTGCCGGTGAGGAGGCCGAAGAAACGCTGCAGCTGAGCGGCATGAAGAGTATAGCGGGTACGTTGTTTTCACCCCTTTCCACACTTTCGCCTCTTTACTGCCTTTCAATCCCTCCAATTCTGTGCCGAACAAGTTACTGACCCCCGATACAGAGGCAACTGAGCAATTGGCAAAGACGTTGTCGCTCCAGCCGCTCGAGGGCACTGACGTGCCTGTCAACCAAACCACTCACACGCTCAAGCTCCTCGGCAAGTCAGTCAACGGAGGAAAGGTCGTCTCCAACATCAGGATGGCCTACTCGGCCAAGTCGGGCGTCACAACCAAGATCACAGTGCGCGCAGAGGAAGAGGGCGTGGCCGCACTGGTCATTGCTTCGGTTGCATAGTTTAACCCGAAATTGACACTGCCAATGACGCAGGACGCTGGTGCCAATCAGATACAAGAGATTATATGAACGGAGACAAATCTAGCACTGCAGATGGCTAGAGATGGGCTGACGGCGGTGGACGAACGAGATGGTGACACGCAGTCAGAGAGAGGCGTCTTTTTGTTGAGCGGGTGACGTTTAGAAAAGAAGGAAAAGTGAAATTCCTTTTCTTCCCGCGGTGGACAAGCAACCCGAATGTTGGACGGGGCCGTGATGATGACTTGGAGTCTAGCATTGGTTTGTTATAATTGAGAACACCTGAACTTGCACACTTGTGTCTTTGACATCTTATGCACCGGCTCGGAACCATTCTTCTCAGTGGGATATTAGCTGTCAGCAGGTTAATGTAGACTCGAAAGCTTCGCAATAAGGCACCTGGTTTCCACTGACAAGACGTTCTGGCAGCCAAGCGATTGCCCCGGACGAGGACGCAAGTTGTCGAAGTCTATACTACAATTCAGGATCCCTGGTACTTAAGTAGCTACCTAGGTAGCTAGCTACTTCTCCCAGAGTTCGCGGCGTCGCTCTAGATCAGCTACTTGTGTCAGTCACCAGGACCTGTGACTAAATTTTGGTGCAGACATCGAGTGCAACTGTAACACGAAGACCACAAGGGAGAAAAAAATAATCGATTAATCAAATTATACATCCGCATTGCGGTGGCAAGAGGCGATTGGACAGAGCCGGTGGTCCTTGAGAGATGTGTACATTTCCACTCCCCGCCTGGTAGAGGCAAAGGACGGCACTGCGACAAATAAGACTGTTCCAGGAGTTGATGTCTCACATTTTCTCGTCCACTCTTTCCTGCCTACATAGGTAATGTAAAGTCTCAAACTAACAGCCTAGCCTTGCCAGCAGCTTGTAAGGTATCTGATATCAAAACGGTCCTCGGTTTGACCCTTTCTCCACCTTCTCATTCTCAGCCCCCAAGCCCCCCTTTCCCCCGATCTTCTGCTGAGCAAATCCGACCAAAATTGGGGAATCCTAGAAGTGCACGACAAACGAAATAAAAAAAGAAGAGAAGTTTAGTCATTAACCGTCTCCTGGAAAGAAGCCTCAAGCAATGAGAAGAGTCGGGTTGGTGTTGAAATGTTTGTTGACGTAGAATGGAACTCGTAAAGTAACGCCTGCAGACGCGATTGTGCTGCCATCGTATGCCCCCCATCAAATGTCCTGAGGAGGTGGAATCGTCCATGACGCCCCCAGCCTGGCCCATGGTATCGAGGCGACGAGGTACTTGCAAGAAATAATTTCTACAGCCGAAATGGGGTTTTCTGAAGGACGCATTGGGCCTCTTCAGCACCACTGATAAGAGTTAAAAGAGGTATAAATGAGTTGGAAGTCCCAGAGGTGGTGGGCTGGGTGTGTCGCGTCGGAAGAGCGAAGAGTACTTGGGCGAGGAAGTATTAACCCTAGACGGTCGCAACCCTGTGATTATGGGCTTGACGATAGTGTGCCTGGATATCAAAACGGGGTTCCGCGTCTGGATCAACGGGTCCGAACCTCTTCTCCTATCGACGTCGAACTGGTCCATCGCGCTGCTTGAGGCGGCTCGTCCTCCATCCTTCGTACCATTGCTCCCGGCTGGCCTCGCGGAGCTCGTTGCGCCACTCGCCAAACACCGAGTCCTTCAGCCGGAGGAAGTCGCAGTGATCTTCATTGTTTGGGTCTGCGAAGCCCCAAGGGAACTTTCGGCCGAGAACTTCGGGCTCGTAAATGTCGGGACTGATGATCGACATGGGAATATACGGGATCTCGTCTTCTTTCAGCTCGTCCCCTGTCCGGCTGCGTCGCACGGAAGTGACCGACTGCCTGGGAGAACTGGTGGGTTCGTTGCCCTGAATTGGCAATTCTCCCTCTTCATCAACCTCAGCTTCCTCCTCGTCGCTCTGTTCATCCTCGTCCTGCGACTCGGGCTCCTCTGGGATTCGGCTCGAGGATGGCGGGGAATCGTAATCGTCGTCCTCCAGGCCCAGAACCTGGAGAGGATCCAGGTTTGCCTTCTTGAGACTGTCCCAGACAGTCTTCTTCAAGACGTTCATGTGCTTGGTTGTGATGGAATCGGCTTTCGCGACGACGGGAATGACGGTTGTCTTGCCCTGCAGTGTCCGCAGCACCTGTAGATCGAGATCCTCATCCAGACTGCCGACGATCCGGGTATCTGGGTGGTACTTGCCATTGCCGTTGGCTGAGACGGCCTTGGTGGATGCAATGTTGCGATCCAGCCGAGCTGGATCGAGGATCAGGAAAGCTGCGTGGATATGGGTATCCTGTACACCAGGCGACCTCACGACCTTCATTTCCTCGGCGAATGTGTCCTCAAACTTGCTCTCCAGAAACGTTGACATCTCTCTCAGCTGCAGGTCAACGACATTTTTTTCCAGCCCCTCCGAGTCCCAGAGGGTGACTCCAACGCGCTCGCCATCGATCTCGCTCTCGATGAAATGAGGGATGAAGTTGCCAGAGGGCTGTGCCCGGTTGGAGCTGGATTCGTCCTCGATGGTGCTCTTGGCGCGCTTCTTGGCAGGCAGGGCAAGGGCAGTCTTCAGAAACTCGAGGAATGAGGTCTTGCCGGAACCCCGCGTTCCGATGATCAGGATACTGGAAGGAATCAGTGACGAACGCCCACCCGGAACCAAGACACTAGGACATACTTGAAAGGGGTAGGGTCCTTCCTCCTGCGCACGCGCCGAGGGCTGTTGACAGTGCTGACCGCACTACTGGCGTAGCTGTAACGTCCACGGTGGGTCATGCTCTCGGTGCGCGCGTACGGGTCGACCCAATTCCCGTTGGGGACTGGAGGGACGGCGGGAGCAGTGCTGGTGGAGACGCGGGGCGGATCCATTGAAGGGCGGTGGAGACTGGTGCTGTACTCGCGCTGGTCTGCTCTGCCTGACACGATGGCGATGGAGTCGGGGCGGGTGTCAACGCCAAAGTGGTCGAATTGGGGGGCGGGGGCCCCGTTGTAGAGCTGTGGGAGTCGGGGCGGGGACTTGGGGACTGCAGCATCTCGCTGGCGCTGAAGTTCTGCCTCTCTGGCGGCCTGTTGGGCCTTCTTTCCTCCCTTCATCTCGCCTGACTTGCTGCGTCTTAGCAGCATCCCGAAACTGGAGCGTTGAGGATTGCTCATTCTTTGAAATGTACGGCTGGCGCTATGCTCGGGGGAAGCCACTAGGGCATGGACCAACAAAGTGAGTTCGTTTCAGGCGGCACGGAAGACGCTCCGGACGAAAAAGATGGGCGGGCGGGCGCCAGCAAATTTAGAGACAGGCCGTCCAGGGAAACGGTCCCGGATTTGGGACGAATTGGCTGCCGGTGTGGAAAAGTGGGCAAGAGCGAAAGGACAAGGCCTTGCAAAAGTGCAGTCCGTGGTGGGCTGTCGCGAGAGGTCCCTGGTCTTCAGGGCTGCAGGTGCGTTGCGATGGACAGCAGGTCTGGGGTCGAAACCTCGATAGGTGGCTGTCTGTTCGGACCGGAGACGAGAACGAGTGACGCTCGAGTTGGTGGCAGGGCCTCGCGACGTGCGGCGAGTGGCATGAACGGGTCGAAGCCTCGATTAAGCGCCTCTGCTTTTCGTGTCAGTACAGGACGGGATAATGATCGACTGGCGGCTGCTGTCTGTTTCAGCTGCGGACTGCCCCGTCGAGGACACACGACAGAGCCGGCCAAGATGTGCAGGCAGGCGCGAAGGAGGTGACAAGGAGTGGGCCGTACTAGAATCGACAATTGATGCCGGCGACCCGACGTACTTGGTGGCCGAGTCAGGCAGCTCACAATGCCTGCAGAGGAATGGGCAGAGAGATAGGAACAGTAAGGCAGACAGACAGGATGCTGTAAGTGGTACTGGGTCAGCAGCCGGGCGCAACAAAGGGGGACTCTTGAGTAGTCCGCGACACCACGTGCGGATCGGCGTCGGCGATAGATCGTCAGTGCAGGGCGCATATGTTGGGCGGTCTGAGGCGGCGGCTGTGACGCTGCAAAGAGGGAGCAAAGGCGTACGGAGTGGACGGCGCTGGAAATAGCAATGTTGAGAGGGAGCCGAGCATCGCCCGCCCGTCCGCGTTGACACTGAGGGAATACCACGCTGATGCTCGGAGATTTAATGTGCCTTGTGCGTCACTTGGCAGATCGCTGCCAGTCCCGCGCAGCCATTGAGGGGGGGGGGGTGTTGGGCAAGTTTGTCCGTCACACGATCCAATGGAAAGGCCCACGACACGGTGCAGAAAAGGGGCGGCAACTTACTACTACAGCAGCTTTGCAGACGTGCGGGAGTGTCGTGCTCGTGGATATGATAGGACCGGCGGGTCGGTTTCTCGATGCCGTGCAAGTGGCAGTCGGGTCAAGGTATGGCGTGGTAACGCGACAAGTGGGAGCTAGCCACCAAAGCAGCCTAGTCAGGGGTAATATGTCGACTCTGTGCCGTCCAGTCTGCCAGTCCAGCGACGCACTGGCAGCAGCGAGGATGAGAAGGGAAGAAAGAGGAGGATGGAAACAGAACAGGATAGGAAGGGGAAGTTTGATCAAAACAACCAAGTGGTGGTGAGTGGCAGCAGCAAGCAGCAAAGCAAGCAAGCAAGCAAGCAATGAAAGGAAGGGCGTTCAGTCGGGACGAGACACGGGCCCTCCCTCCTGCTGTAGTATTGCGGGTTGTAGACTAGTCCAGGTTTCCCGACCTTTGGACTGTGACGAGAAGGTCTTGACGAGGAGGGCGGAATGGGACGATGAATTTACCTTTTGCGCCAGAGCATCGCACGGGATGGGATGGGCTGGCTGCCCCTCTCTCTTTCTCTCTTCTCTCCTTCTCCCCAGTCAATCAATCAGTCTTTCAGGGGCTCCTGCCTGGGGGAAGGAGGACCCACCCAGTCCCGCCCCAATGGGACAGACAGACCGAAGACTAAGTATCCGTACTGATAAACCGAGCCTACTAACAACAATGCCGACCCACACGCGGTCGGGTTGCAGTTGATGCAGTGCCTGACGAGACCCTATGTGCAGCCATGCGTGCCTCCCTCCCAGCCTCCCCCCCCTTTTGCATCGGCATCCAAGCCCTCACTCATCAGCCATGGATATCAGAAGCAGCAGCAGCAGCAGCAGCAGCAGCACAAGCAGCTCAACAAGGGCTCAAGATTGCGGCAGCTGAGGGCCCCTTTAAATTGCAGGCAGCGTGGTCCTCGGGAAACGAGGGCAAAGTGCCGTGCCTCCAATCATCTAACCCCAAGCAGATCCCACTTATTTTTTGATTTATTTTTTTGACGTGCTGACATCCCGGCCCTGGTCAACCAGAATTGCGTACACAGTGGGTGATACGCTACGGGAACCGGGCAGGCTGGCAGGGCAGGCGTTCATCAGTGGCATACTATGTAGTAGACTGGCGGGCGCAGACGCCTGCTTTGAGCGCAATCCACAAGACACTGGGCACAGTTGGTTGAGCGGCGCGCAGCATCGGCCCGGCACTGCACGGCACTGCACGGCACTTCGCCGTCTCCATCCAACCCTGCCGCGCTACAGGCCTGGGTCCGCCCGCCGCCCGCCGCCCGGTGCCCAACGCGGTCCGGACTGCCTTCTGAAGATAACCGAGAATGCGATTGTCAGGTCCGAGGCGTGCACGCCGTGGCATGCCAGGCACCGTGGATGTACTCCGTGGTTCTCAGCGGACGACAGAGGTGGACTCGCCAGGCCTTGACTGTTTCAGAAACAAACCTCCCGCCCTGCCAGCCTGCCAGCCTGCTAGGGCCATGCAGAGGCCAATTTAAGCGCACTGCACTATATTGGCCGCCCTCGAAGATTCAATCTCCTTCCAGAACACCCGAGCGCCTACAACCTGGCAGCCTGGCCTGCTGGGCAGCTAGGCCAGGCCTTCTGTCGAGCCGCGGCCCGATGTCACCTCTCACCCTGAAACTCTGCAAATTTGCCTGCTCCCGACTGGCGCATTGACGCAATCTCGTCGCCCCCAGGGCCAGACGGCTGCCCGAGATGACCTGAAGCTCCCTAAAGCCATAACCACACATCAAGCTTGGTGTCGTGTGGGTTTTGTCTGTGGGACCTCAATGCCCTTTGTACGCGGAAGATGACCTGTAGGGCAGTACAAGGACAGGACATAGTAGTAGATGTGGCAGACCACACTGTTTGCCTAGGCCCACATCAACTCGGCCGTGTTATAACAGCAAGATTGTGTTCCCTGCAGATCTCATAGATTCTTCTAGTGACGTAGACAGCTAAAAATATCTATATTATGCCTTGCCATATTGCACCGCAACAGAGTCTAAGAACTAACTTATTGGATATGAAATGAGAGTAGGGTTCTGGATTTAGCTATATAAAAAATTACAGGTTTAGAGTAGGTAAACAGTAAATCCCTGATAACATCAGCCTCTATTTCTTTCTTTTTTAAGAAGGCAATGGATTAGCAGTCCTGTCCCTTGTCTTGATATGAAGTAATGCCAGCACCAAAGCTCCCTACGCCTTCTCTGTCCAACGCCTGCCAGGTGACCTGTAGACAGCTGATGTACATCTATGCGGCCGAGTCTCTGCGTATGCCTGGTGCAAGCCTCCTTACTCTAGATGGCCGTGAGTCTTTGTCTAGTCTCTTCCGATGCGTAGCCTCGTTGCCTGCCTCAACCCTCAAATACGCCGTGTTGGAGCTCAATACCAACATCCTTGGCCATGTCCGCCATGCGGGCCTCGACCTCGTCTTCCATCCCTCCCCCGACGCCCAACCACTGCCGGATCTTGAAGAAGTAGAAGAGAACATCCGAGCCCCAGAGCACTGCCTTGAAGAGCAAGTGCCTCCACCGGTACCTGAGCCGTTCGGGCCAGGGCAGGTTGGGGTCCAGGAAGAGGCTCCTAGACGCCCACTCTCCCATCATCTTGACCCTGTTGACAGGAGACCCCATGTACTGATTGTTCCCCTGCACGATCCGCATGTTTCGGCCGATAAAGATGAGCTCCTTCGGCCACTTGTCCTCGTCTGCTAGGATATCTCTGATGCCCTGCTTCATCCGCCGCTGCATCGCGTAGCTCCTCTCGCTGGGGGTCATGCCCTCCATCATGAGCCCGCGCTTGAACTCCTGGTCGCCGCCCTCGTACGGCCTCATCAGCGTGGCGGACGCGAATATGTCCGCGGCCTTGATGCCCCACTCCTCCGTTACCTCCTTGATCTTGTCGTTGTCGAAGGTCATGAGGGACTTCCAGAAGGTCCCATACTCGCGCCTGAACTTCGGGCTCATGTATACATAGAGCCCGTGGTCGATGAGAACCAGCTCCGCGTGCCCGCTAGGGAGTCGTCGGATGAAGATGTTGCCCGGGTGGGGGTCGCAGTGCACGACGCCCCATTTGAAGATCTGAGCACTGAAGAGATCGACCATCGTGGTCATCACTTCCTTCGCCGACAGCCCTAGCCCGCCTTTGCCGCGTGGGCCTTTCCACTCGTTGCGCTCCGGCTTGAGTTGTGCGCCGCTGCTGCCAGGGCTCTGCCGCAGCTCCCGCCGGATCCGCGTCATGTCAGGTGCCTCGAGTTGCTTGCCATGCACGCCGGGGGAGCCTTTCCCGTAGCCGCCCAGCCAGGGGCCCGTCATGGTAGCCTTGTCCCACAGTCGAACGCCTTCGATCCACTCGGTGGTTAACACGCGCTTCGACGACAGCTCGGGATAGACTATGGGGACGTAAACGCGGCCCTTCAGGGACGGCTCGTCGTTGATGAGCTTCCGCATCGTCTCGGAATTCTTGGCCTCGTTGACGAAGTCGGTCTCGAGCTCAAGCCGCTCCGTGATGAAGGGGACCAAGCTGTACAGGGGCAGGTCGAACCACTTGCTGTAGACCCACGTCACAACCCTATGCAGCCCCCGGTCAGCATGGCGGGGAGAAACGCAAAGCAAGACGCCGCTCTCGCACGCGGTATGCAGACCTACTTGAACGCCCACAGGTCCCAGCCAATCTGCTTGGCAATCTCGGGCTTCTGTATCTTCAGCGCAACCTCGCGGCCGTCGGGAAGCCTCGCCCAGTGCACCTGCGCGACACTGGCAGACGCCCTGGCAGTTGTCTCGATGACGCCCTTGCCGTCACCGCCGGCGAAGCTGACACCGAAGACCTCCTGCACGCCCCGGCCGCCAAAGTCGTCGCGGATGACCTTGTCGACCTCTTCCCAGCTGTTCTGCGGGGCGTCGTCGAACATGCGCGAGAACATCTTCTGAAACTCGGGGGGCATGATGGCGCTCTGCATGGCGATGGCTTGGCCGATCTTGAGGTAGAGCCCGCCGTTGTGACGCAGCAGGTCGAACATGCGCTCGGCGGAGCGCCTGTGCAGGTCGGGGATGCCACCGTCACTGCCGATGACGGGCAAGGGCTTGGCGCGGAAGTTGATCTTGTAGTCGACAGCGACAAGCACGCCGGTGCCGAAGGTGCGTAGGCTGCGGCCGAGCCCGGAAGCATAGACCTGGCTGTCCACCACGTACACCACGCCGGCGGCGGCGGCGAGGATGAGCAGCCGCCGGAGCCACCTGCGCGAGCGGGTGAATGACCTCGCGGCCCGTGGTGCGCCGAGGGAGGCGGGCGTCGGGGGCCCCTGCAGTGGCTGGAAGGGCGCCGAGGTCTGGAGGGAGCGGCGCCGAGGGAGGAAGGGCGATGTCGTCGAGGGCGGTGGGGGCCGTCGGCTGCGCGACTGGATGGGGCCCGGGCTCGCGGCTGACCCGCTGGTCGCGTGAGGCGGCGGCCGCGGGCACGACAGCCTCGGTTGCCGGCGAAGGCTTGCTATGCCCTGTCGCCACATAGCTGCCGGCTTGGGGGTTGTCGGTTCAGCGTGGTAGAGCCAAGGCGAGCATCTGAGGCACTTGGTCCGGAGCGGAGGGATGATGAGGATGACTGCTGGTCTTTGCCTCTGGTCAGATTTGGGAGGATTTCGGGGAATCAATGACGAAAGCCGATCGTTGGGGAACCCGCTTTGTCGCCGCCGCAGCGACGGCTTGGCGCCTCTTGGCCAGGTGGGCAACCGCCGGCCGGCCGGGACAAGCCGTGGCCCTGCGCGGCTTGCTCTCGGTCACCACGAGGGAGGGGGTGCATTTTGATCATCATGGTCGTGTAGTCGTGCCCCGTGCAGCCAGGGACACATGAGGGCGCACCAAGGGCCTGGCATCCCCAATCGAAAGCTTAAATCGTCAGAGCAGTGACAAGCGAAACATTGGCCTGCGACGGTCCACGCTTTCAGCATTCCAGCCTGGGTCTGGGTAGCGACGTCGCGTGGGCTGCCCTTGTTGTGCCCGGCTAGCCAGCCACCAGCTTCTGTAAGCGGCCGCACACCTGACAATCATCTCTACTATGTTCGCCGCGCAAAAGAACGGACGCGGCGCTAACACGACAGGGCAGTGTGACGGATGCTTCCGCAGCTACGGCATTCTGCATTCTGAGACACAGCATCAACCCCAGGGACACGTTGTCGAGCCCGCTGGGCTCCGGTTATGACGCAGCTCACAGCCACGCCGAACGAGGTGGTCAGGATGAAACACCGTGAGAGAGCCCTGCGGCCAGCGTGTCAGGTCTCGTCGCCCCCCTCCTTCACCAGGCACTCGGTTCGTTCCCCTATCATTAAGACACTATGACCCACGGGTGTTACCCAACGACATGAAGGGTTCATGCTCAAGCCGGAGCAAGGTCAAGCTGTAACAGAAGGCAACTGACTTGAGTGAGGGTCCTCCCTCCCCCACCACCACGATCGGGACCCCAAGATCTACATGCCCTCGGCGCGGGTTCCCGGGCGGCAAGGACAGACAGCAGGTGTCGCAGAGATGAGTCGGGCGCATCTTGGGGTTCATGCCGCGTCACGTCTGGTGTAAAGTTTCTGTTCCTGGGCTGGCGCGCCAGTTGTAGCCGCGTGGGCGTCGCACAGGGGCATGCCATAGTATCCGGCCTCAAAACATAGAGCCTCTCGTCAATTTGCTGTCGGGAAGTGGTCGTAATGTAGACTACATCAGGAAAGCAGGAGCCAAGGAGCAGTTGGTGAGGCCCCGCCCCTGAGGACTCACGCATCCGGTGGGCCCAGGATAGTACGGAGTAATGCAATCTCTGAGGCGATTTCCGAGATGCGGCGACGGAGAATCCTTGTTCTAACTATTGTCATCGTTCACACAGCCATCTGTCGTGACTTGAGCGCTAGCATCTGGAATCCTTCAGAGGGTGAGGGCCGACTCTCGAACCCCGGCAACGGTGACATTGGAACCCCCAAAAAGGTCGTTGTGGTTGAATGTGGACGGTCACGGCCAAGACCATGAACGTGCGGGAGATAGACGAGCCTTACCCAAAGAGGAGGCTCGCGATGCTGGAGAGTCTAGAATCTCATGGCTCAGGAACTAATCAATCTTTGGTCAACTGCAGGCGGCGATGTCGAGGGGCCGGCGATAAGGGACGTGGATCCTGAGTGCAACACCCATTTATCCAGAACTGCAAGATTTGCGCAATTTCCTGTGCTTGATCGGCAGGAGAGTTGGGGCCAGGGGTTTACTCTGAAATTGGGCAAGAATTTGCAGGCGCTGGTTTAGGCTGGCCGGGCTGGGCTGGCTGGCTGGCTGGCCGGGCAATGGCAGGGCAATGGCAGTTGAGCATGAATTCCCGGCCGGAGGGGCCCCCAGCCAGAGGGAGAATATGACGCGCAGAACAGGCAGATAGGCGGGAGAGTCTCGCAGCTGTACGCAACGGTACTGGTGGGTTTGTTTGGGATTGATGGCGAGTGCGAGAGGCCCCCAGGCCCCCCAGCGCGCCCCCCCCCCCAATGACTGCATTCATTTCTCCTGTGCCCTCTTTCTCTATGCCGGTTTCTGCCCAGGTGGCGATGGTGCCTGTCAACGGTGCCCAGACGCGTACGGCTGAGCCACGCCAGAGAAGCTGACAGTCAAGTGAAGGGGAGGGTGGGCCACTGGGCTGATAGGATACGACTGACAGGCCCGTGGCAGCGCTGCAGAAGGCCACGAGAGAATGTCATAGTAAAGTGGGAAGCGAACCGACAAGATACAGGCCAGCAGGCCAGGTTCTGGTCAGGTTAGGTTTGAGTCGAGTCGAGGCTAGTGAGATCGGACAGGATCGCAATCTCTGCCAACGGGAAGTGAGCAGCGGTTGAAATAACCTTGGAGTATTGGGGCAACCTTCTTTTGCCCCATGCTCCAGGTAATTGGCGGGATTGGTGATGGTATCTCGGAGGTTACACGGCGCGGTACCCGGACTGGGGCATAGCCTCCTCGCCCCCCACCCACAAGGGCCCGAGGGGCCTTCCAAGCTGGTGGTCCATTTGCTTGTTCGAGAACGAAGGATTGCCTTGATAGGCCGTGAAGTCTGGGCACGATCCTGTGTGATGAGTAGTTTCTTGTCCTTGACCAAAGACCCGACAGATTGGGAGAGCACAGCACAAACACAAGAAATGAAGAGACGGACTGACTGACTGACTGACGGGCAACGATAGAGTGGCTGTCGGCATGGTCAATGCCTTCTCCCAATCCCGCACTGGGGAGTGACGTGATCTGCAGGCGCAGCAAGCAGGCCTGTGATTTGCACCAGCCTGACGAGACGGAATTTAGACTCGGCCTCTCTGTTGCTTGGTCAGCCATGTGTGGTACTGTGGTACTGCGGTACGTGTGGCTTGTCTGGCCGCCCTGTTTGGGTTTTGTCTCCGGAGCGAGAAGCGTCGACGACAACATAGTTCGCAGCAGCAGGTCCGAGTGGTTCTGGTGGTGTGCCCAATGCCATGCTGCATTGTCCCTCGGTCAAGACTCAAGAGTGCCTACCCCAGCACGGTATGATGCCGCTGTGGACGGCAGGACGACATGAATCTGGAATCTTAGTTTTGTTTCCTGGGGCACGAGGCGCGTGTGCTACTGGGTACATGTCCCAATGCCTTTGCCGCGGCTGTGTACACCTCCCCCGGGGTAACAAACGTTAAATTTCCAAGTAGTGGCCCACTCGCCCCGCCATAAATGGTAAGTTGCCTTTCTAGCAATTTCTATGGCAAAGAGACATAAGCAGATCGGTTAACTTTTTGGGAATAGCTTCTGCTACCTTGGTCTCCAGTGTGTTTTCTTGATTAAGTTAAGTACCCAAGTTCTGTGGGCCTAAGTGGGTCAGTACTTGAAAATTTAACGTTTGTTACCCCGGGGGAGGTGTATATGTACTGCCTACATCCCGGCTAGCCTCTGCCTCAGGGCACCCAGGCTTGCCAGGTTGCCAGGTAGCGTCCCAGGTACCACAGTACCACCACACCCTGCTAAATTTACCACGAGCGGTACGACATCCAAGAAGCACCTGGGCAGCCGGGCAGGACTACACTAGCTAGGGTCCTGACCCACACAAGGCCCCACTGGGGGTGAGTCCAGATGTCCCGCATTGAGCCTGGTAGCACTCGGAGCACCCACTTTTGCCTGCTCAAGTGCTGGTAGCACTTGCCTGGTCTCCTGAGCGTCGGTGCGCTTCTCCTCCTGCTACCGCTACCCGTCCCTCGCAACCTTGCGCCATCTGTGACACTCTTCCGAACTTCTTCCCTCCCTCCCACGACCACGACCACGGCCACGACGAGAGGTCGCCATCAATCCAGCCGCCCTCGATTTTTCTTTCGTCGCCGTTGCCACGAGCGGCCCGACGCCCCTTGCCAACAAGTCGTTCCCAGGAGGCTGGATCACGGGAATTAAGCAAGACAGTGCGGGATCTCGAGGGGAGGCAACGCGAAACCGAAACCACACAGCCCCAGTCTGACTTTCCGACTTTCGCTCGCTCGCTCTCCACCTCTGTCGCCTTCTCAACGCAGCATTCAATTCACCACAGCGGAGCCATAGTTCCCCCTGGACCAAGAACCTGTTGGAACGCCAGCACAAGCAGTCTCTTATCAGATTATCCAACAAAGAGACACTCTCCATGTTATCGCGACGTGCTGCGCTCACCACCGCCGTCCCGACCTCTCACCACGTTGCAGCTCAGAACACCAACCGCTTGCGATAGATCTCCGCCCCGATTCTGGTTCCATTGGCGTCTACTTTCCTTGCCGCGTCTTGACGGCGCTGGCCTGGCCCTCCGGTTCTTCCAACCCATTTGAGCCTCGAGCCGACGGCCAACCTCTGCCACGATGCTGCGACCGGCGACTCCCTTGTCGATCCTGCTCCTCCTGGCTTTTGGCCTGCTCCTGATCTCGGTCCTGTCGACCCCGATCATCCAGCAGATACCACTTGGCGAATTCGGCGGTATCAGTTTCGGCGTTTTTGGCTGGTGTAGGGGCACCACATGTTCTCCTATCGAGATAGGATATGACACTTGTGAGTTCAGAGCCGGCCTTCTACTACCGCCCCCTAGGCCCCCCCCCCCACAGCGCTTGTCTCAGAATACTGAACCGTCCCGCAGCTGCAATCAACCAGAATGGCAACGAAGGTGATTTCGACCTGCCCAGCTCGACGAGGTCGACACTGTCGGCCATCCTCATCGTGCACCCGGTGGCTGCCTTGATCACTCTCGTCATGTCTGTTCTCGCTCTGGTATCCCACCTTCACTCGCCCTCTCACTCCTCTAGATATCTGCTTCTAGTATTCATCCTCAGTATCATCGACTTGATTGTTTGTCTGCTCTCCTTCCTCATCGATGTCCTCCTCTTTGTTCCGCACATGGCTTTTGGTTCATACCTCGTCCTTGCAGCAACCATCCTGGTGGCGCTGAGCACTCTGGTATCATGTGCCATGCGGAGGACAATTGTCAACAGGAAGGCCAGGAAGAAGAGAATCGACGAGAACGCAGAGATGAGCGGAGAGAACTTTTACAACCGCCAGGCCAAGGAGGCGCCAATGCCGAGCACCGCCCAACCAACCATGCCTGTTGTCAGCGGTGCAAACGGAGCAGCCAACGATAAGCTGCCCGTCTTCGCCTCATTCGAAAAGAAGGATGACCGCACCAGCGATGAGCGTATCCCCTTGACAGCACGCAGCCCTTCCGACAGATCACCGAACAATGTGCCCATGGAGTTGAACAACGCGGAGACCATGTACAACGGTCCCATCGGCCCTGGTCCTCGCCGGGCCCCGTCGAGAGACCAGTTCGGCAACCCTATCAACCCACCACCTGATGCGTATGGCATGCGGAGGCCATCCACGGAAACCCAACGGTCTCGAGGGCGTGGCGGCGTGCCCCCTGGGGGGTACCGTGGCCGCGGCGGGTACGGCCCTCCAAGAGGTGGGTATGGCCCCGGCCCTGGAAGGGGGGGATACGGCCCACCAGGTGGCCGAGGGGCCTATGGGCCGCCTCCGAACCGAGGGGGTTATGGACCACCACCACGTGGATACGGCGGGCCTATGATGCGAGGGGGCCGCCCGCCACCGCCGCCGCCAAGCTATGACTCTGGCCCGTACGACAGGAGGGGCTCACCCGCTGCGGAATACGGCGGTCCTTACGGCGCCCGCCAGCAGTCTCCGGGCCCTCCATCGGCGCCTGGCTACCAGATGAACAGCTTGAACACATCTATGCCGAGCGTGTCGACAGGAAACAGTTACGAAGCGTACACACCTGGCAGAGAGAGCGACCTCCCGAGAGCAGAGTCGCCACCACCGCTGCCTGGGGCCGAGAACGATGTATCAGGGCGGGCTTCACCGATGCGCGCGCCTGGTAGCCCTTCACATGACCAACGGGGCTTTGGTCTCAGCGACAGCGATGCCGACATCGCAGGGATGGTTGGATTGCAGCAAGGACGAGATACAGCTCGCCGTCATGATACTGTCATGAGTGAGACCAGCCGATATAGCCAGGCGGACGAGTAAGTGATAAACAAAGTGGGTGGCGTGTAGTCATGCAATGACAAGTGCTAACTACCATAAAGCCAATACGTTCCAGTGCGTACTGGTTGGAATCAGAACGCCGCTCAACATCAGTCGGCAGTGCCTTCTCCACTGCGCCCTCCAGGGGCCAATCCAAGACAAAACACCGGAAGTCCCCGTCCGGCTCCGCAAGAGACATCCTATGTCGAAGACGTAGATCCTCGCTTTGCCGAGCCTCCAATGGTGGCCACTCCCGTTCAAAGACCGACACCTCCGGCTCTCGAGACTGACAACTCTTATGACAGCATTCCTGAAGGAGCTCGCAGCCCTGCTGAGTCTGAACGATCAACGTTCACCTCGATATCGCAGCGAGGTATCAATCCCAACTGGCCTGGGAACAACCCGCCGCCTGCTCTGGGCGGCTTCGGGGCAATGCCTCCTCGGAGGCCAGTCCAACCGCCCCGAGATGTGCTAGACGGAAACCCAGATTTCATGTTACCAGGCGGCGGTGGTCGTGGAGGACGTGGGCCACGTCGCGGTGGCGGCGCCTATCCTGGAGGCATTTGACTACCGTCTCAGCCAGTACGACTGCAGCCCTTGTTTTACTCTACACTTCTCCCAAACCTCGTTTCTACCCTGACCATAGACCTCGGTTACTTGGCTCATGTTTGACGGCATTTGCATCTCAGGAACCTTGTCTGGCCACATCAATTGGCTCAGGTTCACTGTTCACTTCGGTCTTAATCAGCTCTTAGCCAGAGCCATATATATACCCATTCGGCTCGCCTGGCGATCTCGCTCCGCTTCCTCAAGCTCCTAGGCTTCTATCCTGTCGAGGTCGGGCTGGAGGAAGGTCAAGCTGGACAGCATCCTGCGGAATTATGACAGGCGTTTCTCAGCTTCCCTTTCTACTTGAAAACTTATCCACGTCGGCGTTCAAAGGGATGATGCATCAGACCCCACGACAAGGGGGCATACTTTCGACAAAATTTCAACTTGAATTGCGACTTCCCGGCACCACCTTGCATATTCACTGGCACCGGCTTTGGATCCCAACATATTTTCCCTCCCCCCCCTTTTTTCTGGCCATACGACACCGGACTGCTGGGGCGGTACCACTTTATGTGGACATCTCTGGATTATCACTCAACATGGTTTCTGTTTTGTTCTTTCTCCCCTTCTTCATTCTGAGAGGCATGTTAGCTTCTACGAATTCCATACCAAGATGAAAGAGCACGAACTAGGTAGAGGCGGGTTAGACGATCAAGTAATCTCGTCTCATTGCATACGGAGAGTGAAGGGCACCGGACTTCTCGCACGTACAGGGAAGTGAGGATGGTGTTCCGGTTGGACGGGTTCGCTAGAGATATGGTGCTGCTCAGGAGCTCCTGGAGAGGCTCGAAGCCTCGAGGAGCCGAAGGCAGCTAGATAGGCTCGAGAAACGGAACCAAGTTCAGTAATTTGGATGGCCCAGGTGAAAATGCCGACTGATGCTTGTACAGGAGTGCCTGGAAGACGTGTCTCGGGAATATTACCTTGTACCCCCGCAATGGGCTACGCCAACCGTCCACTTGTCCGTAGGCTGAAGTGGACTGCTTGAACTGACAGCACAGGGGGAGTGCGTGTTCTTTGTCATACTTGGATCGGACGCCACGGCTTACTAAATTTCTACACTAGCTTTGCATTGCCTATGCTCCATGACACAGTCTTGTCCTCCATAATGTGCGAGACTATCATGCATTGCCCAAGTTGAAATGCCCCAGAAATGCTCCATTCGAGTATCCTGTGGACCACCATGTTTTCTGTATGGAGCGCCAGATGATATAGATGCATCTATTCCTACAGTCGAACAAAGAAAAGTATTCTATCTTTTTCACGGATCATAGCGCAAGTTACTTGCAGTAGATCCCAATCTCTCCTGACTATGTTGGCACGGACTGCAGAACGACCCATTGGAAAATCCTCGACGAAGAGCCGGTAGTCCTGGGAAGGTTGTCGACGTCGGTACTAGGGGTAGGTGTTCATAGAAGCCACAGTCTGAACCATATCTGAGCATTTCTGTAAGCTTCCTGTTTCCTACGGATTCCTCAACCTGTCTTTTTCAACCTTTCCAATTGTGGGAATATAAGGGATTTGGGCTAGAGGAACCAGTAAAGCTCTCAACCAGCCTTGATTAGTGCTTCTCATGCTGGATGCCTTCGACCATCGCGTCTTGATGCCTCATTGAAGGTTTGAAACCCCAAAAAAAAAAGGAAAAGAAGAAGAAGAATAGTAATGCCATCTCTACCGTTGGGTCCTTGTTCCAAGAAGAATCTGTTCCATCACTGCCTCATGGCCAACAAACTTTTACGATGTCCCTGGGACACCAAGCAATTTGCCCTTCTCAGCTTTCCTCAAGTATCCCCTATCAGGCCTGGACATGTTGTCAATTTGACTCTACCAGCCCGCGATTCTGTGGCCAGCACATATTTCCTGGCTGCGGACTTTGATCTTGGTTTGCTCCGTCCTTCCAAAGCCGGTCGGAATCTCCATGAGCCGACCATCGGCCCAGTAGTTGAGCAGAGTCGAGAAGGCCATGTTTATGAGCGGCGTGGCCGCCTCATGAGCTGGCAGATTGTGGACAGCTTCCACATCAATGTCTTCCCTTGGTTTCCCAAGCGTGGCAGAATGGAATAAGACCTCAACTTCCGCATTGCGAGCTGCGGTCCGCTCGCGCGAGCCCGTAAAGCCGAGCTCGAGATCATGAAGCTTTCTCTGCGCCTCTGTGATTCTCATGTCCAGGGTCTTTGTCAAGTCCTGATAGGCGCCGTAGAAGGCGATTTTCGAGCGAGCGTCCCTCAATTGAAGCTCCTCCGGAGTGGGAGGAAAGCGACCCTCTGGTCGTCCAGTGCTGCTCGAGAATAATGGAACCGTTGGGGGACCCAGATCAGGAGGGAATCCGTCGGGAAAATATCCTCTGACTGCCTCAGCAGAGAGCGTATCGTGAGTGCGTCGGCGTGGATGAGTGGGTTCATACCGGAAGGCCAAGCTGGTCCTAGGATTGGCAGCCGACATGAAAGACTCGATGTAATCCTTGGCAGGCAAGGGCATCTGATGAGGTGACTGAGGTCGAGACGACCCGGTGACTGTGTCTGGCTTTCCAATGTTCATCGAGAAGGAGTTGTTGCCGAGCATATTCTCGTCGGTGGAGGAGGAGGAAGGCTTCTGGACGTCCGACTGCAAAGCTCGGAATGTAGCCTCTAAAGTGGACGGTTTGTACTGTCTCTGTCCTGGTGGTCCGGCGGTCAACGGCTGGGGCGCTCCTGGACCATTGGAGAGCACACTAGATCTCGCAGTGCTGCTCAAATGGTCATACTTTGTGATCCAGCCAGAACTCGCAGGACCGTCTCGATCAAGATTGACTGATGCTGATCTGGCCCCAGGTCCTTCTACCCCGTGGGCACCCTGCTGTGAGAAACTGGGCGTCGAAGATCGGTCAGTCTCTGCGGCTGTCTTGAACGTTTCTCGCGCACGATCGAGGGCCTTCTGGGCTAGCTTCTGAGATGGGTTTGGGTAGGAGGCCAGGTTGGTGATGGTTCGCACAGGCAGATTGCTCATTCTGGTCAGCTCCTCTTCGTCCTTTTCATCATCTGTGAGACGCATGTCGTCGAGAACACGGCCGTTGGCGTTGAGGCTGTTTGTGTTTCCTTGCGATGGCGCGCTATTGAGCGACAAGGTGGAAGAGGACTCGGAAAGGGTGCGTCCCGAGGCCGATATGCCCATGAGAGGCTCAGCGGCGCGATCGCTATTCTGCTGAAGGGGAGTGTAGTGCTTCAGGCTCGAGGCCGTGGTAGGAGGAGAGCGGTATGGCTTGTAGGGGAAGCTGGCCAGGACAGACTGGTTCAAAAGAGCCAGCTCTGCCGGAGAAGGTGGAGCCCACCTCGAAGCACGACCTCTCCGGGAAGGTGGCTGAAGGGGAGGAGCCGTCGGGTTGTAGACAGTACCGGCAGTTGTGTAGACTGTTTGCTGTGCAGCTTTTCCCTTGGGAGGGGCGGTTGCGGTGCTGGAGGTAGACATGGGCGTTGTTATGTTCTTGTCTCGAGACTTCCCGTTCCTACCTTGATTTTAGTTAGATTTCAAATCATAGAGGGAGCATTGCAACTTACACAGCTGCTGCGAAAGAGAATGGGAAGTTGACCGGGAAAACAGAATAGTAGGCGGAAAGAGTCACCGAAGAGACACCGTCGAAAGTGGACAAAAGGCTCCTTCAAGCTGGAATCGACGGTATCAAACCGGTGTGAGCCACCACAGGGAGAAGGTGGGGGGGGGTGGGAGAAGCGACAAGGTGGACACAAGGGGAGTGGAAGGGGAAGGGGAAGGGGAAAGGCAAAGGGCGACAGTAGGTGACTGACGGACTGATTCAGTGCTGTAAGTCGGAGAAAGATAGAAGAAGAATGTCAAGGGAATATTACCCAGAGAGGCTGAAGATGAAAGTTGCTGCCGGCAGTAGAACTGCAGCAGGAACAGGGAGTAGCAGGATGCTTGGGTCGAGTAGAGGCAATGATGGCACTGGACTCCAAAGTGGCAAATGAAAACCAGACAATTGTGAAGTCTGCCTTCCCGCAATGATGGGTGTGTGCTTTCCCTCTAGGTCGCTTCCAAAAAGTTCCAAGGTCCAAGGTTGTTACTGCAGTTGGAGTGAGAGTGAGAGCGAGTGAGTTGACCCCTTGAGCTGCCAATGCCTATGTCTGCCTCATCCTTGCCAGTCAGAGCCCTCAACTGTGCAGTCAATGACCCTAAGTGATGACTGGCTAGCTAACAGTGTTTCACAGAGTAGGGAAACACCTCTGGCTTTGCACTGGTGCTGTACGTTGGCACGATTCACTTACCCAGGTCTGTCCACCGTGTTCACACTCCCTCGCTCGATTGCACCTGCCTCTTGGCTGCCCAACTGCTAAGGCCCCCTCGAGAGGCGGCTAGGCCCTCTTGCACGGTTCGGGTCACAATAGAAAGCTGCCATGAAGACAGATGACCTGTCTTCTGCCAACTTTGATGGGAGAAGAAGTACGCCCGGCAGCGCAGACGCAAACGCGGACACACAGGCACGGCATTGTTTGCGTGCGACTTCTAGGCTTAAATTGTCCTATGGCTTCATAGGAACAATCAAGCAGTATGGCCAACGTGAGCCACCAAGAGAGCATATCCTCCACAATTCGGACGTTGCTGCGTGCCAGCCAACTTGACGAGATTGTGTTATTGATGTGTGCTAAGGAAGCTGTATTATTGACGCTTACCAGCAGTACAGGCTCGACGATACATACGAGCTGCTTCAGAGACGAGACAAACGACACGGCCAAAACGACAGAGCAACAAAGCATCGTACCGGACCGTTACCTCCCATAGGCGCCTTGTTCAACCATGGGCACGACCACGGAACCCCGTGCTGTCACTTCGCCTCCGAGTCGGCCCCATGAGTTGCTGACGTCCAGACAGACTTCTGCCAGTCCACCGTGTGGCTCTGTTCCGTTGTCAACGGCATCTTCGTCTTGACGTACTGGTCCTCCTCTCGTGCATCCCTCATTCGGGCCTAGCAGACCGTGTTTCGACGCCTGGAATGGCTACCGGTCGACTGGCACTCTCCTGCACAGTACAGCGTATCGCTTCGAGCCGGATGTGCCTAGACTAAGGAGCACCGCGATAGGGGAGTCCTCCTGACCCTGGAGTCTTTCGTTCAGAGGATATGGCTTGTTTACCGCAACATTGGATGCATTGCGCCTGCCGATAGAGCGAAGCACTGAAAGGGGGGACAGAGACCATTTTCCAAGGTAGGAATCCTCATCCAGTTTCCACCTCCTGGCGGGTCGGGTCGCCACTGCCCCTGCATGTTGTTCTGCGCAGAATATGTCTGTGTGTATGAGTAAGCTACAGGTGGCCGAGACTCGGTCACCAGACACCGCGTGGGACATGAAAATGAAGATGCTGTAACAGGGCTGCAGGGTGGCTTCAAGCTCGGACGGCTAGGACCTTGGCACCTAGGTGACTTGACTTCCACAGGCCCTGCCAACCTGCCAACCCGGGCACCGTCGATCAGAGACGGTAAATGGATAGATACCGCAAATCCCCATAGGGCTTGGGGCGCGACTAGTGAGAAGTTGGCCGAGGTTGGGGAGGATGGTACGGTATAACACCAGCTCATGTGCGACATGTGGACTGAATTGCTGTAAGGTTTAGGGGGATCTCCCTAACCTATCCTCCCAACCTCGTACAACACATTCCAGGCAAGCACCACCAAGTTGGAAACAGCCAGAAGTTGTGGGCGTCTCCGTTTCCTTCTGGCTTAATTGCCAGGCTGAGTTTACCCGGAACCAATGGGCATCCGGGTGGCTGCACCCTCTCAGGGTTCCAGCTCCTGTCTGCCGCTGGCCCAAGAGGCAGACAGCCCTTTGGCCATCCGCAGTCAGACCACGGTCAGGACCGGCTGGCTTTGTTGAAGGCAGTCAGCCTGCATGTTGGTGGCTGGCCCAGAACGCTGTGGTGTATGGGCATCTGGACGCGGGCGGTCAAATACCCTTGCATGGGGGAGGAAGAGCAGAAGCTTTCAGGGCGAGACACGAGTTGTTCAACCGAACCCGGGAGCTATGTCCACCGGGGCTCGTGCGCCTTTCCCATCTATTCTGGAATCTGTAGGGACAGCGGTCCGCTGTGTGGCGCGCATTATCAGGATCCTGTCGGGGAACATGCCTTGCGGGCGGCACGAATAGGCGCGTGGCGAACTCTGCTTCCTCCGACTTGGAGGCATCCCAGGCAGCCGTTGACTACTACACTACGATGCCCCCATGGGCAATGGGGATGCGCGACATGCCAGCATGCCTGGGCCGAGGGCGGGCTCATGTCGAGGCTCAGGCTCGGGGTTGCGACCCGAGTCCATGAGCAGCACATGGTCCCGCAGAGGCCGGGTACAGGGGCAGGTTTAAGGTTGGATGGCGGTTTCTCCTAGTTTCCAGGTGCCAGGGTGCCGGCGTCCAGGAGCTAGGCTTCCCAGCCAGACCTACCAGACTGGCCCATAGGCACGTTTCCCTCTGCCGGGGCGGTGGAGTGGTCTATATCTGGGTGGGATGCCCAGCGCATAAATCATCCCTCCCCACCACCTGCTGCCCGCCCTGGAGATCTAACTGACAGGCCGAACGACGCACGACGCACGACGCACGACGCACCGCGCACCGCCGACCAGCAAGCAATATCCGCTCCGTGTCGTCAAGGACGGCTTCTCGCGACGCCTCATCACCCGGCTTGTGTTCCAAAGGAGAGAGGCCAACGAGTTCACCGTATCCCGGAGCCCTTCCAGTTCGTGGGCAAACATGGATTACTCGCAGGCAGCCTACTTTGCGGGGGCCCAGGCGCCCTACCACCAGTTCCCCATCAGCATTCCTCCTCTGACGCCTTCGCATTCCAACTCGGCCGGCTCTGAGGACTTCAACACCACATCGCCCCCAGTGAGTCCCCGGCAGCCATCTCTCGTCGTCTCCCGTGTACTTGCATACATCATGCGGCTCTTTCGGGCCCCGTTTTCCTGCGCCTGTCCTGCTCCCTTGCCTCTGCAGCCCACATCACTAGCGCCTCATGTTGCTGGCTCGCATGGCTTACACATCTCTTACTCAGGATGCCTTCGATCACTACCCCAGCGAACAATTCCAGAACTTTGATCAGTACGCAGCCCAGTTTAACCCACCGCCCGCCTTCCCTGGGCCTCCAACGCCGCCAAACCAACATCCTGTCGCCCATAATGGCCATTCTCATTCGCACCGAGGCGCCAACGGCGCTGCTGCCGCCGTCGTCAAGCCAGCACAGGCCGACGGCTTGTCCCTGAGCACCAAGCCGGAACCAATCCCGGATCTTGATGCTGGCAGACAAGGGTCGAACTCAGCAGAGGAAGATGACCTCACACCCGCCCAGTCGAGGCGCAAGGCTCAGAATCGTGCTGCGTGAGTGCTCCCGCAACCCTGCCCTTCTGGAGCCGACACATCCCGTGTATCTTGTCTCAGCAGGCAGGATTCTCTACTGCATCATTGCGCCCCTGAGCATTTGCCCCCACGCTGTGCTGACTTTTGCGTCCCCCCTTGTAGTCAGCGGGCCTTCAGGGAAAGGAAAGAGCGGCATGTCAAAGACCTAGAGGCGAAACTTGCCTCTCTGGAGGCCGCACAGCACGAGACTGCCTCGGAGAACGAAAAGCTGAAGCGCGACCTCCAGAAAATGAGCACTGAGAACGAGATCCTGAAGGCGACCTCCTCGATCAGCGGTGGCCACTCGCCCGGCCACGCCGGCGCGCCCGTAACAACCGGGCCCCTGCAGTACAACCCCACCGACTTCTACACGAACGTCCTGTCTCAACACCCGAACAAGACGCCAAGCCACCGCATCGTCACAAGCGACAGCGGCGAGAGGCTCTACGCGGCCGGCGCCACATGGGACTATATCATCAGCCATGAACTGTACAAGAGGGGCCTGGTTGACATCGCGGACATCAGCAACCGGCTGAAGCACCTGGCCAAATGTGACGGGCAGGGGCCCGTGTTTGAGGAGAAGGCCATCCTCGAGGCCATCGAGGAGAGTGTCGCCTCCGGAAGCGACGAGCTGCTTTGAGGAGCCACTACTAGGCCGCCGCAGATCCCGGTCACACCGGGGCGGCAGGGGTGCCAAAAGTCGCAATAATGAGGAGCCCTTCACCGCGGGAGAGCGGTTTGGGGATTTCCGGTGATCCCCTCATGATCAACGTGGGAGTGCAAGGCGCTTGGACTTTTCGGGATGGGGCTTGAAGCAGTAAAAACAACACACACACAGCCAATCCGCACCAGAGCGTGAATGTGGTCTTGTCCAACTGTGGTCGTCCGAATGCTTGGAGAGGAGAGTATGAACGCACACGGGCGATCCATTCGCCGGGACGGAAAGCATGGGAATGGGAATCACATGGCTTTGTTGCATACCTAGACCTGGCTCGCGGACGGCTCCGAAGGGTAGGGTCGGGATCATGGGAGCAGCAGGATTGATCGTCATGGGCGTGGAATCTCGCAGTATTCGAGTCGTTTGGGAGCATTTTATTTGGGCATATTCTTTGGGAAATCTTTATTGGGCTGGGTCAAAATTCTCTTGGCAGTAATTCTTTCTTAGGGAGCGAAGTCGAGTTATTTTGTCTTCCTTTTATTTTGTACCGTGACACAATGGGTTCTTGTTATAGGTGGCTCGAGAAACGTTGTATGCCTGCCGGTAGACCCTCAAGACATGCGTTGACGATTGCACCGCGTGGGAGACCGGGTAGCCTGCCATTGGTCGTCTTGTTGAAATATTCATGGCATTCGTCTCGTATTAAGTGGTATCATAAGTCAGAATCCCATAACCCCCTTTCATGATCCGGACGCCACAATTCCCACCGATCATCTCCGTCGCACGAACCTGTGAATGAGTTAGCAGCTCCACCGCCCCCCAAGTCATGATATTTCGTATGTAACCTATAAGCGTTCCTTCGTTGGCGATCAGCAAGTCTAAGTATACAAAGACGCCGACTATTGCTGGCATAACCGCAAAAGCACTTCAACACATGGACATAATGTGCAAAGCCCATGGGCCGATGTCGCGTATCAACCGAGCCCTGTGGCATTGCTGTCCCGGTCTGTTCCTCACTTCGTCTTCTTCCCGTTCGCCTGGGGCTCCACATAGGGATGCTTGATCGTCAGGCACCAGATGTCGAGGTAGTCACAGATAGTAACAATGACATCGACGACAAATGAGCCGTACACACCAATAGACACACCCAGCATAAGGAACATGTACGCCACCTGGTACACATCATCGCCAAGCGCACTGGGCCACCCAAGCCATGGGTGTCCGAACTCGAATTGCAACCACGGGCCCAGCGAGTCGATAACGCCATATGCCAACGGCAACACAAGGACGTTGGTGTAGGGGAATTCGAGCTTCACCAGGTGCGCCGTGATCATCTGCCCAACCGAGTAGGCATTGACGATGCCGCAGAACATGGCGAAGGGGACCAGATGGTTGTGTAGGATGTTCGGCTGCAGAAGCAGGTACACGACGATCAGTGCCCAGGTGACGAAGAAAGGCACCAGACCAACCAGCGCGTACCGGCTGCGGTCGCCACGGGCTCGCCTCGCCTTGATGACGTTGCGGCACGACTCAACGGTGTTGAGGCACAGCACGACGAAGCCCTGAACCATATACCAGTGCGAGAAGGACATGTTGTAGATAAAATCCGGGACCCAGGGCTGTCGAGGAACCCCGATGGTCTCCAGGGCCGAGTAAGTCCAGATGTGTCCACCACCGAGATAGCCGGTCATCGTGTAGATTGCACAGATGATCAAGATGCCCTCCACGGGCCCGCTGACGATGCCCAGGGTCAGAGTCTTGGTGTGGTATTCATCCCAGGTTTGGACGTAGAAGGTCAGGAGTGCTATGGCGATACAGGTCAGCTGAGATGCCGCGTTATACCCTGGAACTCTTGGTTCTGGTAGAAGCGAACATGATCGCTTGCGGCGTGTGACTCACAGCAGAATAATATTGCTACTGTCGTCCATCCTTGGCCCATATTCTGGCTGCCCGCGAAAAGAAGGACCTCCAAGGAGGTGTTAACCGCATCGACGCCATGGTCGAACAGCTCACCCAGCGGGCCGCTTTGGCGTGTTCGGCGGCTGGACAGACGAGAGCAAAGTCAGCGCAAAACCCCATGCTGTGATCTCAAGGCCCCAAGGCCACACCGGAACAACTCACGCCTGCGAGCCGTCGACCGCATCAAAGGTCTGGTAAAGGAACAGGCCGATGGCCCAGCTGTAGTAGACCCATGTCGGGCAGTCCTGGTCCAGGGTCGGGTTGTACCAGAGCAGCGTGCAGAAGTTGGCGACGACGAAGGTGAAGCCAGTGAGGGTGATCAGGTTGGGCGCCATCCACATGGGAAAGCACTTGATGACCACATTCGTGTAGAAGGGCTTGAGGATGTACCGCGACACGAGCGAGTGATCAACGCCCGAGTACTTGTACTCCTTGAGGCCAGGAAGCTTATCCTGGCGCACGTACACCATCTTGGCTGTCTCTTGACGCGCTGCACGCTGGCTGTCCTTGTGGATGACGTGAAGCCGGATGTTCTTTTCGAAGGCAATCTCCAGGTCTTGCCTCTTGGGTTGTATGTCGCAGGAATATGATGGGGAAGAAATTCTCCAGCAGGTCCGATGCTGTATGCGGGTGGGTTCCTGGCCGCTGCGCTGGGCGCGTGGAGTCGCGGTTTTTCCATTGATTTCTCCAAGTGTACGGAGTACTTCTGACAGGCGCGCGACGTCATGCGCTAAGTTAAGCCTGGCCCAGTCCAGATGTCCCTTGCTCGGCGAGACCCGCCGGTTTCGGTGTGACAAGGGCCCTAGCCATACACATGGCAATCTGAAAGGCACAAGGCACTTGTTTATTCCTCGAGCTACCATTTTTCTCTTCGCCTATGCGTATGTATTCAGCGCCTACCAATCCCTTGGCATATACGTAAGCCGGCTGCGTCGTCCTTTTGGTATACTGCCTGGACCAATCGAGGCCGACTGGGTTGCCTCACTGCACAGTGCCCAAGAGAGCAAGCTGCTGCAGGAGACATGATTGTAGGACGGACATCACGGGCTGAGGTGTTGCACGAATGGGACATTTCATTACAACCGCAAAGGGGAAACTATTCAGCTGGTAACGAATTCGAGAGCCTCGCGGTGTGTCGAGTCTTGTCTTTTGGATGCAAAGTCAAACATCCTCTGGGCCGAGAAGACATCTGTCGAAGACATCTGTCGCCAGCGTTCCTGCAATCATGTGTCATGTGTGGAGCAATCACCCCTCGACCTCACGGTCGCCGTCTTTACCGCGATCCCACTCCCGCTTCTCTCCTGCCTTGGTCCATTGGACGTCATCGACGCTCTTATCGCCGCCCTTCTCCCACTTCTTGATCTGGTCCTCGTTCAAGCCGGCCTCGCGTAACCTATCCGCACCCTGCTGCCTGTAACGGGCCCTATCCCTTAAAGCTTCCAAGGCGTCGTCCCAGTCATCGCGGCCATTCTCGTCTTCCATCTGTACGTCGGATTTCGGGTCGTAGTCGGAAGAGAACCTGCTGTCCATGCCCGAAACCCCGCGTAGCGCCCCGCGGCCTCGAGGCTTGTTGGGCGGAGGTGCTGGGCCGATCAGATCCTCAAGTGGATCCGAGTCTATGTCCTCCTCGTCTTTTCGCACGTGCTGCGACAAGCTCTCTGCCTGCTCTGCGCTGTGACCTGACCGATTGGACGATCTCTGCGTTCCCTTCTCCTTATGTTCGCGTCTCAGCGGTGATCGGTGGCGGTGTTTCCTTGGGCTGCTCGTGGGGGATCGAGACCGATGGCGCCTCCCCCGGTCGTCTGATACCGGGTCCTCGTCGCCAGAAGATGTATTCGCACGCCTGGACCTGTCCCTCCCGTCGTCGTCTCGGCCTCTGCGCGCCTGGTACCTCTCAAGCGATCTTCTCCGCTTGCCATCCTTATCGCGCGCTCGTTTTCGGGCGGCCGCCGTGTCGGCAAGTCGTCGCGCATCCTCTGCGGCCCGAGCTTTCTGCAGATCCGTGATTTCTTCCTCCGTGGCTGCGGCGCGCTTCCTCTTCTGGGCCGGCTGGCCTTGCAGCAAGGCAGCGATGTTCCCCAGCTGACGGCCGCGGATCTCGTTGGCCGTGGGCTTGTACCTCCGGCGCTTCTCCTCTTCGGTGTCAGCAAGCTCTTTTAAGCGCGCCTGCGAGTCGGCGAGCTCCTTCGCCGTGAGCGTCTTGTTGTGGTGTTCGGTGCCCTTGATGATGTTCCTCAGGAATCGAGTGTTGGGCTTGGCCTTGTTGGCTGGTCTAGAGACGATGTATCAGCGGCCGAAAGGTAGAGTTGCGAAGGTGTCGAGGCCTGCGAACCTGGAGCTGGAGGGTGATGAGGAGGTGTAGGCTTCCATTCCCATGGTAGAGTATTTCAAGGAGCAATCCTTGGCCTCTTTTGCGAGTAGTTCGGCGACGTGGTCGTCGGTAAGCAAGTCGTCGTTTCCCATGTTGGTGCAGGCGCAACGAGTATTCCAGCCTTGGCCAAAAGATAGTGCAGCAGTCTCGGTTTTGCGAGACAGGAAGTTGCGCTGGGGAAGTAAGAACAGGGGCCGATACCGTGGATCTTGCCGACTTCGTCCCGTGCAGGATCCTTGCCTAGCCACTCCAGTCCAAGCCCGCTAGTCCCTTTTTGGCCGTGTAAATATAAACTCGGCGCGTGCTCGAGGTCCCACGCAGCCTGACTTGATCGCATTTATTATGCAGCAACACCACGAGACTGCGCGCAGCGAGACTGCGCCTCGAGATCTGCGATACACCTGCCCGCAATACTGGGCGACCCAACACCATCACTTGACGTCTATCTCGGTCTGCTCCTCCCTGTCCGAGAAGCCAGACCACCCAGCACGAGCTGGGCAACACTCAACATGGCAGCGAAAAAGGCCGCGGATGTATTGCATGAACTGGAAGACCTCCAGTCAAACCATGAGATTTCAATCATCAGACTCAGCGAACCAATATCCTCGGCGTTGCCACAGACGGGCCAGGGAACCAACACCGCCCGCACCTCAGACGTGTCCAGCTCATCCGCAGACGCGACGCCGGCGAGCCTGGAGGCTGACCTGGCGCATTACAAGGAGTTATTTGCGAAGCTACGTTTCTCATACGTCGAGCAGGTCACCAAGGAGAAGTTCATCCGCGCCATTGTCGGGGAGCCGCCCCTGATCGTGACGCCACAGGAGAATGTTGAGCTGGAGAAGCAGAACGCGGCGGCCAAGGCGCAGCTCAAGGCGCTCAAGATGGAGGTCGCCGACACGGTGGAGGAGCTGGAGAGAAAGGGACGAGAGCTGTGCAGGAGGTACGAGACCGTGCAGATGGAGACGGCCACGCTGCGGGAGATGCCGGGGAGGATCGCCGGGCTGGAGGAGAGGATCGCGCAGCTACGGGAGCAGCTGCAGCCTGGTGGGGACCCAAGCCGCAACCTGCCACTGGCAAAGACGCTGGAGCTGGTCGCGGAGAAGAAGCTGCAGAGACACGACCTGGAGAGGCAGCTGGAGCAGCTTCGTGCGCAGGTCCCCCGCAAGAGGAAGGAGATGGAGAGGCTGCAGACCGAACTGCAGCCCCTTGAGGTCAAGAGGCAGAACAGCCAGGCGGCGGCGAGAGAGGCGCGGCGGAGGAAGGAGCAGGCACTTGGGGGCATCGAGGATGACCTAGAGGAGCGGGGCAGGTGGTGGAGGGCTTCCGAGGCAGCACTGAAGCAGATGTTGGAGATTGAGGGCTGACTCTGCATCACCGGACTGTTTTGGCCATGCATGTTTGGCGTTTTGGTGTTTAGGATGGACGGTTGCAAATTATACCACGGGGGACGAGCAAGTGTCCCCGCCGCAGCCACTGGGCCGCAGCCTGGTTTCCAGGGGCCCAAGTGAGGGCGTCGAGGGCGTCTGGGCTGTCCATATGTAGGATTTCAGAGCTGTCGCGGGTAGGGATCTGTTTATTTGCCATTGCTCCATCGGTTCATCTATGCGTGCATCCATCCATCCCATGGCTGGCCTCCATACGACTATTACCCACGCAGGTAGGTACTGTGTGCTGTGTACTGTGTACTCAGCGTCCAAGGCGACCAGGATCCGACGGGCAGCCTGGCAGCCCGGGTTGGCCATGACGGACCAACAACGGCGTGTGGACTTATGATGAAGTATGCAGTAGTCATTAGTACTGTGCGATGAGAACTACACAGTAGTTCATGTCGAGGATGACCTGAACAAGGGACTTAATTATTGTGAGGTCATCGTCGTCCCGCAAGCCGCGACGGCGCGATGGGATGGATGCCCTCCCTCCGGAGAAGTCGCCCCCCTTTGGCCGGCCCCCTGCCAGCCTGCCTAATGCAACCAAGGCCATTTTCTGTGACAAAACCTTTCGAGGGGCAATTCTAGGCCCGCCAAAAACTTTTTCAGTGGCGACGTCGTAGCTCCTTACCCCGCGTTTAGCGGGCCCCGGCTGCAATGCGTTGTTCGAGGACTGCCAGAAAGAAGGCTGCTGTGCTGCTGGGTACCTGGGTAGTACCGCTCGACCTCGCTGCCTGCCTGCCCGCCCGCCCGCCCGCCTGCCTCGTCATCTTTCCGGTGACAATCTAATGGGCAGTGGGAAAAAGACCGCCTCTCACGCCGTCTGAGGCAGCCGTATCTAGACGGCCGCGAGGAAAAATCCTTCGCCCGTTTGACTCATGCCGACAGTAGACTGTGTGGCCACCGGCCGCTGGCCACTGGCTGTGCCTTGGAAGCTGATGCATGGAGGGGTAGAGAATTGGGCGGCGGTAAGGCAGCTTGGTGCCCCAAAACTGGGCCACCAAGACGGCTGGCTCTGAGGTTGCTGCTTAACAGCTGCGCAGTAGCGTTTCAAATCGGCTCAACATCCATGGCACGGTCCGGCGCCCACGGGCGACGCTCTCTGAAGCCTCAGAAACCTCTCGAGGTCAAAATCTCTCGATTCAATGCTATTTGATGTTGCCACGGCTGATTATGCATCTCAGGAGGAGGGATGGACTCTGCCGGTTTGCTCATAACACCCGTTCAGGCCCTGGCCGTATTGAAGTGACTCTTGTTCAGACGCAGGCCGCGCAGGCAGATGATGTAGTACAACTTGGCAGGATCACATTTCATGAAGCGGGCCGCAATTACTATGAGCATCTCTAGCGACCGACCCATGGCTCGCTGCGGCGTGCAGTGAACCACTGAAATTCGCTGTGCTGGAATGAATCCCGTGAAAGCGGCAACAGCATCATCATACAGCATCAAATGGACAGGCCTCAGTGGGCGTGGGTGACTGTCCAGCTGTTAGTGAAGGACGGAGCTAGTGGGGCACCAGAGCGAAAGCTTGGTCCGTGCATGCGGGCTCTCAAAAATCTGGCTCCAGTACAAAACTCTAGTGTCCCAGCCGCTCACAAAATCTCTTCTGACCTTCTTTTCTTCCTCGTCTGCACACCGAGATCCTGTCCGCGATCCATCCTGCAAACGTACGAACCCTCACTCTCTTCCTCCATCGAGGCTTGCATCTGACTCCTCAACAGTTTCCGAGACTAGAATCATCTCAAAGACAACAATCCCACAACCGTCAAGATGGGTAAGGACGTACGTATCACCACCCTCCTCGATGCCCTCCATGCTGGCCACAGCAGACAGCAGCAGCCCAAGTCGCTGTCGCTTGCATCGCAGGGCCTGTCTGTGCATCACAAGGCAGTTTATTGACAACTCTACAGGACAAGACTCACATCAACGTCGTGGTCATCGGCCACGTCGACTCCGGCAAGTCGACCACCACCGGCCACTTGATCTACAAGTGCGGAGGTATCGACAAGCGTACCATCGAGAAGTTCGAGAAGGAAGGTTAGTAAACATCATCAGACCCAGCTTGACCACTACGTCCCTCCACATGCACTCAGAAATCCTTGGCCCGCGCTGTCTGTGACGCTTCGTCACACCTGTGAAAGCATTTTCACCCCTCCCTCTGGATTTTCCATTTTCAGTGCGGGTGCGGGGTGCGCTTATCAGGCCGCTTATCTCCCACACCAAAACCCTGTCGCACCCACCACTCTTTGACCAGTGACATTCCAATGTCATCACCTTCGTTCCCTTTCATTGCGCAACGGATCTGTTTGAATCGCTTGGAAACCATGCTGACTCTCTCTACACAGCCGCCGAGCTGGGTAAGGGTTCCTTCAAGTACGCCTGGGTCCTCGACAAGCTCAAGGCCGAGCGTGAGCGTGGTATCACTATCGACATTGCGCTCTGGAAGTTCGAGACTCCCAAGTACTATGTCACCGTCATTGGTATGTTCAACTCCTCTCGGGACCCAAGTGCCCAGCTTCTCCGCATGTGTGACGACACCTAACAGCTGCCCTGCAGATGCCCCCGGTCACCGTGACTTCATCAAGAACATGATTACTGGTACCTCCCAGGCCGACTGCGCCATTCTCATCATTGCCGCCGGTACTGGTGAGTTCGAGGCTGGTATCTCCAAGGATGGCCAGACCCGTGAGCACGCTCTGCTCGCCTACACCCTGGGTGTCAAGCAGCTCATCGTCGCCATCAACAAGATGGACACCACCAAGTGGTCCGAGGACCGTTTCCACGAGATCATCAAGGAGACCTCCTCTTTCATCAAGAAGGTCGGCTACAACCCCAAGACTGTTGCCTTCGTCCCCATCTCTGGATTCAACGGCGACAACATGCTTGAGGCCTCCACCAACTGCCCCTGGTACAAGGGCTGGGAGAAGGAGGGCAAGGGTGGCAAGGTCACCGGCAAGACCCTGCTCGAGGCCATTGACGCCATCGAGCCCCCCAAGCGTCCCACCGACAAGCCCCTGCGTCTGCCCCTCCAGGATGTCTACAAGATTGGTGGTATTGGAACTGTGCCCGTCGGCCGTATCGAGACCGGTATCATCAAGCCCGGTATGGTCGTCACCTTCGCCCCGGCCAACGTTACCACTGAGGTCAAGTCCGTCGAGATGCACCACGAGCAGCTCGCTGAGGGTGTCCCCGGTGACAACGTTGGTTTCAACGTGAAGAACGTCTCCGTCAAGGAGATCCGTCGTGGCAACGTCGCCGGTGACTCCAAGAACGACCCCCCTCTGGGCGCCGCTTCCTTCACCGCCCAGGTCATCGTCCTCAACCACCCTGGCCAGGTCGGTGCCGGTTACGCCCCCGTCCTCGACTGCCACACTGCCCACATCGCCTGCAAGTTCTCTGAGATCCTCGAGAAGATTGACCGTCGTACCGGCAAGTCTGTTGAGGCCAACCCCAAGTTCATCAAGTCCGGTGACGCCGCCATCGTCAAGATGGTTCCCTCCAAGCCCATGTGTGTTGAGGCTTTCACCGACTACCCCCCTCTGGGTCGTTTCGCCGTCCGTGACATGCGTCAGACCGTCGCTGTCGGTGTCATCAAGGCCGTCGAGAAGGCCGCTGCCGGTAGCGGCAAGGTCACCAAGTCCGCTGCCAAGGCCGGCAAGAAATAAATTGCTCCCGGCTCTGGTATCCTCTGAAGAGCTTGAGGTCGCAAGCTCATCACCACACCACACCTACACCTACCTCGAAAAGCGTCGCTCCGGATTTGGTATTTGCCGTCAGCTCATTGCGAGCTTTGTGCAGCTGGTCACGTGGATGACAGACAGGAGATGGTCAGGCGGTTTCTGCGAGTACAACCATCTCATGCCTGGGTCGAGATAGAGTCTTAGACGTGATTTAGGGTCGCAGTAATCAGGAATTCCCTTGAGTACGAAATTATGCCATGAACTAGGTGCTTGTGAATCCTTCGACAACAGCCACTGGCTTGGTCTTGGTTGTTGCGTTGTTGCCATATGCTTGTCCAATGTAAAACGTGGCTCGCCCATCATCGTCGGATGACACCCAGGTGAGGTGTGGAACATGTTATGTGACACGGGGCATGTGATACATAGTAACTCCGGGCTGACCCTGGGCCCGTTTGAACATAGGCCAGTATGTCTGTCCTTCACTAAATCGGGCTGCTTCCGGCTACTGGCTCACCTTTCTGTGCTTTAGTTGCCTAATAACAAGTAGGCTCTAGGTTTGGCCACCGCCCATTTGGCTAGTCCAAGGGATATCTGCCTCAGTTTGACACGCTATCTTGCGTGCCTCTCGACATTCAAGACGTGTCCGGTTATCGAACAAGCAGGTGATTGGGGATTTCGGCTCCATTTTCCATCACGTAGGCTACGGGTTCTACATGCACCACCACGTCGCGTGACAAGAGCCCACTCTATCTACCCTTCAATTTTCTTTTCCCGGCCCAACTCCCTACCGTACCCACGAGATACTGGTCCTGACCTGCTCCTCGCCATCAGCCCTGCGTACGAGGTGGCCTGGCTGGCCCGTGGCCAGCTGGTAGATAGATCGCAGGAAGAAGGTGGCGTTGATGGCTTCCTTGGCCCTGCGCAGGTCCTTGTCGTAGCCCGGCACGGCCTCGAGGCTCAGCTCGGCGCGCCGCCCGCCGCTCGCGCCGCCCTCGATGCTCGTGTACACGAGCTTCCAGCCGTCGTACGTCGTCTCCACCGCGTAGCGGAACTCGAGCCCCGCGAACACGTACGAAGCGTTCCTGATCTGGTTGCCCTCGGGCGTGTGTGGCAGGTTCTGGGGCGGCTGCGCCGCGGCCGCGGCCCTCTTCCTCTTCACATCTGCCCTCGAGCTCGGCTCCGTGGTGGCGATGTCGAGGGGTGGCGCTAGCAGCCACCTCGGCAGCCCCAGGTTGTGCAGCCTCGGGGGCGTGTTGAGCTTGCCCTTTCGAAGATCGAAGCGTGACTTATTCAGGAACTCGCGCAGCGGCTCCATTCCCTCTATGGAGTCAATGATGTTCGGGGAGAGCTCGGCATACTCTTGCTGCGTTGTGCGGACGTCGACGTGCTCCGCGGGGAGGAGGATGTCGGAGATGCTCGTTCTGTTTATTGCGCGCAGGGAGTGGACCCCTTTGATCTCGAGGTCATCAGCAGTAAGACGCAGTTCGAGAGGCGGTGCTCTCTCAGTATAGATGGCGGATTCGGCGTCTTCCGAATATGGCGCAAAACGCATCAGAACCGTTAATGCTCTGGCCTTGGTGACCCCTTCATCATAGGGGGACCATGCGGGGAGGGCCATCTCAGCCACATGTGGCATTAGAGGGGCGAAAATTCTCGGCCACTTGGCAAGGGTGTTTGTTACGTGCGGACGAGTGATGCTCTCAGCCAGCTTTGGTCCACCAAGGTGTAAGACGTGCCCGAATGCTGCTTTGGTCGTGATTTTGAAAGGTCGCCAACCCGACGGGGTGGCACGCGTAGTTTCTGGCTCCTGCACTGGAGTCTGTCCTTTGGACTTTTCTTCCTCCGACTTTGGAAGTCCCAATGGGCTCACGGTTTCATCCAACTTGTCCACTTTGCGCTGGTATGTGGAGTATGGCACAGCAAGATCTTCTTCAGTTGGCTGAACTTTGAATCGGAGGATCTCAGTCGTCGGCGGCCACGCGTTAGCTGCTCGTTGCTGCTTTGACGTGAGTGGCAGACAAAGTCGAGCCCATTCGCTGCGCCGGGCTGTCCACGGAAATTTCTCCTTGTTGCTGTGGTCCTGAATAAGCCTGCCATTGCCCTCAACATCTGGGTAGACTGCCAGGTCGCTCCATGTCCTGGCAGGTGGACTGGCTGTCAAAAGTAGGCGGAAAACCTGGTCTCCCGGGTTCTCGAATGTAGATTGTGTCTCTGCGTCCCACACATCGATCCAGGTAACTTGAATCTGGGGTTCAATGTCAGCGAGCGGCTCAACCAGATGCGGAATGAGGGCTTATAGCTTTGCATACCGTTTTCCGCCCAGGACCGAAATGAACGATCGAGTTCGTAATTCCTCCAAGTTCCTCCAGTGTTGAAGCATCAAGATGTCCCACGGGGATTCGGTCCAATTCGAGAGTCCTGGTCTTGCTCTTCTGCAGTGTATCACCCAATCGATTTACACACGTCTCAGCAACGGTCTTTGGAGCTGTTATGCGGATGAGGTTGCTGGAGCGTCGAACTTCGATCTGCTGTCCCTCTTTCAAGAAGCGTCGCGATAAGTTCCGCAACCAGGATTGAGAACCGACTGGGACATTCATTGTCAGCAACGCGAGAAGGAAACTGATGTTGACGGTGCTGTACTTACGAGTGAGGAGTTTGAATTCCAGGTCGCGCACTCGAATGTCGACACGGCCATTGCCGTTCAGAAGCTCTTGTATCGATATGTCCCAGCACTCCCGCATAAGCTGGACGACTAATCTTTGCTTTGGCGGCATAGATTTCATTATATATCCGGCCAGAGGGTATTGTGCGTCTTCCACAGCACCGTCCACATGGGGAGTCCAATGCGCCTCTTCTGCCATCCAAGCATAATGACGATGCTCTGGGGGCACGTCAGCGGGCATAGCCGGTTCTTCGCTTGCAGTCTTGGTCTCGCCAAAGACCTCATCCTTGATCGTCTCCAGGATTGGCTGTTCACGGTGCCACACCACGTAATTCTCGAGCTGAGCAATCGTGAAACCATCGAATAGCGTGTTGAACAGGGACTTGTACTCCCGTGCGGACACAATGCGGCGCTCCGGTTTCAGTCCATGAATATTTTTCACGACGTCGTCTAGGCTGAGGACGCCTTGTTCTTCCAGCCAATCTTCGATCTTCAAGCCTTCGTCCGTTGTTCCTTCTGAGCTGGCCGCGACTGGACGGGTCTTTCTTTCCCATTGACGGCCATCCCTTAAAACGATGACTTCAGCTGCTTTACCAAGGGATTCAATGCCAAGTTTCGAGGCATCTTCCACCAGCAGCATGTCGCCTCTTCTGTGATGTTTCTTCCGACCGCTGGTAGAAGGGTCGACTTTGCCGATTCTTCGAATCAGGGCCACGGGGGAGCCATCCTCTGCTCGCCTCTGATTTCCCATGTCGCGATCTCTAGCAATTGACATTTGAAGGGTAGGATTTTTGCCCGCCGCGCCCGCATTGTCGTCCAGGATCTCGGTCTTACCTAGGTTGTTGTCCTCCATACCCGCTGCAGCGCCTTGCCCGGTGGATTTGAACGGCTCGCGATCAGCTGGGGCAGCTTGGAGACGTACATCCTCGCGCCGAGGAAGGTCCCAATCATCGACGACTTTAAGTTTCCCTCTGGAAGCAGCCTGGCTTCTGGAGAATGCCGCGGCAGCCTGTGTAAGAATGTCCTCGACATTCCGACCACTATCTTTTCCAGCCAACTTCTGTGACCTGGCTCTTCCGGAACAGGGACTTGTCGCCAGGTGCCGATGCAGTAGCTTCTTGGTAGCAAAAATATTCCCGCATTTTAGACACTCGAGGTGTCTTGGTGGCTTCAGCGACGCGCAGCCCTGCCTGGTGTGGTCATCGCGTCCTGCCGGACTGGAGAAGACCTTTCGACATTGGGGACATGTGCGATTTGCCAGCGCGCCAGCCGTCGTGGATGTAGAGTCCTGCTGGGCCTGGCCCACTGAAGATTTCTGAATCTGATTTGTTTTCCATGCACCTGTCCCGTCTTGTATTATGTGCTCGGGTTTGCTGGTGAGCGCGCTTTCTACGGGGTCGAAGTCGGCTCGTGAAACCTGATCCCGCCCGGCATGTCTTTCAATGGCATCGTGATTGCCGTCATCGGTTGCACTCCTATCAGGGCCAAGCCGGGCGTCCCCAAGATTATCCTGCTGTGGATCGGACAAAGTCTGCTTGGGGATCACGGAAGGAGAGGGCTCGTCGGGTTGAGGTGGCCGAGTCTCGTCAGGCCCCTGTTCTGTCTTGCTATCATGCACCCTTGCTTCGAATACAGCCGGGACGTCTTCTCGTTGGGGGGTCGTGGCATCGGAGGCATATTGTCGTCGCCTACCGCGGACTTGGGTTGCGGCAAGAAGCGTAGGTGCTCGACGGGTTACGACGCGGATTTGGCATCTTAGACAGACCGAGCCACCCAGTGCCGAGGGAGAGAACATGAAGGCAAATTTGCAACCGCGAGAGGCCCCAAGTCGAGACGGGAGGAGTTGGGTGTCGCGCAGGGCCGAGGAAAAGCTGGTGGGTTGGATCCCAAAAATTTATTGACGCTCTCGACTTACACGACCTCCGGCAGGCATCTTACCACCATGCCCAGGTACCTGGGTACTCCGTACTAGGGTGCTGAGTGGACAGCGGCGCCCAGACAGGCAAGTCCCCAGGTAGTGTGCTACCCGGCGGCCCCAGAAACGCGTCAAAGTCCTAATAGATCATGCAGGGTCGCGTCACCTCACAAGGAAGCCATTTTCGGTCCACGCATTTCTGATCTCTTCTTTGCGTCCGTACACCCTCCTTATTGAATGATCCCGTGGGCCGAGGTAGGTCGGTCCAAACATTGCCTCTACTGCCACAATGCCCTCTTCGTCGAGAAGGTCCCGCCCGGTGAGTGCCCGCCCTCGTCGGCGCGTGTGTCAATACTTGCCAAGCTGACCCGGCGCTCAAGACGGCCGACGACGCCGACGGAGAACAAAGGCCGCGGCAACGCCAGCGCCGCGATGACCCAGAAAGCGATGTTGACGAGGAAGAGGAAGCCGAAGATGCAGAAGACGCCGAGGATGGGGACCAGGTGGAGTCGGCAGACGGGCAGTTGATCAAGAAGCTTGTCAGATACGCCCTGGCTTGCGATTTTGCTCGAGCACCAATACGGAGGGATGGCATCAAGGAGAAAGGTAGGATTGGCCCTGGAAATCTAGATGCGACAGTGGTGGGATCTGACAGCAAATGCAGTTCTGGGCGACCGCAGTCGGTCATTTAGGAGGGTGTTCGACGGCGCGCAGAAGACCCTCCGCGCCGTGTTCGGCATGGAAATGGTCGAGCTTCCCGTGAGGGATAAGCTGACCAAGGAGGAGAAGCGTAAAGGTATTTTGGAGACCAGCCCTGTTATCCCCCACACGGTTCTGACGAAAGAAACTCGGCAGCCGCAAAGTCCAAGTCCAAGTCCTCGAACTCCAACAGCTACATCCTCGTGTCTGTGCTCCCCGATGCCTACAAGACCTCGAAGATCATTGCGCCCTCCAAATTCCTGAGCGCGGAAGATGAGGCTGCCTATGTGGCCTTTTACACGGTGCTCGTCTCGCTAATCCGGCTCAACGGCGGCGAGATGAGCGATTCGAGACTGAAGCGCTACCTGCGGCGGCTCAATGCGGAGACGAACTCCTTCCACAGTACGAAGACGGAAGACACACTCTCACGGCTGCAGAGGCAAGGCTATCTGATCAAGAACATCGACAAGGAGGCCCGACAACACGGCGACGAGCAGGAGGCTACTACATGGTACGTGGGTCCGCGGGGCAAGATCGAAGTGGGCGACGAGGTCGTGGCCGGGGTGGTAAGGGAGGTCTGGGGCCAGCAAGACGACGACGAGCTCGAGTCCAAGTTGCAAAACAGCCTGCAGATCCAAGAAAAGAAGGTGTCTGTACAGAACGGGGATGCTGTGGGTGACGGTGCCTCGAATGGTGGCAACGAGAGCGCTTCTGTGGACAACGGCGAGGGCCCAAGTAGGAGGAGATCAGGGCGGCGGCGGCAAGTTGAGGAAGACCAGGACGAGGAAGAGTGAAGCGCAAGGGTTGAAGTGAGACAGAATGGGCCTCCCGCTCATCTGCGATTGCTATTTTGTAGGCCAGCGTCCTCGCTGGACCGCCCCATCACATCCGCATCCAGCCGCGCGGCCATGCCTGGAATGGAGAATTTTGATACCCCCCCCCCCCAAGACGCAGCCATTGCTGTTGTACACTCCCCGCCTGCGCATCCCCGCCAACGCCTGTAAGGGAAGCTGTGCTCCCCACGGCGTCGTAGTAGCACGCTCTTACAACCCTGGGTTCGACATGTGTTGATTTGCGGCGGACGTTTGCCACTCGTGGTCGAGTGGTCCATCCGCACGGCTGAGGATTATTTGTTGCATAGAGTTTTGTCGTTCCGGGCTCCCATATCCTTTCACGAGCCTCCGTTATCCGTTGCTGGCAGGGCCAACTCGTCCTCCCTGGGCGGCGGAGGCCCGACCGGCTGGACCATCTGCCGGATGAGCTTGGCCCTGACCTTTGCCATGGGCTCGTTCTGGGCGAGGGCCATGTAGGAGAGCAAAGGAGTGTGCCCGACGATGCTGGCCTTGGTGTCGCGGTGGATGTTGGTCTTCCACTCCCAGCTCGTGGTGTCTGGGTGCCCAGTACCGATGTACTTGGCCTGGAGGCGCTCGAGCTCTTGTTGTGTGCGAAGCTTGTCGGCCTATGCGGGATGTGTCAGTCTAACCAAATCTTCGGGACGGCCAGATGCGCATGGGTAAGTACGCACCATTTTGGCTTGTGTGTTGAGGAGGGTCGGAGGTGAACGGGCAGGGGCAGGAGCAGGAGCAGGAGCAGGAGCAGGAGCAGGAGCAGGGAGGGAACAGAACGCGACCGGAGGACGGCCGCTGGCTGGGGCCCAGAAAAGTCGCCGCCGGCCGGCGCAGCGCAGGGCCAAGCAAAGGGCCACGACCCGGGAAAGCTAAATACCACCACCCACCCGGGTGCTCTTACTACAGCAATACGGCGTGTATGGTACCTACCTAGGTACTTAAGTAGGTACCTTTCACTGCCCGTGGCATTTGAACCTGGGAGATGGTGATTCAGGTTCAAAACGGCTTTGGCAAAGCTCAAAGCGTCCATGGTATCATGTATAAGTGAGGAGTGCATCTAACCGACAATGAGCGACACGAGAGCCTCCTTCCTTGACCAGAAAACCACCTGGCTCGATATGCTGGTCACGAACTGCAACCTGCTCCAGGACGCAAGCCTCTTGAGGCGGGGCTGGTCGCTCTTTTCCCTGTCCCCTCGATATCCTCCCTCCCTGCCCACGCCGCTGAGCTCCTGTTGTACAAGGCAGTGTTGATGTACAAATGGCCTGCTCCGGGCCCGGAGAGGCCGTGCAGAGAATAAAAAGTCCTCCAACCCATCAAAGGTACCTGATCCAGCCCTCGACCTGCCCCCAGATCGTAGAGCCCCATGTCACGGTGAAGCCACGGTGAAGCCGCTGCCATGCCTGAGGCGGCTCAGTCCCAGCTTTTGAAATAGTTAGCATACTTTTATAGGTTGCTTGCTTGCTGCCTTGACGTCGGAGCAACGGTGTCAACGTACCCTTGGTCCTTCTGTCGCACGATGTTCCCCCTGTTCCCCTTTTGTTTGCCCTGCATCATACAGCACTTGAGGTCAGCCTCCCGTGTCCCGCCAGGGGGTCAGTATATAGGGGGCGCCAGCGTACCGAGATGCCGCCCTCAACCACCAAGCGATCCAGCTCGAAGAAATGACCGACCACCGTTTGGCGCTGCCACAGGTTTAGCTTCCCTAGCAGAGAAGAGGCGAGGGGAGCGGGCCGCACCTTCATCATCTGGAGCTCCTTCAGGCCCTTCTGCACCAGCTCCTGGATCTTCCTCTGGTCCTCGACCGCCTTGTTCTCGCGGAACGCGTCCCGTGTCCGTCGTTTCGCGTATTCTCTGAAATTGTAGGACGCGAATTGCTCGCTCTGTCGGAGGAGTTGGCGGTACTGGCACGGGAGGTGGTCAACATCACTGTCTGCGAGCAGGGCCGCGCCCGAGTGCCTATGCTTTGCGCCCGCTGCGACCCGAGACCAGTGTTGCAGCCTGCAGCCTGGACCCTGGAGCCTGGAGCCTGGAGCCTGGAGCCTGGAGGGCAGGGAGCTGGGGACTCACCAGCGACCGCACTTGGTGGGGCGAATCGCCCTTGAGCGCCGATGATAGCGACATTTCGAGAAGGGCTAGCGATTGTGCATGGAGGCAGATGGTTGCCGAGGGATGGAGATTTTCTGGGCTATTTGAAATCTGAGGCCGGCGCGGCCTATGATGCAACACTTTTTGGCCCGACGCCGCGCGCCTTGAGAAGGGTCGGGCTCGGCCGGCACAGTAGGCCCCGCCCTGTTAGTAGTCTACATCATTTATTGGCATTTCCACTGTTTTTGCCCCGGACGTATTCCCGCCTCTCGGGCTTCAACGCATGTGTAAGCCAGCTTCCCTCTCGTCACCTGTTTCCATGTTGATTCCAGACCACAATTGCTGAGCTGCAGACGGTCCCAAACTTACTCCGGATTGTCTGCCCGATTGCTTTGGCATGGAGCCTGCCCGGGCGTAAGGAGCAGACAAGCCTTTGCCTGAACAACTGCTCCGGCCTCAATAATTCGCGGTCGGTTCCTGGTGAGAAACACGACGTAGTGGGACGGCCCTGAGACGGCTCCTGTTCCTTGAGCCCACAATTTGGCCGCGCTGTTGCCACACATCTGCTCGGGTAGTTGTCGGGATTCGCCATGTATATCTCACCAGCATCTTGGCCATCCCAGAGAGATTGGAAACTTTGTCACACGATCTTGACAAAGACAAGTGGCTGGCTGCCCAAGGCAGATAGTTCCGAAGTTCTGGTCTGCTGAGGGCCCAGTGCCTCGTGCTGCCTCTGCAGGAATGCCTTTCCTACGTCACGTGAAATTGAAGCCATGTGGTATTCTCAGTTCTCATCTTTCTTCCTTCGGAAATATCAAGACGTCGGGGACAGGAAAGAAAAGTGTGTGCTCCTGCTGGTCTGGGCATTTGAGGCGCCTCACACTTTGTGCGCTGACATCGGCCGATACCGTGCCTGTTTTCAGTCATTTGACACATGTATCTCGGCCAATACACCTCAGGGTCTGCATGTGCCATTTCTCTCACGCAAATGATGCCTAATACGAGGCATGGCCGCAAAGACCGATAGAAGGCCTTCAGTGCATCTCAATCCCGTTCTTCTGCGCAAAATCCTCAAGCATATCGTCCAATGACACCACATGCAACTTTATATCCCGAGCATGATATCTCGACCTGTCATCCCCGTCAAAAACGATGTCGTCCATGTCCCTGTTGACCTGAATTGATCTTCGCGCTCGGCCGGGTATATGTATCTCTTCTCGGTGGCGCCGGAAGTTGTTGTCTGCACATCGTAAGGAACAGAAAATCGATTCGATTTTGTGGAGGTGCGTGCATTCCCGGCACAGGAGTAATCGCTTGCTGTCCATGTCCATATCGATGTCCTCGTCGGTGATCTGTGTGCAATAGTTGCCACTTGCACATGCGTGGCTTTCCTCCACGTGGGATTCCTGCTTTTCATCAGCAGATATCGCATACAGGCAGGGTAGAAGCAGGAATAGACAGGTGTAGGGACAGCGTGTGATTGCAACTCTGCCAGTGAGTCTCACTGCTCTGCATCCGGTCGCTCCCTACAGGGCTATCGCAAACAAGCATAGATATGAAAGGTAAGGTTCGTGAACTCACTTCACCTCGGTCACTGTCTCTGCAAGCGGGCGAGCAGTAGACCGTCGCCCTGGACCGGATCCCTGCGTCCACCATAACCACACATGCGTTGCAGGGATAGAAGCCCCTGGTGTCCACGTCTCCCCTGCAGACACTGCACGGAGGCTGCTGGTAGACCTCGCTCGGGGGCTGCGGCCTCTGTGTGTCCTTGCGACCGCTCGCCTTCTTGGACTTTTGCAGCTCGTGCGCGGCCCTGGCTCTGCGGAGCTCGTCTATCCGCTTACGGTTCCTCTCCTTCTGATCCGATGCCCCTATGCTGGAGCGGCGGTCCAAGGAGATCTTGTTCACGATCTCGTCCATGGTCGCGCCGGTCTGGAGTCGGTCGGCATACAACTGTGTCTTTTGGGATATGTGCTCGTCCGACGAGACGTGAAAGAAGGTCTCTTTGTAAAGCTGGTACTTCTCCTCTGGCGACTTGGCTACGAGCAGACGATCAAGGCTCCTTCTTGCGTCCTCCCTGCTGCTGGCGCCGTCGAGAGCGGCTTGCATGGACTCCAGGAGATCGTCGAACGGTGTGCCGTTTCCGACCTTGGCCAGCACATCCTTATGATCCGTCAACTCCTCCAGGCTTTTTCGAATACTGGGCGATGACTTGATCTGCTCTTGATACCATTTGCGCCGCTCCATGTCGATGCGCGCATCGATCTCCTCCAAGCCGACCGCATGATCCAGCGCCGCGGCAAACAGGGCCTTGAGCTCGCCCAGAAAAGCCTCGCGCCCAGAGAACCACTCTTGGTTCTTGGTGTCCAGAAACCAGCTGCGCATGCAAGTGATGATCTGTGGGTAGCACTCGCGACATTCAAGAACGTGCTTGTGCTGTGGATGGTCCTGGGCGCATCTGGCTTTTATCTTGGCAACCTCCCCAGCGCATTCTTCCCGGCGGGCTCGAAAGGCGGCGAGGTCATCCCAGGCTTCTCCCATCATGGTCGATATGGACCCACACTGCCCGGCCTACCTGGGTAGGTTCGCTCAGGTGAACCAGCCCAAAACGAGCACTCAAGCGCAGGACAGGAATTGCCCCCGGCGCAGTCAGTGATGAGAGTCAGTCGCCAATGACACCGCGTGTTTGTGAGCCGTCAAGAGCGTTCAGACCGTCTATCAGGGTGCAGATGTAAATTCTCAAATTTTTGGCAAGATTAAAAGAGCCAGCTTGAGGCAGTGCTTGATGATCCGGAATAGGATGGGCAGCAGTAGTAGTCGACACTACCAAGGTTGACGATGGCGAAGCGCATAATAAGAAGGCGTAGCTGCTCATACGCAAGTCGAGGGTGAACGACTAGGGTCTAACCCTCCCTGTGTTAAACCTACTCGGGTACATGGTGCGGTGGCCAGGCCCAAGTGGCCGCGGCCGGCTAGCTAGCTGGGCCCCTACCTCTCCGTACTTTGAGCCCTGGCCATCCTCGACCGGCGCGTCACTAGGATGTTCGTATCGCGACGACGGACCATAGCTGGACTCGATTCACATTGCCGCATGGATCAGATCAGAGTTATCACGACAAAATACTCGGCCGAGCCCTTGATCGCCTGATGTGTATAAATCATACGCGCCAATTCAACCTTATTTGCTTTTCAGCCGGCACTCGAGTGCTCCCGAACGAAACATTGCCCGCTGCGACGGCGCCGTCCACAAGCCAGCACCAAGTCTCCTCCATTAAATCTATCCCAGCTTTGCGACCATGGCTCCTGGTGTAAGTCCCAGGACCAATTAGGAACGGGTAGAAGACCTAGGAAGGTGCTGATCGCGATGGCGCAACTCGCAGTACAGGACAACGGCCACCAACACGAGGCGCGGAAATCGGAGCGGACTTGCTGAACATGATGATTTCGAAGGTACGAGACTGCGCATGCCTGTCTGCCTTCAAACCAGGCATAGACGGCCTTACTTGCTCCCTGGTCTCGGCATAAACCATGGCAGGCTGTGAAGGGGGAGGCTCTTGATGGTCAAGAGAAATACGAAGATCACGAGCATCAGTGTCTGGCTCAGAATTAAGCCCGGCAGCAACCTGACCACTCGGAGGCCACCGGGCATCTTCCAGAAGCTACGCATAAGACACCCGAACCGCAAGCTGACGAGCCATTAATAGGTCTCCCGGTCCGGCAATGGCGCCGCCAATTTGTGAACGTTGTGCCCCCTCCCGAGCGTGAAGAGGCTAAGAAGCAGGATCGCTGGGGTGTGGAACTACCACATGGGATGCCAAGGGACACACATCTTCTCACCCCACATAACCAAGAACTGCTAAGGCTGGCACGTTCCGGGAAGCTGTACAAGAAGCGACCACTTCCCGAGGAGGAGGACGCCGACGCCGACGGTATACCCGGTGAAAAGCCCGACAAGAAGGACTCGGCGGCGAGTGAGGGCTACGGCTTCAAAGTCAAAAAGTGGGTGCGGCTAGAGCGTAGCGCTGAGGATTCGGGGATCAACCTCCTGGCCCCAAGACACAAGAATACCATCTTGAGGCCATCAAAACAGCTCGGGACACAGGTCACAGGACCTATGGTCACAAAAGCTACCGTCAAGAGGCTGGACGCGGCTGGGAATCCGTACACGCAAGAAGTGATTGTCTCCGACGGACAGGCCGTTGATGGGGAGATTATATCCACCAGTGTTGTTCCTGCTCCCGAGGCGACCGGCGAGGCGGTATTGCCCGTGGCGACGCCTGCGAGAAGGAAGCCACCTATTCCTCAAAAGAAGAAGGGCCGCGGCCGCGGCCGCGGTGGGAGAGGTCGAGGAAGACTCCCACTGGCAACACCTACTCGGCCCGTTCCTCAGCAGGATGGTTCTACCGAAGTCAAACCCGAGACCGTTGGTCCAGATGTGAGTAAGCCCTCGTTGGATTGGGTTTGTTTTGTTGCCTGACAAATTATCAGGGTGTTAAGATCGAGTCCGAAGACGTCTCGAGGGCAGTTGGCGACATGGAAATGAACGAGTCTAGTGCACTTGACGACGACGACGGGGACGAGGGATCCGGTGATGATGACGAGGGCGACGGTGACGAGAGCGCAACGCCTGCGGCTGAGGGGGAAGACCAGGAGATGAGAGATGCCCCTGCGTACCCGCCCTCGGACTCCGTCGCGGAGGCTCTGCCTGCTACCGCGTCGGCGGAGGCGGCACAACCTGTTGCGAACCTAGCACCGCCTCCGTTGGTCACCGACCCTGTGCAGCTTGAGGGAAGCCCGCTAAAGAATGTGACCATGCGATCGCCAACGGAACCTTCACCGCACTTGTCGCCAATCGCAGCAACCGCCACCGCAAGCGCAGGCGCTGTTCTCTCCGGGGTGCCGGGTGAGTCCACCCTCGGCCTCCAGCCATCCGTGCCAGAGCCGCAGCAACCGCTTTTGCTGTCGCAGGCATTCTTCAGAGGAGATAAAATTGACAAAACCCCTGCAGAACCACCCGCTCCGGTACCCGGACCCGCTGAGACGGCCCATGCAGAGGATTCAAAGATGGAAGACGTCACCTCCATGAGCATTGAGCCCCAAGAAACCGGCCCAGAGCCGATTCCAGACCAAGCGATGATACCCTCCTCCGAAGACGCGCCAGCACCTCCTATTGTCGAGCCGCCCCCCGTAGTTGGAGCCGTACCTGTCGCCGAACCACCATCTGTCGCCGAGGAACCATTTGTCGCCGAACCACCATTTGTCGCCGAACCACCATCTGTCGCCGAACCACCATCTGTCGCCGAGGAACCAACTGCCGTCGGAGCCGCACCTGTGGCTGAGCCACCAGCAGTAGTTGAGCCAGCGTCGCGCGTCGAAGAACTTCCAGTGGCACCTCCAAAGGAAGAGGTTCCGTTGCCAACCAGTGAGCAACCCATGCCCGACCTAGCAGCTGAACTTCTAGAGCAGCAAGCCCCTGCGGCCACCGAACCTGCACCGCCATCTCCAGTCTTAGCGCCTGCGCCTGCTCCTGTGCCTGCGCCGGCCCTTGCCCCTTCGCCACCGCCAGTCGTACAAGCTCCGGCGGAGGAAGTGAAGGAGGAAATGAAGGATGTAGGCACCAGTGACGTCAAGACCGAGTCCGGAGGCGCAGAAAATGATGTCGCCGAAGGTGAAGGCGTCGCAGACGTCGTTGTCGATGACACGAGAGCCGCAGAGGTGGTAGCTGAGACCACCGGTACCCAAGATGCTGGAGGCGAGGACACAGTTGTACCCGACGACGCACACGTCGGTGTGGCGAAGACAGAGGATGTGTATACCGAGGACGTAGGGACTGAGGATGTAGTCACAGAGGACGGAAGCTTCGACATTCTGGGTTCATTATCTACGAGCCTGAACCAACAGGCTGAAGACGACGTACCACCACCATCTCTCCCGCCAGCTACGATTGAAACCGCGATACCTGAGCTAGCTGCGCCAGGCCAACCCAACGAAGCAGCTCCGGCTGCCCAACCCCCCGAAACGGATGTGGGTGAGCAGGCCGCTGATGCTATGGTGATGGATTCCACAGAGCAGACAGGCAATTTCGGAGACAGCAGCGAGACGGTCCAGGCAGAACAGAGCAGCGACGTCAAAGCAGAAGGGAGTGGGATACAGACACAGGACCTACCTGAGAGGCCCGGAGAGGAGAAATGAGTTGCTTCATATATGATTGACGATAAAATTGAGCGGTTCGGCGCGTCGTCACAGGATCCCAAACAAGCACACGAGCGAGAGCGGTATTGAGTATCGACAGGTCAATTGACTCCAGAGGGTCCCTTCGCAGTGGAGAAAAGTGTTTCAGCAGTACTGGATATGGCAATTGATGTTGTTCTAGAAATAATTCTTTCGCGGGCTCGGGGATACGGCCATTCAATTCTATTCTACCGGATTCGCAACAGCGCGAAAAGTCTCCGTGTCCGTCCGCTCCAGGCTTCGTCGCCGTCTGTGATGTGAAAAATCCGGAGTTCTCCTATTTGCCAGGGTGTGTCTGGCCAATCTGTTACCAGCCTGTGGAAGTCACCCCAATCTACTTATCCCCTCTACCAGCTCACCTCTAGATTTGAAGCATCGCCCTGGCTTCTCTTGATCTCAGTCCCCCTTGCCCCCCTCCCCCCCGTTCTCGGTCCAACCCAGCCGTTCGCCATTCCCAGGATAACCAAAGCCAAGTACGAGAACTACACGGACAGCATCTCGATCTCCTCCCTCGTGAAGCCAAATAGATACAAAAGATCCAACAGGCTCTCGCCGTTGAGCCTCGCGCCAGCCTCCATCTGCACCCTCGGCTTGGCGTTCCAGGCGACGCCCAGGCCTGCAGTGGCCATCATCTTGAGATCATTGGCACCGTCACCGACGGCGACGACCTGGCTGAGGTCGATGCCCTCATCCTGGGCGATCTGCGCCAGCAGCTCGGCCTTGCGCTCGCGGCCGACGATGGTGCCCCTGACCTCGCCCGTCAGCCGTCCGGACTCGTCGATGACCACCTCGTTGGCGTGGGCGTGGTCGATGCCCAGCTCGGAGGCGAGCCACGACGTCAGCGGCTGGAAGCCGCCGCTCAGGACGGCGGTGCGAACGCCGAGCCTCTTGAGGGCGCGGATCAGAGGGCGCACGCCGGCGGTGGTGTCCAGGGCGGAGCGCAGCTCAGTGAAGATGGACTCGGGCAGGCCGCGCAGGAGGGCGACGCGCTCGCGGAAGGCGCTCTCGAACTGCAGCTCGCCCAGCATGGCGCGGTGGGTGATGTCGGCCACGCGGGCGGCCAGGTCGGGCGGGTCGGTGATGGTGGCGGCCAGCAGGTCGATGACCTCCTGGGTGATGAGGGTGCTGTCCATGTCGAAGACGACCAGGCGCGGGTGGCGGCGCCACAGCAGGTCGCGCTGCAGGGCGACGTCGACATTCCACTCGCGCTCGAAGCGGTAGATGAGCTCGTGCTTGCGCAGGTCGGCCAGCTCCAGGTAGCTCGGGGCCGGGGCGGGCGACAGGGTGAGCTCGACGACGAGCGGGTGCTCGCTGTTGTCGAGGCAGCGGTGGGCCGAGGTCATGTTCTCGGACCCGGGCGGCAGGGGGAAGGCCGACATGAGGTGAAGGAAGGAGGTGACACATAGGGGCGACACGTAGGAGCCGTAGAGGTGGTCGAGGGGCTCGGGCTCGGCGGCGGGCGGCTCCAGGGGGAAGGACTCGGGGTCGGTGGTAGGCGCCATGTTGGCGGGGATGTCGGAGCCCTCGGGCTGGGGCGCGGCCGGCTGCTTGTTGGGCTCGGCCGGGGCGTGAGGGGGGGAGGGCACGGCATTGTTGGAGATGCGCCTGGTCTTTGTCTTGTAGAAGAGGGTGGCCACGAGCTTTTGCGAGGAGGCGCCGGGGGCAGGCGCGCAGTTGGGGTGGGACAGGTCGTGGTTCAAGCCACTCTCGACGACCTTGGGAGGGTTCTCTTTGGAGGGGACGCCCCGGTAGGCGGGGGAAGGGGTGGGATTGTTGGCGTCGGCGACGGTAGCACCGGCAGCGGGGCCTCTGGCCGAGCCCGAGGCATCCTCGACGACGGTGTCGATGCCGAAGTTGCTCTCGGGCTTGTTGGGCGGGCGGTACTGCTGGAACTCCTGCAGGTAGGAGCTGCTCCTCTTGGAGGCGTCGAGCCGGGGCCGGACCGAGGCGGGCTTGGAGGGGCTGTCGTTGTTAGTCGTCATGGCGAGGGAGGGTTGCAGTTTCTCTCCTTGTCTCTCCGCGCCAGCACACGTGGTGGTCCCTTCACGAGCGACTTGATCGAGGGATTACCGATGACAAAAGGGCGGCAAGCGGGCCCGGGAGGATGGGGGCTCTCGATTATATGGATGGATATGTACAACTAGGCAGTAGACTATCGTCGGGATGTTCTGAAAAGCCTTGTCCAGGGTCGCGCACTCGCTCACCCGCTAATCGTCGTTTGAGCGGACGACTGGCTTGGCTTGGCTTGACTTGACTTGGCTTGGCCGGCTGAGTGAATGACTAAATGAATGAATGAATGAATAAATGAATGGTCGGTTGATTGATTCGTTGATTGACTGTCCAGATGGTCGGCTCGAGGCGCCAACACACTGGCTTTGGCTTCTTTGGCTTTTGAGGTTGGCTTTTTGCGCGGTCAGGCTCAGGCTCAGGCTCAGGCTTATTAGGTGGGCGGTGGGACCTGGTGCTGTGACCTGGAAAAGAGGAGGGAGGGGTCGAGGGGTCGAGGGGTCACAGGCACGCATGCGCTTCAGGAATTGGCTTTGCCCGTTGTCCCAAGACTCGGAAACCTGCCGCAGCTAGGCTCGGCTGCAAGCCCTGGAGTGCAGCAAAATTGGGCACTTCATGCAGGCTCCCCTTGTCCAAGATGGGCCTCCTGCCGTGCATGGCCCTGGAGTTTGGGTGCCGTCATTGGGGTGGGGAGCTTCTACTCCGTCCAGCACGGACCAGGGTTCATGTCGATCTCCATGAGGTCCGCGGCAACGTCAAGTAGGAATAAACCACCTTAGCTTATCTGAAATATTCAGATGCTCTTAGCTAGGGCTATAGCCTGGGTATATAATTTGAATATAAGTAAGTATATTAGCTTTAAGTTTAAATTAAATTAAATTATAAATTAAAATTTAAAATTTAAATATATTTAATATATTAATTTTTCTTTTTATAAATATTTTCTCTTGTTATAAATAGTTATATTCTATAGAATTTAGTTTTAACTCTTAGTCTTTTAGAGTAATTTAACTACTAGGTAGATATAGACAACTAACTTTAAGAGATCTATAGTGGCTTCATATAAGGCTTTTTTACAAGTGTTCTTATTCGATCTAAGCTCGCATTTTACAGGTGACATATTACAGGCGGTACTAAGATCTAGCCCTTGTATGGGCTGGGCCCGACCATCAGCTCCGGCTTCACGAGGGTGTCGAACTCCTCCTCGGTCAATGCCTTGAGCTCCAGCGCGGACTGCTTAAGGGTGAGGCCCTTCTTGTGCGCGTTCTTGGCGACCTTGCTGGCCATGTCATAGCCGATCTTGGGGTTGAGGCAGGTGACCAGCATGAGGCTGGCGTGATACGGATCGTTAGCCACCGCCGCATGATTCTCTATAGCCTGTCAGGGGTGGATGGGACTTACGATTCCTTCATGATGCTGGCAATCTTCTCCTCGTTGGCCTGCAGGCCCGCGACCAGGTTCTTCTCGAACGACCGCATGCCGTCAGCCAGCAGGCGCGTGCTGTGCAGCAGGTTGCGGATAACCAGGGGCTTGTAGACGTTGAGCTCGAATTGCCCGTTCATGCCACCGATCGAGCAGGCGACATTGTTGCCCATGACCTGGGCGCAGACCATGGTGAGCGCCTCGCACTGGGTTGGGTTGACCTTTCCAGGCATAATGCTGGAGCCGGGCTCATTCTCGGGCAGGATGAGCTCTCCAAGGCCGCATCGAGGGCCACTGCCCAGGTACCTGATGTCCTGGGCGATCTTGTTCAGCGACGCAGCCAGGGTGTTGAGCGAGCCATGGGCCTGCACGATGGCATCGTGGGCCGCCAGGGACTCGAACTTGTTCGGCGCCGTCTCGAAGTGTGTGCCCGTCGCCTTGGAAACCTCCTCGGCGACGGCCTCGGCGAAGCCCTCGAACGTGTTGATGCCGGTGCCCACAGCAGTGCCGCCCTGGGCCAGCTGGCGCAGGTCTGGCAGGCTGGACTCGACCCTCTTGATGCCATAGTCAAGCTGGGCCACGTAGCCCGAGAACTCCTGGGCCAGGGTGAGGGGGGTGGCATCCTGCAGGTGTGTCCTGCCGATCTTGATGATCTTCTTGGCCTCGAACTCGTCGACCTTGTTCTGCAGGGCTTGCCTCAGGCTCTTCAGGCTCGGGATGAGCTCGCCCTCGATCTCGAGCACGGCGGCGATGTGCATGACGGTGGGGAAGGTGTCGTTGGAGCTGGCGGAGCGGTTGACGTGGTCGTTGGGGTGGACGGGCTTCTTGGAGCCCATCTGGCCGCCCAGGATCTCGATGGCCCGGTTGGAGATGACCTCGTTGGCGTTCATGTTGGACTGGGTGCCGGAGCCGGTCTGCCAGACGACCAGGGGGAAGTGGTCAATCAGCTTCAGGTCGGCAACCTCCTTGGCGGCCTGCTGGATGGCCTCGCTGATCTTGGGGTCTAGAGAGCGGGAGTGTAAGCGAGACTGCGCACGTGGCCGTGGGGCTGGTTCTTGGAGCATGTCTGTCGGGGACGCGACATACCGAGGCCATATCGCACGTTCACCTTGGCCGCGGCGCCCTTGAGAATGCCGAATGCCTTGATGATGGGCGGGGGCATGCGGTCCTGGGGCTGGTTGATGCGGAAGTTCTCGAGGGACCGCTCGGTCTGGGCGCCCCAGTACTTGTCGGCGGGGACCTGGATCTCGCCAAAGGCGTCGCTCTCGGTTCTGGTGGAGGCAGCCATTCTTGGGGACGAGGCGTGGAATTGTCTCTTGGAGGGGAAGGAAGCAGGTGCGGATCGGGGGGGGCAGGAGACGGCAGACTGGTTGCCTCGCTGCTGGCGGCCAACCACAGGCGCCGCGGGGGAGGTTGCGGAGCTCGAGAAGCATGTGCTCATGGCCCTCAGGCCGTTTGCCCTCGGCCTAGCCAGCCCGCGCATGGCGGAGCCGGGAATGCACGATGTTCGCACAGCCGAAGAAAGCATCCTGCACTGAGAGAAAGGGAATATGGACTGGAGCAAATCAAGGACGGTAGGAACAGCAGCTGTCGGCCTTGTATCCCGCACAAACCAGGTAGCCAAAAACAAATACCTCAGAAACAGACCAAAAAAAAGATCTCAATCGAGCTCTACGTTTCGAGGCTGGCCGGAGCTCTGCTGGACAAAACGCCAGCTGGGGGAGCTCGGGCCACGGAAGCAGCCCCCTCCAAAGTGTGCCCGAACTCGGCAGAAACCGGACGGGACGGAGAAGAAATCGGGACGGGGAGGACGGCCCAAAGAAGCACGCGTGCACGGGTTTAATTAGTAAGTAACGCCGCCATGCAGCGACGCAGTCAGGTCAAAGTGTCCACAGAGAGAGTCCTGACTCCTGGTGGCGATGGGAATCGCAGCCAGCAGCCAGCAGCCAGCAGCCAGCAGCCAGCAGCCAGCAGTTCTGAGTGTTCTGTGTGTGGTGTGTTGTCGAGTGATCACATCGCGATTATTTGGGCAAGATTTAGCCTCCGCTTGAACAATTAGCCGGCAGACCGCAACCTGTAAGCCACTGGACAAGACAGCAGGAGGCTGAGAAATATGGTTCATGTCAAGCCAGCCGGCAAAGGGCGGCGGCGGCGGGCAGATCCCCAAAGCCCGACTGCTTACAAAACAAATGGGCATTTCCAATCGGATGGGCTAAGCTCGTTACGGCGGGCCGGGCGAAGACAGTGCCAGAAGTGCCAGCGCGCTTACACAACCATGTATCCATCCAGCCCGGGACCGTTTCCAGTGGAGCACGAGCAGGCCAGGGCCAATACGGGCGCATGGCTCCTGGGGCCCGAGCAAATGGGGCTGGTGCCGTCCAGCCCTTCCCGCCCCGGGGCCCCGATGCTCTTGCTGAGGGCCACGGCGAGACAAGACATGTACTTGTCGCGCGACGACATGCCTCTTAAATCAGGGTGCGAGGTTCCCCAGACCTGCTGGGCGACTTCACGCGGCAGGTGCAGATCTGGCCAGGTAATGTCTCCAGCGGCCCCGGACTTGTCAGACTCGCAAAAACAGCCCGGCGAGCCCACTTGCCACGCCTTTTTTTCCTCAGGACCCCTTTCAGCCCAGCACCCGCTGCTTGTCACTGCGAGGTACCGTGGCAGATTTTGACGGCCCGGCCAATCAGCGCCAGCGACCTGGCCACGAAAGGCATAGCGCGGATTGCACCATCGATGGCCCTGATGAACTCACATCGCATCGCCGTGCCATCATCGCCTGCCACAGCCTGTCCTGGCCAGATTGCGCCATCGCTCGGCCTGCCTCACACACCCATGGCCCCTCACAGTCCATCGCTGCCGGCGCCATTCGGGCCATGTCCTGTATCAGGCTTGTACTCTTGAATCCCAGCGCCTTCTCCGGCCGGGTCCCCATTATTCATGCTGGAAACTCTGTGTCCAGGTCTGCCTGCGAGCCGCTCCTCCCTTGGGGGGGGGACCACGGCCCACGGCCCAATATTAAGAGTAGGCGTAATTCCGCAACCAGGTCGTCTGGGCTGCGATTTCTCATCCCCCATCTGATCCGAATCCTGTTCTCTTGTCCTGTCTTGTGCGGACCCAAGTGACCAAAGTAAAAACCCTTCTTGGAACAACAATCCTGCTCCTGCCTTCTCCCTCTGCTCCATCCACCCACCCTGCGACATCATATCGCACCACTGCCCTCCTCCATAGCATCATACACTTGCATACACTTGCTGCTGTGCTGCCCGCAACCTGAGGGGACTCGGGCCTGTGTCTCAACTCCACAAACCCCCAAATTCGATTCTCCAGCCGCTCCTCTTGTTTGTCAGAGAACCGAGAAGTCAGCCAGAAATAAGACTGGGCATTTCGACATGGGCAACTACTCCCACTCAGACTCCTCCTCTTCCTTGTCCTCCATGGGGACCTCGCCTCGCTTGAGCGCCCTCGACACAAAGTCCGACACACAGTCGTCGTCGTCATCATCTACCGAGGACATCGAATCCGGCTACGCATCTGCAACGTCATCCACAATGACGCTCCCGGCCGTGTCCTTCTCCCCCTACCACCTGAAATGGCTCAACAGCCAGCTGGAGACCATGCACCCTATGGACATCCTGCGCTTCGTCAAGGTCCTCTTCCCCAACCTCTACCAGTCAACCGCGTTTGGCCTGACGGGGCTCGTCACGCTGGACATGCTTTCCAAGCTGCAAAAGGAGAACCCCAGCTCCCAGAATGTCGACATGATCTTCCTCGACACCCTGTACCACTTCAAGGAGACGCACGAGCTCATTGACCGGGTTCGGGCAAGATACCCCAACGTCAAGCTGCACGTCTTCAAGCCCGACGGCTGCGACACCGTGCACGACTTTGAGGCCACATACGGCGAGAAGCTGTGGGAGGTCGCATCCGAGCTGTACGACTGGTACGCCAAGGTGGAGCCCCAGCAGCGCTCGTACACTGAGCTCAACGTCGCCGCCATCCTCACCGGCCGGAGGCGGTCTCAGGGCGGGCAGCGCGACCAGATCCCCGTCATCGAGGTTGACGCCGAGAGGGGCGTCGTCAAGATCAACCCCATGGTGAACTGGAGCTTCGACCAGGTGCAGCAATACATCAAGGAGAACGACGTCCCCTACAACGCGCTCCTCGACCAGGGGTACAAGTCCGTCGGCGACTGGCACTCGACCTCGCCCGTCAAGGCGGGCGAGGATGAGCGTGCAGGCCGTTGGAAGGGCCAGAACAAGACCGAGTGCGGCATCCACAACAAGAAGTCCCGCTACACCCAGTACCTCGAGGATCTGGAGCGCAAGCGCAAGGAGGAGGCGCTAGCCCAGGCCTTCCAGGAGAACACGGAGCGGCAGACCGCAGTCTCGCCCGCCGTCCAAGTCTCATAGTAGCTTGACTTCCCGGCACGCCCTCGTGTGAACGGGTGAACTTGGTCGCCCAGACAACGACTTTGATGATGATTCAAACGAGCATAGCACTGGCTTTTTTCCATCTTTTTTTTCTCGGAATTGTGCGGTCGTCATTTTTACCGCAGGGCAGTTCGCGTTCAGGAGTCTCGGGGGGAAAATATTGGGATGGCCCATACTTGGCTGGCGTTTGGAGGCATAATTGTTGATTCCCCTGCCATGCCTTCTCTCATGGCACAGCGTCCCGAGAGGGATGGCTCATAGAGATATTTATAGAGCAGTCAAGAAGAACAGACAAGAGTAAAATTTTATCTGTACCTTACCAGGAAAGCCCCATCGCGCCACCCAAGAATTCCTGTGACTCAACACCATTTGGGGAGTGGGCAAGCAGCCAGCCCAGCCGTCCGTCCACCTATGCCTCGCACCGACCGCCCACTGGATGGGGGGCTTCTCTCTCACACGCACACCCCCCGTTCCGTCCAGTCACAAAAAGAAACCCTAGGGTTGGGTAGTGCGTGTGAGCGCCCGTGTCAAAATGTCGCCATCGACTAGGGGCCGCTCGGTCGGTCGATGTCGTGATGCCGGGGGTTGGGTGGGCGATGGCCCTCTGCGGATGTTTACCGGGTGGCGGGAAGAGAAAGAGAGGACGTCGGCGGTGGAGACAGCCTCCCGGCGGCTGTGGACGGGTCTCGGGGAGCCCATTTATGCTGGCAGCAGAGCCGCACCGATCGGCTGCGCGGCTATCGGGGAGAAAGATGCATAATTGGAGGTGGATTGCGCCATTTGGGGACAGACGTGTAGGGAGCAGGGAGTACGTACCGAGTACCACCCACACCCAAAAGGCTCAGCTTGCCATGTTCCGTCCACGTGTGCGCTCCGGGCCGGCACTGTGCTGGGTGTGGAGGGGCGCGGCTGGCGCTTAGGCGAATAGGCGCGAGGCTGACCAATGCTCAATGAATCAAAGTATGGTACAGTAACGCATCCAACACCTGAAGGTGGCGGGCATGTAGACTACTGTGTATCTTCCTATATAATCGGGACGTTAACCCACAGGTGGTTGTGCCGCAGGACGTTGGTTTATGTGATGTTGACCCGTGAGGATGTCTACCTACTTGAGTGGGTAACCAGGAGTTGCTAACCCAGGAGATGGACCTCGGGTAGGCGGGATGTTTACCTTCAAAGTATAGTTTATAAACTACCATATCGCACCCCTAGGGGTTTTCAAAAATTATCTCCACCCTATTATAGTCTAATAATAGCTATAACTCCTAATAATCCTTCTTTTTTTAATATACTTTTAAATAAAAAAAAGGTTTTTTAAAAAAAAAGATTTTTAAAAAGTATTAATCTTTAAAATCTTTAAATTTTAAACTTTTATTTTAATATAAAAATTATTTAAAAAAGATTTTTTTTTTTAATAATTTTTTTTTAAAATAAATTTTTAATTAATTTTTTATTTATTTTATTTATTTATTTAATTTAATTAAATTCTTTTTTATATTTTAAAGTTTTAAAAAAGTTTTTAAAAAATTTTAAAGTTTTAAAAACTTTAATTTTTAAAAAAATTAATTTTAAAAATATTAATATACTTTATAATTATTCCTTTTAAATATAAAGTTAAAAAACTTATAATTATAATTTTATAATTAATTTTTATTTAATTATTTTTATTTATATTATAATTTAATTTAACTTTATTTAAATTTTTTTAAATTTATTTAATATTTTTTATTTTAAATAATTAAATTTAAAATTAAAATTTTTAAATTTAAAATTAAAATTTTTATAAATTTTAATTTATTTTTAAATTAAATTTATAATTTTTAATTTTTAAAAATATATTAATTATTTTAAAATAATATACTTTTTTAAAAATAAAAATTTATTTTATATAATTATAAATTTATTATTAATAATTATTTTTTTATAAATTTATTAAAATTATAAACAAATATTATATATAATAATAAAATTATAATTATTTTATTTAAAAATTATTTTAATTTAATTAAATAATTATTTTAAATAATTTTATTTAATAAATATTTATTTATAAAGTAAAGTTAAAATTTATATATATTTTTAAAAATAATAATTTTATTTTTATTTATTTTAATTAATTTATTTAAATTATATAAATATATAATATTTAATAATATTAAAATTAATTTATAATTTATAATAATTTTAATTTTAATAAATTAATAATAATTTAAATAATTAAAATATAATTTAATATATTAATATATTAAAATATTTTTTTAATAATAAATAATATTATAAATATAAATTATAAAATTATTATAAAAGTTTTATATAATAAATTTTAATTAAATTAATTTTAAAAATATATTATATTTTATTTTAAAACTTTAATTATTTATTTAATTTAATAATAAAATTAAAAAATATAATAATTATATTTTATATTTATTATTTAAAAAATATTAATAAAAAATAATTTAAAATATTAAAAATTATTTATAATAAAAAAAATAAAAATAAAATAAATAATTAAATTTAAAAAAATATATTAAATTAATTATTATTAAATTAAATTATAATAAAATTAAAATAAAAACTTTAATTATAAATAAAAAACTTATTATTAAATTATTAATTAAATTAAAATTTAATTAATTTATTTATATTTTAAAGTTTTTATAATTATTAAATTATTAAAAAATAATATTTTATTATTTTATTAATTAAAATTTTATTTATTAATAAAATTATTTTAATTAAATTATTACTTTTAAAATTATTATTAAATATATAATTATAATTTAATTAATTTAAATATTTTAAAAATATTTTAAATTAATATTTTTATAAATTATTTAAATTATTTAAATTTTAATTTTTTTAATAAATAAAATTAAATTTTAATTTAATATTATTTATATAATTTTATTAATTAATAAATAATTATTAATTATTTATTAATTTATATAAATTATTATTATTTAAATAATTAAAATTATAAAAATATTATTTTATTTAATTAATTATTTTAATAATTAAATTTATTATTATTATTTTAATATATATTTTATTTATATATTTTTAAATATATAAATAATATATTTTATAAATTTAATATAAATATATTAAATTAATATATTTATTATTTAATTAATATAAACTTTTATTATTTAATTAATATAAAATTTATTTATTATATAAATTATTTTAATTAATATTAAAATTTTAATTTAATTATTAAATTAAAAATAATAATTTAAAAATATTAATAAATATATAAAAAATATTTTATTAATAATATTTAAAAATAAAAATAAAAATATTAATAATATTAATAATTAATATTTATATATATTAAATATATATAATTAAAATAAAATAAATTATAATAAATAAATTATATTATATTTTATAATTTAAAAATTATTTAATAAAATTTATTTAATAAAATTTTAAAATTATTATATAATTTAAAAAGTTTAAAATAATATAAAAATAATTTTAATTAAAATATATTATTAATTTATTTTAAAAAATTATAATTATTTTTAAAAATATTTTATTTTAAAATAATATTTTATAATTTAAAAATAATTTATTATTAAAAGTTTAATTTTATTATTAAAATTTAATAATTAAAATTATTTAAATAAATAATTATTTATTTTAAATTATTTTAAAAATAATTTATATAATTAATATATAATAAAAACTTTTATAAAACTTTTAATAAAAAATAATTATTATAATAATTAATAAATATTTAATAATAAATATTATTATTTTATAATAAATTATATAATAATATTTATTTTAAAAAATTATTAATATTTTAAAATTAAATAATATAAAAAATTATATTAAATAAAATATATAAATATAATAAATTATTTTTATATTTATTAAATAATTATTATTTTATTTAATATAAAATAATTAAATATTTATATATTATTATTATAAAAAAATTAAATTAATTAAATATTTTTAATTTAATAAATAATTATAAAATAAATTAATAATTATTATAAATATTTAATTTAAATAATTATAAAAATATTTATAAAATTATTAATAATAATTTTATAAATAATTAATTTTAATAAAATTAATATTATTAAAATATTTATAATAAAAATATTTTATTAATTAAAATATTAATTATAATTATTATTTTATAATAAAAATAAAATAATTAAATTAATTATTATTAAATTAAATTATAATAAAATTAAAATAAAAGTTTTAATTAAAAATTAAAAATTTATTAATTAAATTATTAATTAATTAAAATATAATTAATTTATTTATATTTTTAAAAATTTTATATTATTTAAAAATATTATTTTAAAAATATAAAAATAATTTAATAATTATTTTTAAAAACTTTTAAAAAATAATATAATATTTAAATATTTTTATAATAATTTAATTTATAATTTTAATTTTTAATTATTAAAGTAAAATATTTTTAATATTTTATTTTATATTATATATAATTAAAATTATATTTTATATTATATAACTTTTTAATTTATTATAATTAATATAATAAAATATAATTATATTTATATATAAATAAATAAATAAAATATAAAAAAATAATTATTTAATTATAATTAAAATTAAAATTAAAAATAATAAATAATTTTTATAAAAGTTTTATAAATTTTTTATTAATAAAATTATTATATTATTATTTTTATTTTAAAATTTAAAAAATAATTTTTTAATAACTTTATTTTTAAATTTATTTTATTTAATATAAACTTTAAATTTTATATTATAAATTTTAAATAATATTTTAATTTAAAAGTTTAATTTTATAATTAAAAAATTATAAAAATATTAATTTATTTTATTTTAAAATTATAATTTTAATTATATTAATAAATATAATTTTAAAATATAAAATTAAAATTTTATAATTATAATTTAATTAAATTTTATTTAATTATTTTATTATATTATAATTTAATTTAACTTTATTTAAATTTTTTTAAATTTTTTTAAATTTTTTTTATTTTAAAAAATTAAAATTTTATATTTTTAATTAAATTTAAAATTTTTATAAATTTTAAATTATATAAATTAAATTTATAATTTTAATTTTTAAAAATATATTAATTATTTTAAATAATAATAAATTTAAATAAATTTATTTTATATAATTATAATTTAATTAATAATAATTTTTTATTTATAATAAAATTATTAATTATAAAATTTAAAATATTATATAATAATATAAAATATAATTTTATTTAAAAATTATTTTTAATTTAATAAATTATATAATAAATTAATAATTATTTTAAATAATTTTATTTATAATATATAAAATTAATAATTTTTAAATTTATTAAATAAATATTTATTATAATATATAATTTTATTAATTATATATTAAATATTTAAATATTTTTTTAAAAATATTTTAATTTTTAAAAATTTAATTATTAAAATATTTATAATTTTATTAATATTATAAAATTTTATATAAAATAAAAATTTTTTAATATTAATTAATAATTAATAATAATTATAAATTAATAATAAAAATATTAATTATTTTATTATAAAAATTTAATATATTAATTTATATTTTTATTATTTATATATTATATATTAATTTTTAAAAATATATTAATTAAATATT